ATGCCACGGGAAGAAGAGTTGATCTGGATCAAAGACCCGAGCTTACGAAGGGCAGTGTGGAATTTGTTGCTCCTACTGAGTATATGGTGCGGCCTCCAATGCCGCCCCTGTACTTCTTCCTCATTGATGTATCGATCTCTGCTGTCAGAAGTGGTATGATTGAGGTGAGTTCTTCTAATCGTCCTAGGAATGTGACTGAACTGTCTGATTTTATTCTCTATGATTTCCCCATGCTTTCTTGAGGGTTTAGGTTTGTGCATGCATGTCCCTGCAAGTAAAACATTGGTATTGACCTTCAAGTTCCTTATGTAGGTCGTAGCGAAGACTATAAAGTCTTGTTTGGATGATCTTCCTGGATTTCCCAGAACACAGATAGGGTTTATCACTTATGACAGCACCGTACACTTCTACAACATGAAGGCAAGTGAGGAATTTTCATATGAAATAGCGAGGATATGAGACTGTTCTACCATTGCAGGAGTCAGTTTAGCTTACTGTGTCCCTTTTTTGCAGTCATCCTTGACACAGCCTCAGATGATGGTCGTTTCTGATCTTGATGACATTTTTATTCCGCTACCTGATGATCTCCTTGTCAATTTGTCTGAATCAAGAACCGTGGTGGAAGCATTTCTAGATAGCTTGCCCACAATGTTCCAGGACAACCTGAATATGGAATCTGCTTTTGGTCCGGCTCTGAAAGCTGCATTCATGGTTATGGTATGCATGCTTTGTGATCTCACATATAAGTTTGATAAACAATAGTACCATAATATTCTTATTTGATGGGTAGTTCTGCTATCTGATGTCTTTGTTTGATCTTAGAGTTGATAGAAAACGTTATTAGATTGGATTTAATGTTAGATTTGTGATGCTACAGGAAAATTCATTACTAATAAGTAAAATGCTGAGTGATGTTGAGGATAGACAGTATAGTAGACGCTTGAATCTTAATTGGGCATTAATGTTCATGCTTTTAGTTGCTTTTATTTCGGTAGGTTGACCAGAATAATTGCAATGCTAGCTGTTGGAGTTGGAAATCCAGAGGCTACATAAGCCCCTCCTGGATGGATGGCATCATAAGTCTTTAGTTTAAAATGTTGATGCAGGCCTTGGTAACAGCTTTCTATTCAATCTAAATACTTATGATGCCATCCATCCAATTTGGTGTAAAAGCCTATACTTTCTAGTCTGGAACTCTGCAAATCATCCAAATTCTTGAACTGAAAGAAACTATATGCTTAGTTAAATTTTCATGTCCAGCAAAGATACCTATTGCTGAAAGGCAATATACTCTCTTCCCCATTTTGTTGTTTTTCTTTTTAAACTTAAACAAACTACATGGTAAGTTAAATCCTCATGACAAACAAAAGATATTTTGATTCCTGACAACCAATAGATTATTTTTTCCATTTGTCTTGTTTTGATTGTTTCACTTTTCTCGAGGAGTTCCTTTTGGGTGGTTGAAAGTTAAAAACAGATAAGACCTTTTACATGTTCAGCTCTCTCATTTCGCTTGAGTTCTTCGTGCTACTCTTTGCCACATTTGGCACCTTCTGACTTCTATGATCTTTCCATTAATTTGCACTCTCATTTCTTTTCTGCAGAGTCAACTTGGTGGAAAGCTTCTAATATTTCAGAACACAATGCCATCTCTCGGTGTTGGTCGCTTGAAATTGCGGGGAGATGATCCACGCGCATATGGAACAGATAAGGAGTATTCTTTACGTGTACCAGAGGATCCATTTTACAAACAAATGGCTGCGGATTTTACCAAGTACCAGATAGGAGTCAATGTTTATGCCTTCAGTGACAAGTATAGTGATTTAGCTTCCATAGGTACATGTTCTCTTATTTTTATCTATTAATTATGGATCAGAAAGTAAAGCTTTTCCAGATTGTATATATCTTCTGCTAACTTTTAGCCTGTTTAAAAAAATATCTTATGTTATTTTCTTATATCACTAAAGAATGATGATATGCACGCCACATGTGATTGGTCCTGAGTTGTAAATGATTTTATTAGATTGTTCTTATAATGACATCTTGAACTCCAATTTCCACTGTATCGGTATTGATAATTTCGTTTTTATTTCTTTCTACAGGAACCCTTGCTAAGTATACTGGCGGACAGTTGTATTACTATCCAAGTTTCCAAGCTGCTAATCATTCAGAGAAATTGAGTCATGAGTTGACCAGAGACCTCACTAGAGAAACTGCATGGGAGGCTGTAATGCGCATAAGATGCGGCAAAGGTATACTCATCAAACGGTCGATGTTGCTTTTAAAACAGGGCCAGATCTACCAAATCTGAGAATGTTTTGCACTTAAGAATGGGCAGAGAGCTCATTTTCCTTTTGTTCATGTATAATGCAGGAATTAGGTTTACATCCTACCATGGGAACTTCATGTTAAGGTCCACGGATCTAGTGGCTCTTCCAGCCGTTGATTGTGACAAGGCATATGCAATGCAGTTATCACTCGAGGAGACATTACTGACAAATCAGACTGTATATTTTCAAGTTGCTTTGCTGTATCCTTTCACCAAAATTGTGCCGCTTTGATTCATCATCATCTCATTTTCTCTAAATTTGCTGACATTCTGTCAGTTCCATTTGAGAAAATGTGTACCCTTACTAGGTAACCAATGGATGAGTTGTTGTGTGTTTCCTTAACTAACTATCTAAAGGTATACTGCTTCTTGTGGAGAGAGGCGTATAAGAGTACACACAGCTGCTGCCCCAGTTGTCTCAGATTTGGGGGAGATGTATCGTCAGGCTGACACTGGTGCTATTGTTTCTATGCTTAGTCGCCTAGGTAACTGCAAATTGTACTTGCGGTTGTTTTTTTTTGTGTGGATTTTCCTCGACATTAAGGATAAATATTCTGACCTTTCTAATAATTGCAGCAATTGAGAAAACCATGTCCAGTAAACTGGAGGATGTTCGGAGTAACGTACATCTAAGGATTGTCAAAGCTCTCAGGGAGTACCGAAATCTTTATGCTGTACAGCATCGGTTAGGAGGTCGGCTGATATACCCAGAGTCTTTGAAGTTCTTACCATTGTATGGATTGGCCCTCTGTAAATCAACACCGCTCCGAGGAGGATATTCGGATGTTCCACTTGATGAGCGATGTGCTGCAGGATTTACAATGATGGCTTTACCTGTTAAAAAATTATTGAAACTTTTGTATCCCAGCTTAGTTCAACTAGATGACTATCTCTTAAAGGTGAGAGAAAAATCATCCCTTGATTTGTCATATATTTTTCTAAATATCACCCTTTTTTTATGAATTTAACATTCGGTTTCAACCTTCTTTGTGCAGCCATCTGCGAGTGCCGATGAGTTTAGAAAGGTGATGAAGAGGTTGCCCCTGACAGCAGACAGCCTCGATTCTAGAGGCCTTTATGTATATGATGATGGCCTTCAGATTGTTCTATGGTTTGGAAGAATGCTATCACCAGATATAGCTATGAATCTACTGGGGCCGGATGCTGCAGCTGAACTATCAAGGGTATGGTTGGCGCCCTTATTCTTTGAAGTATATCCATTTAAAATTTGCGTTGCAGCTTTTTATGGATGTCGCTGGTCACGTGAAGCATTGATGAATATTCATCTTCCTATTGAATAATGGTTGATCTTCTTATTGCCTGGTGTTGACTGACCCTAATATGATTCCACGTTATTGATCAGGTTACACTCATGGAGCGTGAAACAGAAATGTCAAGAAGGCTAATGGGATTGCTTAAAAAGTTAAGGGAGAGCGATCCGTCGTACCATCAGCTGTGTCATCTTGTGAGGCAAGGAGAGCAACCCAGAGAAGGCTTTATGGTGCTCACAAAATTAGTGGAGGACCAGACAGGTGGGACGAATGGCTATGTTGACTGGTTGATCCAACTACATCGGCAGGTTCAACAAAATGCGTGATGCATCATCGGTACGTCTCTCCTATAGTTCTCACCAAGTAGTTCTTCAATGTTTTGCACAGTGGGAGACGCATCTGCTAGATTAACATACTATGTCTTCTTCCTTTTCTTGGTAAATCACATACATGCCTTGTCTTCAGACATGCATGTTTGCAGCATTTTGGTCTGTTGGCTTCAGAAGTGCACTACACAGATGCAGTGTGGACGGAGAGACGGTCTTCATTTGTAAAAGAATACAGAATAACTTAGTTTCTGCCGCCGAAACGTGGGCTGAACGCACTGCGAAAGAGCCATGGTACACCACTGAACAACAAGAAATGAAAAGAGGCAAATTCATTTGGGGTAATGCCACTACCATGAGGATTCAATAATATATTTATTTGCATTTGGGGCATGTTCTTTTGGTCGCGGGTGCCACAATTTTCAAGTTGATACAAAAGCAATGCAGATTCTGGGGAAAAAAGAAAAGGAAATTTTTGCATGTGTAGTTTTGCCTGGCACATTATAAGTCGTCGTTTGGTTGATTATTTTGGTTTTGAGCCCGTAGAGGCGTTTAGTTGGCGTTATGTCTCTACGCATCGTGGAATTCTGTTGATAGCTTGATAGTTTTGAGTATTGTACCAATACCTTAGCCATTTGTTCGAAAATATTGCTCGAACTTGTTGCTCAGTTTTCGAGAAGTGGTAACTTGCTTCATTTTGTTGTCTGAAGCTTTTTCTTTTATCTGATTGACTGTTTCTGAATGGAAGGATTGAGATTCATTGCTCGAGATCCAGGCGCTACATTTTCTTTTGTGTTCTTTTCTATCTACAGCGTAAGTTGCAACAAACGTAAACGCCGTTCTGCGTTAGCCTATCTTGTAGAAAAGTACTCCAATGCTACATTGCTGGAAACCCATCTGCTTCTGGATCAAACACTGCTCTTCTAATCTAATCAACAGAGATTTCATGGTAGAGGTTAGATTTGATGCCTTTCCTGATGACTCCTCGAGTAAGGCTTTTAATGATCTGTTCATGTGATTTGTGCTCGCTAGTGGCGAGGATGTTCCGAATGAAAGATCTTGACTGCCTGCAAAGCTTTCCATCTCTTTTTATTATCCAAAAATCGCGTTCTTTGTCAAGTTCCACGTTCTTGTTTCTAAGTTTCTCCGAAATGGTTGCATTATGAAAGATTTATGCGCTTACAATTCTTACAAATGGGACACCGAAGTACTATTGGTAAGTACATCAATGTCAACAATGAACCATATCATTCGTAACCACAGTTTGACCATCGACGACACAGGCAACAACATCGCAAGCTCAAGATATTCTATCATCCAACTCGAGAAATACCGATTAATTTTTCGATGACAACAATGGCAAATATAATTGTCTGATGACGCAGGCGCATTGCCTGTATTATTGCCTCTCAAGGAGAAAGGTGGATGGTGTCATTAATGATGGATTCAGCAACATCAACGATTCCCTCATTAGTGAATCCATCATCCTTCATGTAAAAAAAGTGAAGCACCTTTACCATCTTCGAAAACAGTTGCTTGCAGCATTTCGGCATTCCCTGGTCCCTCTCCAGCAACACCAACCTCAACAGTTGCTTCCTCTCCCTCTCAATTGCTCTCTTCACCTCTTCCACCGCGTCGTCAAAACTGCGATCACCTTCACGCAGCAGCAGCGACATTGCATTTATCGTCCCTTCATCAGAGTCCCTCTGCAAAAAACCATTGTAAACCAAAGTCTGAAACCCTCCCCCAAACCCACAACACATGCTTTGAGTAATGCATAGAAATGTAGGGAGAGATATTAGTCACCTGAATTCCTCTCCAGTCATTGAGCAGGCGCCCACAAGTGCTCATCCCTTCGTACAGATTCTTATACTCTGGACTACTCACCATCTCCTCCGAGATTTTTGGCCCTACTAAGTAAAGAGCTGGAAGAACAATTGGCCCTAATGCTAATGATACGTGTGCGTACTTCATATATTCCACCATTGTTGGCACCAACTTGTACCTTGACCATTCTGCTTCTTTAAACATTGACTTCACCACGTCCACCCACTGTCACAAATAGTTAATATTACCAAAAGGTAAAAATGAAAATTAGACCCCTACCCATGACCAAGTCCAACTATACCCATATACTACCCTGTATTAAGGTAAAGGAGATGAAAGAGCTTTCCAACTCACAATGTCATTTACATGACGGCTGACGTCACGTGCTTGCCGTGCCAATGCCATGCCTCCAATCTCATGAATGCTGCCTCGAATCGCTGTGAAAAGGATCTCAACTTGCTCGGAACAGAAATCTGTGCTTCCATCCACTTCCCACCTGCGATTCATTTCAACAACATTAAGTTGGAACGGCAGATAGAGAAGAAGAACGATAAGCAGCATTAAGTATGAAAAACATAATGGAAGGTAACGTACTTCTCAAGCAACTGAATAAGGTTTACAAATTCTTCCATGGAACCTCTAACATCGAAAAAGTCATCCACAACTGTTATAAGCACACCGTTTTTGGCCCACGAGATGCGAGCATCAGATAGTTCAGGTGCATACAGAATTGTGGCAGCTGAAAAGTAGCAATAGCCCAGCTCCTGCCTCGCAAATGATAGCTTGTCCAACTTATAATCAATAATCCACCTGTATACAAGAAGCCATAGGCGACAAATTTAAGTTTCCTGCAGGATGTTAAAGTTGCACCTCTAGGAAAGAATAGCTAACCACCTCGTGACACGTCTCTAGAAGAACTTGGCAGGATACAGAAAGAGAGATTTAATAATAGGATAACAGAATCATACATTTGAGTATGTATCATTTTCTATGATAAACCTTTCAACAACCATGCAAAACAGCAAACAGAAGAAGGAAGGTACGCAAGAATCACACCTTCCTAGTTGCTTGAGTTCTTTCTGCTGTATCGACTGGCAGAGGCTGAAGTCTTCGGCTGCCAGTTCAAGAAAATCTTTGTTCCCAATGTTTGGACAACTAGTATCGCAACCAGAACCAAAGAGAGGCAAAGCACAGTGAGCAGAAGTAAAATTCTTCTAGTGGTACTGAAGATTGAGGAAAAAGGAACGAGGGGGGTACCAATAGGAGGTCTTCAAGGTCCAAATGTTATCTATATTACTATACTGCTGGATATTTCTCCTATGGCCTAAGCGATCCAAATCAACATTATAAGGATATGTGAGAGCATCATGCACCTGAAATGAGATGAAGGGTAGATTAGAAAGAGATCGATCCAAGCGCTGAAAATTGATTACTTGCCCTGCCTGCTGCTTTGGCTAACAGACACACTCCGTTGTTGTTGACGTTAGCTAATATTATTGAATGGAAATAAATAACTTAAGCAGGTTGCAGGTACTAACTTGATTCCTCTGCTTCACGAAAACAGGCTTAGAAGCTGATCCTGTAACCACCAATCCTGTTCTGCAGCAACTACTGACAAACAACCTAGTACCCCAGCCTGCAGCAAGTTTGAATAAAACTGTTGCTTGACCCAGAAGTAACTAATATAATGATTAACACTCTAACACTGCATTAGTTATTTATTGACAAGCAGAGACTCCTTTAAACTGAAAAAAAAAAAGTTTCAGATTAAAAGAAACTCTCACAGCAAACACACTCACACAACAACCTTGTTGTTCTTTAAATTTCAACAGCACCAGACTTCAGCACTAGCTCCACCAGAATACTCAATCAGTTTGCACGTTCCCAGCTTCTCAAATTCCTCCAACTGTACTGTCTTGGTTATAATATCAACTAGCGGATCATGTGTTCCTAAGACTCCATCTGAACCACTCCTTTCTTTGTTACATTCCCGATAAAATGAAATCCGACATCGATATGTTTGCTCCTCCCATGCAGAACAAGATTCTTAGCTAACAGTAACTTACTGGTTGAACTATTATCAGTTAGAATGCTAGTTCCATCCTCTATACTTTCCTGTCGGTTCATTTCCTCCAAAATCATTCTTAACCAGATAGAAAGTGCGCCACAACAGGCTGCGACAAGAAATTCAGCTTCTATGGTGGACAAACTGACTACTGGCTGCTGCTCTAAAGCTAAAGATATTAGTTCACAGTTTCACCTGCCAAAATGAACACATATTCGCTAGTGTTTTTCCTGTCATCAGTGCCACCAGAATAATCATTGTTTATGTATCCTGCTATGTTCTCTCTGCAATCCCTTCCCATACCAGATTTCATACTCAACAGTCCCTTTCAAGTATCTCAGTACCCACTTTGCAGCTTGAAGATGACTGCTAGTTGGTGTCTCCATTTATCTACTCAACTAGCATATTGAGAACATGATATCAGGTCTCGTTGCAGTAAGATACAACAGACTTTCTATCAGCTGCTTGTACTGTGTAGCATCAACAAGATACAACAGACTTTCTATCAACCGAGCTCCTGGTACAAAGATGTTCATGGCTGATTTACTTTTCATACGGGAGAACCTTTCAAGAATCTCCTTGGTGTATTTTTGCTGACAGATGAATACTCCTCAAACCCTTGAAGCATTTCAACACTTAAGAAGTGCCCCATTTTCCCCAAGTCAGTCATTTCAAATTCAGTCTATATAGACTGTTTAAACTCCAGAACCATCGGGTCACTACTCCTAGTATACATAAGATCAGGCTAGCTAGCACACATTGGCAGTTTGGCACCATGGAGTAATCGCCTTTTTTTATGAAATGCTATCAGAAGCAATCACTAAAGATGATGCGGGTGCATTGCATATATCATTACCCCTTAAGGAAAAAGGTGGATGGGTTCATTAACTATGGATTTGGCTACATTAACGATTTCCTCATTAGTGAATCCATCGCCCTTCATGTAAAAAAGGTGAAGAACCTTTGTCATGTTCCAAAATAATTGCTTGCAGCATTTTGGCATTCCCTGCTCCCTCTCCAACAACACCAACTTCAACAATTGCTTCCTCTCCCTCTCGATTGCTCCTTTCACCTCTTCCGCGGCATCGTCCAAGGTCCGGTTGCCTTCAAGCAACAACAGCGACACTGCATTCACCTTCCCTTGCTCAAACTCCCTCTGCAGAAACCACAGCAAACCCAGTCTGAGACCATCCCCCAAACCCACAATACTTGCCTCTGAGTTACAAATAGAGATGTAGAGAGAATTTTTTGTCACCTGACATCCTCTCCAGTCATTGAGCAGGCGCCCACAAGTGCTCATCCCTTCATACAGATTATTATACTCTGACTACTCACCATTTCCTCCGAGAGTTTTGGCCCTACTAAGTAAAGAGCCGGAAGAACAATTGGCCCTAATGCGAATGATACGCGTGCGTTCTTCATATATTCCTCCATTGTTGGCACCCACTTGTTCCTTGCCCATTCTGCTTCTTTCAACATTGACTTCACCAATTCCACCCACTGTTAAAATAGTAAAAATTAACAAAAGGTAAAAATAAAGATTAGATCCCGAACCATGTCAAAGTATACCCATATACTACCCTGTCCCTGGAAATTTTGTTCAGTCATAATGAACCGAAAGATTGTCTCACTAAGATTGATGTTCAAGTAAGCGATCACCCAACATAAGAGATGTATTTGACAATGGGGAATCCTAATGGGTCAGTGTAACTGAGAAAGTAAAGGAGGTGAAAGATCTTTTCAACAGACAATGTCATTTATATGACGGGTGACATCACGCCCTTGCCGTGCCAGTGCCATGCTTCCAATCTCATGAATGGAGCCTCGAATCGCTGTGAAAAGGATCTCAACTTGCTCAGAACAGAAATATGTGCTTACGTCCACTTCCCACCTGCGATTCATTTCAGCAAAGTTTAGCTGAAACTGCAGATAGAAGAGAAGAACGATAAGCAGCACTAAGAACAACATAATTGAAGGTAACGTACTTCTCAAGTAACTGAACAAGGTTTACTAATTCTTCCATGGAACCTCCAACATCGAAAAAGTCATCCACAACTGTTGTAAGCACGCCGTTTTTGGCCCACGAGATGCGAGCATCAGATAGTTCAGGTGCATAGAGAGTTGTGGCAGCTGAAAAGTAGCAATAGCCCAGCTTCTGCCTCGCAAATGATAGTTTGTCCAACTTATTCTCAATTATCCACCTGTTTACATGAAGCCAGAGTTCCTAAGAATAATAAATGACAAGCAACCTTTCAGTCATGGTTGACAAATTTAAGTTCCTTGAGGATGTTAAAGTTGAACCTCTAAGAAAGAATAGCTAACCACCTCCTAACACGTCTCTAGAAGAACTGGGCAGGATACAGAAAGAAAGATTTAAAAATAGGATAACACAATCATACATTTGAGTATGTATAATGTTCTATGATAAACCTCTAAAAAGCCATGCAAACTAGCAAACAACAGAAGAAGGAAAGTACCCAAGAATCCCACCTTCCTAGTTGCTTGAGTTCTTTCTTCTGTATCAATTGGCAGAGGTTGAAGTCTTCAGCTGCCAGTTTAATAAAATCTTTGTTCCCAATGTTTGGACAACTAGTATTTGCAACCAGAACAAAAAAGGAGGCAAAGAACAGTGAGCAGAAGTAAAATTCTGCTAGTGGTACTTCAGATTGAGGAAAAAGGAACGAGGAGTACCAATAGGAGGTCTTCAAGGTCCAAGTGTTATCTATATTACTATACTGGTGAATACTTCTCTTATGGCCTAAGCGATCCAAATCAACATGGTAAGGATATGTGAGAGCATCATGCACCTGAAATGAGATGAAAGGTAACATATATAGAGTTTGATCCAAGCACTGAAAATTGATTCCTTCTACCGTGCTTTCTGGGTTTGCTCCAGAAACAGAAGACAAAAAAGACAAAAAGGAGCAATACTCTGAAGGGGACTTTTATCCTTAAATTTTAATCATATTCCATGGAAGAACTTTTTTTCCAGAAATAACAGATGCTATTGAACTCTAATCTTCCATCAAGCACTGCCCCAAAGTACAACATACCTTGATACTTTCACTAGGCTGGTCCACATAAATTGAACCATTGCAAAATTCCTGTTTCAGGAAGTCCATGGTCCAAGAACTTAGTTCATCCAGGATAGGTTCTTCTGGATAAATTATTTGTGAAGCTTTGTGTAACTCCAGTACAGCTGTCTTATCGTTCAAGTATCCTTCCAGTGAATTGAAGAAACAATCTTCTGAGAATGGAGATAGCTGATCTGCAGATAATATTATGACAGCTAGTTAGACAGTTAAAAATTCAACATCGTTTCATGCATCTGAACAACATACCTGAAGAGACATCATATCCATAAACACGCAACAATCTAAAAGCCATGGCACAAGTGGTTGTATCCAGAAAAATCTCTTCATCCCCCTGCAACCAGCATCTGTTTAAATGATAGGTGTATCATGATTTCATTAAATAATTCACACATAACAACACTAAAGCTAAGCTAAATCCAACGAGATTGTGCTTAAAGGAATCTCGACTATGTCGAGTCCCATTCAAGAAGTAAATAATTGCTTACCTGTATATCTGGTCCAGCAACATCTTCATTTCATTGGTGAAGTGCCGAGCAACTCCCAGACTATCAAGAGTGTCGATGATCAGAAGGCGGCTGCGTATGTCCAGTGGATATATTGTTGGAGCTAATAAGGACATACGTAATAGTGGCCTTCAGTAGATGTTGGAAAACAAGATGGGGCAATGATTTTAGAGTACTTTAGTTAAGGACAGACCAACATTCTCGAATTTGTCTAAGAGGACACAAAGATAGCGAAGGCAATCAGGATCTCGAAGATGAGAAAAAGCAACCGCAGTAGTTGAAGGTGAATTGAACAGGGATCCGTTTTTCCTCTTATATTTCATGACCATGTCCCAGTCTTGTAAGTGTTGGATACCTTCTGAAACATATGCCATGTAGGCTCTTCTTCCCTCTGTGTTTCTACTGAACACACTAATGTAAAAAGAGAGAATGAAATGAGAGAATGACGGGAAACAATGCACGCATAATCAGCATAAGAAATTAGGTGTGGGTCGTGTGGGAGTATACCTTGTAAGCTCCACATTTCTCTTAGTTAGCATAGCATCTACATCAGTTGACTTGAAAGGGAGGTTCAAACCCAAATCTTTTGCATAGTCAATCATGCCAGGGAATATTATGTCAAACCCGATAGGCACATGCTGCTTCTGATCCGTTAGGGAAGCAGAATTGCAGTCTAGAAACTGGAGGCCTACAACAACAGCACAGCAACGAGTGTGCATAAACTTCACTAACGACATGAGTTGTGTAATCTTCAAATATAGGCTATAATGTTGCTATATGAGACCCTAACTACCTACCTAGTCAACTATTACAACTACAAGTGATTGATTATTATGCTTATGCTATAAACTTAGCATACTTTATTATAGTCCCAACTGGTGAACGCCATCCAATTGCAGTATTTTTTTTTTTTTTTTACAAACAGTATTTTCGTTTTCACTGACATCATAGTATGAGATTTTATATACAATCTTCACGAAAATTTTGAAAAAACTCAAATTATTACAGTTTTTTTAACGTAAAGTCTCGATTTTGATGAACTCATTGAGGATTGTAAGTTGTATATTACCTTTAGTGACTTGCTGTTCACCAAGGCCCCAACGTTGGAGAGCTACAATACAAGCCAAGGTAGAGGAGAGAGCATCCTTGGTTAAGAATGGATGACGACGAGGGAGAGGGAGACCCCAAGAGCCATCACTGAGTTGGTTGTCAAGTATCCATCTAGCACACTGAGGGAAGAAAGGAGAGTCTTCAATGGATGAAGTAGGAGTTGGAACCATGGCCATCCAGGCAGTGTCATATGCAGACACTGAGAGATGAGCCTCATTAAACATCTTCTTTATCCGTTGTATTCTCATCGAGCCGTCACAGCTCTGCAACTGGAAGACAGATGAAGATTGATTTTGCAAATGCTATGCCTATGAGCACACAAGAAGGAAGAAATAATAACGAGATTAAGAACATAAAATAAGGAAGAAACCAAGTTGGTGTTGCTGAACTCTGTGGCAAGCAGTGGTGATCCAGATTCTCTACATTTCGCTGTAGGGAGAAGTTGGAACTTGAGTTAACTTGGCTAATTTGTTCCAAACAAATGAAGAGGAAGAAACAAAGAGAAGAGAAGGAAGCTGAACCTGGAATAGCAGCAGGAACAAGAGGAAACACAGGGGTAGAAGACATGGGAGGTTGACTGCCTGCCAAGCAAACGAACATAACTTCTTTTTTTTACAGGGAAGCAGAGTGTTTCCTTACTATTGCTTCACTATGCATCTATGCACCATGCTCCCTGTAACAAAAAGGGTTTCAGTTATATAAGCAAAGAGAGACTCTTGGGTGGTCAAAACACAAATTGCAACAACCCTACTGCCAATCAGAATTCTGGGATGAATAATAGACACACAGGAAGAAATGGAAGGAAAGAGAGAAAAGGGTAGTACCCTTTTTACTGCGATGCGGAATTGCTGAAGGATGAGATCAGAGAGGGTGTTGGCGCAACTACAGCCTTCACCTTCCTCCATTTCTCTCATTCTCCATACCCTTAAAAGCTTCGCCTCCACGGAATCAAGCTGAGGGATGATGCCCTTCCTCATGTTTTACCTAGACGACAAACTCCATTGTTTTTTCAAATCGCATTCCCCCAGACAGACTCCTTTGTTGTTGGTTTCCGCTGCTGCGATTTCGGTCGAGTCCCGCTGGTTGGGTGGCCGGTTCCCCTCTCTAAAACAAAATTGGGAATAAAGACGCATTTAGTCCACTCCCGATCCTCGGCCAAGCTACACGTCACTGAAGACCAAACTCACTCTGCCGTTTTGCTTGCTGACGATGAAACCCAAAACTGAAAGTAACCCCATTTCAATATCGGGTTTCCACAGCCGTCTTCGGGGAGCCATATGTACCTGAACTTTGAATCATCGGATAGGATCATAGGACGATTTTTTTAGGAAAAGGAAGCATCTTTCTGGATCCAATATTTAATTAGTTCGGATTAACTAAAAAAAGGATTAGTTTTTCGATTAACTTTCAGTTATTGAAATATAAACAGCAAAAGAACAAGAATATTCACTAGGGAATCACAGTCGTTGCCCGATTCGATGAGAGAACATTCCCCGGAACGGAACTTTCTTCCCTTCCCGGGATGTGTTGTTTTTGGGTTGCGGTCTTGCAGACACTGATTTGGGTTCTTCTAGTGATGGCAATGGGTTCTTTAATACTCATATCTTCCATCCCACGTTACTATGGGGCGGGACGGGGCAGGTAATATCCGTGTGGGTACAGGACGGGGCGAGTCGACTCACTCTTACATGTTATTTGAAAAAAATACAAGCAAAATTTACTTTTTACGATAAAACGAAGGGGAAAAGACTTCATGATTGAATAATGGTGATAATATAATGGGTAATTGAATCTATTTAGTTGAAAAATCAAGGCTAACTAGTGGAAGAAATTGACCTACAACAGGCCAAGAATGGGGCGGGGCGGAGCAAGGCGGGTAGGAAGTTGATACCTGTGTCCCGCCCCGCGCTACAGCGGGTCGGGTAATACATGTCCCATCGCAGGTCCGGTCGGGTAATACCCGACGGGGTGGGTTCAAATTGTCATCCCTAGTTTCTTTTGCTTTCCCCTATTGGGTGGGTCTTATTTGATTGGATTACCCCTTTCAGTTTCACTTAATAGTTAATTCATTATTCAATCACGGTTAATTTATATCGTTTCTACGTATGGTGAATGATACTACTTAACAATACTATTTATATGTTTTTTTCATAGATATACTGGTTTTTTATCATTAGCTCACTCGTATCACAAAGAATCAAAGTCAATGTCCTAAATCGAAATGTAAAATCAAACCCCAACAAGCTGGGGTCAAATATACGGTTGGAACTGAAATAAATACAAAATAATAGTGTTTTCAAACAATTGGCAAAAACAAAAAAGAAATAAAGACGGAGAGGCATGAGTCGATTGATAAGAGGGTTTTTTTTTATCGTGGAAAGCTCTTTGATACTTGTGCAGCCTCATGAAGTTTATGAATTTTGAATAAATATAGACCGAATTGATTTTTGGACGAAATTGATATTTGGACCGAAACAATATGCACAAAATGAACTGATTGCCCGAATCTTGGTCCTCATATTTTTAGAACTACTGGATCACGGATCCCATTGTTTGCTTTTGTGCGTATTAGACTGGACCGTTGCACACTCCTAATCATGGGACCATATTGTTCTCCACCTCCCTTCTTCACTGCACAAATGCTTTTGTCATTGTAAATGAGCATTGTTGTCAGGGAAACAGTATGGAAGAGAACGATTGAAGGCGTGATTAGATCACTCTCCTTAGAGTGTTTATTTGCCCCCACTACTTCGTTGTTGGTAGGATTTAGGCAAACCACCCCCAGGAGTCCCTCCAATCAAAGTCAGAAAGCAGCACCTTGACTTATGTGTTTGTGTTTTTGGAGAAGGAAAAACGAGGAGAAGAAGATGAACGTTGGAACAGAAATTCGGCTGCAGAAGACTTTTATAGTGAAAACGGCAGTTCCCTTCCGAAGGGTTACGTCGTTTCAAAAAATTCAAAATCAAATAATTATCCGGATTAATTAATTAAAATAATTATGGTAATTAATTAGCCAAAAATTCAAATCCAAACGCGTCGCGCAAACGTGCAGAGTGCTAAGTGCGTATTGCGATTTAATATGTCAAATTAAATAGCCCACACTTTTTCCAAAAGCCCACTAACCACTTTATCCAATAACTAAAGTGGAAAGCAAACTTAAAAACAACTTGCACTTTCCTTCTCTCACCAATATGGTATTTCCTTTACTCTTTGACTACTCTAACAATTGTATCTATATTCTATCGATAATAAAAGGGTGACCAAAGAGTGGTTTTATGCGAAGTTGTGTGGGTTTGGAACCAACCACTACGTGGTGGATGCACGAGAAAGTAACTCACACGGTCACACCCACCCAAGCACATATTGTGAATGAGTTGGATGATTTTCAATGATAGATTGATAGGTGGTTAAGCAAGTTTGGTGGATTTACAATATGAATTCTAAATGATTACATAATTCAAATTGTCTTAAACTCAAAATGAAGAAATCTTCAAACTAAATAATGTTTAATCGATAATTCAGATGCATCACTAAATATACAATAATACTAATAATAATTATTCATAATCAAATAAAAAAATCAACTCATAAACATGGTCTAAGCCGATAATAACAAACAAAAAAAAGATAGAAGCTTCAACACAAATGCAGTTAATTGTCCACGTCTTTAAGCTACAAACACTCACTGAACACTTATGAAGTCAAACAATAGAATAGCCAAACTAGAATACAAACAAGTAGAAGTTAACAAGCAATAGTAGAAGACAGTGAACATCAAGGTTGTCAAACCGGTTTGTGCCGGTGTGCCCATTTAGCAAGTGGAATGGTTCGACCGGTGGTACATACCGGTTTGTGCCGGTTCATGCCGGTTAATATTACAAATAATTTACAAATACTCATATTTTAAGCACGGCATTTAACGTCAATAACTAAATATTTGTACTTGAATCCAACAAATAACATCAACATTTAACTTTTTAACACATAAAATAAATAATAAATTACTTTTTATCAAATAAATTCACTAATATAAGATCATTTTACTTAGAGATTCGTATATCGATCATGCCGGTCATACCGGTGGTGTCATACCGGTTTTATGACCGGTACAGGTTGAACCAGGTTCAACCAGTGGCACGCCGGCCGGCGTGACAACCATGGTGAACATAGGATATAGATATTCCGCTATAAATATGAATTAAATTTTGCAATTATCATCAATAATCATAGTTTGAGAATATATTAATTCAAAGTTGGCTAGGAAGTAGTAATTTTTAAAATTTCTTATTGAAATTGGGAGAATTTTCGATGATTTTTAGGATTTCATTTTAGCTAAAACTATATGTTAGAGACTTATTGGTTTGATGCAGTGTTATTAAAGCCGAGCCGAGCTGCTCGGTCCGACCGGTAAAATCGCCACCCGGTCATAAAATCGGCTCGAAACAGTCTAAAAGCCGCTCCGGTTTTATGTAGCGGTTGGCGAGCGGCCGAGGCGGTTAACCGTTCGAGCCGATTGAGCCGCTGGTCCGGTTTTTACCATTCAACCACTAAATTTAATAAAAAAAATTGCAGAAAATTGAAAATTGAAATAAACAAAAAACGTAGGGCTCTCAAACTGAATCTTTATTTCCATTTCACAATTTCGAAGGAAAGAGATGAGCTCTGATTAATAAATGTCCATTATTTATACTGATAACGTTTATTAGGTACCGGTTCTCTAACGGTTTTTAAACGGTCTAATGTCGGTTGGACCACTAAAGTGCGAGCCATTCGCATTACCTGGTCATGCTCCGGTTCGGTTATGACAACATTGGTTTGATGTTAACAAATTAGGTGGATAGAGGCAGAAAATCTCTCTTCCCACTTTTTCATTAGGCCGAGTACATGAGCCCAACTGAAAGGCAGATAAGATCCAAATTAAAAAAGGCCACGGCCCAATCATTGTCATAATAAACCATACTCGCCTTGGCGCCTCCGGCCCAATATCTTCTCACCGACTGCTACGATTGGCCGTTTTGCCTTCTGCGTTTGTCAGTTATAATCGTTTCTCTCTCCCGGCTTTTCTCCGGCCATGGTTCCCAATTCCCCTGTTTCTGACATTTATTACGATCCCTTGACTGCTTCTCCTCCTCGTAATAATTCCGCTAGAATTCTTCACGAAACCCCGCCGATACCTTGCCTCCTCACCCAGCAATCCCATCCCCTTGAACTCCGTTTGATGGGTCGGGATAAAATCGAAGAAAAATTCGACCCAGTTTGGGAACTCTTGTTGAATCGCTACCAGGTGGCGGCATCCTCGGAAAGCCAGGGCACGCAATTGAAAGCTTTGATCGAGTTGACCCGTTACTCTGATCATGCGCCGGAGCATATCCTGGCTCGGGCGATACCAACTTTGGCCGGACTTCTTCTCAGTAACAATGGCTCGACCGATTCAGTGAAGGAAGCCGCCGTGTATTGCTTAAAGCGCATCGCTTTTCGAGGTGAGGGTTTCTTGGCTAGAGAGATTGGTAATTCTGGCGCTATCCCTTGTCTGTTGAGGTTGTTGCCTCTTTCCAATGATGGGTTTCAAAGGGTTCTGATTAAGTGCGTTTGGTGCCTCGTTAATTCCGCGGACGAAAATCGTGTTACTGTGGCTAGAAATGGTGGGTTGGAGATCATTTTGGGTATGCTGAATTCTTGTGTAGAAGATAGTGGAAACGAGAAGTGGGTCTATCTGCTAGAGATTTTTAGTGCGTTGGTATTGTTGAAAGAAGTCAGAAAGAGGCTTTCCGAGTTGAATGGGATTAGGTTCCTCATTGAATCGGCTAAATGTGGTAGGATGAAATCCAGGGAGAGAGCTTGTCAGGCCATTGGATTGCTTGGTCGTTCGAGGCGTGCTCGGTGTATGCTTGTCGATCTAGGAGCAATTCCTGTAGTCATTGAGCTGTTTAGGAATGGGAATGGTAAAACGAAAGTTACTGCTGGCAATTCACTTGGCATCATATCATCACACATTAATTTCATTAGGAAGGCAGCTGAGGCTGGGGCTATACCACTGTATGCTGAGCTGATTCAGGGACCTGACCCTATTGGTAAAGAGATTGCAGAGGATGCATTATGCATATTAGCCATTGCCGAGGAGAATGCGGTCGCCATTGCTGATCAGTTGGTCAGGATCTTGAGAGAAGGTGACGATGAATCGAAGGTTGCTGCCTCTTATGTCTTCTGCAATCTCGGCACTTATGAACCCTCTGCTTCGATTGTTAGAAACTCTGGTGCAATTTCTATTCTGGTTGACCTTTTAAGACATGGAAATCTGGATGTTAAAGGGAGTGCCTCCGGGGTGATTTGTCAGCTTAGTTATGATCGGGCCAATCGAGAAGCACTGCTCGAAGCTGGTGCGGTTCCGATTCTCATTGGGTTGCTGGGAGATCATTCGGAGGACGTGAACCTGAGAGATAATGTTGCAGAGGCACTTGTAAACTTTTCTCAAGATATGGAGCAAGGTGACTTGGTAGCTGAGGTGGTTAATGGTCCTTCATTCGAGAACGTACATACTAGGGTTGGAAGACTCCGGTCCTCTGATGAGCAAACGGTTAGCTCTTTGAGACATCTTAGCGTTGAGCAGCTCAGTTATAACCCTGAACTTGTGTAGTTGGATACTTTAGAGCTTGTTGTATCTTTCCCCCCCTTGTGGATTGTGCAATGTTGTATTTTTAGTACAGAAGTAATATGTTCACAGTGATAGAGAACTGTTGAAAATAGACTCTTCATAGTGATGATGTGTTTCAAGTTTCACAGAGTTAGTGAATATCTGGCAGGTAGTATAAAAGAAATAGTCAAGAATATTATGTTGCCAATTCAAGTTGAGCAAGATTCAAACGTTGGAGGCCATTAGTCAAGCTCAAATACCTTGTGTGCAGATTTCCCTTTTTGTAACAGAATTGTCTTGTAGTTTTTGGTTGCACCTTCTCAATCTTGTTCCATGAATTGACTGATAAATGTTGACAGATAGAAAGAAGGGTTTATAGTCACCTCGAAACTTTCACAGGCAGAATATAATCAGCTGCAGAGAATCATTGCTGCCATTGCCATCCCTTCGAGATGGATGAGGTTGTCCTGAAACTGGGAATACTATCAGGGTATTATTCAACTGCTCCCACCCAAAAAGAAAGCCTGGTGCTTGGAGACGGAGGGAAATTATGGAGAAACATTTGAACTCATGGATACAGAACTGCACTAGAAGCCATGGAAGAAGGGAACAGAACTTCTCAGTGACAAATGCTGTGAGAAAGATGGGTCCTTTGCTTATTTTGCTGTCTAGTTTGAACAGAAAACTTGCCAATCGTACTGTTGCATTGATACATAGACAACATGAACAAACAACATAAGGCCATATATCTTCAACTAATCCTGAAGCTGTTGTTGTTGGTAGTGTGGTGAGTGTCCAGTCATAATTAGGAGAATGTTGTGGAGTAGCGATCAGAAAATTAAGAAGTTTCCTTTTAAGTTTTGCGAAGGAAGGGACTAAAAGAAAGCAAGGGAAAGTCTGTGATTTGGTGTCAACTGGTGTTGGTTCCTGTTCCCCTGAAGTTGCCAATACAACAAAAGCAGCATTCCAAATGGCCAATAGTTCACAAAGTTGATGAGAAACGATGATAAAGGGAGGAAAAGACAACTCAGAAAGAAAATGGCAAGGCTTGGGAGGAAATTACAATGCCATATCAGAACTGCATACTTAGTTTCATATAAGTGGTCTTGTCAATTGTTAATGGGAAGTAATGATTTAGAATAAGAGGATCCATTAGATAGAGAAGAAGATAAAATCATTCATAAATTTATCTAGATGTAATGTCATTTTACCTAATGGGTCATTTGGACTCTCAATGTGAGAATGTGATGTGGGGATTTGGGTAGAATTTTCATAGTGTGGAAATTTACATAAAATGTTATATGGAAATGTTAGAGAGAGTTGGTATTCGGACTATTTTGTTGAGATTGTTATACTGTTTTTTAGTTTTATCTTTGAATAGTAATTTTTGCATTAAAAGAAGAGGGGTAAGTGACATTTCCTTTAAATTTTGACTATCTTTTTAATGGTAAAAAACACAAACACAAATACCAAAATTTGTATTCTATATTTAACGAGCCGACCTTTACCATGGTTCGGCTCGGCTCGTTAGAATAATTTCAAGCTCGAGCTCGGCTCAAATTCAACACGAGATTTAATAGGTAAGCTCGAGCTCAGCTCGTTTACAAAAATAGAAGCTCGAGCTCAACTCGCCAAATGATCTTAATGAGCAAAAAATTGAGTTTAGGTGATAAAAGGTCGATTGTAGCTCAAACTCGAGTTCGAACTCGGTTCACAAGACACCAACAACAAACACTTAAAGGCTTTCGAGCTTGTTCGTGAGCCTATCAAACTAAACATGTCAAGGCTCGAGCTCAGCTCGTTTACAGACAGGCTTGTTCGCGAACCGACTCGATTAAAAACGAGTCGAGTGTCGAACGATTTATTCTCGAATCAGAAGCCGAATTATTCATGAGCGGTTTGGTTTATTAACACCGCTAATTACAATGCATCAATTAACCCCTCAAACTAAAATTTGTTGTTCCATCCCACCCAAAATCAAAAGTGCATTGGCATTGAGGTGGGATCAATACATGTAGCTATAGGTTCATCTACCAAGGGATAAACAAGCAAACTTCCAAACAAGAAAAAAACAGAGAGAAAGTAAGTTCCATTATCATACCCAACACCAAAAGTCCAAAACAGAGTACACCATCATCATTCTCTCTCTCTCTCTCTCTCTCACTCTCTCTCTCTCTCTCTCTCTCTCTCTCTCTCTCACTACAAATAAAAGAATATTGAAACCAAAAGGAACATGTGGAAGAAGGGCAATTGAGGGGCCAAAAGGGCATAGCAAATTGTGGAAGAAGAATGAACTAGTAGTAGTGATTCACATTGGGGATCACAAAACCTTCTAGGGATCAATAAACGAGAAGATTTAAAGAGGGAAAGGAATGTCTGTGTTCGTGTCCCCATTTGCTATTCCAACTACACTGGTATAGGCTCCATATAGCAGCCATGCAGGTGGAGACATTCCCCTAGCTACAAGATAAAGCTAAAGGCGGGAAGTAGCTTTTGTTCCATCTTTTCCCTCTTTAAGCACGCGCCCTCCTTCCCACCCACTAAAATGAACTTTCAGAAGAAAAAAAAAAAAGGTCTAAAAGGACAGGGGAACTGGGGGAGAGATTTTTGGGGTCACTTTGTTCACAGCTAGCTTCCACAGAGCAAAATGACAGAACCCTTTTGTTCAAGCTGCTGTTACTGTGGGATGGTTCCATGCCACTTTGATCCAAACTGCTCGACGCCAAAAAAAAACAGAGGAAAACAGAGTAGAGAGGAAGAGGCAGAGCCTACAGTGGTTATCTTTGTTGTGGCACGCTCTTCCTTTTTCTGCAATGTCTTCCGCTTCCCCATGGATTGCGGAGGGAAATTTGAAATAAAGATGTGGTAGTAGTACCATTGCATAAATCTCAGAGTGTACTAAGAAACAATCTCCAATTCTTTCTCGGTTCATCCACGTTGAAAGAAAAAGTGCGTATGACAGAGTAATGACTAACGAGTTACATATGATGTTCCATTCAAGGAACATTAATTGTAGTTAACAAATATGAATTATATCGAGATTGACTGGATTGAGAATTTGCGTAAAAATTGAGAAATTATGATGTGAAATTCATACTAGGCGTCTCCCAATACTTCAAATTATATGGACCAGTTTGTTCTTGCATGGTATAAACGCATTTTGACTGCTAAATTCTTGTGTTTGAATGATTTTCACAACCACTAATATTATCAATTGATTAACCACATGGTATGATGAGATTGTGCAAACTTCAAATATTTGAGAAGAAATAAAAGAATGATATAAAATCCATAATTGAAACCATCTAGTTATTGATATTTAATACCCAAAAAGAATTTCTACACTTCGCGAGTGGTAAAATTTTCTATTTTGCATTGAATTTTAGGAATATGATAATCTACTTCATGTTCAAACATGTCACTGAAAGACTCTACTGAGAGAAAGATGGGTTGTCAGGAACGTAAAGGAGGTAAGATGGGCAGTTGGTCAGATCTAGTATAGATCGTACATTGACGATAGTTGGAGTAAGCATCTCTCCTAGGGTTCCCTCATCTAGGATCCATGGGGAAGAGGATCAACTTGCCCCGTGCGAACAACTTGATGCACTATCTCCCTTCAACCCTTTAGCGAAATGCGGCAAAAGGAAGGAACATTTATAGACCGACCCTATCGTCTCCACTGGGTGAACAAACACACCCGCAAACCGACCCACCCTTCCAACCCGACCCAGCCTACCCGTATTTATCGCTAAAACGAAGATTTTGGGTTGGGTGAGGGTTTTCTTTTGTACAACCCGCCTCTTTTGGGTTGAGTTTGGATTTTGGATTACAAAACCCGTAGAACCCGATCCAACCCGTGTTCCAACTATTGGTATGAGTTCGTAGCCAAAAAATATTTATTGTGCATATAGTGATACTTATGAGAAAATTAAGATATTTCGCCATGTTTTTCTCTCATGGTCTCCCTAATCTAATGCATTTTTCGGCTTAAAGTTTAGACATAAGTTTAATATAGCTATGATTCATGTAATCTTTTTTCTTGTGTACAATTTTAATAGAATAACATATTATGGACGTTAGTTTATAATTTTTTAAGCCCATTTCAACAAATGTTGTGAAAAAAACTAGAAATATGTTGAAGTAATCATATTTTAATAAAATTCAAACAACATTTGTGAATTTTGATTATTCATTTGAAATTTTAATTAGTTATAAAACATTTTTTAGTGTAGAATAATTACATATTTTGTGTTGACTTGAGTTTTTACTTAAAAATATCGCCAACCCGACCCAACCCAATTAGAAACAAACCGTAGGGTTAAAATATTTTTGATTGGTTTGGGTTTAATATTTCATAAACCGTAGTGCATTGGTCGGGTGATTAAAATGACTAAACCCGGACCACCGGACCCATGTACACCCCTATCCACTAATATCATTTCATATCTTTTTAGATATGAAAATGAATTGTATTTAATAAATAACTGTATTTCTTTTGAAAAGAGATAGTGAGATGTAGAGAGAAAAAAAAGTAATAGGGAAGTGATAAAATAATAATAATAATAATAATAATAATAAATTAAAAAGATATGAAAATGAATTGTATTTAATAAATAACTGTATTTCTTTTGAAAAGAGATAGTGAGATGTAGAGAGAAAAAAAAGTAATAGGGAAGTGATAAAATAATAATAATAATAATAATAATAATAAATTTTGATTTTACTCATTCCATATCTATAAATTTATATTTTTTATAAGATTCCATTTCTCATGGAAATTCATTTCAAACTTTTCTTTTAGATTGTTAAAATATGACTTACTTTCGTCGCCTGAGAGATTCGAACTCTCGCGGGGAAACCCCATGTACTTAGCAGGCACACGCCTTAACCACTCGGCCAAAGCGACTATGATGTTTCTACCTTTTTTCATTCCATACATAAGAAATACAATTGAAAATTTAATTTCCTGAGCTCTTAGCATATCTCAACAAGTTGTAAAAGAAGACAACAACAAACTCGACAAATCTGCGTACACAAAGAATATATATAAACTGGGAATGTGGTGGAAAAACTACTAAACGAAGATGGTTAACTAATGACGATATAATAATCACAAATACTAAGTTATCCGTTTATCTTACAATGTCGAAAGAGCACCCTCAAGTAAACCTCAACATAAGGCCAATTTCGAACCATAAACGATTAAAAACACGTTAACCATTTTAGCGACGGCCTTGTCACCATAAAACTTATTAGTTATTACACGTGAACAAAATTGCAGATGAATGGAGTCTGCAAATGGCGAGATGTAGGTAATGACTGACAACTAACTGGCTATATAGTTCTAATGGAAGGTACATATGATCATATGCTCTCCACATTATTAACCAATTGGCTACGACAACAACAATAACAATAACAATAATAATCATAATCAGAATACTAATAATAATAACAATAATCCTTTCATGGGTAGAATCGCCAACATATCTTTATCGATTATAGCTAAATGCACTTAGAATATTTTAATGATACAAAAGGACAGAGAAAGAGGAAGAGAGCATTCAGCAAGTTCTAAAGTTATTCCCTGTTGGAGGCTTTGTCCTGTCTTCCACATCCCCATTCCATCAATATTCCACTAATCAAAAGGTTTTTCCTTTTTTAATCTTTCAGTTTGTTTGGCCAAGGATTCAATTTTCATTAGATAATATGAAAAAGAGTTACAATTGAGTTAATCCCAAGTCTCCCAATTCTGTAAGAAAGAAGTGTTGACACGTCGTTGTTGATAACACGTCGTTGTTGATAACATGCATCAGAATTGCATAATTTGACCAGTTCATCGAGTACAAATAGGATTCTCGAGCCATACAGGCCAGCACCAGAAGTACTTTTAGTTTCCACAATTATATATTATGTGCACTAAAATCGGTTACTTTAGCATAAGCAAGTGACTAGAAGGTGAAGAATTGAGACATTACAGATGACTCAAGGGGTTATTATGAGTCTTTCATCACCTCAACAAAGCCGAAACCTAGGGTATAGAACTCTCTGGGAGCCGAGGGTTAAAGATGATAGGAAGGAAGACCCAACTGACTAAACCTCCCCTCTCTATCGATCGAGCATATTCTAAACTTCCAGTCCCTATTGGTCGAGCATCAATGGGACTCCTCTACCTGATACCCGATTGGACGTGGCTCAAAAACTAGCACAAGGGATGAGCCCCCCAACCCAGAAAAGAAATGGTAACCCCGGAGGATCTCCATATGCTGGTCGACCAATTGCAAAATTCGAACTCCAAGTTATATCTTCAAGCACTCAAAATAATACCGAAAATAGCCAGAGCCCAGAAAGCCTCCCACTAATCCACTATTAATAGTTGCAAAAGAGAGAGTTTTGCAAATCTAAAATGATAACAGTAAATATTTTACTTCTTGCTGAAAAAAAAATTGTAAATGAACTACAAGAAGGAGGAAAGAACTGAAAACCCAAGAAACGAGGGGAGGAACCTCTATCTTGTGGACACAAAAGGCGACAGTAGAATTCGCCCAACACACCCTTTTGATTCCCACTCCTAATGCCCTTCCAACTGCTACATTCCATTATTCCTTTCCTTGGACTGCTTCTTATTTTTATTTTTTACCTTGTAATTCAAGCAAGGAAAGGAAGAAAGGAAGTCCATCTGCCACTTTCCCGCATCCACCAAACTTTGCTGGCTTCCCTCTTCCTTTCTTTCTTTGAGGTTAGCCACATCCATCCATGGCTTTTCCTCTTTGGACTTAGTGACTCGGCTGCCGAATCTGCTTTTCCCCTCCACCTCTCTCATACGTCATTCAGAATCCAACACCACCACTGATCAAACCCAATTATCACACCCTGTCATGCCCTATATATAGTAACAAACATGGCTATTTCAGTATTTCACAAGCCAAGCATTGCAAACATAACTTGCCTACTTTCCTTCCAACCTTTGTTTCTGCCATCAATCAATCAATTCTTGCACCAAACCCATATCACAGTTCATTCAATGGACAGGCAGCAGAGCTATGAACCCACTGCAACAATCATGCACTCTTCTTCCATTGCCTTGCTCCAGGAAAGGTTCCGGCAGCTAGAGCGAGCCAGGGAGATGAGGCAACAACGTGAGCTCTTCCGGTTCTTCGCTGAAGCAGAGCAGCAGGTGAAACCAGTAGCCACCGCCATGGTTGTTTACGAGCCACCGAACAACTTTTCTCAGCCTGAACTTCTCTTTCCATCTAAGCAGCAGCTATTGATTTCATCTCAGAAACAAATGAAGGGACAATGTCACTTTGATCTTCAAGTCAGAGAGAACCCAGATTTGGCAAATCTGCGCTCTGCAAATCTCCTGATGATGCAAACTCAATACAACTACTTTGATGAATCAGAAGTTGATACCTCTCTTCATCTCTGAAACTTTTTTTTTAAAAATTTTTACAAGTAGAGTTCCTCAGCATTTGTCTTTGTTTCCTGCTGCTGGTGTTTCTAAAGTGTGTTTTTCTTTAGTGGCCTCTTTCACTGGGAACTGTAAAAACCAGCGCACAAAAAAGAAACCTCAACCCCAAGAAATATAAGAAACATGGAGGGTGCAGAAAGAGAGAGGATAGTTATCTAATTTCTAATGTCTACTGGGATTCTCAGCATGATCATCTTCTTCTTCTTCACGTTCAGCCATTACATTGGAATCAGAAAGAGCATGCACAGGTCTCACTTGTAACGAATCCTCCTCGTAATCAGACTCTTCTCCGCTGCTGCTCCACTTCCTCTTCCTGAACTTTGGAATCATGCGACCTACTTCTTTGGCCTCCACAGCCTCCTCGCTATTGTGTATCCTTTCAAACCGAACTGCACCGACTTTTCGCGCATTTCCAGCTAATATCTAAATGAAAGGAACACATACAACAACGTATAACTGCATTGGTCTATAACTGAGCTCACCATAAAATATAGCCTCTCCTGCCCTTCTCTCTATATACTTCCTATGCAGGAAATGCAACATATAATATTGGACACGACTTTACAAATGAGTCCTTTTTCTTGAAGAAACAAGATCAGTTTTGCATGCCATTACGACAGAGATGAAACAATAAATGCAAAGTGTCCATTTCTCCCCAAGAAAAGAGGCTTAGGATTACAGTGGACGAGTTCATTATTGAATGCTAAAGTAGCTATGCAGGTTGAAAATATGAGTGGTTAAGGTAATAAATCATTCATTGTAATACTTGAGTGCTCTCTGTATGCTATACAAAATTATGGGATCATATGGGCATTTCCTGAGATCGTTCATCTTCGCAATTTGTAAGATTTTAGCAAAAAACTTTAATACAGATTGATCTTAAGCATGTTTGACAACCATGCACAAACCAACAGTTACAATGGCGTCAAGAATCTTTAACTTGATTGATGAAAGACTGACCAAACTATTGCCTTTTATGCTGTCAACCAAAACTAAGATGCAAAACTATTTTCCAGAAAATTATTCAACCATCAAAATTTCTCATCTTTAGTTTGTTCCATACCACACCCTAAGCAAGGCTTTCATTCAAGACAACAGAGGTTCAAAAGACAAAGCTTCCTTAGTCATACCTCAAGCTTGTATATTAGATGCTTCTCATTCAGTTCTCTTTCAGACTTGCCCTCCGTATCCTCATCTTCTTCATTCGACTTGTCAAGAACCACTTTGATGCTCTCACCTGTCCTTGGGATGTATCCAAATGCTTCACATATAAAACCTGATACTGTCTCATACTGATGACCCTACAACACAGAAAAAGAAGTATTGGAGTAGGACTACAAAAGTTGAGCTTATATGATGTTCTTCAAGCATCTGCAACCATTTCTGAAGACCAGGTACAACTTACAAGTTAAAACCAAAAGGTGTATGTGAAGGTTGCTGAGTGTTTTTTGAGTTCCTTGAGAAAGACATCAATGAAATGAATGAAAAGGCGTGTGACCAGACTAGATGACATTAAGCTTCAAGACTGTAATGCAATTAACACACACAAAATAAAAAGCATATTGTGTTGAAATTCTGCTCATGTTACTAATTAGAACAACTGTTTTCCTGCATAAATCATAGAGTAATGCCATGTTCCGCTCACAAACCTTGTAAAATAAACTTTAATGAGATACTGTAAGTGTTTGTTTATGCATGTAATATGCTTAATAAATTGGAGGAAAAAAAGACCTACACTTCAGGTTAATCAAATGTGCAAGTTGAGTTGCTAACCATTGAAATCTTCATAATAGCACGGACAACTCTAAGCTGCCATAAGCGTATGTACTCCATTACCCTTAACTAAATCAAACCATTCATGACATACCTCTGGCATTTTGATGTTTAGATCTTCAGAGAGTTGATCAATTGATGTATTGGCATCAACATCGTACACTCCCTCTGCTCGCATTACTATATATCCAGTTTTCTTCTGTATCTCCTCCTGTGATAGAATTACATTGTCAATGATCAACTCCAGCTATGATTCAAACACATGAGCATATTCACCAGAAAAAGAAGCACGTGAGCAATACAACTAGGATTCTCTTAGAAAAAAACGTGACATTAACCATTATAAGCATGTCGAAAACTGGGGTATAGTATTTACTCAGTATCAAAACAAAAGGTTCAAAATTGTACCATGAGTTCATATGTACCAACAATTGGATAAGAGACATGTGCATGAACGAGCAGACATAGCCACATAGGGCTATCAGAATGCACACAAATGCCTGATGTTTACCTTTGAATCATTTTCATCAAAGATCTCACCAACAATCTCTTCAACAACATCTTCAAGGGTTACCAACTATATTAGAAAAATAAATAAGAAAAAAGATAAGTCATATAATAGAATACAATAAATAAACAAGTGGGTATATTGTCCATGTGGTTGTCTACATGAAATGTGAAAATTGCATTTGAGATTGTCCAAGATTGTTTAGAGAATGCATGCCCCATGAGATATCTGCATCCCTTTCAGATATTAAATACAAACCTCCTTTTCTATTGAATGACTAATCAACAAATTAGAATAGTCATCATTTAGACGCATCAAGGCACCATTATTCACTACTAATACGCGCTTTAAAGTAGAGTTAGCCTTCTGAAACAAATTGTATCATGTTATGACATCTAATAAGGAACAAGGTGAATAGACAAAAATAATTAGTTTCTGCACGAAGTGGCCAACATTGCTTAACGTTTCCTTTCCAACTCTTGGGCCTAATATTTAAATCCAAAATTATCTCCGCAGCAACCTCCACCAAGTACACACACTTCGAGTCATTACTGGGTGTTTCGTCTATTAACTATCACTATATTCCCTAGCAAGTAGGACCCAGTTTCTCTTTTGTCAATGTCTAACCACGATTAATTACCTATCTCCAATCACGCAGAGTAAATGGACAGTCAATTAGTTTTACTTGTCATCCATAATGAAATGGAGAATTGTATTTCTGAAATATGCAATGAGGTCAAGTTAGTACATACTCCCACAGTACCGCCATATTCATTAAGGACAACAGCCATGTGAACCTTCCTGATCCGGAATTCTCTGAGAAGATTCCAGACGGACATTGAATCTGCAGAAGAAATGCATACTTCGTCAGCAACAAAATTATGATGAAGACCAACAAAACAACAGCAAGCAACCTTTGATATCAAAACAAAATTCAAGGATTGAATCTTCTCCCACACGACTTCCCACAATATGAAAAACAAGTATAGCACTGAAGCTAAGCCATCCTTCACTACTGAAACATAATATGTTCAGCAGATTGAACTGGCAATCATGAAGCTTTTCAATTGGACCGCTAGGTTTGAGCAGTTTATCCAGTGGATAGTATATTTTATTTTTATTTTCTCGGTAGAAGTATATTTTACTATTTTGACAAGAACAAACAAAATAGGGAAGGAGCATGTAACAAAATCCAGTGAAACGAGTAATGTCCTTCATATTGATGTATTTCTAGACCTCGATTGATAAGTTACCTATACTTCAAATTCTCTAAGCTCAGTATTCTCGGGAATCTAGAACATCAAAAGTTCCCGCAAGAGAGTTGATGAGAACAAAAAACAAAATTAGTTCCATCAGAAAGTTCAGAATGGTCTGATTCAGATAGAATTAGAAAATCAAAGAATAGGAAGAAACTAAAGCTTATATATAAAAGAAAATAAAAACGATAAGCAGAACTGAACTACTTAGTGCAATTGGGGCTTAGTGACTAGATCTGACTAATGCACTCATTATGGCAGAAAATAAATTCTTGACATTCCATTGGAACCAACAGAAAGACAAGCACAAAAGGGATCTTGAGTTTTTTTTACCATTGGATTTAGATTTTCATTTCGTCAAATATAACCACAGTACATGAGCCAAGTTTACCTGGTACAAAATATGCAGGTTTATGAGCCATGTCCCCCACGATGGTGCTTTCTAGTAGCTCACCCTTCAAAATTAAACAGATGATCATTCTGCAGGTTATGAGATTTTTTCATGATCAATAAACAGACTACAGCAACTTTGAAAAGGGGGTGACAGGAAGCAGATACTGCCCAACCTTCTGCACATAATCCAGCAGATCCATTGCATAGGCAATACCCACAATGTTGTCCACACGCTGTTCAAAAACAGGTACCCTGAAAATGCCGAGAGAAACCGGAGCTTAGTATGTAAGACTTTATGCAGAATCAGAGACCGATACACACATTTGCTTACCTTGAATATTGATGTGTCACCCACATTTCATGAAAATCAATGAGTGTTGCACTTGCATCAATTGCAACAACATCAACAAGAGGTGTCATCACTTCTCTTACATGTGTATCTTTAATCTCCAGCACATTCTCAATCATATCCTGCATCAGAAGTTTATATTCTTCATTTGAGAGAAAAAGCACCTATACCCATTTGCCATTTCATAAAGATTTTTTTGCAAATAGGACCAAAAACATTAGGTTAACGAAGAGTATTGTTTTCAGACAAAGTGGATGCAGATTTTACCACGCATATGAGTATACACAGATCATCCATATGGTGCTCACACATAAGTAGGAATAAATTGACAGAATCGTTCACCTGCTCTTCCTCCTCTATTGCGCCGCTTAGTTCTGCACCTCGCAGCATCAGCTTTAACTCATCCTCAGTCACATATGGTTCGCTGAACATTATCACAAAATTAGATTTGGGGAATAGGTATGTAGGACAACAGAAAATAAAACTGAAAAGGGAGAGGATAAGAGGATGCACAGATAAGAGTATTATTCATCAGTTTATTCTGCGCATTATGGAGTGCGTAACTATAGAAATTCTATAATTCGAATCAGACAGGGGCAGTTACTGCTTACTACACAGTGGATAACAACGAATGCTGGCACATAACTGTTTCCAACTAACTCTAAAAAAATATTCTGACAGACCCATGCACGACATAATCTTTTTCAGTCAATGACAGAAAAGTTTCTTCATAAGAATGTCCAAGTATCATTCCTCTAGGAAATAGGAATCAAAATACCATGGAAGACAAAGTGACCAAGAAGAATAAGAAAATAGCTATAGAAATCGCAAATAAATCTCGCAACTGACTCGCCTTGACCCTAGAGACAGTGACCAGTCTATCCAATAGACAGAGCAAGAAACTTGAAAATAAGGTGCATCATATGGATCCAAAACATGCCCACTCGGACCATGCTCATGTTTCACCTAGCATTAATGGCTCATTCAGACACCCAAACTTCACCACCTCTCTTCCAGTGTGGATAAGAGTTGGGGCATTCGTCATGAAACAATAATATGAATAATATGAAAACAAACAAATCAAAAACACATGGCAATGCATAAGAATTTATGAAAAGGAAGGCCGCAGAAATTACGAGGATGTCAAGAAGCAGGACGGAACTCACCTTATCCCTTTCAAACCAAGCATTTTCAGCATTCCCATTGACAAGTAAGTGACAACTCTGCCCACAGGATAGAGAATCAGTGAAAGCCAAGCCACTGGCCTGACCTACATGCATTATAGACAACACTAACTTAGACAACTGAGTTAGCAATAAAAGAGCAGGAACATGTTTCTGCAATCGTCTGTGTACTTACCACAAACCTAACAACCTCTGTGGCATTATGAACGGCTATACTCTTGGGAGTAATCTCAGTGAGCAGCAATATAGCCACCTAATATTTAAGCCAAATTAGATAGTTCAGAGGATATCAGTCACTAGGAATATAATGCAGAGAGAGAGAGTTCGTTTTACATACAGTCATCACTCCAGTGGCCGCGCTGACACCAGCTTCGCCAAATATCGTTGTGGCTGCCTCAGTGACCAGTGCAGTGGCCGCAATATTGACAACACTAAGAGCACATATAGAATTACCGGTTAGAAAAGGAATTTTGAACACAAATAGAAACAGCAGTTAGGAAAGAGTACTACGTTGTGCCTATAAGAATAGTGGTCAGAAACCGAGTGACATCTTTGCGAAGCATTTTGAAGACACCGCCATCATCAGTCTCTTTTTCTGCCAGTTCACGTACCTGACAAGTTCACAGAGATTTCCAACTGAAAGAACCATAGTGGTAAAAGAGAACACTGAGCTGGAGTAATCAAGTCCCACAAGCTTAATAAACATAATTGTCATTCACTAGTCAAATTCAACAAATTAATTACAAAACCAATGCATTTCTGCAAAAGTAGATCATCCCAATTCTTGAGCTATAGAAAACATACCTTCCATGGCCACAGCGTGGTTATGGAAGTCTCAGCCATAGAGAAAAATGCAGATAAACCCAAAAGTGCAGCCAATATCAAACCCTGCTCTTTGATAACAGTAAGGAGCATCTGCAGCCTAGGCCAAGAGTTCCTCAGCAACAAAATATTTTGCCCACTAACTCCATAGCCCGGATTCGCCACTCCTTCGGCCGCAAACACCCGTTTGTATCCAAACATGAATATCCCACAGACCATTGCGCCCAAAATAACACCCCTTTTCAAGAGCACCATGATCGTTTCCAAGTTTACATCCGGGGCAACATTACCTTCGGTAACCCTGTCTCCACCATTTTTCCCTAGCAAGCTCGAACTAGCTATCACTCTCTCAAACACGCGGGTTCTCTGAACACTTGAATTACTCAAAGCAGTTCCGCAACTGCACGGCTTGACAAAATTTGAGGAAAGCGGAGCCGGGTAGTGATAATTCTTGCGAGAGACATTGCACGGTAGCTTTGAAATCCGATTGTAACGCAGCAAAGATGAGACCTTTGTCCCTGAAACGGACACGGGTCGGCCCAGAATTGAGGACTCGAATGCAATCTCCATTGGCGAGCCTGCCCTCGCCTCGACTAGCCGTCCAAACCCAGAACCTCCGAAACTTCAACCCAAGCAAAAATGGAGTATTGGGGGAAATCGAATTGGTTGAGTTAACGGCACAAACAAGCAACTGCCAAAGACAAATATCTTCGAACTTATAGGCTCTTGAAGAAACCTTTTTTTGGTCTTGATAGACTGTGAAACGGGGGGGAATGAAGAGTGGGAGCGGAAAAGGAGAGGGGTTATTTCCTTTCTCTAGAAAGAGGCAGCTGGGGCCTGCGGAGGAAGACAAAAAGGGTCTTCGTCCAAGTGGTTGGATGGCTGGCAGTTGCGGCCGAGGTGGCGGCGGAGCTGGTGGTTGCTCCCTCTCCTCTCAGTGGTAGACTGGAGGAAGGCCGACAACAGTTCTTCGAATTTGTTTATTTGAATTGTACGGAAGCCAATTTGCTCATTCATTCACTCGCATTCATGTTCATCTCCGGTTGCCGAATTGGAAGCCATAAGGATAATGAAATTGCTGCCATTTGCCCTTTTGGAGATATTGAGGCATCTGTAGGCGATTCTGTTTTCTTCAAAAGCAAAGGACGAGGTTAATACTACTTCATGGTTGTCATGCCGGTGGCATGCCACCCGATTGAACCTGGTTCAACTTGTGCCGGTCATGAAACCGGCATGACACCACTGGTATGATTGGTATGATCGACTTACGCATTTTAAGTAAAATGACATCATTTTAATGAATAAAAATGATAATTTATTATTCATTTTATGAATGCAATAGTTAAAAGTTGATGATATTTGTTGGATTGTAACTAAATTGTCCACAAATATGTTTTATATATGATTAAATACATTGGATATTAATTATTTTCACATTTTTTTAGACCGGCATGAATCGGCACAAACTGGTTATACCACCGGTCGTACCATTCCACTTGCCAAACCGGCACAACGGTATAAATCGGTTTGACAACCTTACTTAGGGATGGCAACAAAACCCGAACCCACGGGTACCCACCCGACCCAACCCGATCAACGCGGGTAAAATTCGTGTTGACGGGTTTTGGACCGGGTTTGGGTTTAAACCCGTTCACTATTCACTGGGTTGAGTTTGGGTTTAGGTAAACCCGACCCATGGGTACCCGCTCACACCCATATAGTTAATTTTCTCGGTATATTTAATATTCTAAACAATAATCTTATTTATGTTTGTAGAGACATGTCTAATTTTTTCTTTCAAATTGTGTAGAATGAAGTTGATGTCATCTAGGGATGGCAATTTCGACCTGACCCGTGTTACCCGACCTGTTTGACCTGTTTCGGGGCGGGGCGGGTATAGGTAGTCTCATCGACCCGACCTGCCCTGACCCGCCCCATTCTCGACCCGTTCTTGTCTAATTTACATGTAATCTTAGTCAAATCACTTAGTATTTTCCTTTTATTGCATCATATTTTAGCTAAAAGAAAGTTGTAAATTAGTAAAAATCTCAATTTCTCCAATAATTTAACTGCAATTGTCATAATATTGTTTGTTTTCTTAGTCTTATAATAAAAATAACGAATATTTATAATATTTTTAATATAATTTGCATACCCATTGGGTCGACCTGTCCCGACCCGCGACCCTTGATTAATTACCCGACCTGGACCCGACCTGCCACGGGGCGGGTCTGGGTACCAAGAAACCCGCCCCGGACCTGCCCCATTGCCATTCCTAATGTCATCGAGTGGAGAGTGAAGAAACTTAATTGAAAGGAAGAAGCTTTTCAGTTAATCATGTTATTTATGGATAATTTGTGATTTGCTTCAATTTTCTTGAGTTTTCTAGATTAGTGTTGAACAATTTGTATAGTTAATTTGTGATTTGCTTGAATTTTCTAGAATGGTGTTTTATATATGGATAATTTGTATTGAGAGATTGATATTTGACTTTAATTTTGATAGGAACTTGTTATTGTAAATTTTTTACGACAAAAATCCGTGGGTACCCATGAACCCACGGATACCCAGCGGGTTGGGTTGGGTTTGAGTTTTTCAAACCCAGTGAATTTTACCCCGGGTTTATTTCACGGATAAACCCATGGATTTGGGTTTGACAAAACCCGACCCATTGCCATCCCTAAAAATACTCACTAGTTTATGTTTCGATATTTATCAGTATTTCGATTATCCCAAATATTATTAACAAACTTCAATCCTATCTAAATATAAAACCCCAAATATGTCGTAAATTTCCCTTCCATTTAACTTTATAGAGAAACAAGTTATGTAAAAAGATGTTTGACAAAAAAAAAAACCAATAAAAGAGGTTCTGCTCTGCCATAAAAAAAAAAAACCCAAGTCTTGTAGTTCATACGAATTCAACAGTGCCTGCTCATACCATTAGGCTGCCATAAAAAAAAAATCTAAAATTGGGCTCAATTAAGAGCCATAGGGATATTGGGCCTCGCTTTAAACCCAAAAATTGTGTATTTGGCAATACGTGTAGTTAATGGTCTTTTATTCGTTTGGGCTGCAGAGGGTATAACTATTGGGCTATATTCCGATGGACCATCTTTTTTCTTGTTGGGCTGGTATTGTTATCCAGCCGACTTATTTTTATCGTAAAAAATTCCAGCAGGAAACACGGGTCTGAAACGCGTTCGAAACGTGTCTGAAGCGCGTTCGAAACGTGTCTAACGGCTAAATAACGCTATAAAAGCGGAAACGCGTCCTAGCTAACCGCCTTCATAGCTCGGCCTTGATCTATAAATACCAACTGAAGCTCTCTTGTTCATTTTCCCTCCACCCGTCAACGTCTTCATCATCTCTCTCCAAGAATGGGAGCAAAGGGAAGCAAGTAAGTAAAGTCACGCACTCTTTCCTTCTATCTAGGGTTTCAAGTTTCTCTACCGCCTGCTTGAGTTTTCTCATGTTGCCTCGGCGATCATCGAAAGTAGGGTTTTGAGGAAGCCAAAGGGAAAAGATGATTTCGGGAAACCCATTAATTCGCTGTTGGTCGCTGCCTGTAAGTAGTTGCCCATGGATTCTACAAGTTTAAATCGGAACCGACGAAGAAATGGGAGGGTCGAAGTCGACGACGATATATAGCAGCAGCGGATATGGCCATGTGAGGTATTTTTCAGACCTACCGTTTCCGATTACGATGGGTCTTCTCGAGAGCTTTCCTGTCCTCTCTGAAAAATCGCTCTGATCTTGGTGATACATGATTTCGAGACAGTCCCGTTGCATTGAATGTTTAGTCCCTCTTTGTACACACAATTGATCACGTCGGTTCGTATAGTGTCTATGTTGAGAAACAGTGAGGTGAATGTTCCTAGTTCCTACCAATCGATTTATAAAAAAACTTCAGTCCGTATAGTTGAGTCCCATTTTACACACGTTTGCTCTTGCTCCGTCTTAATGCCAAGAAGCTTTAACATGATAAAGCGGGTTCCTAGAAGAGAGTTGTGACTAGTCGTAGCTGCTCTTCTGCCCAAATGTCGGTTTGTCCATCAGTCCATGATTCTCTAATGTGCATGGCAATAAGGTCCTAGAAGAGAATTCTGCTAGTGAGAGTTGCTCTTCTGCCTTGTTTGTCATTGTGATTAGTTCTTTGATATACATGCTTATAGGGTCCTAAAAGAGAACCATGATTAGGCTTAGTTGCCCTTCTGCCCCATTTTTGATAATGGGGTCCTAGATGGGAACTATGACTAATCCTGGTTGCTCTTCTGCACCCATCCTACCATTTTCTCTATGGTTCTTTGATTAGCATACGGTGACAATAAGATCTATGAGTTAACATGTTGCCTGTTGGGATACTTTTGTATAATGTTTATGGAGAAACAGTTCATCGATCGATTATAAATAAATTCACTCCATATAGTTCAGTCCCTTTGTACAAATGGTGGTTGATCTTGCCCCGTCTTAGAGTCAAGAAGCTTTAACATGAAAAAGTGGGGTCCTAGAAGAGAGCTATGACTAGTCACAGCTGCTCTTCTGCCCAAATGTCGGTTTGTCCATCAGTCCATGATTCTCTAATGTGCATGGCAATGAGGTCCAAGAAGAGAATTCTGTTCGTCAGGGTTGCTATTCTGCCTTGTTTGTCATTGTGATTAGTTCTTTGATATATATGCTTATAGGGTCCTAAAAGAGAACCATGATTAGGCTTAGTTGCCCTTCTGCCCCATCTTTGATTTTTTATGACTCTAAAGCTTGATAATGTGGTCCTAGATGGGAACTATGACTAGTCCTGGTTGCTCTTTTGCCCTCATCCTACCATTTTCTCTATGGTTCTTTAATTAGCATATGGTGACTATAAATCAATTCACTCCCTATAGATCAACCACCATTTGTACAAATGGTGGTTGATCTTGCCCCGTCTTAGAGTCAAGAAGCTTTAACATGAAAAAGTGGGTCCTAGAAGAGAGCTATGACTAGTCACAGCTGCTCTTCTGCCCAAATCGGTTTGTCCATCAGTCCATGATTCTCTAATATTCATGGCAATGAGGTCCTAGAAGAGAATTCTGCTAGTCAGAGTTGCTCTTCTGCCTTGTTTGTCATTGTGATTTGTTCTTTGATATATATTCTTATAGGGTCCTAAAAGAGAACCATGATTACGCTTAGTTGCCCTTCTGCCCCATCTTTGATTTTTTATGACTCTAAAGCTTGATAATGGGGTCCTAGATGGGAACTATGACTAGTCCTGGTTGCTCTTTTGCCCCCATCCTACTATTTTCTCTATGATTCTTTAATTAGCACACGATGCCTATGGAGAAACAGTTCCTACAATCGATTATAAATCAATTCACTCCCTATAGTTCAGTCCCTTTGTACAAATGGTGGTTGATCTTGCCCCGTCTTAAAGTCAAGAAGCTTTAACATGATAAAGTGGGGTCCTAGAAGAGAGCTATCAATAGTCGCAGTTGCTCTTCTGCCCCAAATTTCTGTTTGGCCATGTGGAACTGAGGCATTTGGATTTAATACTGAGTTGTCTCTTGATTTTGCAAAGTTAAAATCATTGAACTGTACTCAATCATGTGTTCCTTTTTTTCTCCATTCAATTAAATAATTTTGATTCAAGAGACACATGTTCTCTAGTTTTGCTGCATTCTAAAGCTAGTCTGATTCTGGAGGCATATCTAAATTGGAAGGATTATGGTCTGATTCTGTTACAAGTTGGTTTTTGTTGCCCTCTAAGCTAGTTTACACTATGAAGTCAGGAAGAAGGATGCTGATATGATTTTGTAAGTGTTATGGTGTTTCTAATGATTTCCTATTGGTTCATTTATAGCATATGATGGACTGAAATTCATAAAATCGGCATCTTTTTCTTCCAAGTAAGAGATTAGGCCCTACATTTTTTGGAACTCTCGAGCTGTAACTCTTAAATGGTTACTTCTTAAAAGACAGCTTTGCTATCTTTGATCTTGGCGCCCTGCAATTATTGCTGGTACCTATTGAGAATCACTTTACCGTCTCCCTAGCAAGACTGTTAATTTTTGGTAATTCTTCATTGATAGCTCTGTTCAGTCTGTTGGCGTCTTAAAATGCACAGCTTTGCTAGCCTGGATCCTGTTCCATTTACGATACTGTTGCCTTACAAGCTAGTTTACATTAGAATTTTGGAAGACAACCTTATGTTCTGATATTATTGGTATCAAGGTGGTGCTAACAACCTTACTGTTCCCTTCTGTTCAAATATAGCAGATGATGAAATGAAATATTGTTTTCATTGAGTCGAGTTTTTTCTGCAAAGTAAAGAAATTGGATCTTACATGTGTTGAAGTTCTCCCAGAGCTGCACTATGTAAAATGGTTGCTTTTGATGGCTGTTATTTTTGGAAGTTCAGCTTTTTTACTTGATGCCTCATGTAACTGTTGTCTTTTGATCTTATTGCCTTGCCATTTATTGTTGATACCTATTGAGTATCACTCTCCAAACTCTTAGAAATGTTCACTTTTGGCAATTCTGTATTGACGAATATATTGGTGCAAACAGCAGCTTTGCTTAGCCTTGATCCTGTCCAAGTTACAATTTGCTGCTGTCCTAGAATTGAGGTAGTAGTTGATCTTTTTGCTGCACATTGTGGTGGTTCTCTATTTTTGTGGTTGGGGTTCCCGAAGGAATTGTGTTTTGAGTTGTTGAGTTTGCTCCACCGTCCAGTTAGCTCTAGTCATGGAATGACCTCTCCTTTCCACGTTCCAAGCTTGACAGTGCTGTAAAATGGAGTAGTTTACAGGGCACTTTTGGATGTTCAACACGAAACAGGACAATCAAAAAGTGGTATGGTACCTACATTTAGATGATTGTTTAGTCATATCAGTTGCTCCAGATTAAGTGATTTCTGTATATGAAACTGTTTTTCCACTGTCCTAAATGGAGCCATTAATTAGAACTTTGAGATATTATCAGTTATTGATTCCAGCTTCCAGTCACCTTTTTTGTCCAAAAGGGAACTTTTAGATATTATCATCTACTGATTCCAGCTGCCCCTCTATATCAAAACTATGGGTGCGAAAAGTTGCGTATGAATTTGGCTTATAATTGAATTGAGATGATCAGTTGTTCGTGGATTTGTTCTAGTATCCTTCCCTCAAATCACAATCATGGTGGGGACTGTAAGCTATGGATTGGCAGTCCTTAAAACATGTTTTGCTTACTTAAAGTGATGCCCAGTTCTAACACAAATGAGATGGGAATGTTTGTGTTCCATCAGTTGCCCTTCTATCCACCTCAAAATTTGCTGCTTTTCTACTCTACTGTTTCGCAGAGTGGAAGTCCTAAATGATCACATCATCTTTCTTTTTTGTTTCCACTTTCCAGTGGATTACTCAATTGGTGATTCCTCAAAGTGGATATTGAAATTGTGACATTATTACGATTGTTTTGTGATCGAAGTAAATGCCTATAAACACTACTAAGAAGACACCCTTAGTACTAGGCAGGGTGTCTTGTAAGGTTGCCGTAGTGTTTGCTCCTCTTTCAGAATGCAGTATGTAGACTTCTTTTCATGTTATGCTTTAAATGTTGGGTTATCGTTGATGCTTGGTCTATGGAAATCTTCTTGGAGGGAGCTCAATTCTTGCATGTAATGAGCATTTTTTCTGTCTTGATGGCACTTCTATTGCTTGTATCTCATCACTTATGTCAGAACCGAAAGTGAAGTAGTTGAAGTCTTGCAAGGAAAATTGTGATTGCACATACAACAAAAGTTTTATGCCCCTATGTTATTTTTCCTTCTACTAACGTAGAGGAAAATTCAATTTTAATCAGCAGCTGGCATTCAATTTTTCCACTTCATTGCAGGTTGCTAAAACTCTTACGTAAAGGAAGTGCCGCGGAAATGCTATCCCCATGTTGTTGTTTAACAGAAGGCCAGACCAGCTACCTCTGGTTAGCACGTTTGTTGTTTTGCTCTGGTGGTACTTGAATAAAATACCTTTGAGGGTGTTATTTGATGAGAAAGATTGTTAAGTGAGTTGCCCTCGGTCTCTGATCAGGTGTTGGTTGTTTGAAATTCCAGTGCAACTTCAAAGTTCTGCACCAAATACGAATTTTGCTTCTAATGGAGGTAAATTAAGAATCTGATTTTCAGTTCAAGGGCTTCCTTTAGCCTGCCACTAGAGAGTTGCTTGCTCACTGGCCTTTTGAAATTAAGGTTCTTATCAAAATAACTTGAGAACACTGCCTTATGGCATTCTGTCAGTCCTATTGCTTCTTTGGGTCTAATTCTGGTTTGATTTTTCCTATTCCAGACACCGGGCAGTTACAAAGGTCGCCATGATGGTATATGATTAAAGGAGAGCAGACGGGGAAGCTTTTGAAACCTAAGTTGTGGTTTATGTTGTTCACCCGTTACATACAAGTGAGCGTTAGTCTTGTTTCCCAATTCCTTTGCTTTCATCTGTCCAGGTGTGATGGTAAAAGTTGGACAGAAGTAGTTGCTAGCAGAGCACTTATCTTCTACTCATATAAAGCGAAATTCAGATGTGTTGTAAAATTGTTCTGTTGAGATACTAGAAGGAGGAGAGTTTGACATCTTTAATGGTATGTTTTCTTGCTTCACAGTGGTATGTTTGTGATGTTAGAGGATGATATTGTTTTCTCCGAAGGAAAAGTGCTTATGGGTGTCATGGAAATGAGTTAGTTCAGTGACTCATAACTGGTGGTATTAGTCTGCAAACTGGTCGGTCGGTCCAGCAATTTTAAACGACACAGCGGCCTGTAGATTGATTCTATTTAGAGAGTCTGAGATAGGAGTTGATTTTCCACTGATATGAGAACAGGTCCATCTTAAGTTCAGATGGGAGTTCAGGAACCATTGGTGAAGATACTGCAACTACCCAACAATCTTGGTTTTATCATTTGATCTTGCAAATGTGGCTACTTAGTGATATCGTGGGAATCCTTGCTGCGAATCTGCAACTAGTATAGACGACAGTGCTTAAGGGGTTGAGTAAGGAGGTAAGTACTCAGTGCATCTGCATCTTTTTATTTGCCTCGTTAACCTCTCAAAGGTATTTGTTGCAAATTTTGAAAATCGACTTCCTCTGATGCCATTCCCTTGATGGAAGACAAGCTATGTCAGTTTAGAATAAGAAAGATCATCAACAACTTAGTTTGTCCACCAGAATCTGTCAAGATAGGCCAAAAATTTAATTTAGTTTGTCCGCCAGAATCTGTCAGGTTGTCAGAGGTTTAACCAGGGCGAAAAGAGGAGAGGGAAATAACTCAGAAATAGTTGTCAAGCATGTTATTCAGTGTTTCACTAGGATACAGATAACAGCTGCAACATCTTAAGATGCAGCAACTTAAGTGGGAAGAAACTCGTGCCTAACCGTAACTCCCAAAACTCTCCCCTTCATTACTACAGCATTGCCAACATTTTCATCATCATCATCATCATCACCAGCAGAGCAGGCACAACTTATGGCTATCTGCAGTCAGTAGATGGTCTTTTCAGCAGCTTTGGTTGGGTCAATACTGTTCTTTCGACCTCTCACTGTACTCTGCTACAAGTTGAGCAAACGAGGACGACTTGTTCTCCAACAATCTTGCTGGTGTATCATATTCCTCAATCAAGCCTGGTGACACAAAAACGACGATACTACATCATCAGCAATCTGATGTCTTTTTTTCCTGATACGAACCAAGTAAATGGGTAGAGTCCAGATAAACTCACCGTGACTGAGCAGAAGAACCATGTCACTATCAAGAACGGATGTTATTCGATGGGCAATGGTGATAACTGTGCAATCGAAGAAGTGTTGTCTAAGTGTTTGCTGAATCAGATTATCAGTGGCTGTATCTACTGAGGCAGTAGCTTCATCCAGAACCAACACTTTGCTCTTTTTCAACAGAACACGGCCAAGACATACTAACTGTCTCTGCCCCATACTCCAGTTCTCTCCATTCTCAGTAACTGCAAACCAGCAATTGAAATCATATTTTAGCTTTACTTTTTACAGTGTCAGTAGGCAAAACCTTTTATGTCGAACACAAAAACAAACATAAAAACCAACCTGCAGAATCCAGCTTTTTCTCCTTCTTCCTAACTTCATCTCCAAGTTGGCACTTATCCAGAGCCTAGCATTTGTCATAGTTCAGACACAAGAGGAGGATTAACACATAAACTCAAGAGAGGGCAAATTAGAGCAAAAAAAGGAAAAAGAACTAACCTCCCAAATCTGCTCATCAGAATATTCCTCAAGAGGGTCCAGGTTGCTTCTTACAGTCCCTTCAAACATGGTTGGATCTTGAGGTATAATGCTGAGCCTTGACCGCAAATCGTGGAGTCCAATTGATGAGATGTCGACGCCATCGATGGTGATCCGCCCAGCTGTTGGATCCACAATCCTGAAAAGTGTCTGTATAAGGGTTGATTTACCACTGCCCGTTCTGCCCACAATTCCTGTTTTCTTTCCTCCTTCAAATGTGCAGGTAAGACCTCTCAACACAAGTGGCAAATGTGGAGCATATCGAACCTGCAACATGCGCAAAAATGTTTCGGAATGCGAGTCTGAAGGTGAACTTCTAAGAGAGAAAGGATGGTGAAATAAGGGCGGAAATTTGTACCTGCAGCCCATCAATCACAACTTCTCCATGTGACGGCCAAGAAGGGTCAGGTTTGCTCTCTTCTATTACAAGAGGAGGCTCGCTTGGAATAGAAATGTACTGAAGGATTCTCTCTACTGATATGATTTTGTTCTCCAGATTACAGATATTCCATATCACCCAAGCTTGAATCATGTTTAGATTGAGTCCATATGTCACCGCTAAGCCAGCAAGGGCTGTTGGAGGGGAGAAACCCAAAAGACAATGCAACATATCAGTTTCAATGGTTATACTCTTTATGAAGAAATATAATAGCAAAGGGAAGATGAAGAGAGAAGGTACTTACATGGATCTATTCCAGGGAAAGAGATCAAGAAAAACAAAGAGAAGGCAAATGTAATAGAAGAGAAAAAGTCCAAGCGAACACAAAGCCATTCCATTGCTCCAGCAGTATGAAACTTGGGGCGGGAATATGCATCTGTAAGTTTCATAGAGGTCTCTTTGAATCTTGGTTGTTGATCAAAGCTCCTTATGGTGCTTGTGCCTGAAATTGTTTCAGCAAAATGTTGGATCACTGGAGCTTTGCACACTCCAATAAGCCGTGAGAGTTCTCTAGCTGCTGGTATGTAGTATTGCTGCAAATAAGCAGAAATGTGATTAAACATTCGACTTAGTACACGATAATAACATTTGATCGACAAAGAATAATTAAGGGATTAACATTAAGCCTACCTGATACCAGATGCTGATAGCAATAACAGGAATAAATACGATAAAAACTTGCCATGCCACTTGAGACATCACTGCAATGATTCCCAGAAGTTGTATTATGGAGAAGGCAGTTGCGCCAAGTTGGTAAGGAATTTGCTGATCCACAGCACTTTGGTCAGTGGAAGCCTGTTATAAGCATAGGCAAAAGCTCAATATAAACGCATGGTTTTTAGTATGCAGTAACCAACATAATTCAGTTAGCATGAAAAAAAAATGGTCAACCAACTTACTCGATTGAGTATCCTGCCACTAGGCGTTGAGTCGAAAAATGACATGGGAGCGCGGAAAATGGACATATGCATCTTGTTGAAGAGCAGGGTTGCGGTTTTGTAAGCTATGGCTGCAAGGATTGTGGATCTTCCTAGGATGCACAGAGAGCTTGCAACAGCCAAAACTACGTATACAGCTATCAGTGTCATTGGAGGAACAGGTGGTTCCTCATCCGCTGATACTGGTGTTGCCCAAGCCATCCAATAGTTGCTGCCAATCTGTAGGATTTGAAACATGGAATGTGCAAGCACTGCCAGTGGTGCAAGAGCTCCTCCATATGCTGTGGTGAGATACTGCCAGTAGACTGAAAATCCAACTCTTCCTTTCTCCCTCTCTTCTTCTTGAACAAGCTGACCCTGTGGCCCGCCTGTCTCTTCTTCTTTACCATTTTGCAATACCTTGTCTCCATCTTTCTGCTCAATCCCGTTGCTGTTGCTCATGTCGCCATTTTCTTTACTGACAGTGCTTCCATTCTCAGATTCCGAAGCTTTGGAATCTATCGCAGACAAAGCGGCCTTATGTGCACCAACAAGCTCCATAAAATCTGATCCTGAGTTCAGAATGTCACTGTACTTTCCAGCCTGAGTTATCCTTCCATCTTTCAATACCTATGCCACCAAAAGTTACAAATGCATTTGAGTCTTTTTTCTTTCATGAATTGAAGAAACAACAATGCATAATCAAGGGGAAAGTGTCATTAGGTACTCACCAAAATTAGATCTGCAACGGGTAAGAATTCAACTTGATGTGTGACATACACCACAGTTTTGGAACTCAAATGTCCCAGCAAGACTTCCTGTTGCAATATGAAGAAAGAAGATAAGTTTCGTTGAAGAACAAATGAATAAGAACAGAAGATGGAAACGTGCTTGATTCACCTTAAACAAATGAGATCCAGTATGAGCATCCACAGCACTGAAAGGATCATCAAACAAGTAGATGTCGGCATCTTGGTAGAGGGCACGAGCAATCTGAATTCTCTGCTTCTGTCCTCCACTCAGATTGATACCTCTCTCACCAATCCCTGTTTGATCACCAAATGAAAAGAGCTCCAGGTCCTTCTTCAGTGCACAAGCTTCCAGTACTCGGTCGTACTTTTCTTTGTCCATCTCTTGGCCAAACAAAATGTTGTCCTGAATCTTGCCACTCTGTATCCAAGGTGACTGAGAAACATAAGCCCTTGTCCCACACAGCCCGATGGTGCCGGATATCTTTGGTACCTCTCCCAGAATGCAGGAGAGCAAACTTGATTTGCCTGAACCAACAGTACCACAAACTGCAACCTTCATCCCACGGTCCACCTTCAGGTTCACATCTCTCAAAGTGGGGTTTGGTGAAGATGAATCCCAAGAGAAACTTCCATCAACAATCTCAATAGCAGTATCAGAAGCCTCTCTTGGAAGCCTCTTCACAACATCATCTGGCAGATCATCGAGACGCAAGAAAGCTACAATCCTGTCAACCGAAACCTTCATCTGAACCAACATTGAAATGGTGTCAGGAAGATTGTAGATGGGTTCCTGAAGAACCCTGAAGGTTGCAAGAGCTGATAGGATTTTCCCAGACTCCAATGGGATGCCCATAAGCATGCAGGTACCAAAGGTGATGACAGAGACAAAAGTAGGGGCACCCCAGAAGACAAAACTAATCAAAGCTGAAGAGTAAACATATCGTTTCAACCATCCTGCCTCTGTCTTCCGCAGCTCAATAATCTTGGACAGGAACTTCATCTCCCAAGCCTGCAGCTTCAGAATTCTCATGTTCCTCAAAATCTCAGACGTTGCCTTCATTCTTTTGTCTTTGGACTTCATCAGCTTGTCCTGATATCCCTCTTGCAATCTTCCCAAAGGAAAATTCAGCAACATTACAACTATAGTGGCAATCAGAGTTGCTATAGAAGCAAGCCCCAAATTCCTGTACAGTATGAACAAAGCTAGGCTAACTTGCAAAATAACCAGCCATGGATCATGCATGTACCAAGCGAAGTCACCGATTCTCTCAGCATCTACCGTCATGATGTTGATGATCTCTCCACTAGTTTGGCCCTGCTTCGACTGACACGAGAGGCTCAACCCTTTGTTGTAGATCATCGCAACCACTGCTGCACGCATTCTCATGCCAATCTGCTGCAACTTAAAGAACCATTGCCTTTGGGTGATGCACTCAACAATCTTGCCAACCAAAAACACAGAAGCCAGGACATACCCTTGATTCCTATAATCCCCTTGCCCACTCAGGCACTGAACAAAAGAGTCTATGAGATATGGACCAACATAAGATGCTGCAGTGTACGACAGGGCTAGAAAAGCCGTCAACAGGATCTCTTTCCAAGCTGTAAAGAACAATGCCTTAGCAAGCTTGAAAGCTGTGACTTCACTAACAGATCCACCATCAGATTCAATCCTTTCCTTGAGAGATGCGAATGCCCCAACAACACTATCATCTTTATAAAGCTGAGGAACATCCTCAAGGTCTAGAGCTTTCTTATTGCCAAGAGCAATTAGAGAACCCATCCAGGAGAAAGAAAAAAGACCAAGAACACCAGCATCTGAATAAGGAGTGACAGTGTCATCCCCTCTGGAAACTTTTGGCTCTAAACCATTACCTAAGCTAGACTCTTGACCCAAGAGAGGCTCTTCAAGAAGTGTATTATTCCCACTTATGCTTCTGAAGAAGCCAACATAACAGAGGAACAGACCAAAGAACACAGAGACCGCATCAGAAACCAAACTTGGTATCTGTGAATAGGGTTGGAGATTGCTGTAGAGAACAAGGTCCACAACAAGGCAATAACAGGAGACTGCTAAATAAAACCCCCACCAAACCCTCAAAGAAAATGGGAACTTTGTCTCGACTGAATTTGCAAATTGGGTGTGCAGAAAAACACTAAGCCCACCCCAAGAACAAGTTCGAAGAATCAAATCCAATAGGGTCACAAACTCATCATCTTCCAACCGCCCATTCCTATACCAATAGAAGTAACTGAACAGACAAAACCCGAGATTGAACAACGAAACACCCAGAGAACAGAGCACAGTCAGGTTATAACACAAACCCCGCCTGTGCTTACCTGACGAACCTTCAATGGAGCCGCCACCAGGATCATCACCAACCCTGAATTTACTCCTCAGGAACCAGAAGAACAAGGCGAGCAACAAAACCAGGTGCAATGAACCCGAAAGCCCATGTAGGAAAATGGGTCTCAGGAGAAACAAGTCATTGGCACCTGACCATGAAGAGAACGAAGAAAAAGACGACGAATAGGTAGAGAGAAGAGCGGCTAGAAACCCTTGCTTTGGTGAATCGAAATTTTCCATGGCTGAGCTCTTCCTCGCAAATGGGTTGCTCAAAGTTCTCTTTCTAAGGGGCTTGGAAGAGAACGGTGAGCGGCATTGTGTGTTTTTATAGAAAAGAGACGACAAACAGAGTCTGTTGTAGTCGACAGAGAGAAAAGTGGGAGAGAGAGTCAGTCAAAAGAGTGACTCTTCTCGTCCTCGGTGGAAGCGTGGAGGGCAAGGATTTTGCCTAGTAGAGACGGAAATAGCGACGAGAACCAATGAGCAAATTGGCGAGAAAATGGCCGTCAGGGTCGCAAACAAAGCTGAGTGGGCTGATTTTGGGGAGAAGGCAAGTAGCAGAGGAACTTTCCTTTTTAAAAAAACTGTGGAGTCTGGACCAGAAGGGTATCTCTTTGCTATAACCGATACAAAGTGGTGATCGAGTGGATTTGTGTCTGATTGTGTTTGGTTGGAGGTTGTGATCAATCGTTTAATTAATAGCTTTTTATGGCTAATCATTTCCTAATCTATGGAACTCCATCTGGAATTTTAGATGACAGGATTGGTGATTCTTGTAACAGAAATTGCATTTGATTCTCAAAAGACGGGTGGGTAAGGACTAAGGAGTGAACGAAATCACGAAAATGACCCACGATACATTAAGACGTTAATTGATTCGGTAATAGTGGCACAATCAGGGTTTCCTTAAGCGGGTGTCATTTGGTTGGTAAAATCGAAATAATAATGATAGTAATTGATATACAGTTTAGTATTACACCAAATTTAGTATTTCGTAGCATACTTTCTTAATGATCGTTTCATCTTGCTCATAAACGTTACAAAGTCGAGACCGGCTAGTACAATGGAAATGGATTGTTGGAGAAAACTCAAACAAGACTCGATATTGTTTAAATTGACAAAAGCAACGCAAACAAATGGGTCAACAGAGCAACAACTAGATATTCTCCTCATCGATTGCATATTCTCCTCATAGATGAAAGAAGAGAGGAAGGAGATCGAGGAGATTGGAAGGCTGAAGAGGGCAAATTTAGAAGTATGGTTTGGTCTAGTGTTTTTAATTCTCTAATCTAAAGGGTGGTCCTATGTCATACAATTTTGACAAACTTAGGGTTCCCACATGTGATAAGATGGTGACAGGAAATCGTGCTCCCCAAGCTCATTCTTTGTATCTGTCTTTGTGGAACTTTGAAGACCTAACTCCGCCGATGTGAACCGTGTCCATGAGCGAGTGGAGGAGGATTAGCTTCAGTCCACTACATGGAACAAAATGGGAAGCAGCAGCAGCAGCTGCAGCTGCTGATATCCATTTCTTTATTATGTCTTTTGTGACCACTTTGCTTGACTTATTGCTTTATTATTCTAATCAAAATCCCATCATCATCATCATCGTTGTGTGGACTTACCGAGTTCCTTGCCCTGCAAGCTCGACGACCTTTCCAAAGCACGATTGGGTTTTCTTTTCTAAATGACCAAAAAATGGACTATTCTGCCTGGCCACAGTGCAGTGCACTGAACAGATAGTATTGTATTGTTGTCGTTTTCCCTCCATTTTTGAAAGACGATATGAAATTTCCAAAATCGCGTGTTGGACTTGAGGGCCAGGTTTCTGTGAACTTTGTCTCTTTTTGTATATATTTTACAAAGATCAATCGTTAGACAAAAGTGCTAATACCATTGGTAAACCCGAACTATTAACTTTGTGCCATTTGTATCCTAAAGTATTCGATATGACATTTGTATCACAATGTATGATAGTTGTGTGTCATTTATGTTCTGATGATTTCGTTGACCGTTATAGATAACGGTTGACCAAACGGAAGTCAACATTAACATTGACTTTTGTTGATGTGGCAGCCATGTAGATGTCACGTCAATGACACATAATATTTTTAATTTAAAACTAAATCAAAATTAAAATAGAAAAAAATAAAAAATAATTCAGAAAATAAAAAGTCTTGGTTCTTCTCACAATTCGCTTCTCTTCAACGACGAGGAGTGTACTGGGTAGCGACATAGGCGCCGCCGATTTAGGGAGTTTGCAGGGAATTTGTGTTGCTGTTCTCTCTCTACCTCCCTCGCTCTCGCCTGCATAAAAGAGAAGGGATCCCCTTAACTTTCTCCGAACCTGAGCAACAGTCGATTGCCTTCCTCTCCTACCTCCGGCCTCCCTCACTCTCGCCTGCCTAATTGTAGATCTGGATTCGAGTTTCGATTCCGAGCAACCTATGTATTGAAGAACACTCTCCACCGCTTTCCGAGCAGCCTAATTGTAGATCTGGGAAATCTCCTCGATCCTCATGATGTTTCGAGTCGATTTCAGGCATCAGGCAGCCGATGTACCAGACTTCTGTTCCGGGCGAGATGCCGTCGCGGAGCTGGAGGTAGAGGGATCCCTCGTCGAGCTCGAACCGCCACGGCACAACGACAGCATGTTCGGGTTGGGTTTTGCTCGGATGGGGAGGTGGTTCGCCACTCCGACCCGACGCTCCAGTGGGGTGGCGCGTTCGCTGGGGAAGGTGGGCATCTGAGTTGTTGTTGATGCCGTTGGGTGAGGATCGAAGGGGGTGAAGAAGGGAGCTTGATGGGCGCGGGAGTCGGACAACAATTGATGACGCGAAAATCGTTGATGGATGCAAGAAGAAGAAGAAGAAGGAGAAAGGAAAAGGGGGAAGGAAGTAGGAAGAAAGAAAGAAGTCTCGATAGATACAAAAAAGTGGTTGGAGACATTTTTTGTTTTCATTTTAATTATTTTTTAAGTAATAAGGAAAATTAAATAAGTAATTAATAATAAAAATTTCACGTCAGCGCCAACTAGACTTTTTGTTAAAAACTAACGGTCAACGCCTGTAAACTCTAACGGAAAAATAGTTAAGACACAAATGTCATATCGAATACTTTAGGACACAAATTACACAAAGTTAATAGTTCGGGTTTCCTAGTGGTATTAGCCCTAGACAAAAGGGTGTTGTATTATTATTGTGGTCTTTGAAAGCTTTCACCACCGAAAACACCAGGCCGATTTGGTTCGGTTCGGTTCAATAACCTATTATAAAGCGTTTTGAGGGCGGTACCAATAACCGACCGAGTGGCGGATGAATCAGAGGGCTATAAATAATGTAGATGCAGACAGAAGAAATCGATTAGGATGGTTCACAGCCAGAGCGTTAGACCGAGAAGAATCAATTCGGATTAGGCAAAATGTTGTTCAGAGTTCGGAACTTCCAACTCCAAAAGCCAGTAGTTACTACACATATATAGGACTACATCAAAGAAGCAAATTACACGGAGCTCGTGGTTATCTCCGCCAGTCGCTCGCTCTACATTCATGGGGAACAAGAGCCTGAAGAGAGAATGAAAGAACTAAGAAGAGAGGCTGAGAGAAGCAAGGCAATAAGTTACAGAAAACTTCCAAATATAGACAACAGAGGAGGTTTGCAGGGATGATCTTGAACTTGTACACGCTCACTAGGTCGCTGCAGCCACAAGGTGATCCTGTACAGGCGCGGCAAAGTTCAGGCTTTTAGTAACATCGAAGAAGTGTGCGACGGCTTCTTCAGGCGTTCCAACAAGAACGCCATGTCCCAGGTTCAGAATGTGCCCTCTTGGTCCAGCGCAGTTCACCACTCTGATCAAAGGAACATAAATCAGTGACACTCAGGAAGCCTACAACAGCAGGCATTTTATATGAATACATGAAGTAAAAGAGCAATATAGCTCTCTTCCATTCGCAAATTAATTCATGAACAATACAGAAACGTCTAGCTTAGTACTTGTCATTCACGAACATTTGATCTTTCCAGCAATGGTGGGCAAATCAATGCAGTCAGCTAATCACTTAACTCAACCCCGTTCGCCACCAATAAGTATTTACTTCCATTTTTTTTTTCCTTTCGTTACTGGTGAGCTTCTAAAGTTTCTGGGGAATGCATATGGAACACGTTATCGTTGTAATTAAAGACAAGTCGGCCAAACAAAACCGAGGATCATACCTGTGAATTTCATCAGTGATGGCAGGGAGCGGCAAAAACAAGTAAGCAGGGTCGACGTTTCCTTGTACACTGATTTCATGTCCCAAACGCTTCCTACCATCTGCCATATCCACAGTCCAGTCAAGTCCAATCACATCAACTCCGGTATCTTTCATACGTTCGAGCAGGCCACCATTTCCATTAATGTACAGAACGAGGGGTGTGCCAGGACATTTGCTCTTGACTGTACTGACTATCTGCAATTTCACAATGGTGACAAAAAATTAAAATCCAGACACTGATCTATTAGTTTCAAGCTTCTAACAGGTAAATCAACCCTGAAATTTCTGTCAAAAATCAAAGACAGGATTTATAATCCTCAAGCAGCATTTACTAGTTTTTTTTTTAGGTTTTAGAACCCAAGAAACTTCAGGAGCGTAATATATAGAGTTATCATAAGGGAACACCAGAATATGTAATACAACGTGATGATGGAAGTATGAAAAGGATAGTTGCCCTAGTCACCAATATGCGATGATGCATTCGAGAGCTGCAGGATGATTGCAAGGTAAGAATGAATTTCCTAACCTCTATGATATAAGGTTTTGACCAGATCTCCCACATAGCGGGAGATAGTTGTCCGCCCCAAGAATCAAATATCTGAATGCAATGAGCCCCGGACTCCACTTGATAAACAGCATAATCAGCTATTGCCTTCGCCAAATGAGCGAGGAGAGCCCTCAGTACATGTGGTGCTGTATGGCACATGCTCTTTATCGCTGTATACGTGCGAGTCGTACCCCCTTCTACTATATACGTACCAATCGTCCAAGGCGATCCCACGAAACCAAGAACAGCTGCTTGCCCTTCAACCTAAGACAAGCCAAAAAACCATACGATGTAGTTCCATCTATCAGTTCCAGAAAGAAAATGAGTAGCATTCTTTTTCAGACGATGATCTTCCCAGATACTAGTACACATATTAGGCTTACCTCGTTGCGAAGTAACCTAAGCGAGTCCCCCACGAATTGTAGCTTCTCCAGTTCAATGGGATGCAAGGTCTTCAAATGCTCCTCCGAGCGAATCGGAGACTGAATCACTGGACCCCTCACGTCTTCTATGTCAAATGACACACCAAATGCCGGCAGCGGCGTAAGTATGTCAGAGAAAATAATGACACCGTCTGGGCGGAAAGCTTCCCAGGGCTGCAAAGAAATTTCCACAATGAGTTCAGTTGTCTCCGACCTCTCCCTGAAGGACGGGTATTTCTCGGCTAGCTTTCTGTAAACAGCCATGTACCTTCCCGCTTGGCGCATCATCCACGCCGGAGGCCGAACAACGGCCTCACCTCTCGCGGCCTTAACCAAGAGCGGATCTGAATGAATATCAAGTTCAATGAAAAAATAACAACAGCAATGGCCATGACACTGATAAATTCGTAACTCGTAAGCTTGCTGTATGTTGGGAACTACGGCCTGGAATAGTGAGAGTCGGAACATTCGAACATTGAAGGGAAGTGGAGATGTACCAGTGGAAGAAGATGGGGAGGAGCATGAAACTCGCAAATTCCGGCGGGAGATGTAGTGTATAGAGGGAGGAGGTGGAGGAACGAAAACTCCGTTGAAATTGTTGGAGAAGCAAAACCCTAGCTGGACGGAGACGATGGAAGAGCTCCTCCACGCAACCGACGGACCGCCGCCGCTATAGACGAGAAGGGGAAGAAATCAGGGTGTAGTTAGAAGAGGAGAGTAATGGTTAGGGAAATGCGGAAATTGGGACTTACTTACCTGTTTAGATACGGGGAGTTCATTTTCCGACGGTCGGAGTGACTAAGTTTGCCGGCGGAATGCGAAAGGCACTGCGGGCGAGTCTGCTCCGGCGGGTTTGCGCTGATATAGGCCCTTTCGCCGGAGTCAACAGGTGCGAGTGGGAAAAATCGGATATGAGGGAAGATCAAGATTGGATTGAAGATTTCCGATTTACTCTTACCAGTTCCGCCGAGGGTTGCGATCGTGCCACGTCGGCTTTCTTGGGTCTCCGTTGGATGTCATATGTCACATGGTCGGACGGAGACCCAAGAAAAAAATTGCTAGCAGCTCAACCAATAGTAGAGCTGCAAGCTACCGACAATAAAAAAATAAAAAAAAAACATTCTTAAATTTATGTACAAAGACAAGACTAGAACAGAGAGAGAAAAAAAAGCAAAACAGCAAAACGAAACAAAACATAAAGAGAACGAAGATCAAATAAGGTGCTTTGTCCCGATCGTCACCCACTCGTGAAAGAGTCCATCTGAGATCCGACTACGAACTCTTAGCCACCGTCCGACCATACGAACAATCTTGTTCTCGATTTCTTGTGGGGAGGAATCAACATCTCTAAAAATTATATTGTTTCTCTCCAACCAAATGAACCAAAGTACTGCATGGGGGCAACAACTAAATGCATTCACTAAACCGTTGATCACACCACAAGCCTCGCCAAGCAATGAGGAAATCACGAGTGGAAGGAGGGTAAGGGCCATGAAGATCAAATCCCTTTCTGAAGCTTTCCCAAATCGTAACCGCAAATGGGCATAAGAAGAAGATATGTGAGATCGACTCCTCATGGCATTTGCAAAGAATGCACCAATTCGGAAGAATCATCCCTCTTCTTTTCAAGTTGTCCAAAGTAGAAATATTTCAAATGATAGACCATCCACATGAAGCAACAGATCTTTGAGGGCACGACAGGAATCCAAACTAACTTGAAAGGAAAAGCAACGTCACCCCCAAAGTTATTCTCAATAAGGTTTGCAGCGAACGAATGTACCGAAAAGACCTCAGAGGACTCCAAAGGCCACACTAAGCGTGCAGGTCCTGTGGTGATCCATAGTTGCGGAAGATCACTCAAAGTTTGCATCAATAAGACACATTCTACTTCAGCACCCCGCCAAAGAGAGAAAGAGAGAGGAATCTCCCAAGACCTATCAACCATAGAAAACACGTCAGAAACAAAAGCATCCAAGGATTGGGCAACTGACCCAACCCTTGGAAAATCACTCACCAAAAGTTTCCCAGGAACCCAAGAATCATGCCAAAAAGATACCCCATAACCCCACCAGGATCGACATAGGCAACCTTCCAAAAGTAAGAGCTTTCGTTAACAATTGTCCGCCACAAAGAACAGCCATATGTACCCAAATTCCAACATGGTCTCCACTCGGACCTACCCTGACCACACTTTGCAACAATCAACCTCCTCCACCACGAATTTCTCTCAACTCCAAATCTCCAAGCCCATTTCCCCAACAAGGCTCTGTTCATACTCCTGAGATCCAAGACTCCCAAACCGCCTCTAGTGATTGGAGTCTTCACAATATCCCATTTGACCAAATGCAACCGTTTAGTCTCAAACACCCCTGACCATAAGAAGTCATTATAAATCTTCTCAAGTCGAGCAATCACCGAGGTTGGAGCTCTAAAAAGGGAAAGGAAGTAGATAGGGAGATTAGAAAGCACACTTTTCAAAAGCACCAACCTCCCGCCAAAAGTAAGCATCCTAGCCTTCCAAGAAGCTAATCGAGCTTCCACTTTGTTAATCATAGGTTCCCAAACTGACAAAGAAGCTGCTTTGGAACCCAAAGGCAATCCTAAGTAGGTAGTCGGAAGAGAACCTAACTCGCAACCAAAAATGTTGGCAAAATGTGATGGGTTCTCTACGTCCCCGACCACCATCATAGAACTCTTGTGCATATTCACTTGTAGACCCGAAATTGTTTCAAATAGAGCTAAGGCCGGGAGGAGAGAACGAACCTGATCTTCTGATGCATCACAAAATAACAATGTATCGTCGGCATAAAGAATATGAGTGACTTCCCCTGTTCTCAGTCCTTCATTCATAAAGAATCCCTCAACCAAACCGTGAGACTGTAAAGTCCTCAAAATGCCAGATAGAACCTCCATCACCAGGATGAAAAGAATTGCCTTAGTCCTCTTTTGCTTGAAAAATAACCAGAAGCTTTCTCATTCACAAGAACAGAGAAAGTGCTTGCAGTGATACACCCTCGAATCCACGATATCCATAGAGCAGGGAAACTCATCCTCTTCATGACAGAAAAGAGGCACTCCCAATTAACGTGATCGTATGCCTTCTCTATATCCAACTTGAAAACTAAGCCTGGTCTTCCAGCTCGCTTCCTAGAGTCAATAAGCTCATTTGAAATAAGAATCGCATCCAAAATTTGTCGACCACCCACAAAGGCACATTGTTCAACCGCCACCAAGCCTCCCATTAAAACCTTTAATCTTTCCATAAGCACCTTTGAAAGAATCTTGTAGAGACTGGATACCAAGCTAATAGGTCTAAGATCTCGAATATCACTGATAGCTTCCTTCTCGGGGATAAGACACAAGAATGTGTGGTGAACACTCTTCGGCAGACTCCCAGTCGCATAAAACTCTTTCAAAGCATTTACCACATCTGATTTCACGATCCGCCAAAATTTCTTAAAAAACCCCATTGGGAAACCATCGGGCATGGGTGCATGTTCCCCTTTACTTTTCTTAATCACCCTCCACACTTCCTCTTCATTGAAAGTCTACAATAAGGAGTTTATTGCATGTCGTGGAAGAGATGGAAACTCAATACCAAAGGGAAAAGGTCTCCTAGGACGAACCTCTTGAAATATAGACTCATAATAGGACACAACAACACTTGCCACTTGAGCTTGACCCGAACAAAGAACCCCATCCACCCAAATATTATCCACAAAATTTCTTCTCCGATTAAAGTTAGCAACCTTGTGAAAGAATGAAGTATTCTGATCCCCACACTTGACCCAAGTCTCTCCAGATTTCTGACGCCAAGAAATTTCTTTTATCTTCCATAACCGAGCCAAATGACATTTCAATATACCACGATGTGCTCTATCTTCCTCTGACCAAACGCCAACTTCTTCTAACAAATCGAATTCTGCAATATTTTGAAGGGTGAGACTGATTTCCTGATCCACGTGTTTGAAGACCTCTACATTCCACTTTTTAATGTGTGCTTTCAAGTGCTTTAGTTTCTTGGCACACTTAAAGAAACCCCAAATCCCTCAATCTCGCCAACCCACCAATTACCTAACTGAACCTCAAAATCATCATGGCCAGCCCACATAAACTCAAACCTCCATGGTCGATGAATAACTCACTCTTCTCCGCAAGACAACAGAAGAGCACAATGATCTGAACCCACTCTAACAAACGATTTCAAACAACATTGAGGGAACTCACTCTCCCAATAAGAAGAGACCAACACCCTATCCAAGCGAGATAATGAAGGGTTTGATTGTTGATTTGACCAAGTGAACTGCTATCCGAGCATGGGGAGATCCAAAAGGGCGTGCTCTCCAATGAAGTCATTAAACCTTTCCATATCTGCCGAATTTCTTGGCCCTCCAACAAAATCATCTTGAGACGAACCACATTATAGTCTCCCACCACACAAGCAGGAAAAGACCACCAAGACAGGCATGACGTCAATTCATCAAAGAAAATCGAGCGTTCACTACTGTCATTCGGTCCATAAACATTAATCAAAACCCACTTAAAAACATTATCTCGACATGTAAACACTGTCACTAAACAAAACCTGCCCACCCAATGACATTCCATATCAAACACCAACTTATCCCAAGCCACCAAAAGACCACCTGAGAGACCTCTCGATGGTTTGTCCACCCAACCCATTCCATACCGACCACCAAGTACCCCAACAATAGAATCCGTGCAACTTTCAAGTTTTGTTTCTTGGAAGCAAAAAATCGAAGGTCGAATAGGACCAAGAAAATCTCTAATGGAATATTGCTTCCTCGGATCCCTTAAACCTCTAACATTCCAGGACACCAACATAAGGATCATAAGTAAGACGAAGAGGAGCATACCCATTCCTGCGTGGACGACCTGCTGACACAAGGGCAGTGACATCAGTCCCCTCGATTCCTAGTTGGCGAAGAGCTATTTCTTGAGGGGATCGAGAAGTAGTCTTTTTCCTTCTAAGTAACACCTCATGAAGAGTTTCTTCCCTTGCGATGTCTGGGGACTCGCTTGATTCTTCCAACCTTAAATCAACAAATTGGGACAAAAACCAACTAAGCCGAAACATTGCAAGCTCTTCTGATCCCTGTGAACTCGTGGCTTCCATTCTTCTATCTTCATCTGTAGAGTCTTTAATCAAATCAGCCCACCAAAGCTGAAACAATACTTGGGTTATGGATATCAATTTATGTGGGAAGAGGGCCACGATTGGGCCAACTAACTCAACTCCTAAACCTTCTTCCTTTCTTGCAAAACCGTGGGCCAGTCCAACCCTTTCAACCCTTTGCCCCACCACCTCTTCTACCAACTCCAAACCCACCAAACGTATCCACATCTTTGCTACCTTCACCCTTTTCAACAACCATCATATTATATTGACCACACAAATTCTCACATCCCACAATATCACCAGTTCACCACTCCTTGAAATAGCACTAGAAGCCAGAGGGACATCTCTTGGGGATCGTATAAACCCATCACCATCAACTAAAGCTTTTCTGCCATTATCCGGACGAAACATTGCATCTATTCTACCCAAGGTTGTCAAACCGGTTTAAGTCATTGAGCCGGTCAAGCAAGGGGTTTGAGGTTTAATGGTCTGATCGGGGTCCGGCCGATTTAGCCGTTTTAGACGTTTTCTAAATATATATACAAATAAAGTAGTAATTAAAAATTTAATGAGTGAAATAAAATTTATCTTACATATATCTATTAAAAACTTATTTTCAACAAAATAAATCTACCTAACCTCCATGATCCACCTACCATTTCCCTTCCTTCGTTCCTTTTCCTCTCTTCTGCCTCTCTTCTTCTCCATGTTTAGGGGTCAGACCGGGGGGTTTTCTGGAGGCCGTTTTGAAGCCCGACTCGGGTTGAACCGGGTCCAACCGGGGGGTTCGATAGGGGTTTAACAACCTTGATTCTACCCCTTCACACGCAACCATTTGATCCATCGGTCTTAATGTCTCAATACATGGGCCATCCGAAGCCGTGTCTATGCCATACTTAGTGTGATTGGTTATGATCTTTCTTTTTTTTAGAGTGGTCGTGGTTCGAATCCTAGTAAGTGTCCTTTTAATGAATAAAAAAAAGTAATTGTGAAGACCAAAATGTCCTTCCTACTTTCACTCTGGATGCAGGAAACTTGAAATGGGGCTTCAAGTTTTCTCATTTGGCTTTTATTTATTGCGTAGATGAATGAGAGTTGATTGTATACTAGTCTCTAGGTGAATGTCATTTCGTATATGACTAATATTCGTAAACATAGCTAACTAGAGGTGGCAACTGGATCGGATTCGTGGATTGGATTGGTGGATCCATGGATCAAACGGATTGGATCCAATGGATTGGTGGATTCATGGATTGGATCAAATGGATTGGTGGATTGATCCATGAATCCAAATGAGATCCAAGACTTGGACCAAAATGTAAATTTTGAAAAGTTTAGGTACTAAAATGTCATAATGAAAAATTTTAGGTACCAAAATGTAATTTTACAATGATTTTTTTCATATAAAAATATAAATTTTAGGTACCAAAATGTAGAATATAAAAAATATAGGTACCAAATCGTAATTTGCCATTTGGATCCATGGATTGATCCATGAATCCACCAATCCAATTGGATTTGGATCAAATGGATTGGATTTAAATGGATTGAATTAGATGGATAATTTGGTGGATGGATTGGATTGGATTAGATTCATGGATTTGGATCCTAGTTGCCACCTCTATAGCTAACACACGTCATGACAATAAACTACGGTAAATTTGAGCATTGCTCTAAGTGAGGGAAAATGACTTCGTCTTCATCCTTACCACAATCGTCAATCCTCTCATTTGACGGCTTGATTTGAAGGAGCCTCTCATTTGACGGCTTGATTTGAAGGAGCTTTTACAGGCTATAATCCATTCAACATCCATCTCTCTGGAGTGTAAACCAAGGAAACAAAAGGAAAACGAAAGCTAGAGAAGGCGACAGCAAAGCAACTTCACAAATCACAAGCACGATGCTTTAACATGATAAACTAATGTCATACATTGTGCAAAGTACTCTGTAAAACCTCCTACACAGCACCGTGAGGAACCGGAACTGCAACAAGGCCCTGCTTCCTACATACCGCCAGCCCAAACGATTCACTCATATCCAACTCCTCCACGCCCTCCGGCAGCTTCCAGTCGAAATGAAACAGCAACTTCGCGAGCGACAGCTCGATGTTCGCCTGCGCGAACATCACTCCAGGACACATCCTCCTCCCAGCACCGAACGGAATGAACTCGAACTCGGACCCTTTGTAGTCCATCGACCGGCTCAGAAACCTCTCGGGCACGAACCGGTCCGGTCGGTCCGGCCAGTACTCGGGATCCCTCTGGATCGCCCACGCGTTGATTATGACCCGGGTCCTGGCCGGAATGTGGTACCCTTTGATCTCGCAGGCCTCGCTGGATTCCCTTGGCATTAGCAGGGGAGACGGAGGGTGCAGCCTCAGCGTCTCCTTGATCACTGCTTTCAAGTAGTGGAGCTCGTGGAGGAGCGTCTCGTCGACGGTCGATTTTCCGTCGTAGACGCGACGGACCTCGGATTGTGCCTCCGCCATGACTGGAGGGTTTAGGAGCATCTCGGACATCGCCCACTCCATTGTTGCCGAGGATGTCTCTGCCCCTGCCGTCACCATGTCCTGCACACGGTAACCGAACGAGAAATCGACAATGTAAAAACTAAAAAGATATATAGCATTAGCTAATTTACGTGTATATTGAGAAAGTATATAGATAAGGAACAATTGGTTTTCAAGTCATAATGTAACCAAATTGGAACAATATGAACAATCTCAAGAATGGATGCACAATCATAATTATTACCCAAAGGTTTGCTTTGATGGAATCATCGGTCAAGGGGAAGTCAGAGTCGCCAGGCTGCTGATATTTTAGCAGCACATCAGTCAGATCTTCTTCTTCATCATCATCTCCATTGACAACTCTGTTCCTTCTCCCCTGTTTATGCTCATCCAAAATACCCTGAACGATCCGATCCTTCTCATTGTGCAGCTTAATCAACTTGGGTTTCATCCCAGTCACCAATTCCAGCAACTTCACAGAAGGGAAAAGGTTCACCAGCGTGAAACCCGTCATCATCTTCACAATCCCGTACACAATCGACACATAGGCTTCCCCTGTTTCTTCTCCCCTGCATCTCCTCCCAAACGCGGCGCTCAGCGCGATCCCGTACGTCATCTCCACCATCCTCTTGCTCAGATTCACGACACCGCCGTCCCGCGATTCAGCGGCGATCCCGGCGACCAGATCCGCCGCCGCCTCCTCCCGGATCCGGCGGAACGACCCGACCCGACTGGCGCTGAGGAGGTCGGACTTGCAGATCTTCCGCAGGTGGCGCCAGTATCCGCCGTAGGGGGCGAACCCGATGTCGAGGAGGCCGTAGGAGAGGATCCGGTTGCCGGCGGTGACGGGGCGGTTGGCGAAGGTGACGTCGTGGGTGGTGAAGACCTCTCTGGCGAAAGCAGGAGAGGAGATGACGGTGGTCGTGAGCTGGCCCAGTTGGAGCCGCATGATTGGGCCGTGTTGTGCCGATAGTTGGGCCAGCGAGCGGTGCGGCGGGGATTTCAGCTGGTGGAGGTTTCCGATCAGCGGCAGCTTCCGTGGCCCCGGTGGTACCCTGCCGCCCCCTCTGCCGCCGCCGCTGGTCGATGATCGGTTTTTGAGGACGTTGGTTAAGGTGTAGGAAATTGTGATGAAGGCGAGGAAGAGGAGGAGGAGAAGGGAAGTGGGTTCGAGAGAAAGCTCCATTTTCGGGTTCACTGATCAGTCTGTGAGGAGCAGTGGAGTTTAAGGAAGTTGTGTGCGTGAATTTCATCGTCGTCTTCAGGACAAGGAAATCTGGGAATCGCTAATCACAGATGAACAAGTGGCGAAGTAGATGATAAGATGATTCTTTGATCTGCTCGTTTCTTTTACCAAATATGGAGAATCGTGTTATGGAAAGCAAAGAAGACCGGTGGAGTGCTGGTTTGTACAATGAGGGAGGAATCACAATGCGAATGGCCAAGGGTGTGAGTTGTATTCATCATCGTACTTCTTTCTTGTTGAAAATAGTACTTCTGTATATCTCTGTAGGATTGTGAAATTGTATTGGAGGTTTGTGGTGAAAATGATAGATATAGTCTATTTGGTGGTGAAATTGTGAGTTGTGTGTTCGAATTTCTACGACTTCCAATATTAAGAGTTGATTAAAGCACAAGGTGTGGTGATCGCCTGTGCAAACTTCACGTCCATGAGTTGACTTTCGTTTGAGGAGGGCGTGCTATAGAGATGTTTAAGATCCAGTATAACTTTTTCCCAACAACTTGAGTTATTGGGGACCAACTGGTTTATAATGAGACCTCTTATAAGAGGTTTTTCTTGTCAGACCACCGATATGATACGATTTTCACAAATGCTGGAATTTTGATAATAAAACATGATACAATTTCACAAATGCTGAAATTTTGATAACATGTTTTATTAGCAATAATGTGACGATTGTTGATTATGCTACAAACGAACGATGACATACGTATTAGATTTCAAATTTGAAGGTTTGACATAATTTGTGGATTTGGAAAATAAGTTATTGGTGATACACTTGGGTTGTCGAGCTATTGCCGGCCAAGCTGTTGTTTCATTTCGACGGGAAGCTGTCGGAGGGGATGGAGGGTTTGGACATGAAGGAGTCGATTGGGCTGGCGGTTTGCCGGAAGCAGGGCCTCGTCGCCGTTCCGATTCCTCACGGTGCTGTGTAAGAGCATAAGAGGTCTTACATAGTACGTTGCACAATGGGTTAATTGCAAGGATGGTCACTGGGTTTACTAAAACCGTTCATGTTTGGTCACTGCAAATATTTAATTCCATTCATGGTCACTAAGATTAGTTCTATAGTTCAAGTTTGGTCACTCTCCGTTAGTCTCCGTTAGTTTTTGCTGATGTGGCAGTCAACTATTATAGTTGACCGTTAAATAAGTGATGTGGCCATTAAAAAAATAATAAAATATAAATATTTACAACTAGGCTTAAGAATCTTCTCCTCCAGCCATAGCCTGCTGTCCAATCCGCTTCTTGTCCGGAACAAAAACACCGCCGCCCCCATCGCCGCCGCCGCCGCCGTACATCCTCCTCTGCCGCGGCCGTCTGCTTCTCCTTCCCCTGTTTCCTTAAAAGACCAGTCGTGCAAATCCCACATCACGTCCACCACAATCCCATCCAAGAAAATCGTCTGATTCCCGCGGAAATTCCACCTCAACCTCCTCACCTCGAAAACCCGCCGCCCGTTGATCAAAACCGACATCCCCGCCGCCGCCGCCGCCTGATCACCCCCAGTCCCGAAGTTGATCATCACGTCGTGCATTTCCCCCAATCTGCTGAACTGCGCCCGAGTCGAATACGAACCGCGACCCGACCCGCCGGAGACGAATTTATCGATCCGGGAAACAGGGGAGAGCTCCGCCGCCAGGCAAATCTTCTCCCCGTCTACCCCTCCTCGCCGGAACCCATCCTCACCTTCCTCGTCCTCGATCTCCTTGACGTCTCCGAGGAACAACCCGGGTTCCAAATCAATCAATACGACGCTGTAGAACCCACTAACCGGTTCGGGCCCTGCATCGTAGAAAGCAGGGGAGAGGTTCCAGAGCAGCTCGATTCTGCAACCGCAGGCTTCGAATTCTTTGCTCCCTTTCGGTTTCGGAAAATGGCGAGCCGGCGAATTAGAAGCAGAAGGGAGTTTGTCCGTTACCGAGATTGAAAACCCCCCGTCTCCTCCGCCGCAACCGGACCAATTGACGGTGACGAAAATCGGATTGGAATTCAGCGAGGAGTTGTTTTTGATTATTTTGTAAGTGGAAGTGACGGAGCTCGGCGCCGGACGGGTGGGGTGCTGGGAAATTTAGCTTCTGTACCCCCACACAACTCGACAAAAGGGGTAGTTGACTTTTATTATTGTAAATATTTGAATTTTATTATTTTATTATTTTTTTAATGGCCACGTCACTCTTTTAACGGTCAACTATAATAGTTGACTGCCACATCAGCAAAAACTAACGGAGACTAACGGAGAGTGACCAAACTTGAACTATTGAACTAATCTTAGTGACCATGAATAGAATTAAATATTTGTAGTGACCAAATATGAACGGTTTTAGTAAACTCAGTGACCATCCTTGCAATTAACCCTTGCACAATACATGCAATTTATCAAATCATAGTCCAGCTCCATTTTTCAATCAGGAAAACTCAGATGAATGAACAGATAACGAATATTATGTATATTTTGAAGCAACATGCATACATAAAAGAAAAGTTCCATCCATCTCCTATGTCGATCTTAGACATCAATCAAATTTTAAATGTCTATCCCATTTTTGATAGTGGATTTACCCATTTTAGAGAGGTACTTTTCATTGTTGAGAGCTACTATTATAAATTCATCATTTTTTAGCTCTGACGAGAGCACTTGAAAAAATCTTAAGAACACTTTCAACGGGCATAACAACGGTCTATTGAGAGTAAATTTAATAGTGTAAGAGAATTTTTCCCTATTGTCAACTTTTTTTTACAATCGTGATTTCCATTCCAACAAACGATAGGAGTACAAGCAAATCCAAATTGCAACATCCGATGAATAATATTAAGCCTTGAATCCATTATTGGGGAAGATCCATTTTTCGTTTCTTTTGCAAGCCAATATGCGCTTTTGTTGCAAGGTCTTGAGGCAAAGCTGATAGGTAATCCGACGTTCACTTTGAGAAGAATGTGGATGCACTGTACCCAAGCTCTCACTTGCCATGAACCAACTTTTTCTGGATCCTGAATAATATCCAATAGCACCTTATAGTCTGAGAAAATATAGGTTGGATAGTGGAGGGAGATTGCCACTCTCACTACAGTCAGCAGAGCTTTTGCTTCCGTAACTATAGTTGAAGAAGGGAAGAAAGTGTCAGCACAACCATCCACAACTTACCCATGTTGTTCTTAGTGATGACCTCATATGCCGCCACCCGTGATTCCGATCTAAACTATTCATCACAATGATTTTCCCACTGGGAAGCACTAGACGGTAGGCGAAGTGTGTTACCGTTTGATAGATGTTGGGCTTGGACACCGAGGGAAGTCGGAAGCTGGAGGGGAGTCGTCCAAAATGAGAAATCTCTAACTACATTTGTTGAGGTCAATGCGGGATGGGGGATGAAACCTTTGGAAACTCTTATTCCAGGCAATCCAGATAGCCCAAAGGCAAGCCACGATAGCTGGGATAGAGACAACAGGGGAACCTTCATAGATAGAAAGCAACCACACGAAAATAGGTATGAAGTCTTAGGGCAGAGAGAGAAGGTTGAAGGATCTGCCAAACTCTTGCAGCATGGGGACACTAGAAGAGGCAGTGCCACACATCCTCCATGCACACCTCGCAGACAATGCAAAGCGGAGAAGGAAAAAGATTTCTATGAAGGATATTCCTCCTCGTAACAACTACATTCCTCGATATCCTCCATACAAAGGAGAGGATCTTTGGAGGCAAAGAGAGACTCCATAGCCATTTCCAAAACTTTTGAAGTACAGTTAGGACGATTCATGTTTGGAGTCCCAAGTCGATTTCTTCCTAACCCCCTAAAAATATGATAAACTGATTTCACCGAGAACAACCACAATCTCTCAAAGTGCTAAACTCACTCATCATCAAGTACCTATCCCAATTGGGATTCTCTTAATAGTCTCCACTATATTTTATAATTTCTAATTAAGCTTCTATTTTCAATTCCATGTTAGTTTGTTACTAAAATCGATCTCACTTTACTTATTAGATGTCGATGTGGGATTCACCTAAAGTATTGCAGAAGATGTACATTTTTGCCTTCATTCACATCGCACAAACCTAATTATTCTTACACATGCATCAAAGGGTACCCAAATATCCTACTATATTAAGACATCAACCCTATTTAAGAAGAAGAAAAAAAAGGCACCATGACAATCAACATAAAACTCAACCGTTACAAAATATATTTTGCATACATTACAAACTTTTCAGTGCTATACATTACAAACTTTTAGTATGATACATTACAAACTTATACTACTATGAACCTTTTATTCTTTTTTCTTCTAAAATTTCTCAAGTAACATTTATAACATATAAAGGCACATCCAACATAATACTACGATTTTTCAGACAAGCAATGATCCCGTCAATTCTTGTTGCATTAAGCGACAAAAGGAACCAAGAAAAGCCTGTTTTTCCTCTTGATGGCCGCACCAAATGCCTCGGTCATGTCGAGGCACTCGGGTTTCCGGTCATGCGGAAGTTTCCAATCGAAACGATAGATCAACCACGCCAACGGAAGCTCGATGTTCGCCACAGCGAACGACATTCCGGGACAGATCCTCCTTCCCGCACCAAACGGTATCAGCTGAAAATGAATCCCTTTATAATCGACCGAGCTGTCGAGGAACCTCTCGGGCAAGAACGTCTCGGCATCCGCCCAGCACTCGGGATCCCTCCCGATCGCCCACGCGTTCACAATGACGCTGTAACCGGCCGGTATGCGGTAGCCGCCGATCTCGCAGTCCTCGGCACCGGTCCTCGGGAGCAGCATGGGTGCCGGAGGGTGTAGTCTCATGGTCTCTCGTATCACCATTTTTAGGTATACTAGCTCGGAAAGCCTTGCCTCGTCGACCTTTCCGTCGGGCCCAAAGGCCCGCCTTACTTCGGATTGGGCTTTTTGCATCACTCGTGGGTTCTTCACTAGCTCCGACATGGCCCATTCTAGACTCGTGGCCGTCGTCTCGGTGCCAGCAAAGAATAGGTCCTAGGATTAATTAAGCAAGATGATTAAGACGATGATTAAGACGATGATGATGTTGTGATTAATAATTAATTACCACGAGGACCGCCTTGATATTATCGGTTGTCAAGGAGAATCCAAGATTCTCTTCCCCCCGCCGATGCTTCAGAAGCACACTCAAAAGATCCTCATCCTCTCCCTCTTCTCCGCCGCTCTTCCGATGGCCGGCGATGATGGAGTCAAGCACCTCGTCGGCGTTCCGGCGAAGCTTGCTCATCCTCGAGGCCACACCCGTGACAACCTGAAGAAGCTTGAACGAAGGGAAGAAATCCGCCACGTTAAACCCCGTCGCCACCCTCGTGATCTCGCCGACCAGCGGCAAGAACGCCTCCCTCCCTTCTCCGGTCATCGCCTCCCCGAACGCCGCCCTGGACAGGACGCCGTAAGTCATCTTGCAGAACATAGCGCTCAAGTCAACCCCGGAGCCCGACGACGCTGCCGCCGATATGGCGGCGGCAAGCTTCGAAGTCTCGTCCTCTCTGATGGAACCGAACGACCTGACCAATGCAGTAAAAATCGTAATTTATGTAAAAAAATAAGATTTTAAGGGTTAAAGCGTAAAACTTGAGCACACTTATTATAAAAAAAAGGTGTAATGTTACATAAAAGCTTTTTTGTTCTTGTAGTATAAAAATTGTAAAATTTTAAAGTTCAAGCCAATGTATATGCCCGTCGAGTTTTACTATTTAGAGCACGAATTAACCGGAGTTTGGGGCATGATATTATACCCTAATTTCTAATGGGTGAACCCCAAACCCTAATTTTCTAAATCAGGCCACAAGATTCATTTAATCTAAAAAATAATAACCGACTATTATGATTTAACGAAATATATTGAAGTGCAAAAATCAAGTGTGAGCATAGGCGTACAACGTGCGTAGCCTTTGCCAAACTTTTAAATTTTAAAACGCGATTTTGAATAGACCTGATCATCCTGGCGCTGAAGAGCTCGACGGTGCATATCTTGCGGAGCTGGCGCCAGTAGTCGCCGTAGGGGGCGAACACGATGTCGGTGGACCCGTAGGCGAGGGCTTCGGCGGCGTACTGAGCCGGAGGCCGCTGGGCGAAGTTGACGTCGTGTGTTTTAAGGAAGGCCTCGGCGATTTGGGCCGAGGAGACGACGATGGTCTGGACTTGGCCCAGCTGGAGGTGCATGATCGCGGGCCCGTGTTTGTGGGCCAGGTCTCGGAGGGCTTGGTGTAGGAGTGCTTTGTTGCCGGTGGCGAGGTGGTGCATGTGGCCGATCAGCGGCAGCTTCGTCGGCGGCGAGGGAGGGAGTGGTAGAGTGGTTTTTTGGAGCTTGTTGCGGTTGGCGGCCAGTGGTCGAGATCTCGAGAAGAAGATGAAGAGGGATGTGGTGATGGTGATGACGACGATGAAGAGCTGATGAAGAAGCTCCATTATGTTGTGGTTATTTAGCAGCTTGAATTAGCACCTAGTTTTTGGTGAAATCTTTTATGATTTATTTTGCAGCAGCAAAGCTGCAGAATATATACAGCAAAAATCCGAACTACAAAGACAACGGGTCTCTAATGGCGTTGAAAAGAATAAAAAGGGGAAAATGTTTTCATCTTCTCTCTCCGCTAAATCCCACGTTTGGTCATTGAGGTTACTAAATCGTGTCATGTTTAGTCACTAGAAAAATTTAATATCAATTTTGGTCACTCCAATTACCGAAACATGTCACATTTGGTCACTCTCCTGTAGCCTCTGTCCAACTCCGGTCACTCGAATTATTGAAACATGTCACATTTAGTCACTCGAATTACTCAAATATGTCACATTTAGTCACTCTCCCGTTAGTTTCTGTCCAACTCCATTAAATGGAGTTGGACGGAAACTAACGAGAGAGTGACTAAACGTGACTAGTTTCAGTAATTCGAGTGACCAAAATTGATATTAAATTTTTCTAATGACTAAACATGACACGTTTTAGTAAACCCAAATGACTAAATGTGGCATTTACCATCTTCTTTCTGTTCTCCCATTCGGTCTTTCCACTCCATGTTGTTTTCTTTATGTTTGAAATTGCTCATTTTTTTCTTGGATATTTTTCCATAAATTCATTATCAAATTCGATGTAATACAGTACTTTCACCAAAATTTTCCAAATTACTAGAATTTTGGTGCAATTTGTTAGTGTCAAAAGTGAACAAATATATTTTATCACCAAAGTCAAGGACGATTTATATTTCATTGTCGGACACAAAAGCAATCTAGTGGAGATCGCTCCACTGACTAGAGATGGCTGGCTGGGAACTGGTGATCGCTGCAATTACCAGCGATGCATAGATTCACGTTAAGATAAAATATACCTGTTCGCTTTTCACACCAACGAGCCCTATCAAACTCTAGTAGTTTGGGAAATTTTGATGAAAGTATTGTATTATGGGAGTTTGATAGCGCAACACTAGTATTCTCGGAGGAAAAATCCTTATTTCTTTGTTCAGCTAGTAATCGTTGCCGCAGCTGGGGCTGACACTCAACTTCTTATTCCTCCCTTCCTTTATGCTCTGTCCATAGAGTTTGACAGCCCCGACGAGTATATGTCATATATACTCTTTTAATTTGAATAAAATTCATATATGGATCGATGTGTGCTCGGTTGCTTCGTGAATATATCAGCTAGGTTGAATATCAGCTAAGTTGAATATCACATTTCCTTCTGCAGATAATTTTAAATCCAAATAATGAATATTATTTGAATCGCTATGTATATCAAATCATTTTCGGATGCGACATGCCAAGTAACACCATAGTTTCAATTTTGGCATATATGCACCACTATTGGTCAACAATAAGATTTTACTAGCCTAATCGTCAAAATGACGGAAAATGTAGATCATTAGTTTTCTAACCATGTAAATTATTTTATTGCTCTACCACGATTTTGGTTTCAGTAATAATAGATGTTGTTGAGTTGTATGATGATATAATTTTTTTTATCCTAATTTTTTCTATCTATGATAATTTGATAATTTCCAATTAAGCTTCTACTTTCAACTCCGTGTTAATTTAGCTATTGAAATTAGTCTCACTTAGCCTTATTTGATGTTGATTGAGCATTCAATCACGAGCCGCCACTATGCTCTTCTTTGTTTGACAATCGTGTAATCTTTTGTTACTTGAAACATGTACACTTCCAAGAGTTACACTGATGTGTACATATTTCAAGTTTTTTCCTTTCAAGATTTTCCAAGAAACATTTAGACCATATACATGCACAACATCGAGAAAACTACTACGACTTTTCAGACAAGCAATTTCATTACCATTTCGCTCAGATGAATTAAGCTCCGAAATTAGGAACCAAAAAAAGTCCGTTTTTCCTCTTGACGGACGCCCCAAACGCCTCGATCATGTCGAGGCATTCAGGCTCCAGCCCATCTGGCAGCTTCCAGTCGAAACGATACAACAACCATGCGAGCGGAAGCTCGATGCCAGCCAGAGCGAACGACATTCCAGGACAGATCCTCCTCCCAGCCCCGAACGGTATCAGCTGGAAATGAAGCCCCCTGTAATCGACCGAGCTATCGAGGAACCTCTCGGGCCAGAACGTCTCGGGATCCGCCCAGTACTCGGGATCCCTCCCGATCGCCCAGGCGTTCACCATGACGCTGGAACCGGCCGGTATGTGGTAGCCGCCGATCTCACAGTCTTCGGCTCCGGTCCTCGGCAGCAGCACGGCGACCGGAGGGTGGAGCCTCATGCTCTCTCGTATCACCATTTTTAGGTATACGAGCTCGTGGACCCTTGCTTCCTCGACCTTGTTTCCTTCGGGCCCAAAGGCCCGCCTTACTTCGGATTGGGCTTTTTGCATCACTCGTGGGTTCTTCACCAGTTCTGACATGGCCCATTCTAGACTTGTGGCTGTTGTCTCTGTGCCCGCAAAGAATAGGTCCTGAGGATAGTATTAGAGTAATGCAAAGCGTGATTAGCATGGTTAACCTCGCTGTTGTGGCCAGGTAATTAATTAATTAAAAATACTTGGGAGAGCTCTGTTTTGTGACAATTTCAAGGAAAGGAAAAACAAAAGAGTAGCTATCAGTGATTGAAATGCTGACAATAATTCGAGTTTGATGTACGATGTTATACACTAATTTTTAATGGATGATAATAACCGACGGCTCTGATTCGTGGAAATATAACAAAGTACTTGGGAGGGATTAATAATTTAATTACCACGAGAACCGCCTTGATATTGTCGGTTGTCAATGAGAATCCCAAATCATCTTCCCCCAGCCGATGCTTCAGAAGCACATCCAAAAGCACTTCTTCTCCTTCTCCTTCTTCACTCGGCCTCTTACTTCCCTTCTTCCGATCTCCATGGCCGGCGATGATGGATTCAAGCACCTCGTCGGCCTTCCGATGAAGCACGCTCAACTTCGCGGCCACACCCGTGACAACCTGAAGGAGCTTAAACGAAGGGAAGAAATCCGCCACGTTAAACCCCGTCGCCACCCTCGTAATCTCGTCGATCAGCGGCAGGAAAGCCTCCCTTCCTTCTCCGGTCACCTCGCCGAACGCGGCCCGGGAGAGGACGCCGTAAGTCAACTTACAGAACATGGCGCTCAAGTCAACCCCGGAGCCGCCCGATGCCGTTGCAGCGGCCGCCGCCGATACGGCGGCGACGAGCTTCGACACCTCGTCCTCCCTGATGGATCCGAATGACCTGAATTCAATGCAGTCAAAATCGAGTTTTTAGCTGCGTAAAAAAATGAGATTTTTTTTTTCAAATTTAAAGAGTAGATTTTTTTACTACATGTAACGAAAAAGCGTGAAACTGGGTAAAAACCTTTTTGACGATCTTGAAGTGTAGAAACTAGAAACGTAAACTTTCAAATTTCACGATTCAAAAGCGTAACAAACGTAAGGTTTTTAAATTTTAACGTGTAGATTTTGACTGCACTTCTAAATAAAAGTGTAATTTCTATTTTGGTGATCTAAAAGTGTAAAAGGGTATGGTTTTAAATTTTCAAACGCGATTTTGAATTGGACCTGATCATCTTGGTGCTGAAGAGCTCGACTGTGCAGATCTTGCGGAGCTGGCGCCAGTAGTCGCCGTAGGGGGCGAACACGATGTCGGTGCAGCCGTAGGCGAGGATGTCGGCGGAGTGGGCGGGAGGCCGCTGGGCGAAGTTGACGTCGTGGGTTTTCAGGAAGGCCTCGGCGATATGGGCCGAGGAGACGACGATGGTCTGGACCTGGCCCAGCTGGAGGTGCATGATCGCGGGCCCGTGTTTGTGGGCCAGGTCCCTGAGGGCCCGGTGCGGCAGCAGGGATGAGTTGCCGGTGGCGAGGTGGTGCATGTGGCCGATCAGCGGCAGCTTCGTCGGCGGCGAGGGAGGGAGCGGTGGAGTGATGTTGCGGTTGTGGGTGGTGGATGGTCGAGATTTCGAGAAGAAGATGAAGATGGCGAGTAGTAGTGTTGTGATAATGATGGCTGGGAGTTGAAGAAGGAGCTCCATGTGTGCCGGCTGGCAACTTGAATTAGCCGCCGGCCGGTGAGGAGGAGATTAGTGAGAATATTGGAGAAAAAGACTAGTTTTGGTGAAATCTTCTGTGATTTCTTTTGCAACGACGCGGCAGGATATATATACCGCCAAAACCTGAAGTACAGGACGAAACTGTGGCAATGGGTCGGGTTGGTGATGGATAGTGCATATTTGTTACCCTATTCATTGTAGTTTGGGTTTTATCCATATCCATACCCACATAAGAAATATGTAGAAAACCCAACAATGTCCATACCCGTTCGGGTTTCGGGTATCCACGGTTATCCATGGTTAATAGTTTCTCTTTATAACTTCAACCAATATATTAATATTCACACGCATTCTCACATTACGTAAGATGAAAAGTACGACAATAATTCACTAGAATGAAGAAAATTAATTAAAAACAACACAATTTCATAAAAATATTATATTTATATGCTAAACATGAAATATGTTATAGAAAAATATTGATTATTTCTAGACAAAATACTTATGCATGTGTATGATCGGGCGGGTTCGTGTTGGATATTGAGAAAACCATGTCCACCCATTATCCGCAATATTCGGGTTCAGGTTTTACCCGTACCCACTAAAACTCCTTCGAGTTCGGGGTTTACCCTACCCGATTAGATCGAATTCGGACGGATATCCACGGTTATGGATATTTTTGCCATCCCTAGACGAGACCGGACTCTAAAAGGCCTTGTGTTGTTAACACACGACAAGTGTTGCTGCCCTATTCATTTACATCTAAAAGAGAAAAGGAGTAAGAAAGTTCACATAACATATAGAGTGAATCTCTATATGTTATTATTTATATCTCTTATTCGGTCCACAAAAACTGTAACAATGTTGTAACACTTTTTGTAGGTTGAAATCAGGGATCTCTCCACATATCATGTGTTGTCTCATTGATCCCACCGGCTAGCTCCCAATCCAAATGGTACAGAAACTGGGCCGGCAGCTCAAACGTAATAGTAATGCTAGTTGAACATATAGCTAAAATAGCGATCTTGGTTGATTATATTGATGAAGTTTCTATAATAGCAAGGTGTTGATTCTATATTGGCTCTAATGACTTGGTCTCGGTGTGTTTTTTTTGCCTGCAGCCGTACATATTATCAAATTCTAAATTACGAGACCTCATTTTCTAGTCGTTGTAGAAAATGTTGTGTGAACTTAGACCGGCACCATGACCATTGACCACATTTTACAAGGAATTTTTCATTTCGGTGTAAACGATACAAGAGTAGAACAATGTATAATACGCTTTTAAGGGTTGTTGAACTAGCCGTTTCAGAATCCCAAGTTTGGGGAGCATTTCTCGACAGGTAGAAAGAAATTTCCCCATAATAACTCCATGCTGCATTGTGTGTTGAACTACAAATCGTGTTGGTTTGGATATGAGACGAGTATGGTTAAAATATTTGTGAACAAAAATAATTGATGGAGGTGGGTCAGTGGGTGGGTAACTGGGTAGTGGGTATGGTATTTTAGGTACGGTTTTGGATTCGTCTGTCTGTGAATTCATAAATCATAACTCCCTTCCTGTTGTTTAGAATTTCTGTAATAATTTTTAAACATAGTATTGGTATCTCTCCTTTCAAAATAATTAGCATTAAATTATAACCAATTCCGTCATTATATACAGTCAGCAAAATGAAACCTTCCTATTGGTTGAGATTAATGTTAGCATGCACCATGTTTACTAATTAGGTATTACCACCCTACCACCAACATGATTGATTATCGGTGTGATGATGAACTTTGTCTGCTAATTAATTTTAGGGTTATTCATAGGGTAAAAGTAATTTATTAGCCAATTATTTTAGAAATTATAAAATAAAATTTTAAATAACAAAATGTCTGACTATTACAAGTTACAACAAAAGTCTACGAGGTGTTACTAGAGATGGTAACAGAATCCGAACCCACGGGTACCCACCCGACCCAACCCGGTCAACGTGGGTAAAACCCGTGTTGACGGGTTTTGGGCCGGGTTCGGGTTTAAACCCGCTACACTATTCACCGGGTCGGATTGGGTTTGGGATTAGGTAAACCCGCCCCATGGGTGGGTGCCCACACATATATAATTACTTTCCCGGTATATTTAATATTCTAAATAATATATCTTCCTTAAACAACTAATATCTATATGTTTGTGGAGACATGTATAATTTGTTCTTTCTAATTGTTTAGAATGAAGTTGATATAATCAAGTGGAGAGTGAAGAAACTCAGTTGACGAGGAAGAAGTTTTCAATTAATCTTATTGTTTATATATGTTTATCTTTAATTTTGAATAATTTGTATTGATCATTTGCGCTTTGCTTGTATGCTCTAGATTGGTGTTTTTTGTATGATTAATTTGTATGAGAAAATTGATGTTAAACTTTTATTTTGAAAGAAACTTGTTATTGTAAATTTTTACCTAAAAAACCCACGGGTACTAGGGGTGTACATGGGTCGGGTGGTCCGGGTTTAGCCATTTTAATCACCCGACCCATACACTACGGTTTGGAAAATATTAAACCCAAACCCACCCAAAAAAAATTAAACCCTACGGTTTGTTTCTAATTGGGTTGGGTCGGGTTGGCGATATTTTAAAATAAAAACCCAACCCAACACAAAATATGTAATTATTCTACACCATAAAAATATTTTATAACTAATTAAAATTTCAAACAAATAAACCGAGGTGAAAGGTATCAAAATTCATAAATGTTGTTTGAATTTTAATAAAATGTGATTACTTCAACATATGTGTAGTTTTTTTCACGATATTTGTTGAAATAGGCTAACAATGTTATAAACTAATGCATCATAATATGTTATCTATTAAAATTATACACAAGAAAGAATTACGTGAATCATAACTATATTAAATTTATGTATAAACTTTAAGCCAAAGAATGCCTTAGATTAGAGAGACCATGAGAGAAAAACATGGCGAAATATATTAATTTTCTCATAAGTATGACTATATACGACATAAATATTTTATGGATACGAACTCATACCAATAGTTGGAACACGGGTTGGGTTGGGTTCTACGAGTTGTGTAATCCAAAATCCGAACCCAACCCAAAAGAGGCGGGTTGTACAAAAGAAAACTCTCACCCAACCCAAAACCTTCAGTTTAACGATAAATACGGGTGGGTTGGGTCGGGTTGGACGGGTGGGTCTGTTTGCGGGTGTATTTGTTCACCCCTAACGGGTACCCATGAACCCGCGGATACCCAGCGGGTTGGGTTTGAGTTTTTCAAACCCAACGGGTTTTACCCCAGTTTTTTTGGCGGATAAACCCATGGGTTTGGGTTTGACAAAACCCGATCCAACCCGACCCATTGCCATCCCTAGGTGTTACCATATTTTGATTTTTTTTTTTGTAAAATACACTCACTATCTACGATGCTCAACAATCTTTTTCAATATATTCAACTAGACAATCATTCACAAACTGGTCGCCTATACTATTCCTTGTTTTGATGTAAAGCAAAGCTGAAAAACTCTCTCCTTTTTGGGTTGAGCCCAGTCGTAATCTTGATGAACTTTCATTTTTAAAAAAATATATATTTGGAGTTTCAACCAGGAAAATCAATAAAAGTTTAAGAAGCAAATAGACCAATGTATATCATAGATTCAATTCAACATCAACTAAGCTCTCTCAACATTTGGAGTTTCAACCAGTAAAATCAATACAACTCCGAGAAGCAAATAAAGTCATGAATATGATATATTTAATTCAACATCAACTAAACTAATTCATTAGTTCATTTTAATCCACAAAATAACTCGTAATTTTTTTTAACAGAAATGATAATCTTTCTCTAAGTCCTATAGAAGAAAAGAAAGGTGACCAAACTCTTCGGGATAAAATCGCGTGTTAGAATACGGTGGGTGATAAGGGATAGTTCCTGATTTTAATTTCAGGCTTTGAAAAAATTGGGATAAGGGTTACACGTTTATGATTACATTTATGACAAAATAACAACAACAAATAAAGTGTAGTCAAATAAAAAAAATGTTCGCTGATACATATTGTGTTATATATTCGAATCACATATACTACCATTTTTTTTCACACTCAAACTACTACCCAAATTTTAGAGCTGTCCTACCCTCCAATTTGGTCCGTCATCGAGAGCGGGTATGTATAGATTTGAATTTTTATTTTTTGATAGAAAACTAGATTTGAATTTTTATAATGAGAATGAAAATGTTTTAGGAAAACTCACCATATTATCGTCTCTATCTAATACCACATTCACAACCTCCATCCAAACTAAAGATTCCATTTGGCATCGATCCCCTACTTAATTATGTCATGCCAAAAATCAGCTCGATGTCTTTGGACTAGGTTTGAATTATTCTAACTTCGTTTGGATACCATCATTACCACGAAAGCCCTAATCTCATCCAAGTTAGTGAGCATAAAACTGGCTTAATCATACTTAGAAAATCCGACCAAACGATTCGCTAGATTCATCTGCCTCTGGTAGCAAGCAGCATCTACAACATATGGATTCTGTTTCAGCTAGATGACGAAACCTGTTGGGATTTTTTAGGTGAACGGCTATTTACCGCCAACCAAATTGATATTTGCCGCCAACTAAAAAAAAAAATTGAATTCAAAATTTGAATTTTCCCTTCCTTTCATTCTATAAATTTGGATATCAGGAACATTTGACTCATTCCAACAAAAACTTCTGTTGACGAGCCCAGTGCCTCTGTCGCCGGCACCGTTCTTCCGTCGTCGGCTAACCTCCCGTCGCCCTCAATCGTCGGAAAACAAGTAAGTTTACTTTTTCCGGCCAGTTTTCCAGTTTTCCGGCAAGTTTTCCGGCGAAAAACACGGCGGGCCGAAAAAAAAATTAGTGCCCGAACGCCGCCGAGCCGGAAAAAATTTGCGGCCAGTGCGACGGCCGGCCGAAAAATTCTTTCGGCCCGGCGACGCCTCGGCCACAAATTTTTTTCGGCCGGTCGCCAAACACGCCGGCCAAAAATTTTCCGGCGGCGTGTTCGTCGGCCTGCCGAAAAAATTTTGCGGCCGGAGCGACGTCGGGCCGAAAGAATTTTTTGGCCGGGCGTCGCACCGGCCGCAAATGTTTTTCGGCCCGACGGCGCACCGGCCGCAAAAGTTTTTCGGCCCGACGTCGCTCCGGCCGCAAATTTTTTTCGGCCGGCCGCAAACTGTTTTCGGCCCGGCGGCGCACCAGCCGCAAAATTCTTTCGGCCCGACCAGTGTTTGTATTTAATTTAATTTAATATGATAATTAATTAGTCAATAAAAAATTACTTAATTAGTTAATAGAAATTAGCAATTAGTGTTAATATTTATTTAAGTTGGTGTATAAATATTTTTTTTTGTAATAGGCGTGTGAATGTTTAATTACTTAGATTAGTTAATAGAATTTTAATTAATTAAGAATTGATTTAACAATTAATGTTAATATTCAGTACATAAGTTAATAGAAAATTAATTAATTTGTGATTAATTAACAATTAATGTTAATAGTACATTAGTTAATAGAAATTTAATTAATTAGTGCGCATCTAAGTATGATATTGTGTAAATTTGTAGATAATTAGATATGGATGATGTGGGTGATGCGGGTGGGAGTGAGTTGTATAGATTCAATGGTAGGGTTGTTGATGCATCAGCACGAAGGAAGAATAAGGAGAAGAAGCGCTCTCGAGATATTGGACATCAGTCACAGGCAAATTTAGGGGAGGATGAGTTAGAGGCTCCTACTGTAGTTGCTCGTTCGGCATCACGGGCGTCTGGTTCTCATGGGAGGAACCAGGGTGCTGCATCGAGAGTGGTCTCGGCTGAGTTTGATGAGGACGATAATGATGAGAATATCGAGGTCCCTCCACCTACGCGTGGACATGGACGAGGGCCGTCTTGTACGGCAACATCACATCCTGCTATGTATAGGGACCGAGCTGGGCGATTCGTACCACCTGCTCATGAGGAGACAGAGAGCTCGGGGACTGGTCGGAGTAGGGGAGGACGTTCGAGTGGTCCTCCACCGTGGGAGCTTGTTGGTGAGTGTCCTGGTGGACCTACGGATCCTAGCCTCATTAGGAGCTTTCGTGGCCACGCTGCCTATGCGCTTTGGACGGGGGTTGGAGATCGAGGGGTCATCAGTTGCTACAGCCGTACATCGGCGGTTGCTTATCTGAGTAGCTACGTGTTTAGTCATGTTGAGGCGGAGGATCTAGTTCAGCAGTCAGGTCTCCAGCACCTGATCTACTCTATGTTCCGCAAGATAGCGATTGACGAGGCTTTGATCTCAGCTTTTGTGGAGAGGTGGTAGCCAGACAGGAACACCTTCCACTTGCCTTTTGGAGAGATGACGATCCTCCTCCACGATGTTCAGTTCTTACTGCAGATTTCTGTTGAGGGACGACTGATGAGTATGAGTTCTGCGCAGCTTGACCATCCTGAGGCGGGTTTGTGTGCGCTTCTTGGGATGAACTCGGAGCAGTTGAGTGGTCGTTCGGAGGTCCCTGGATATAATAATAGGGGTAAGTGGTACGAGAAGGGTGGTTTTCTTGCAGAGATGGCGTCCAGATACTTGCAGAGCCAGGGGACACATGTGACAGAGGCGCAGTCGTACTTGTTGTTGATGTTGGGGTCCACTTTGTTTGTGGACAAGAGTAGAGACAGGGTTCGCTCGGTGGTGAACCTATTTTTGGACTAGTTGGAGGAGTTAGATCAGTATAGTTGGGCGTCAGGTACACTTGCTTGGTTGTACAGATACCTTGGTCAGGCATCTCGTGCTGGTGCCAGGGGGTGGCTGGGTGTCTCACACTTCTGCAGTGTTGGATCTACGAGTACTTTCCGGGTTTCAGGACATCTCACTTCGAGCCACCCGCCGTTGGACCTGATGATGCTTGGGCTTCACGATGGATTGGGCAGCCGACACCTGTTTCTGTGGCTGATCCCAGTGTGAGGTTGGCGTTCTACCGTCGAGCCCTTGACAGCTTGACGCCTTCTGATGTGTTTTGGACACCTTTCCATCGAAGGCCTCATCAGGCAGTGCGTCGCTCTTTGTACACTGGAGTCATCCGGTTCGCTGACATAGGCGAGTTCTATGATCCAGCCCGTTGCCTTCGACAGTTTGGATACCGACAGATGGTACCGCCTGCCCCTTCGCGTCCTCAGCGAGCAGACCGACCAGAGGCACCTGGTGGATATGTCATTCGGATGGTGGCAAACACCTGGTATGAGAAGACCATGACTGCGATGTTGTAGATGGTGGCAAACACGAACAAGTCCTCAGAATCCATCCATCGCCCCGGTGGTGCGGAACCCGCCTCTAGTCAATTGATGCGGTCAATATGAGCTAGTGGACCACCATTATACAAGTTCTCGTACTTCCAAAAATGTTGTTGGATTTCTTGGACAATCTTCGATCTCATGAGCAGATAGTGACTATCATCCCCATAAATACAATGAGAAAGTGCCCTAAAACCACAATGGCCGTCTGGACTAGGGTTGAAATCGCCTACCAGCAAAGGTCGAACAAACTCTGGAAAAAGCTCATCGATGTAAGGGTAAGAATATTGCCCTGGGGGGCTCTGGGATGAGTAATCTACAAAAATATACCAAACGGTCAAAATTACTTGGAAAAAATTTACAAACATAAACCAATTACTACTAGATGGACTATAATATTAAACCAATTACTCACCTGTATCATGCTCGTCGGATTCACCTCCACTCGATCGGGATCTGCCTCCACTCGATCTGGATCTGCCTCCACTTGATCAGGATCTGCCTCCACTCGATCGCCCCCTACCTCCACTCGAACCAGGCCCATTACTCCTCGAACGAGACCGCTCATAATATGAACGAATGCGACTGGTGCTTGTTCGAGGCCGTCCTCTCAGATTCTCATTCACTTCCGGTTCCCTCACATTGTCCTCTGCTGAAGAAGCCCATAGAATAGGGCATCTCTTGCTTGTCTCACTGCTTCATGACCTCTTTCTTCCACCTCAACAGTAAGACGCCTAAAGTGTTCTTGTTGAAGCTCAATTTCATCACTCACTTGTTGTTGACGTGGGGGGTTTTTATAATCCAAAGTCCGCCAAAATACATGCAACTCTTGAGCATAGAATTGACGTCCTTCTTCCTTAGCTTGAACAATCTGACAAGCACACTTGAGCCCATGTATCATTTGAAAATGACACGCACAACTTTCCTTCAACTCCGCCGCCCCATCTAACATCAGTTTGATTGCCTCAGAACTAACGACCCTCCTCAAAAAACGTGCACGGAGGCTCAATTGCCCTACTCAGATTGCGGTTCAGTGACTTTTGCAGTTCATTCACCACTTCCAGAAACTGATGTTCCATGTAGTTGTGGTTCTTCGCAAAACAAGTGTCGATCGCTCATCTACCAGACACAAGGAAAATCTTGAATGAAGAGTGAGATGACTCAACTCTATTCGAGCTCGTGTTACCAAGATGAAACACATGGTTCGTGTAGCACTTTGCCCACATTGTCTGATGAGGCAACCACTCACCTCGCACGTAGTCGACCATTTTTATGTTCTTCTCTGTCCAGACCCTCTCAAACCCATTAATCTTTTGAAGAAAACCCTCCTAAGTCCAACTCCATGCAGCTTTGTCGAAATATTTCTTCCATACCGCTTGTGCTATCTCTCTTTTTGCAATTCCACCCAGTAATATTTCAAACTTTTGCTTCACACAGTTGTTGACGTGCCATAAACATAGTAGGTGGACAGTATGTGGGAGAGGGAAGACCACAGGAATAGAAGCAAGCAAACCACCTTCTTTGTCTGTCACAATGACATTCGGAACCGTATCACCGAGCAACCCTTTAATACATCGCAGCAGCCACTCATATGTTTCCTTTGTTTCCTGCTTAATAATTGCACATGCAATGTTGAAATTCTTCTTGACTGGAGTAACCCCAATAATCTCAACCCATGGCCAGCCGTACCTGTTGGTCTTGTAGGTCGAGTCAATGAGGATGACGTACGGCCATGCATGCAACATCTGAATGGACGTCGGGTGCGCAAAAAAAAGATTAGTGAGCACATTATTAGAGTCCTTTTGCAAACAGATATGGTACCCACGCTGTTCAGCTCCGTAAAGCGCAAACTGTATCACATCCATTTCACCCATCTCATCCAATCTTGTCTTGGAATTTATGTTGTACATCTGTTTGATATCATGATGCACACCCCCTTCAGTATTGAGTGTCGTCTTCTGCTGATTTGGTCTCACCCCCGCCTTCCTCATTAATCTTAACCTCTCTTTTTCAGCCTCACTAAACTGTTTGTTGTGTCGGTGATGTTCTGGATACAACACCTTTTCATGGTTGTGAAACCCTCTATTAGCTCCGGTTTCACGACTTGTCACTCCCACTATGACCCATGTGTTTGGACCATTCTTTTGCCATACTTCCTTAATACATATCTGAAACTGGCAACCAGTACCCACTAAAATCGAATTTTTACGAAAAATTCCAAAAACAGATGGTGGGCCGAAAATTTCCGGCGGCCGGAACCTGGCCGGGCCGAAAAATTCCGGTGGCCGGAACCTGGCCGGGCCGAAAAATTCCGGCGGCCGAAGCCAGGCTGATCCGAAAATATATTGTGGCTCAGCCTGGTTCCGGCCACCGATTTCCGCCGGCCCAGTCTTGTTCCGGTCGCCGGAATTTTTCGGCCCGGCCAGGTTCCGACCGCCGGAATTTTTCGGCCCACCGTCTGTTCGTTTCAAATCGTCGGAAAAATTGTTCGAAACTACAAAAAAATTACGCACCTGCTTAGTGATGATTCGTGGATGCGTGTACGCAGTATATGTCGAGGATAGGCTTTCCCGATGATTTTCCGGCGACTTTTCCGGCGAGCGTTGAATTTTTCTGATTCAATACGTTCTCTGAAAGTTGGATATGTTGTAGATTGTGAAACTCTTTAACCAAAGATGTATATGTATACTTTTTTTTTATGGTTGGCGGCAAATAGCAAGCCCCTTTTTTAGTGGTGTGAATGGAAATAAAAAGGGGAAAGTTTCAAGAGTCTCTTGAAGTACCATGTTGGTAAGATGTGGGAAGGCACAACCTCGAATTTGATCGATTTGATGTAATATGTGGTTAATCGGTTAAATTGGTTTGTGTACCAAACAGACCAAACCAAACCAAGTTGAACCAAATCGAACCGAACCGATGTGGCGGTTGGAATAACCAAACTAGTCCAACTACCATGGGCCGAACCGATGCAATGGTTCATTATTTCAAACATGAACCAATGTGTTGGTTGGGGTGTAACCACCCATATGAAGAGTCGCCTTCCTTCGTACGCACCCCTTCATTTTCTATAAATAGCACCTAACCCCCTCTGGTTTTTAATATAGAGATTTTTCCAATACGAAAATTCTGCCAAAAATCCAAAACTAGTTTTCTGCATTCTTTTCAAAGAGAAAATAGAGTAAAGTGTAGTTCTCGCCGGTTCGCTGCGTTCGATGGTTTCCCGGGTTTGAGGTACCGCTACGCCGGAAAAGGTACGTCCTTTCTATCATGAGAGAAATCATTCCATAAGCTTGGGTACTTGAGGGGAATAAGATTCTTTAAGGAGAGATAGTGAATTCTATCGGCTAGGGCGCTTGCATGAGTTTTTGCATGTTTTCTTAATCTTATGTATTTGCTTGTGTTGCAAGAAAAATAATATACGTGAACAATTTTCCCAATAAAACCAACATTATCACGAAAGCCCTAATCTCATCCAAGTTAGTTAGCATAAAACTGGGTTAATCATACTTAGAAAATCCGACCAAAAGATTCGCTAGATTCATCTGCCTCTGGTAGCAAGCAGCATCTACAACATATGGATTCTGTTTCAGCTAGATGACGAAACCAACTGTAAGAAGAAATCCCCCCATTCAGACAATATAATTAAAAAGTGTCAAACTAGTTTCTCGAGCTCCATGCCCCTATATTTTTTTTATACGAGGAGAAATCCGTTTGGCAACGAAAATCTCAACTCTTGTAATTCTCTAACAAATCCTGAAAGTATTTAATACGAACTTACAGTCTTGGTGCCCCTTCATTCCCACACTTAGAACACGAAACAATGGAGTCGTCCTCCCAATTCCAAGCCCCGGCAATTTTGGGCTATCTCCTCTTGCTCGTATTCTTCCTCCTCAAAATGCGTCGAAACCCACCAAAACCCACCTTCGCCGCCGCAGCCCCGCCGCATCCCCCAAAACTTCCCATCATCGGAAACCTCCACCAGCTCGCCGGCAGCTCCCTCCCCCACCGCCGCTTCCCCGACCTCTCCAACCAATACGGCGCCGTATTGGGCCTCCAACTCGGTCAAATCCCCTTTGTCGTCATCTCCTCCGCAGAATCCGCAGAACAGATTCTCAAAACACACGACGTCGTTTTCGCCAACCGACCCTTCAGCCTCGCCGCCCAGATCTTAACCTACGATTTCACCGACATCATCTTCTCCCCCTACGGCGCCTACTGGCGCCAGCTCCGCAAGATCTGCGCCCTCGAGCTCCTCAACCCGAGCCGGGTCCAGTCCTTCGGGTCGATCCGGTCCGAAGAGATATCCAATTCCATGGGCAGAGTCTCTGTTTCGGCTGGGCAGGAATTCAATTTCAGCGAAATGGTCTTTTCCCTCACCGCCGGCATCGTTTCCCGGGTGGCTTTCGGGAAGAAATACAGAGGGCACGACGAGTTTGTGCCGGTGATGGAGGAAATGGCGCGAATTTCAGGTGCGTTTAGCCTGGCCGATTTGTTTCCGTCGGTGAAATTGCTTCAGGTAATGAGTGGGATGAGGTCCCAGCTTCTCAGGTTGAGAAATGAAGCTGATCGGATGATGGGCGGCATAATCTCCGACCACCGTGAGAGGCAGAGCACTGCTGATCGGGGTTCCGACGAGGTGGATGATTTGGTCGATGTGCTTTTGAAGCTTCAGGCTGGTGGCGGGCTCGAGGTTCCTCTTTCAGATGACAACATCAAAGCAGTCATTCTGGTAAATGGAAATTGCATTCTCCTCTTGCTTTTCTTTTCTCAATATCGCATACAAGTGGAAATGACTTTTCCCTCCATTGCAAATTTGTAATGCTTTGATCTGTCTCGTGTTGCCTTCAGGATGTGTTCATAGCGGGGAGTGATACTTCGGCCATTATTATGGATTGGGCAATGTCGGAAATGATTAAGAATCCAAGGATCCTACAACAGGCGCAAAGCGAAGTGAGACGCGTTTTTAAATTAAAAGGAGATGTTGATGTTACACAGCTTCATGAGTTGTATTATCTCCAATCAGTTATCAAAGAGACGCTAAGACTACATCCTCCGGGACCGCTATTGATTCCCAGGGAATGTGGCGAGGATTGCGAGATCGATGGTTTTCAAGTAATGGCAAAGGAGAAGGTGATTGTGAACATTTGGGCGATTGCTAGGGATCCAAAATATTGGACTGATCCGGATGAATTTCGTCCAGAAAGGTTCATCAATAATCCAATTGATTTTAAAGGATCGAACTTCGAGTTCCTACCATTCGGTTCCGGAAGGAGGATATGTCCAGGGATCGCGTTTTCTATGGCGAATATTGAGCTCTCGTTGGCCAAATTTCTATACCATTTCGATTGGAAACTTCCGAGTGATGTCAAGATAGAGAATTTGGACATGACGGAATTATATGGATTTGCGGTAAGGAAGAAACATAACCTTACATTGATTCCAATTCCCTACACCCAAGCATTAGGTTCTTCATTCTCAAGTTAACATGGGAAATAGTTGGAATAATATCGGTTTATCATACGTTCTCTTTTCTTTTTGCTAAATGAACACTTATGTAAATGCCTTTTAGCACGTTATACTCAGATACCAGAAACAGAAACATTTGTCTCCAAATTACAACCACTGGAATACCTCACAAACTCGAATATCACGTCTCTGTCTATTACTACAGTAGTGCAGTAGCATTCAGCAAGCAAACAAAGGCCACACATTTACCCCTATCAATTATTGTACCAAAAAAAGGATCACTCAAAGAACACGATGCTCCTCTCATGGCGGTGAGAACTTCGGTTCTGCTCACAACCAGGGGGGAAAAAAAAGCGAAAAAGATCAAAACTTTTCAATCCTAAATCACATAATCGGACCATTCGGCTATATGGGAAGTATGGTCCATGGTAAAGCTAGGCATTCTATCCAGCTTGACCGGATTCTCCTTCCCACCGATCAACCTCGCCGGATTCCCCACCGCCGTCGTCCTGGCCGGCACCTCCTTCAGAACCACCGAACCCGCCCCGATCTTCGCCCCCGCCCCGACCCGAACGCTCCCCAACACGCACGTCCCGGCCCCGATCAAAACCCCGTCGCCGATCTTCGGGTGCCGGTCCCCGCCCGCCTTCCCGGTCCCGCCCAGCGTCACGCCGTGCAAAATCGACACGTCGTCGCCGACCTCCGCCGTCTCGCCGATCACCACTCCGGTGGCGTGGTCGAGCAGCACGCCCGACCCGACCCGGGCGCCCGGGTGGATGTCCACCCCGAAAACTTCCGACACCCTGTTCTGAATCACCAGCGCCAGGGCCTTCCTCTGCCGCCGCCAGAGCTCGTGGGCCACTCTGTGGGCCTGGATCGCGAGAAACCCCTTGAAGCCCAGGAAGCAGTGGACGTAGCTGATGCAGGCCGGGTCCCGCTCTTTGACGGCCCGTAAGTCCGCCCTCACGGCCCGACCCAAGTCCGGGCCCTGCTCCAGCACCGCGAAGAAGACGTCGAATAGGGTTCCGATCGGGAGGCTGGAATTGCTCAATTTCACGGCCAGGTGATTCGCCAGCGCGCTTTCCAGCGATTTGTGGGAGAGAATCGAGGTGTAGTAGTAGCAGGAGAGGATCGGCTCCTGCTCCGCGTCGAGGATCGCTTCTTCTCGCATCTTCGCCCAGAGATCGGACGCGGCCGCCGCCGCTGCAGCGCCGTCGATTCGATTGAGAGTTGGGGATTGGGTCTGGATCTGGAAATTTCTGGCGAAGGACTTGTTGGGTTTGTAGAAACAGGGGTACCTGTTGTTGTTGTTGCCGTCGCGGCAGGCTGTGGTGGCGCAATTTTCGACGCAAGTCGCCATCGAGAGATTCGAGTGGTGATGGTGGTGTTCGGATTTGGAGTGGAGGAGAAGAGGGGAGGCGGAGGAGGAGGAATTATATAGAGGGAGGGCGGTGGAGGAGGTGGTGACCAGAAGTTTCATTTGGGAGATGAGGGAGAGTTTCTTGGAGGGAGCCGTTTTGGTTGCGGGTTAAAACGGTAAACATTATTATATTCTTGAAATGAAAAATAAAAAAGAATTAAATGGTGGTATTATTTTTTGTGTGATTTAGTTTGGACTTTTGAACTTTTAATGGTTGAAAAAATCCGAGAGAATTGAAATTCGAATCGAATAAATTTGATATAGTTCTTTTCTGCTCTGATTATTTACTCATTACATGTTAGCTTGAGTTAGGTTTGTGATAAAAAAAAAAAAGCGTAAATATCCTTCAAGAAGATACCTTCTAAATTTCACAATTTATTTGCAACTTCAACCGTAATTCTTAGTACTACTCAGAATTGGTAATAGTTTGACCAATTTGATCGAGTCGAAACGAGTGTATTTGGATCCAAATAAAAAGTTGGGCGTCATGGAAACTAATATTGTGGGAAGGTAAATATTAACCGCCAATAACATCAAACTTAAACCTAAATATTGTGCTTCAATGTGCAAACTAATAATCAAATTAAACAATGTTCATCTACCACATATCGATCCTTAGTCTTGAGTCTCTCCTGGACCTTTTGTACATAAAATTATGGTTGTCATGTCCGTGGCATGCCGGTCGGTAGAATCGGGTTCAGTCGATATCGGTTAAAAAAAATCGATTGGAATGCCCCGGTATGATTGGCATGACTGGTTTTCTTCTTTTAAACAAAATTACATCGTTTTGATGAATTTGATTGATAAAAATCGATTGTATCACCAACCAAATCACATCACTTGTCAAACCGACATTATAGAATAAACCGGTTCGAGAACCTTGAGTCACACTAAGAAATTGTGTATCCCTTGTACATAAGTCATAACCCAATTTGATCAAACAAACGAACAATACAGCAGGTATTTTTTGTCCTAAACTGCCTTTAGTCGTTTGGATGGATCAATTTAGAAATGAGTCAATTTGATCAATTGTCTCGTTTATAAAACGAGACAATTAAAACGAGTCAATTCGAATTAACTGCCCCCACCCCAGGTAATTGAAATTGACTCAAAACGGATCAATTCAAAATATCTCAGGCAGATTGATCTATCCAAATTTTTTGCTGGCAAACAAGGCAATTTGATACAATTGTCTCAAAACGAGACAATTGTGTCAAATTGATCCGTTACAATTCCTCATCCAAACGACCAAGTATTCGTTATGCAGACACCAAGGCCCAATCATTTGAGACAGTCCAGCAAGTCAAACCCAATTTGCACAACGACGCCGTGACGTTAGTGCTGACGCGCCCGCCAACCTTAAATCTTGACTTTGTCACTTCCCCGGTGGCAGCCGGCAGGGACCTCGGTCCGGTGACTGTAGAAAAAGAAGAAAAAATAAAAAAGATTATCTTGATCACTTTGACTTTGCCTTTACTCCTTTCTCCACTCTTCCATCCATCAATCAGATTGTTATTTATTTATTTATTTATTTATATATTATGATGAGACAAAATTTATATATAGCCAAAACTTTGACGGTTGTGACAATAATAGTCATTTTTTAATTGATAGTCGGTGACGTCCCTGAAATTTGAAAAAAAAAAAGAGATTATCCTACTCTCATCTTTTAGTTTGTTTATGAAAATATAAGTTGTAGTTTGAGTAATTCAAACCTAGTGCAGTATTTATTATTAATAAACACAATTTTCTTTAGACTACAACTCATTTGTTGTTCGATTTTAAACACCGTGTAATAGTAAAATGTCATTCCCTATCTCTAATTATTTTCAAAACCTAACGATTAATCAAATTGTCTTAAACACTGTTGTACGATAAGTGTTGAAAGAGTCTTTTTCAGATTTAGGTTACATCAAGAACAAGTTTAAAAATCGAAATATGTGATCATTTCGTGAATGATTCTAGTAGGATATACAAGGATAGTTTATTTGAGCAGTATAAACTGTATTTTATAGTTATTTTCGAATATGAAAACACATCGCGGACTTTTTTTTTAACTCATACGATTCAGATATTTTCGTATATACGAATTATTCAAGAGAAACAAACATAATCCTAATTTTTCAAGAGAAACAAGCAACTTTCGCGATTGGGAAGTGTTGATGGTCCCTTTCCGAGCTGGCCAAATTGGAAGAAGACTCCAACTTTTCCACTCAGAGTGAAGTGAAGGCCATGTCATGTCAGTCACTTTTACCAAGCGTTAGAAAGGTTGATCCTTTAGCAAATCTCGTCAACCCGACCTAGGGCTAAACAACAAAAGAATGGCTGCAACAAGTTCACGATAATGCTAGCTGAGTCTCGGTGCAAAGAAAGATGATATGTTTAGGCGAGCTTCCGTTGCAGCCTTATCAAGGAGCACAGTTAGCAGCACCTCTCCATGGAGAATATAGTGAAAAGATTGGAAAATATCCGATGCTATGAACAAAATCTGCAAGTGCAGGCGTGGAAGAAAGATGATCAGAGAAGAGCTCGATGCCCCATCCTTTTACACGGTGTAACAACAGTACATATTCTCGCCACACTCATTATCGTTCATACAACACAGCTAAACAAATCATTTAAGCATAGAATCTAAAAGGGTGATTAATTAAGCTAATCAAGCGTTCTTACAGACCCCTACTGTTCAAGTACTCCACCAGCTTTTGGTAGAACACCAATCGTTCATTTCCTTGCTGCTCGTAGAAGGTGGAAGAACTCGTCGAGCTGCAATAGCAAGGTTCGATTCATTAACCACGATTCTGAAGGGAGAATTTCAAACACAAACATATTCCTCGATGTAGCAGCAACCATGGTAATGCAAGTATACAACGGAAACAGTTGGTTTGTTCATTTTCTTGCTTCAATTTGTATATTGATTCCTACCATCAAGCTCAACACATGGAGTATTAAGACCAACACAGGTGCTGCTTTATATTGATTCCAACTTCAATTTGTGTAGTTCCCACAACCAGAGAATCAGAAGACAAAGAGAACGCATATTCTTAGACCAACTTATTGGGGAATAATCAGGACGAAAGAAAACAGATTCACCCCATACGTGGCTGGAGAGAACCTAACATGAACTGAACAAATGCCAAAAGTAAATGTGGAAATACAATCTATGCAACTAATCAACAGGATGTGCCTTCGTCGTGGGGAAGATAACCACAAGTCACATACTGTCTATTTGCAGCAGTTAACAGATGAACAGAAAACAAGCAATTAAAGAAAAAAAACCCGTACCTATATGAAGCATTTGTTTCTCATAGCTTCACCTCCACATCGACTCCAGCAGGGAGGTCAAGCTGCATAAGTGAATCGATTGTTTGAGCAGTTGGGTAGAGAATGTCTATTAACCTCTGGTGAGTTCGGATCTCAAAGTGAAATCTTGCATCCTTGTGCACGTGGGGGGATTTCAGAACACAGTAGATTCGCTTCTTCGTGGGCAACGGCACAGGACCCATGGTTTTGGCATTTGTGTTCCTTGCAGCATCCAATATCTGCTTGCAGGAATCTTCAATCAAGGGTACCCAATATGACCTAAGTTTAATTCTGATCTTCTGCTTTGGGGCCATCTGAAAACAGGAGCAGCATCAAGGAAAAGGAGAAAAGTTCAGACATATGAAAAAACAGCTAAGGGAAACAATCGGAAACACCAGAGACAGAATCCATATCGGACTTCTCGCGAGTTGGGAAACTCTACTGGTAACTATTGGCAAACCACCTGGAATGCTTGTTTCTCAGCTAAAACCACCAGCAGTTATTTGAAGACCACAGCAACAAAGCAATCCAGACTAAGTCTACACAGTTTGCAAAAATGTAATCTCTGAGCATTTGAAGTTATCGAAAGATAATCAGCCAGAAACATGCCGTGTCTGTATCAGCATCAATGCTGAGTGATGGAGAACTGGGAGTCTCAGAACTTGAAACCTACATCACCAAAATAGACAAGTCAGCAACACAACCGCTATAAAATCTTCAACCCTCCCAAATGCTCAGCTCATGAAAGTTCAGTTGAACAAACAAGAATACCAACAACAAGAAGGTAGCTACACTGAACCATAAAATCAACGGAACAACACAAAATTCAAACTGTTTGAGATGCACGAAGGGAATTGTTTGAGATGAACACATTTGCCAAACCCGTAATTCTCAAGAAGTGAACAGTAAGAACAATAGAACAGCACAAATTTCACTTCCCGGCAACCAAACCCAACTTTCTGCCAAATAAAGAGGACAAAAAATCATTTATCAAAAGAGAGCGAAATATACAAGAATGGACCTCGTAAGTGGCGGAATCAGAGTCATCAAAGGTTTCTGAAGGTGGGTCTAGCGTTTCCTGGGAATTCAAAGCCTCAGGTGCGGCAAAGACCCGGCTTGAAGATGAACCCAGCAGCGAGGGTTTGGACAGCGTAGATAAAGGAAATGGCAAAGATGAGAACTTTGTTGAAGCGAGAGTTGCTTTGGAGGCGAATGAAGGGGAGCTCGAGATCGTCAGGGAAGAAACCAAAGACGCAGATACAGAGGTGGCCGCCATTGCTAACTCTCTTCTTTCTTCTTTGTTGCAGAAATGGAAGCGCCGAACCTTTGCCTGCGGGATTGAGTTATCCGAATTGTTTTCAAGATTTTCGTTGTGAAAATAAAATTTAAAAAAAAAAAAAAAAAAAACGAGGAAACCCATTAAACGAAAATAAATATTCGAGAAGAAATTGATTCTGGGCTGGATTGGATTGTAAGCCCAGTGATAGATTTGGGTCAAAATTCCTGGGCTTACGCAGACATTTACTGTCCAATGAAAGCCCTAGAACTTGATTGTGGTTGGTTTGGTTGCCAACTCGCGGGCTGACCCGGACCCGGTCGAGCTAGTGGGTCAAGAATTAATGGGTCACCCATTTTAGCCCGAAAATATGAAAATAGTCATTATATTGTACTTATCCTGATAAATTATATCAAATCTCATCTAACATATGAGTTATAACATACAATATTACACCAAAATAACATGTCGTACTTAGATCCAACATATAGTGAAATTCACACACTTCTGTAACATCAATATCCAAATGTTCAACTTAGGATTCCAAAGATTGAGCTAGGCGAAAAGAAAAATCGGAAAATAGGCGTATTTCGCAAACCAAAGAAAAAATGACACAATTTGACCTTCAACACGGTACCTTGTAGCGGTCGACCCAGCGAATGGCCGGGTGCTTGCAGCCCGTTTTTCTCACCGAGCCTGAGTCAAAATAGATCGACCTGCGGCTTGACAACTTTGTAGAATTAATGGTTGGTAGCAAGTTTATGATATGCCATGAATTTCAAGTTTATAGAAAATGTCACGATTCTATTTCTATGTATACTCAACTAGTGTTATTCACTTATTTGTCATTTTGTATCTTTAGTGGCAGCTTCAGAAATCTTAATGAGGGTGGGTAAAAAATTTAAACTATAGAGATTTGAACCATGATAATTTTGAAGGGGATTAATGCGTTATCAACTACTTTAATTGTAAAAATTATTACAAAATTTCCATGTATTCCTAACCATATCTAGAAGTTAGAAACTTGAAACTCTCACCACAACTAGACTCCGTCATCACGTATCTTCGTGACTATAAAATCCTAACGTTTCCAAAATATTATGTATAATCCAATATTAGTTTTCATAAGTTTTTTTTTAATGGTGCACTCGTATGGATAATGTTGCTAGTCCGGCTTTTGAACTCAGGTTTCAGCTTTACTCAACTTATCACTATGCCATCTTAAACATTATGGATGACGATGGAGTTCAAGATCTGGTTATTCGAGTCACAATATTATCAACATTTCATGACGTGTGTATGATATTTCAAAATCGCTGAACTTTCCGATCGTAAAACGTTAGCTTCTTAATCCTACACAAACAATAACCAAATCCTCATTAACTTGAGTTACAAGTCACCACTCTCTGTTTAATACACGATCAAGTTGCCAACCTGAAATAAAACGTATCCCACTGTCTTATTGTCTCCCTTTTGGTAACGGTTACTACTTACTAGTTACTCTACTACTCCGAAAACGATTAGCTATTCCATAATCACTTCTGATCCGTGATTAAGCTCACGTTGGTTTTTTATTACCAAGTCTAATCTAACAAGAAAACCAATTACTAAATACTAACCCAAAGCTGATCATGAAAAAAGAGACCTTAGTTAATCTCTCCTTCTTCTACTCGTTTAACACAAAGCTCCCCAAAAAACCTCCATTATATATACAGACTCTAGAATTAATTACCGGAGCTCAAAGGTTAATCATCTAACCATTTAACACACAACATACTCTTTGCCTCCGCTACTTGCTCTGTTTTCTCCCCTGTTTTTTTTTTTGTCCCTCGTTTTTCATAGCCATTAGTTCTCAATACTCCCCGATCGGCCGGCCAAACCCAGATTCAGAAGTCGTTTTCTTTCTTCGACTGAGTAGCTACTGTAGTTGGATCATAAGTAGGATTAATTAATTGCCACATTGTCTGATAATGGCGAAGTTGGGGAAGTGCTCTGTTTTTGTTGTTGTTGCGGCGGTGGTACTGATGCTTGTTGGGCCATGTAGTGCTGCGGCAGGGGAGATGCAGACGTTTGATAGGAAGTTCATAAGTTGGGATGACGCGAGGCTGGATGCTTATGGTCATAGCTTTGATTTTGACAACGGTACTGAGCAGCAGCAGCAGGGGGAAGCGAGGCTGAGTTACGGCGAGGAATATTACAGGGGAAGCAGAGTGATCGTGGTTGACCAGAACGGCGGCGGGGATTCCGTCACTGTTCAAGGCGCCGTGGATTTGGTCCCTGAATTCAACACTCAGAGGGTTAAGATCCACATCCTCCCCGGAATCTACAGGTCAGTAATCCAACTAGTTATCTGGGTTATTTGTTTTTATCAGGATATGCTCTGTTTTCACTTTTCAGTTCAAAACAAAAACAGAGTGGGGGAAAAGTGAAGTTTTGGTTTCTTTTTTTAGCTTCTCTCTCACCAGCTACTTTCATGGGTTAGTGGGGGGCGTGAAATAGAATGGAGTAAGCTAAGAAAGTGGTTACCTTTGTGGGTTCTGTGGTGGTTACTAAAGACTATGGTGACTCACATGGTTTAGGCATTCTGTATCAAAGAAAGGCGGGGTTTTTGAACCCGACTTTCCAAACTTGTCCTGGTTTTAGCATCAAAATAGGGTTTTGTGGCTCACCTTTTTCCTTTTATATGCACAGGGAGAAGGTGGTTGTGCCCGTTACCAAGCCGTACATCTCGTTGATTGGGGACGAAGGCAACATGTCCAACACAGTGATAACATGGCACAACAGAGCTTCTGATTTAGACTCGAAAGGAATGGAGCTCGGAACTTTCAGTACTGCGTCAGTTAGCGTTTACTCTGATTTCTTCTGCGCCACTGGGATCACATTTGAGGTATTTATTATTAGTAATTCTTACAACAAACCTCAGGAGAAAGAACATCACGATTCTGCTCTTTCTCAGGATTCCATAAACTGAAGAACACGAGGTTGACCTAATGACTTGTTTTTTTTATTTTTCAGAACACGGTAGTGGCAGTTCCAGGAGATTATGGAAATCAAGCAGTGGCGCTGAGGATTTCAGGGGACAAAGCATTCTTCTACAAGGTAAAGATCATAGGTTCACAGGACACGCTGCTGGACGACTCAGGATCGCATTACTACTACCAGTGTCACATTCTGGGCAGCATTGATTTCATCTTTGGCCGGGGCAGGACGCTGTTCCGCGACTGTGTGGTGGAGTCGAGAGCCAAGCACGGGCATGGCGGAGCAATCGCAGCACATCACAGGGATGCGGCGGAGGAGGACAGTGGTTTCTCGTTCGTGGGTTGCTTGATCAAAGGGACTGGGAAGATTCTGCTGGGTAGGGCATGGGGCAACTATTCAAGGGTCATCTATTCCTACTGCAATATTCAGGACATGATTACACCAGAAGGATGGGGTGACTTTAACCAACCTAGCAGGCGACAGTAAGTACTACTAACCCTCCAACAAGAACACAACTCAATCACTTGTTTGCCATTTCTTCTTCTCACTAATATAACTATCTACTCCCCTTACTAACGCGAATGCCCGCTGTGCTTGGGTGTTTTGCAGAACTGCAGTTTTCGGAGAGTACAGATGCATGGGAAGAGGAGCAGATACAAGTAGGAGAGTACCTTGGTCGATAACCCGCTTGAGTTTTCAGCAAGTCAAACCCTTCTTGGACTTGAGATTCATAGATGGACACCAATGGCTGAGACTGTAGCTCTTCCCCTTCTTTCTTTCCGCTGGTTATTCTTTCATTCCTTACCTTCTCCTCCCATTTAAGGGGATTCTGTCACATTTTAGAAAGACAAGTACAGGGCAGGCACACTTCTTTTGTATAGTTGCAAAGAAATAGGAAGTAATGTAAGTTTACCTTGATATTAGATGGGAGACTGAACACATATATGATACACATATTTAACACAACTTAACTGAGCTAATGACAAGACTTAGAATCCTGACTCATCAATATGGAGGGCTTTTGACTAAAACAATCAAAAAGCTTGAATCCCCCCATCTTTGTACACTACAAATCTACCACAAGAATCTAACATATATCTAACCCTACACCAATCTGTAGATTTATGATCTCTATTGAATGCCAGACGGGAAAATCAGTTTTAGTATTTCCCATATCAGTGGTCGCTACTCGCTATTTACATAGAGCATCCAAGTGGAACCCTTCAACCAACTATATGCAAACCAGGAGCTCCATCACAATCCAAGGCCAGCAGAAGCAGCATCGAAGTTTATGACGAGACTTCCATGAGTTCTATAGACTTGCAATTGTTACCAGAAGAAGGAAACACCTCCATCTCCAGTTTCTCACTGCTGTTATCATCAGCACCAACTTTCTTCTCCACAACCTCATTAGTAACTTCCATGTCAGCAACTCCATCAACTGGAGCAACACTGTCATTGGACGGATTCTCATCCTCTTCTTTATTGTTATTATTGGCTGAAATATCATCAACACAATCTGCACGGCCCTTGTCACTCGGTATAGACTGTCTACCATCACCACATTCCATAGGTTCGTCAGTTGATGTAGGCTGGCTAAGATTGTCAGAGTCCATATCTTCCTCAACACCATCAGAGCTTATCAATGTAGTTTCAGCAGTTTTTTCATCTTCAATATTATCTGTTTGATCATTTTCAGCACAGGGTGCAGGTGTGTTGTTGCATCTGTTGCCCATTGCGGTAGTTGAGCAAATGGGCAATTTTATAGTTGCGGATATTGCTGAGAGTATGTCTGGTTTTGGCTGAATGTCTATCCACTGATCATCCACCCAATCTTGGGAGGTTCTAATATAATTTCTTTGCATGTTCAAAACAAACTTTTCACCTGGATAGAGGAAAGCAACTCGGTATAAGAATAAGAGGAGCTCAAGTTATAAGTTATAACCTACGACTGTCCAATCACAATAATCATACCAGGAAAGTAAACTTGTACATCATTGCTGGTATTGTTAACACTGGTCACAACACCCTCCCACCAGCCATCACTCCACCAAGCATCAACCGCAGACCCAACCTCAAGGGTCAGGTTTGTTTCTTTGTCTGAAGGCGCTGGCCGGATAGTTAGGCGGCCTAAACGTCTCATGCCAAGTTTATCAGCCCCCGCCAATCTGAAAACTGGGATCCATTCCTGAAAAGAGTTTGATAATAAGTTAAACTTCCACTAAAAGAAGGGGAGCTTGGATATAAACGGTTAGGCAAACTGTTCATATATTTCATATTAGGCATGCACGATTATAAACTAATAATGGATATTTTCAAATTTTGAAGCATGCAATGTTTTGTTGTTGTTGTCAAATTGAAGTATACAATGGTTGAGGCTTTTGTTTCTCCTACCTTTCTTTTCTTTTCTTTAGGGTGACCAGTAAGCATGACTGCAAATATCAACTAGTAAACAGAATAAGGAAAACAACATGCATAGCACATATCAAAACCATCTAAGTTCTGAGTACGCTGTGGCGCTTGCAAGGGTCAAGGTTATTCCAAGTGAACTGAATATTCAATTGTTCACATTCGGTGACAAGTTACAAAACTTTTCCAGCATTACCAATCTTTTTATGTACAATTAAGCCAGTACCATAAACTTAAACATACCTCAAGGTTTCCGCACTCCTCTTCGTCCCGCAAGTCATCATATCGAACTTTTATTTGTCTTCTGGAAACCTGCAGAACTGTACACCTAAACCAGCATCCCCTTATCCCACTATCTTGGCATAAATGTTCAATCTTCTCATTAACATTTAATAGTGGAGTGCTCCAAGGATTAAGCTCAACATTATTCAGAGGAAGCAGTCGCTTGCCAGAAATCCCGGGTTTTAAAGCTGAGTAGAATGCTTGAAAACCAGCCATCTGGCTGCCATCCTTCTCGATATTTCTACGCCCTTCAATGATCCTGGCCCTTTTCACTCCCAGTTTTACATTTTCGCCTGCACTGAACTCTTCATCTTCTTCATCATTTGTGCCATGTCCGGTGTCGTCGGCCTCAAGAAAACGCTTTGAACTCAAGCAAGAGAGAACGGGTTGATCAAAGTAGCCACGAAGCTTACTCAAATCAAAAGGTTTTACTTTATTGCTCCTTAACTGTCGGAAACATAAATGAATCCTGGCTGAAAATGAACTAGGAATGGAAGCCACACATTCCTCATAATGTTCACGAGTTAAAACAGTGGCAGGACCATCAACACACTCAGCACTAATGACTTGTGAATATGGTGTCATGAAAATTTCTTTCGGATGAGCACTTCGAAGAGGAACCATACCCTTGATTTCCTGGTTACGGTGAAACCATCTTACTCTGACTTTTTTCTGACCCCTCCTGTCTTCATACATGTCTTCCAAATAGGCAACATAATGATTCTCTCCTTCAGCCATCACAAAGACGAATGATTGAGCCTGGCGTTGTAACACTTAATTAGTAGCAAGGCAATAGCACTGACATCAGAGAGAACATGAGATGGTCCCAAACCCGCCATAGATGAACAGATTTTGATGAGACGTATTAGGTTCACCAATGATAGAAACATAGAGACTACATATTTTTCTGAAGTGCCATTTGCAATGATGAGTGAAACTTTGAATTCCGAAATGTAACTGAAATAGTAAATCATTCCCTGCTTGATCTTCTTTTGAATGACACAGTTTCAGATTTCACTATAAAGCTCAAGGCTTTGGGTCAGTTCGTGATTGATGAAAGCTCTTGCCAGTTCGCTGGTTCACCGAAATAAAAACATGCACCAGCATCTAGTGTAACACCTTAGACAAAGAGTTGATGTAAAATTGCTTCAGTTTAATAAAAAGAGATCGTTTCAATTTACTTGCAGATTCAAGGGTAATTCTTCACAATCTTCACTTAGTAATTTCAGAATGTATACTTACTGCCATAGTTGTTCCATTCCTGCAAAATGCTGGGAAATGCTTGAGCTGTTTCCCACAAGTCCAAGCAACTCCAGACCATACGATTTCTGAACGATGTCCATTCACAATCCTCAAGTGTCGGCCCTGCAATTGATATGCAAGACAGACATCAAGGAATTTCGCACAGCAAGCTAAAGAGTATTGAGTTAACTTTCAATATGGTACCTGCGTATGTTGTCCACCAGAACTAGTCACAGGAAAGTCTTGTGATTCCAAAGCTTGTCCTAGATCACATTTTTTCAAATCTGCCACACACATAGCCCAGCTCAAAGATTTGAAAAGCCAAGAGAATCACAACTTGTTGTGAAGGAGCACATTTAGTAGATTTGATACCCAAACCCTAAAAATGCAGGGAAGAAATAGACCAATATCAGAAATACGTACTGGAATGATCCCCTTGTACATTCTGCTTTGATAGCATAGATGTAAGCCAATCTACAACCTCTCTCCTCGACCTCCATTTAAAGCCAGTATGAATCGCGTTTTCGGCACCATAAGCTTGCACAAACTCCTCAGCAACGACATAGAACATGTGTCTAACACTCCTCTCAGTACCCACAATCGCCAGTATGGACTCCCCAGCAGAATCTTTCAGGAAATAGTGAACCACGCGGTTTCCACGCTCTTGTGAAACAAATTGTTCTTTCCATTCCACAAAAAAGCTATCTTTTCCACTCATTTTTGCAGGCAGTACGATTACTACCTCAAAAAGCACCAGAAACCTATCAACAACACTAATTACATAGCTGATGGTTGCTCATTTTCACAGGAATCGATATGAGCCCCATCTCCTAAAATGAAACCAAATATTGATTTCTCAAGTAATACCCGAAAAGGGTAACCTTCCCTCAGCCCCTCCACTAGCGTAAAGGGATACACGCTTCAACAAACAAATAGGACCGCCTCTAACCGTGATCACCTAACAAAAGCCACAAAACGGGCCAAATTCGGCAATAACTCCGGCAGCGTCAGAATCAACAACCTTTCAGCTCAAAAAGAGCTCTAAACAGCTAATAATCGACTCGGAAATGACGATCCATCTAAAATCCGATCATCAAACCCTAGCACCTACCACCCCCAAGGTTTTGGGAGCCAAAGGGTAAAGACTAAAGAGAGAGAAGCAACTCAAAGAATTCTTCCGAACAGGAAGTGGGCGGTAGATAAAACTGACCAGAACTCGGAAAAATCAATACCGCGGAGATCCGAAATCAGATCAGACACAACTCCCAGGAAACTGAAGTCCAAGCTGAAGAGGTGGATGATGCACCACGAAATGCCTTTGACAGAGCTCGCCAACGGAATCATCAAGAAAGAAAAATGGGCATCAATCAATCCCTCTCCACGAAAAGGGAACCCAGAACTAACGGAGGAGTTTGAATGTTTGATTCGGAGGAGCCTCTACCGGAATGAAAAGCGTCCTGACGGCGGCGGGGAAGGAATGTTCAGAGGAGGTGGGGCGCGGAAAGGAAGAAGAGAGGGAAGGCGTTGAGGCGAGTAGTGGAGGAAAGGAAATGGAGGAGGGAAAGGGCAATTGCCATCAGAGAGAGTTTTGCAGAGGGTTTTTGGCGAAAAGATGCAGGTGATGGAGCTCTCGGAAGAAGAGGGTAGGGGAAGAAGAAAGTGGAACTGGTAATTAGCCAATTTGGGAACAAAAAAAAAGGTGAACTGTTTGGCGAGTGGAAAATCAACTAAGAGAAACATTACCTCACTGTGGGCCGGGTGGGCCAGCCCAGCCCAGCAGGAAAGTCCATTTCTGCTGGGTGAGGTCTATTTGACTCGGGTCGGGTGTGTTTAAACGGATGTCGGCACGGAGTAAAATGGACGGGATTAGAACTGGTGCCCGCTGCCGCCTTATATGGGCTCAGACAAGCCCATTTTTTATTGAAATCTGATGACTTAACTATATGGGCTTCCCATTTTCACTACGAACCACTATCTGGTTAATCAAACGTGGTACATTTTAACCAACTAACGAGACTAAACTAAATAAAGAAAGAAACAACAAGTACGTAAAAGGGAGGACCACCGAAGAAGAGATGTTGCTGAGGGTCGAAACCCTCTAACATAGATCGGAACGTGATTGGAAACAAACCATAGATCATTCATCCTATCGTCTATCTGGTCACAACCTTCTTCATTTCTACAGCTTTCACAACCACGAGAGTGTTCACGTCGTTTGAATCAGTGACATTGTTTTTGTTGGCCCCGACACTCAATTTTTTCGGCTCCTTGAATTTCTCTCCATTCACCCCAAATGAGAGCTCCAGTTGACCTTCACGTCAAGTAGGGATGACAATGAGCCCAATGCAGGTCGAAGACCTCAATACCCGACCCAGCCAAAAAACTGTAAATCAACACCTTGCCTTACACGATGTCGAATCAGCTCACCAGTCTGTAACAATGGTCTGAATGAACATAACCGATCGAGTTGCGGATAAACCGCTATGAAGAATGCGGCTCATTGTCTTTACTTTTCTTATCGTGTAGATATGGCCATCGTCGCTTTCACCAGCAGCTTCATGACTAATTGTGAGGCAATGAATCGTGTGAACTGCAATCAAGAATCACTTATTATTAACCAACTAACAAACAGGGTCCCATATTCTTGTGGCATATACAATGAAGCAAATTCAATAAAAGAATTTAAGAGTTTGAATTGATGTTTGGAGATAAATTGGGTATTGGCCATATACATATATGGCCAAATAGGCATCTCACTTCATTTCATAAATCAAATCCCAGTCAAATCGAGGTAAGTAATTTTTTTTTTATAGTTAGGTTTTATTTAAGGTATTCGAAACTAAATTTTAGGAGTTTGAAACTAGTGGTATTATCACTCTTATTCCGTTATTCGAAATAAAATAAAAATAATTTAAGTTTTAAGCGATAGTATTGTATTGTAGACACTCAAAATTGTAGGTAGTTTTAGTTAAATGAGATGTCACAATGTTTCTGCATGTTTATCATGATTTTAAACTAGAGTGTATTGTCTACATCGAAAATTAAAGAATCTAGCATAGACACGACCGTTCTTCTTTATAGTTGAGTGAAATGAGATGTTATAATTATTAATTTTTCTCTTCTCACGCAATATTGAGTATTGTTATTGTAAAATGGTTTGTTCAGGTTTGGGAAATGATGTTTTTCTTCAATACATTTCATCATTAGCATATGTTGTTGCAAAAGAAGAATTGCCATTAAGAATTTAATGGAGTGGAAGTTGGTTTTGGATTTTGCTTGGCTTTTGTCTTATTGGCGTGCTAGTGGCCGGCCGCGGCCGGTAATACTGCTTGATCATTTGTCCATCATTACCCGTTTGGTCACAACAAACACCAAACTCCCCAAAGTGTAAAAACCAAGAGACGTGATATGTAATTAAATTTATAATTATAATAATATTTGATGGTGGCTATTTCGGTGCACTCACTTTTTTTATACACTCAATGCATTAGACTCTAAAAGTGTTCATAATACATCAAATTTTAAACTGTCATTGGTAGCATTAGTCTAATATGATGATATAACATAGAATCACAGATTCACAATTAATCAATCCACTATCCCAACCCCTTAACCTTCAATTTTCAATCCCAACCCAAAACCCCAAATTGTAAACCTAAACCCTAAATCACTAAATCCTAAATTCTTCAAATTAAAATAATTCATGAATCAATTTTTTTTTGTTGCAAATTCACGTGTTTCTTGTTCATAATATCATAAGCAACGATTGATACCGTTATGACTTGAATCTCATGCTCGGAATGACGATTATGAGACGAGTGCATTGAATGCACCAGAAAATGTGGGTGCACTGAATACGCCGCCTATATTTTATATATACTTATTTGGATTTTATGAATATTTTTAATGAATTAAAAGATACAACATTCACAACTCCGTCAAAGAATCAAACACAAAAAATTAAAATTACCATGCAAAAAATAAAACAACACAAACAAACAAAAAATCTTATAAGCTCTTAAATCGCGACTATATCCATTATTATTCTGCATGCCTACAAATCGCAAGCGAATATTGTATATAACCTATTATTTCAACCATATTGTCTTTCTCTCCTCATCCAACGAAAAATACAGAGAACTACTTGATTCACACACAGAGAGTAGAATATTGTCATTGTCAATTTAGTTGTATAGTGTTATATATTTATTAGCCATTTTGAAATTGAGTGTAACGCTTCTCCTTTGCCCTAACGACAGGGGATCACTTCAATATATGTGTACACCATTGAACCTTTATACACATATCATGACATCAATATCACCATTTCCTTAACGTAATATCCATATCCATGTATTTTCCATTAACGAATCTCCACCTCAAATATTCTGCATGGGAATGAAGGGCAGGGTTGTCATTTTTTCAAAATCCCCAATTACCAACCTCAAATTATTCTCCTACATATAGTGAGTGGACATCACATTATATTCCAAACCAACATCATTTGCCTTCACTCTTAATTACTTCATCCCAAAACCACGCCACCCACTAAACCTCCCAAACTTTCCCCATACATACAAAAAAAAAACTATTATTATACTATGGATGGCTATCATAATCACCCCCACGAGTCCCTCCAAACATTCGAGAGCGAGATCATGTCGACGACGACGATGGGATCGATATCCATCGTCACGAAATCACACGACGATGATGGTCGTCGTCGTCGTCAGTTTTTTAAGAAGGCGGTCACCCAGTTCGCGATTTCGGTTTCGATTTTCTTCTTCTCCGTCGTCGTCGTCGTCTTGTTGGTATATTCCAGAAATATGTACTCTTGTTCGTTCGATGTGATTTCCCGCCGTCGTCTCTCCTTTCTCCACGCCGTGTTCAGCCATACAATAGACAAGAAGTGCGTCTTCCTTCTCTGCAATGGCCTCCTCGTCTTCGTCGCCAAATCCTCCATCAACACTACTTCTTCTTCTTCTTCTTCTTCTTCTTCTTCTTCTCATCAACACTGTTATGACAATACCGTTGAATCGCGGTCGCCACCACCTTCATTATTAGGATATGAAAGCAATGATCAAGTGGTGGAAGAGATCAAGGAAGTTGTGGTGGTGGAGGATCATAGCGTTGTTGTTGGTCATGATCATCAAGAACAAGTAGAAGCTCGTGGCGATGAAGGAGAAGATCAAGGAAAGATTGTTAGCAAGGAGAAAATTCAAGAGAGTGATCGGGATGATGTTCATGATGAAGAGGAAGAAGAAGAAGACGACGAAGAAGAAGGATTGGAAGAGGAAGAGGAGGAAGGAATTGATGCAGTGCTGAGCACAGAGGAGCTGAACAGGAAGTTCGACGAGTTCATCAGGAGGATGAAGGAAGAGATCAGGGTCGAAGCTCAACGACACTGCCAGCTGGTCTTGGTCAAATAATCACAAACATAAAATTATATATAGATCGAGAAACACAAGCATTCTTGGTTCTCTCTCTCTATATATATATCGAATTATCTTGGTTTTGGTAGTATACGTTGGTTGATGTAATAAGTTAATTTGCAGCCGTGCTTGCATGGGAGACAGTTTAGACGTGTGATGCAATTGTGGTTTCGGATATTGTGAATGGCCGGTTTTGGATATGATGATATAATATAAAATCACAACTAATCAACGTATTATCCTAAGCTCTAAATCCTTCAATTTTGAACCCTAACACTAAATCCCAAATTGTAAATCCTAACCCCAAATTAATGTCTTTTTATGCAAATTCATGTGTTTTCTTGTCCATCATATCACAAGTGACAACCGGCATAATTTTCACATGGATTGTCTCCTCAGAATAACGATGATGAGGTGAGTGCGTTAAACGCACTCATAAATGTGATCAATGCACCAAAGATAAAACCATATGTATATATATATGGTTTTCTTTTGTTTATAGCAAAAAAGAAAATATATAACAAAACTGTACATATATTCACATGAGAATGGATCGACATGCCTCGACGGCTCGACCCATAAATGAATGAGTATTACTCAACATTTACCAGGGTTCGATGCGAGATGAATATGAATATTAAGATACGTGTCTCGTCGAACAGCAATAGCAATATTATGAACAATGACTATGACCTAAATAATTAAGCACGGAATCTGCATCTCCACAAAGACATCTCTGCAACGAGTGATTATCGGAGCCTGAGCTTGCATCGTCGCCTGAGCTTTTCTCATTAATTACATGCGAAGAAGCTAATTAAATGGAGCAAATCTGACACCAAACCATTAATTAGTCTCAACAACACCCACTCCCATTCCGCTACGTAGACATACCTTCCAGACGAGGGCTATCAATCTGGCCATACATATGATTATTCTACTTGCATCAATATCCCTTCTTCCTTCAGTATATACCACAAATTTAAAGGATAGAATTATTCTCTACTTAGTTATATAAATATATACATATCAGTTCACTCACAGATGTCAAATTTCCATCAGTCGAAAGGCAGGCAGTAGAACGTACTTAGTTTTCATGAAGCAAGTTGGCGATTCAATAAGTATAAACCCATTAACCAACCACTTGAACAAGAATACAAGCATTAATTGAAGGCCTAGATGTGTGGTAGTTTGATTGGTATAATTACTGATTAGTTTGCTGCTTCTGCTCGCTAATCGCGCGATGTTATGTTGCCTGTCGATCGACTTCCTCCGAGGATTGGACTTCTCCACCATTCGAGACCTAACTTGAAGCACAAGCAAGAAAAACACGAGACTGCTCTCATCATGAGTTCACAGGGTACTTACGGTGAGCAAAGCTGTCCGTCCGTCTGTCGCTGCAGGTTGCAGACTCCACCCAGAACCTGAAACAGAAAATCATTAATCATCAGCATCAGTAAATAAAAGAGACGGGGTCACAAAGAAAATCAAGAACACGTTGCGATTTTCCAGTATGCTTACAAGCATTAGAAGGGTTTCTGAGTTTCGATACTTGCAATCCGAAAGAACACACGAGTCCATTTGTATTCAGCATTGCAGCTGATTAGATCAGGGTTTAGCCAAACTAAAACTTGTGTCAGATCTGAACTACTCTAATATGCCACTCAAAGGCCCTCTTGTAGTCTTATTTGTAGACAGAATCAAAGCCACGAAAACCATGTTCCATCAGAATCTCGTGCTTCTAAAACTTTCCAATCTTTCTATATGAAGAAAAAACATATTTCAACCGCACATCTAGAGATTGCCATGAAGTAAGCAGTCCTGATGACAACAATTGATGCGACTCTGTTCTCTGTAGCAGTACACACGGTTAAATACTTAAATTCCTGAAACTCACATAGACAAACACTCACTTTAAGGTCCAGAACAAGATATTGTTGCTAATGAAAGAACTCCGTCCTTGCTGCGGAACTACCATCAGCACTGATCGGAACTACCATCAGCACTGATCGGAACTACCCGTTTGGGGACAGAAGCACGACGTATAATAACCCTGAGGCTAGTTTCTTTCCATTTTCAATGTAGGATATTTCTACAGCGCATCTAAAGGTTATCATGAAACTGAAACCATACTCTCTATTATCCTAAAAGAAAAAAAAGCAATGACAACAAAAGGGACCACTCTATGCTCTTCGGTACTCAGTAAATACAATTCCTTCTCTTCTATAGGCTATATTACTGCAACTAAAATAGAAAGCACAAGAGAAGCTTATCCACATGAAATCAATAGAAGTCCATAACCAGCTAAAGCATAACCATTCACATGGCAGCATAAGAACTTCTCAAGCTAGAATGACGAATGAAATTCCAAGAAGATCTTTGGTTCAGTCAAATTGGGCCATGAATCATTTTACCAGAAAAAGGTATTGAAACGTTTACCTCTAGTTAGCTCTTTCCACCATTCTGCTTCTAGAGTAGGATCTCATCATCACCAAAATCGACCAAGTTGAACTCATCATCACCAATATCGACCAAGTTCGCCGCATTCCTGATCAAGTTCGCTTCATATGCCACACCCTCAATACCGTTGTTAAGCTTCATAAGACTCCCTGCCAGGACTACTACTTCAAAATAATCCGACAGACCGCTAACTCCGACCTCATCCACCTTCTTACTTATCAAATCATAGCAAACAAACTTGTTACTATCCTGAACAAGCAAAATCTTGGACCCATTGCCCACATAGGCAACAGGGAGCACGAATTCGAAAGTAGGCTTTTTCGCTTGCTGCCTCACCGTCAGTAGTTTACCCCACGACTCTTTCACGCCGTATTCCTTCATCACCCACACATCAACTCTCTTGAGATAGTAATTAGCAGTCACAGCGAGGCAGCCTCCAAGTTCCCCCACATTCAGGTGAAATTTCCTCCCCCCATAATTGGGCTGTTCAATCACTCGATACTCTTCACTACAGAGATCCAACGCAGCGATAGATTTCTCACCTTCAGATCCACTGCTCCTATAAACCACCCAATGCAGCGCATTGTTCACATGAACCCCATGGCACCTCTTGAACACAAGTTGATAAGGGAAATCCCTAATCCGCCGCCACGAATTTTCCTTGAGGCTGTAGACCTTAGCCACGGAGAAGCAAGGACGATTACGAAAGCCGGGAAATTGGACCAACCTAACCAACTTGTAATCGTCGTGAACAGAGTCGTACCCGAAACCATAGACGATAAAATCGAAGAACATGTTCTCCGGAGGATACTCGAGCTCCGTCTCCGGAAGCCTCCGATGCTCACGGGTGATAGGGTTCCAGATCACGATTTCCTCTTCGGAATTGTAGAGCGCGAGCAAACCATTGCAGCAGCCGAGGATCTCTGTTCCGAAGAACGGAGTATCCAGAGGGTGATCCAGCTTCACGAGGCCGTCCAAACACTGGAAATCCAGAGAGCGGAGAGAGCCGTCTCTGAGGATGAGACTGAGATTGGAAGGGGTTTTGACGGAGTGGCGGAGATGGAGTTGGGCGAAAGCGGGACTGTCGATTTCGGAGCACCATGACTTGGATAGGCAACGGAAGCGAAGCAGTGATTTCGCCGGCAGGCGGCAGAGCGTGGCCGCTATTAGGTCGGCGGGAAGACTTCCGTTTTTCGGCATTTTTGCTGCAACTGACTGCTGTGCTTTTCCCGAAACTTCTTTCCGAATTCTTTGGTGGCAGACGGAGATTTTCACTCGAGCTTTTAAAGTGGCTAATTGGGAGAAACGGTCACTAAGCTTTTTGCCGAATAACAATATGCCCGCATAAGTTTTGAAAATCACAGAATCATCACTTTGTTATTTAAAAATAGCAATTGTTTTTCTAATTCCATACACCACATTCCTTCTCTCAATTGATAACCTCATTATAAACATGTAGGGATGGCAATGGGTCGGGTCGGGTCGGGGCGGATAGTGCATATCCGTTACCCTACCCAATGTAGTTCGGTTTTTACCCATACCCGTACCCACACGAGAAATGGGTAGAAAATCAAAACCATGCCCAAACCCGTTCGGGTTTCGGGAATCCACGGTTATCCATGGGTTTTAATTTCTCCTTATAATTCCAACCAATATGTTAACATTCACACGTATATTCACATTACGTAAGAGAAAAGTACGACAATAATTCACTAAAATGACGAAAATTAATTAAAACAACATAATTTCATTAACATATTATATTTATATGCTAAATATAAAATATTCTAGGGAAAAATAATGATTATTTCTAGACAAAATACATATGCATGTGTATAATCGGGCGGGTTCGGGTTGGATAGTGAGATAACCATGCCCACCCATTACCCGCAATATTCGGGTTCGGGTTTTACCCGTACCCACGAAAAATGCTTCGGGTTCGGGTTTTACCCTACCCGATTAGATCGGATTCGGGTGGATATCCACGGTTACGGATATTTTTGCCATCCCTATAAGGGTGTAGAGGAAGAAGAAGAAGGGTGGATGGGTCACGGGTTCGATTTCTGGGTGGGTTAATGGTTTTTTTTAAGTTGGGTGGATTGGGTTGTGTTTATATGAGGTGGCATGTTTTTCTGACGTGGCGGATTAATTTCTCTTCTTTCTTGGGTTAAAATTGGGTGACTAGACATCTCTGTTAGCCACGTCAGCAGTTAACTGACGGCACTAACGGAGTTTGACGGAGGTTAACGGAGAGTGACCAAACTTGGACTGTTCAACTAATTTAAGTGACTACGAATGGAATAAACGAATTCGAGTGACCAAATATAAAATTTTGTAGCAATTTGAGTGACCAAACTTGCAATTTAGCCCATATACTTATATGCATGTTAATTTTATATTTTTTTCACTTTAACATATTAATGGTTCGTCATTATTTCCTAAACAAAATTGCCAATGTAACTTTTTTTTTTTTTGAATATTTTTCCTCCAAAAAAGTAGTCGTTACTTTAAGAACTTTACTTGATTTTATGTCGTGTAAGTAAGCGCTTCTATATATCATTTATTATCATTATTTTATATAGCACATTACTATTTCTTACAAGTATTTTGGCTTTTGTATACACAACTATAATTCTATAACCATTCATTCATCTTTTCATATAGCATATAACCTTTATAAATGACCAATCTTTATTATCATCAATTCAAAGCTCACTTGAAATCACTTCCCAATTTGTAACGGGAAAAGGTCATATCTTCATTCCTAAACAACACATCGATCATAACTCACATCGATCATAACTTTCTCAAATGATTCATCATCTAGAGAAGAATGACAAAAGTACGAGACGACTACGTACAAACTCATTACTGCTTCTACAGGCAGTCGGGTGAAAGTTCATCACGTCGCCGGCCAACACGCCCTATGGCAACAAAACATATCGATATCCGATATCTATCGCGTCCCCGGCCAACACGCTCTATGACAACAAAACATATCGATATTCGATATCTAACAGCAACTTGACCATTGTTCCTATTCACCACAATTGGACACAGGTGCCAAAGGGTTACTCAAGCAAGAAGGATAGAGCCAAGTGCATCATTAGTCATTACAAGGTCATATACTTATGCACACTACCATTACTAGGTCATACTTACTTAAACTACGACTTTGCTATTCTACTCTTAGTTAATAAAAAGAGGGCATCGCCATCATCAGCGTCGCTCCTGTCTGTGTCTCCTCCCACAGCCTGAAACAGAAAACAATTTACCAGTATTCAGTTCATTAGTGAGGGTTCCTACTCTGGAAAGCAAAACAAGAACTCGATGCTCCATTAGTTAATGTAGAACTAGCACTAAACTATTCTAATATGCCACTTAAAGGCCCCTTTTGTCTGCAGAGACAAGAGCAACCAAGAACTCGATGCTCCATTAGAAACCAAGACATACTGCTTTGTTATTCATCTTTCTATGAAGGATATTTCTATTGCATAAGGGCATACCTACAGGTTAACATCAAGTTTGCAGTTATACAGTCTAGTGTTCCTAAAGACTTAAATCACAAGGCTAAATTACTTAAAACCAACATACAAGTCTCCACCACTTTTCATGGCCACATTGCTCACATGACAGCATACTAACTCCCTAAGCTAGAATGAAGAATAAATTCCAGGAAGATCTTCTGTTCAGTCAAATTAGGCTGTTAATCACTTTATCAGAGAGAAGGAATTGAAAGTTGAAACTCGTACCTCTCTCCTTGGTTCTCCCCGCCATTGTTCTTCTTCTTCTTCTAGCTCTGATTCTCATCAGCACCGGCTCCGATCAAGTTTACTGCATTTGCCACACCCTCACAGCCGCTGTTAAGCTTCACGAGGCTACCCGCCAGCAATGTCACTTCAAAATATTTCGACAGACCTTCAACTCTGACCTCATCAACCTCCTCACTTCTCAAATCATAGCAAATCAACTTGTTATTATCCTGAACAAGCAAAATCTTGGAGCCATCACCCACATGAGCAACAGGGAGCACGAACTCGAAAGTATACGGTTTAGCTGGCTGTCTCAACGTCACAAGTTCAGTCCATGACTCTTTCACCCCGTATTCCTTCATGACCCACAGATCAACCCACTCTGGATGGTAATTCGCTACGATAACGAGGCAGCCTCCCAGCTCCTTCACATTCAAGTGAAATTTCCTCTCCCCGTAATCGGGCTGCTCAACCACTCGATACTCCTGAGTTCCCAAATCCAGTGCAACTATCAACCTCCCACCTCTAGATTCATCTCTGCCAACCACCCAATGCAGAGCATTGTTTACAAGAACTCCATGGCACCTCTGGTATCTAAGGTAATAAGGAAAATCCCCAATTCCCCTCCATGCATTTGCCCTAAAGCTGTAAACCTTCGCCTCCGAAGAGGAAACACCATCTCGGTAAAACTGAGCCAGCCTGACTAACTTGTAGTCGTCGTGAACAGAGTCGTACCCGAAGCCATAGACGACGAACGCCCACCTGGAATCCCCCGGAGGAAGCTCGATCTCCGCCTTGGGGAGCATCCGGTGCTCGCGAGTGGTAGGGTTCCAGAATGCGATTTCCTCGTCCGAATTGCGGAGCGCGAGCAGTCCGTTGCAGCAGCCGAGGATCTCGGTTCCGAACGTGTGAGCTTCGAGCGGGTGGTCCAGCTTCACGACGGCGGCGTCGAGGCGTTCGAGGTCCACGGAGGAGAGAAAAGAGTGTCGGAGGACGAGACTGAGGTTGGAGGCGGTTCCCGTGGAGTTTTGGAGGTGGAGTTGGGCGAAAGAGGGACTGTCTATTTCGGAGCACCATGACTTGGAGAGGCAGCGGAGGCGCAGCAGTGATTTCGCCGGCAGACGGCAGAGCGTGGCCGCTATCATGTCCGCCGGGAGACCTTTTCTCGCCATTTTGCTCAACAACTCGACAGTCGCTCGCCGAAACCTAGTTTCCACTCGCGCTCCTTGAAAACGTTATATTTCCGTTTCACTTTTAGTTTTTCTTTATCAGTTTATCTTGAAGGGTAAATTATTTCCCCACCAAAAAAAATTACTAAGAGGTATATTGCAAGATTGATCACTCACTACTAAAATGTTTCACATTTTGGTCACTAAAAACATTTCATTATATTTGTGATCATCAAAAATTCAAAATTAGTTTAGTATTTCATTCTTGGTCACTTTCTCTTGGTCTCTGTCAGCGTTCATTAAAACATTAGTTTGTTGCTGCCGTGACTAACAAAATTCTCTAATCATACTATTTTAACCCAAAAAAATTTATATACTCGACCAATCACGTTGGGGAAACCCGCCACGTCATCAAAAACGAACCAACCCATGACCACGCGGTCTATCAAAGTTTGGAAGACCGTGGTACGCCTCTGACCGAAGACAAACGACAAGCCCAAATAACCCCCCCAAGTCACCCGTGGAACTGACGCCTAGGAAAAACGTAAAAGTAGATTGCAAAGCAGGAGGACGTTGCCACTAAAGACGATTGCTGACTTTGACAAGTTCAATTTCTGACTAGAGGAGAAGTACACAGTTTTCTTTTGGATAGATGCATTTAAAGGTTTACACCTCTGCAATTGAGATCATTCAAAATGAGCGGGTCATTTGAGAAGATATGAGACAAAAGATGATGTGTCGAAGAAAATGATCGTGGCTACTGAAGATACTGAGCCGAAGGACAGAGAGATATTACCAAATTCTCAGAGGTGGATCACATATGCAACCCACCATGAATCTTGGACGGCAAGTATTGCTGCGACAGAAAGGAAATAGAATGAACAGCCAGCGCTTCGATCTCGAACTTCACTCCCCGCTGCAGCATCAGCTCCAGTTCCGATCTTTTTCAAGGAGGAAACACAGTAACCATTTGCACCATTACACAGCTTAATGGTGCAGGCGATATTATGAAGGGCAAAATGTCAGAATTCGGACGCTTCTTACCTCCACTCTGGGACTTGCTTCTCCAGGTAGCATCTGTTTAACATCTTTTCGGTTCTTCTTTTGTCTAGCAACCAAAATGGGAAGGGATTCAGAAAGAACATGGAAATGGCCGATAGGAAACTTAAGAAGTTGTGTTGTAGAGAAACTATACCTTCTGCTGTCAATGGAAGGAGACACTGTTGGGGAATGCTATATTTCTCAACGTCAGAGGGGAAAGCGCCAAGCCAGTGTATTCCGGTGAGGCGCAGAAATTTTGCATCGTAGGCCATTTGCTTCCAGTACAAGCAAAAAGAATGGGTTATGCAAACAGGCGAAGCTTGTGGAGAAAGATGGAAAGTTGGTCGCCGGAGTGTGAAATCGCTCACCATGGAACCAAAACGATAGGTAGTAAGGATATCAAAGCCATATGGATCACAATCTACCAAGCAATACACAGGCAGCCGCAGCTTCTCTATGAGGAGTCGCAAGAACCTGCTATGCAGCAGATGTTCGCAGAGTGAACAGCTTTTCATTGGAAAATCAGTTAGAAAACAATAGATAGTAATTCAACCTTCTTGTGGGAATATCTGGGTAGCCTCTTCCCTGCAAAAGTAGAGAAGTAAAAAACCCCATCAATCTTAACATCTGAAGTGATGAGACAGAGCTTTCAAGAGAGAAGTGGATGGACTTGAGATTACTGTGATGACAATACAGCGGTTCGTGTCACAGAAGTGGTCGTTGGCCAAACGCTGGAAGACTGCAAGACAATGAGTTCAAAGGTGTTATGTTCCGAGAGAGAACTGGATTAGAACAATGATTTTTTCTTTTCTTTTCTTTCCCCAAGAGCATTGCTAATGAGTGAGATTTACCTGATTCCTTCTCCACAATCAATATGTACTCAGCAACACTAACGATATCTGTTTGCGAGAATGATAGCCAATATTATTAAGGAAGTACATGGATAAAGTATTAGAACTTTCAAGCATTTGAAGGGAAAAATAATGGTTTTAAGCATAGATATCTTTGAATTATACAAATCAGCCCCCCCTTTGGAAAGTTAACTTCGCAACCTTAACTCAGGATTGTTAACAAGAAAACTGTAAAGAGTGAGAATAGATAAACAACAATTCACATGGGACTGCCTTTTGGAACACAATGGTTGCATATAAATTGATAGTGCAGATACCTCTGACTTCCTCCACGTATACTGGAACAGGAAAGGTCTGCAAACCAAGAATGTATTATGGTGTGAGCTGGAAAATTAAAAATAGGCATGGAAGACTTCTTAAAGTACATCCCATTCTTACATTGCTAGGAGAATTTATGCAGTCAAACTTCCTTCCAGCTTCTACAAATCGTAACCAGCCCATAACCAACCTAAGAAGGAGAACAGCACACATGCATAAGAATACAAGTGAATGAAAACTTGAATGACAAAGCAAATCTCACTACATTTTCCAAGTAGTGCATGATGGCAGGTACCTACCCATTTCCAACAGACACCTGCAGAATGGAGTTGGAACAATCAGAAGAACTGAGATGCAAAGGGTAAATATCACATGCCATATAGCTCTCTCAAAATGTCATACCACGTTCAGATTGTGACGACTGCACTGCAGAATGATGCATATGTCATTGATTGCCCGATCAACTACGGGCTGTTCTGCATTTCAAAACAAGCTGAACATTCTAAAAGGGGGAGAATGGATAGAAAAACTAAGCCATAACCAAAAGCTGGAGGTGAAGCTTCCTCAACATCTATCATGACATTTTCCAAACACTGACTACACGACCAAGTGCATAGCAGCAGCAGCAGCAGCGGCAGACCAAAGTAATTACAGGAACGAAAAACTCTGAGGTGATCATGCAGGTTCACCTGAAAATACTGAAGGGTGCATGTAGTATATATCTCTTTTAGACCCATGCCTATCCTCTTGAAGTAGCTTCTGAACAATAACCAACACTCTCAACAGGACATCTGCAATTCCATAGCAACATGGTAAGTACATTCCATGGCTATCACGAAAGGAAAATTAACAACGAATTATATCTAGTTTACACCCGTAATTCTCAAACAATTCGCATTTCTAGTGTTCACCTTCGTCTCACCTATCCTGCGAGCGCTGCATTCTCTTTGGATCGTCAAGATTTCCTGCCCCTCAGGCAAATCAGAGCCGCAACAGCTAATCCAAGAAGCACAAACACATCACTCAAAAATGCAGAAAACCAGTTCTCACTTCTCATGGAATAAGCAAACCTAGCGGAATCGGCAATTCGGAAGCGAGAGACTGACCAATTTCCATGAGGATTCGTGCAGTAGTTACTGAATTTGTCGATGAAAATCCCAGGCGATCGTCCCTCGCTGAGAGCTTTCACCAGCGATCTAGTGAATTCTGCAAAACCAGAAGAAAAAAAAAAAAAAGCAGCGCCAAGAACTCTTCATCGATCTCAAACACTCGCATCGTTACTGGAAGAAGTGCGGTCTGATCGCTTGACGGACCTCTGATTTTTCCGAGCAACTCCATTCTCCGTCTCGAGCTCGATTGATTTCCCTTCATAATTCGATCCTGCGGCCTGCCGCGAGATGCGCGATTGTGGAATGGAGCGGAAGACGAGTGAAAGCGTTACAGCATTACGAATTTACAGATTTAAAATGTTAGCTGGGCCTGTTCGTCAAAAAAATCAACGCATGGCTGGGCCTGAAGACGGTAACTGGGCTTGTTGAGAATTGACAAAATTTTGTGTCATTAGCGAATAGCGATAACTATCTGATCAATTATAGCAGACGCCATTAAAGCTCCCTGAACCACTAACAGGAACCTCAACTGGACGATGGGGACAAGAATAAAGATCTACGCCCAGGATGTTGAGCTTTCTTTCGTCCCCCCCTGTAACTGGGGAAAGCCAAAAGAAAAGCAGGCTGAAACTCGGCGGCTGAGGCAGCAATACTCCGGCCGACCAAGACAATTACACTTCCGGGAAGTTCCGGATACCATTTTTGAAGGAGACCAACAGGATTCAGCTGCCAATGGCGCCTCTTCGGTTTTCGGTACTGGCAAATCTCTCTCCCTCCACCTTTTCTCCCTTCTCTGTTCCTCGTGGTTTTCTTTCCTCCAATTTAGAGTTATCTGGGGAAAGTGGAAGTTTTCCGGTGTGGGAATTTCTCTGGGGTTCCATAGCATATTGACTTCCATGGTACATAACTAAAACCTAGTCACATTTTTCGATGAGCAGATCTCGTAGGATTCAGATCCTATTCCTGTCTATTGTCATAATGGCCTGTGATAGTCCAAGGGAGCCCTTGCTTTCAGGGTCATCCAATCCCAACCCTCGAATGAGCTCAGTCGCAACTGCTCAAAAGAGAAGAGTACTGAGACGTGCTAGGAGCGCTCCTCAAGCGAGTTTGGCTCCACCAGCTCCAGCTGGCAAGGACAGTGATCCGGTCCCATTAGCAGAGTCCATCTTCGGGAAGCTTCACCCTAGCATCAAGCAAGTAGCTGTTTACTTGGCTATCTACCTGGGCCTCGGCACTCTATCCTTCTACTTTGTGAAAGATGACTTCATAGGGAAGAAGACGAACAATCTTCTGGACGCCCTATACTTCTGCGTCGTCACCATGACCACCGTGGGATATGGAGACTTGGTCCCAAATAGTTCCGCCGCAAAGCTGCTCGCCTGTCTGTTTGTCTTCACCGGGATGGCTCTTGTTGCCTTGATAATGAGCAAGGCAGCCGATTACTTGGCGGAGAAGCAAGAGATCCTGCTACTGAAGGCGATGCACCGAGACATAATCGGTCCATCTGAAGTCCGTAAAGAAGCCGGGACCAAGAAGGCCAAGTACAAGTGCCTGCTGGCTGCAGGAATCATCGGAGTCCTCATGGCGGTTGGAACCATCTTCCTCCATCGAGTCGAGCATCTGGGACTCGTCGATTCCTTCTACTGCGTCTGCTCCACCGTGACCACGCTGGGGTACGGTGACAAGAGCTTCTCCACGAGTGGTGGGCGCCTCTTTGCCGTGGTTTGGATAATTCTAAGCACCCTTGGGTTGGCTCAGCTGTTTTTCTACGTGGCGGAGGTGTTCACCGAGAGCAGGCAGAGGGAGTTGGTGAACTGGGTTCTTGCTCGAAAGATGACCGCTGTGGACTTGGAGGCTGCTGATATCGACAGCGATGGCCATGTTGGGTAAGCCTGCTGCTTCTCTCGTCTCCGGCTCGTTAGCTTTTGTACGTCTGATGTCGAACTCTTTCTCATTGTGTGGTTCTATTGGCAGGTGTGCGGAGTTTGTGCTGTACAAGCTGAAAGAGATGGGGAAGATCACCCAGGACGATATCATGGTGGTGACGGAAGAGTTCGAGGGCCTTGATGTCGACCAGTCGGGTTCGATCACTGCGTGTGATCTCGTTCTTGCTCAACCCACTGAAGCAAACAAATGATGGCTCTGATCCGAACTAGTGTTTGGTTTGGTTGTATAATCTGTATGCTGATGTAAATGTTCTTGTGTGATAATTTGTGTATCGTCCTCCAATATCAAAATCCCCTGTAAAAAGATTCTCCCTATCATTGCCCCAATTGTCACCGTCGGTATCTCGTCTATTACTGGCGGCCAAGAACGACCACTCGAGCTATTTTGCAAACTCAACAAATGGGGGAACAAATCGTAGGAAATCCTTCTTTCATTAGACAAAGCTTGCTGTTACAAAATAACAGGCATCCATCGAAACCCTAAATCGGAAACCTAGAACCTCGGAATATGAACAAAACAGGACACACAAGGATTAGAGAAGTTGCAAAATCCCTAAACAGCTCAGCCGCCGAAGCCGTACAAGGTCCTGCCCTGCCTCTTGAGCGCGTAGACGACGTCCATGGCGGTGACGGTCTTCCGGCGAGCGTGCTCCGTGTAGGTGACGGCGTCGCGGATCACGTTCTCCAGGAAGATCTTCAGGACGCCGCGCGTCTCCTCGTAGATGAGGCCGCTGATCCGCTTGACGCCGCCTCGGCGAGCCAGGCGGCGGATGGCAGGCTTGGTGATCCCCTGGATGTTGTCGCGGAGGACCTTCCTGTGCCGCTTGGCTCCTCCTTTACCCAGCCCCTTGCCTCCTTTGCCGCGGCCCGACATTTTTGCTTCAAATTGGAATCTGGAAGGAGAAGCGGGAAGATTTGGATCGAAAATGTGGTTTTTGAATTTTGGATCCGCTGAATTTGTGAGGGAAGAAGAAGATGTTAAAGAGGGTTTTATATAGCTGCTGTGGACTGGGGAGATGATCGATCGGGACCGTTGATTGTGAGTGAGCATCGACGGTTGAGAATGGCGATCCGCGTCACTAAACTATCACTTGTCTTCTTTTGTAAATGATCTTTGAAGGGTTGGGCCGTGGGCTCGTGTATTGGTATCATCTTGGGCCGTGGGCTCGTATTCCCGGCCCAATACGAATGTCGTGCTACCGACTTAACGAAACTTGAAGCCTGAAAATCTGGCTGCCCGTTTCCGTCGGCTCCTCGACTCTCCGAGCAAGCACCGAAGTCCGACCGCCGCCATCAATGGCTGCTGGTGCTGGAGCTCTACCCACAGCTGCAATTGTGGCTGCGGTCTCGGTTTCGACGGTCGTCTTCTCTTACTACCTCTGCAGCTACTGGTCCACAAGCGGAGCTCGTTATTCGACTCCTTGTGTGAGTAAGAAGAAGAAGAAGCAGAGGGGGAGAAGTGGACTCGTGGATGCAATTGGGAACACTCCGTTGATAAGAATCAACAGCTTGTCTGATGCAACAGGCTGCGAAGTAAATTAATTACCCTTCTTCCCCAAGCGATCATTCGAACATATATGTAGTCTTTGTTTAATGTTCTTGATTTTGATTCTGTTTCTCTCAGATTCTAGGGAAGTGCGAATTCCTGAACCCGGGTGGAAGCGTGAAGGATAGAGTTGCCGTGAAAATCATTGAAGAGGTAATTCTGAAGCTAACCCTTTAGGATCCATTTCTGAATTGATAAGACTTTGTAGGCACTAGGCACTAGGCACTAGGCAGTGATTGGTATGTAGCTAGTATCTCTTAGGCAATTGCTTGTTTCAGGATTCAATACACCAAAATAGATGTACTCAATTCAGTTGCTATTTATGGGAATTGTTCTTAGTGGTATGTTCATCCAGGCACTCAGCTTCTTTAATGGGTTTTTAACAGGCACTGGAATCTGGGAAGTTAACTCTAGGTGGAGTTGTGACTGAGGGAAGTGCTGGAAGTACTGCTATTAGCCTTGCTACCGTTGCTCCCGCCTTCGGCTGCAAATGCCATGTGGTTATCCCAGACGATGCTGCTATCGAGAAGGTATGTATTTACAAGATTTCAGCTTCTTTTGGTTTTGTTAGGTAATCCAAGACTGATGTTGCTTTCTTTGTCACATATATGTCTGTACTTGAAACCATGTCTAGTCCTTCCACCAATTCTTAGGTTATGGCTAGTACACTGTGTTATGCAATGCTGGAGAAATCTTTTTTTCCCCTAGAATGGTGCTTGGGAGGCCTTGATATCCCTTTTTTGAGGAGCTGTTGCGCTATTATTACAATCTCAATGAGCCTAAAAATCGATCCTTTCTTCGTTGTTGTCAGTCCCAAATTTTGGAAGCCCTGGGAGCTACGGTTGAAAGAGTGAGGCCTGTTTCAATTACACACAGAGACCACTATGTTAACATTGCAAGGCGGCGGGCAGTTGAAGCTAATGAATTGGCTGCAAAGCTCAGAAAATTAGCTAAGATTGAAGATGAAGTCCTTCTCAACCGAATTGAAGGTTATGGATCTGATGGACAGAAGCAAGACTCAGTTCTGCCTTACTATGGTAACGGAGGTTTCTTTGCTGATCAGTTTGAAAATTTGGCAAATTTCAGGGCCCATTATGAGGGTACTGGGCCTGAGATATGGGAGCAAACTGCTGCTTGTGGTGGTGGTTTAGATGCATTTGTAGCAGCTGCCGGCACTGGTGGCACTCTAGCTGGTGTTTCCAGATTTCTCCAGGTCTAGTCTGCATTTCCCTTCAGCTGCTGGAACTCACCATTTGTTTCATGTTACCAAAATTCCTAAAAATCCTTGTAACTGTTACCTTCAGGAAAAGAACCCGAATATCAAATGCTTCCTCATTGATCCTCCCGGTTCTGGCTTGTACAACAAGGTAACCAGAGGGGTAATGTACACCAAAGAGGAAGCTGAAGGCAAAAGGCTGAAGAACCCATTTGACACCATAACAGAAGGGATAGGGATCAATAGATTGACACAGAACTTTCTGATGGCTAAACTTGATGGTGCATTTCGAGGTACAGATGAGGAAGCTGTCGAGATGTCAAGGTTAGTGCTTTCTATATTTTTCCGCTACTCTCAAACTACAGCTATAGTTGTTTGCTGGGGGCTACGTTGTCATTCTCATTCATGTCGAACATATTCTTGCAGGTTTCTTCTGAAGAACGACGGTCTATTTATTGGGAGTTCATCAGCCATGAACTGTGTTGGTGCTGTTAGAGTGGCGCAGTCGCTTGGCCCTGGACATACCATTGTCACCATTCTCTGTGACAGTGGGATGAGACATTTGAGTAAATTCTGCAATGCTCAGTATCTATCCGAGCATGGTTTGACACCAACTTCAGCTGGGCTCGAGTTCTTGGGAATCACCTGGGCTTTTTGGCAGAGGCTGGAAGCTTGGTCTAATATTTTTGGTCATTAACTTATTGATACGGTGTTGCAGCAGCATTTATTTGGATATGTAATTCCATTGTGTGAGCTTGACACTGCTACACTCAAGTTGAGAGTGATTGCTCCTTGATGACAGAATATTTGAAAGTTGGACCAGTAGGTATTGAAGAATGTGAGGTTCTGAGTTTGGAGATTCAAAGGCATCAACAGTTCAAATACAAAGTACTTGGAAAAAAAAAAGGTGGAAAAACAGCATGACATCTTAAGCCTTGGCTCTTTTAGCATCTTTCACATTGACAGGAAGAACCTACAAACTTGCATACATTAAACTTGTCACTTATATCAGTCTTCCATGTGAAAGCTGGAAGACTTAATGGACCCAATTGAGAGGTCAATCTCCATCAAGTTATCTTCCTCATTCACCTCATCAATCTCTTCCACCTCCTCCATCATCCCTTCTTCGTCTTCCTCCCTTATGACGAATTCATTCGAGAAACCAGGCTTTCCCCACGAATATGTTCTCGTGGATGACAATTCGTCAGCATAAACAGAGCTCTCATTTGGAGGAAGACATATCTCGATGAGATCATCATCTTCTTCTACTTCTTCACCATCATAATCAGAAGCTGAGCTTTCACAGAATGCTAAGCTCTGGCAGGCATCGTTGTTGAAGTGCTTCATCCATTTGAGTTCAAAAATCTCATTCCTGGGAGAATCATCACTACTGGTTTCACCATCTGATGGGAACTCCGTCGACTCCACTTGATACTCATGCAACTCAGAAGCTTCATTGTCACTCTTCTGTGTCACACACAGCTCTGGAACAACAACAGCAACTATAGTTTCCGAACCCTGACTCGGTTTGTCATCAGCTTCTTCTTCTTCTTCTTCTTCTTCAACAGCAGCAGTGACGACTAATCTCTTTGAGAATGAATAAATGAAGATGGAGGAGAGAAGCAGAACTGGGATTGACACAAGGAGAGGAGGAGAGAAGCCATAACATAGGAACAGAGGAGTAGCTAGAGAAGACAGGAGTGCAATGTAAAGCAATGATGAGGGCTTGAGAAAGTTGGTGAAGTAATGCCATGTTTGAGTAGTCCAACCTGGCGACGGTTTATCCATTTTCCAAAGAAACAGCTTGAGGAAATGGATTGGAGACGGGAAGGGTAGATCTAGCCAAAAGCTCCAGCCAAGCTCTTCTTTTTTTAAGAACCAAAGGAGGGAGGAGAATAGGGAAAAAGCAAAAGTAATGAAGGAAGGAGGGTGGAAAAAAGGTGCAAACTTTCAGAGAGAGCTAATCCAAACAATTAAAGGAAGAAGAACAGAGGAATCTGGTTGGTGGGTACATACAAGAACAACAGAAAAGAGCTTTTGCTTCTTCTTCTTCTTCTTCTTCTGGGAGTTGTGGAATCACTTCACAGTTGAGTGAGTGACCACTCTTTCTCTCTGCCTTGGAGCTCTCAAATCCTAGATTAGAAAAATGGGTTTTCTTTCTTCTGCTGATTGATTCTCTTGAAACCACCAAAAAGAAACTAATTTAACCACCCAACCACCCAACCGTGAGGGCAAATCTCAAAGCTTTGGAGGGAAATGGGAATGGTGCTCCACATGGGTCCATGAATGAAAAACCCATCTCTAATCTACAAGCAAGCAGCTTAATTGCCTTTTCCAACCTAATCTACAATGTCCACAACAAGCAAATTCTTTGTGCTGACAATTGAATAGGTACTCATTTATGTTTGAAAAGCATCAAGAAAATTGGGGTTGCAAATGAAACAATTAGGAGATAAGCTTGATTATGAGACAGGAAAAAAAGAGTAATGATGATGACCCACTTTGGGCTGTCTGGAGATGAAACAATTACCCCAAAGTTTCACTGCACGCTGAAGCTATTTTAATACTCGATTCAATTGCTTCTTCTCTGTTCTTTCTATGGAGGCCATTTTCATTCAGACAGAGAGATGGTCTCCCATTCAAAACCGACATGAAATAAATCTTGAATGGGTCAGGTTCAGGATTCATGGCGGGATCTGGTCTGCTCTGCTTCGTGGACTTAAATGGTTGATACTGTACACTCTGCATTCATGGCTGCTTGATGACATGATTAATCCACGGCACTGATTTCCCTCGCTGGCTACCAAAGATTCTAGACGCCCTACAAAACAAGACAGACACGCATAGTCTGTTCGCACGCCAAAACTTCGAGTTTGGTTTGATTTTGATTGAAGATCTCTTTGAATTTTGTAGTCTAGAGAGTAAATAACTGTCATTCACTCCTACAATTTTCGTTTTGGACATTTTTTGTTCCATATATATATATTGATGTTAAACACATACGTTGACGGTTGTCGGAGATGTCGAATCATTCTCGTAAAAAAAAAATACACAATGTTTGTCTATCGAAATCAAACAAGAGAATATTTTGAGTTATATTTGGCTCGAAAATTACAAAACTTGCATGAAAAAGACCGGATAGATGTGTTTTCGTGGAAGTTGATGTTGGTACGTAGTGTTTTGTCAATCAAAGGATGACATATGTGTTTCAAAAAGGAGTGCTTTACTGGTGCCACCAAATTGTGGTAATCAGCAACTGATAAGGAATGGAAACAAACACTATAATAAGATTTTTGATAATTGTAAAATTGTGAATTGATAAGGTATACAACATAATTGCTGCACCTCAGCATAATTTGGATTACTTTTACTTATGGAATTCGAAGAAACTCAACTAAAATCGTATTAGTTGAATACTTCGTCATTGGATACCGTTTTAGATTAATTTATGTTTACCATCTCTTGTACATCCTCCATGTCCCAATGCCGAAATGAATCAAATATAAAAGAGCAGTCTCATTACCAAATTAAAATATGATAATACTATTCTAAATTAACAAATATACCCTATAATATTACTTTGCACAAATATACCACCCTATTATACGTTTGTTTCAGTTTTCTCTTCGTTTTTTATTCTCCCCTACTCTATCCACCAGTCCTAAAAAATTAAATTAACAAACAGACGTTTCTAGGGTTAGGGTTTGCGAATCTAATCTTCAAACAATCAATAAATTAAAAGCGATTAATCTGATGGCAAAATAAACCGGAGGAGGAGGAAGAAAAGAAAGGTCAGTAATCTTGTAAGCCTCCATATCAGGGATTTTGGGAGATCTTCAGGTCCTTTCCCCCCACTTTAGCCTTCCCGCTAAAACGAAGTTCGGCCGCCTGGGACGCGCGTAATCACCAGCATTCGGAAAGGAGATTCTCTCCCCGTTGTCTGGTTGGAGCGGAGCGGAGAGGGAGATTTCTGGGCTTCACCGCCCTCTGGCCGTTGAAATCCATGATCGGCAGCGCCCTATGGACCCTTCCCAATCGCACGCCCAATCTCCGATCAATGATGAAGACGATGAATGGGGTATGTATATTGCTTTCATTCCTTCCCTTTTGTATCGGGTCGGGCGAACAATTGAAGGGCTTCTTGCTAAAAATTTTGCGATGCTCGATCTGGTCGCAAATTCGCAACTTGCGGGTTTTAGCTGCATTGGTTGATTTGTAGCTGAGCAAGCATGTAGTTGGGTAGTATTTGATGAGTAGTTTTATGGTAGGTGCTTTCGACTCTGTGATTGCTTAGTTGTCTTTGCTTAGTTGTCCTGGTTCAGTTCCAGTTATTGGTTCCTGATGTTGGTTGAGATTTGAAGTGTTCAAAAGGAGGGATGCAGCTGAAATCTCTGCCCTGCTTTAGTTGTGCTATCGGAGGAACTTCCACATCACTTGTTTTGATAGGATTTCCAGGGTGCTTTGTTGCCAAAAAAAAAAAAAATGATAACTTGAAGTTATTGTGCCAGTCTTTACTTGAGTGGCTAATGTGGGCATCATTTGTGGTGAAGATTTAAGGTAGTAGGTGGACTCACTGGTGGTTGAAGATACTTAGCAAACAAGTGCACATTTCATGGGTTTAACCTGAGATGAGCTTTTAAGGAGAGGGGGGAAAACTGGTCTTTCCTACATTATATCCTTAGATTACCCAGTTTAGTACTCTCTAACACCAGCCACAACAGGGGAAGTGGAAGTTAATTTATAGTTTTTCATTCGACCTAAGAGCATTTTCATATTTTCCTTATTAAGTTCCTTGACTAGGTCTCTTTCAGGATTTCGTTTTACCTTTTGAACTGCCTACCGTTATATCGTTTAGATGTTTACTTTCTAGGTCTGAATCTTGATCTTCTCTGCTTAGAAGGCAACTTTTTTAGTTTCAAAGTTCATGTTCTTGTATAGCATTTTTAAGGTTGGTTGGTTTGATGTTGAAATGTTTTAACTTTTAAGACTTAGACAAGGTAACAGATCTTGAAGAATAAATAAGTGACAACCAAGGTTCCATCCGTACAGAAGTTCTCATTTTTACATAGAAGGCATGCGGATGACATACCAGTATTATATGGATTGGTTCCCTTGCCATCTTGTTCTGGTGTTTGTTGCCTATATTGTACAATCCTTTCATGTTTAGCATGAAATATGTATACTTCTTGTTTGCAGCTACCGTACTGTAAAGCAATTTGTATGTTAACGATTTTCCAATCTTAAATTATTGTGATGCTTGGATGATTTATATCTCTCATTCCTGGGGAGGGATGCCAGACAAACATCTCTATTCACTTCATGGTTATTCTGTACGAGCCTAACATATTTATTTAGACGTGCTCAAATTTCTTCATACGATGCTCCTCTGTTTCGTAGCTATTAGTCTCTCTCCGTGATCTTTGGTTTTGAAAACTTTTGAAAGTATGCTACTTCGCTGACACTTTTTCTGCACTTTCGTGATTATGTTCAGACAACGATGGGTTCGTGATTCCAAGCTTAGAAATAGATAGCAGAGATCAATCCACAAAGAATGATTCAGAAGTAGAAATCCCCAAACCTCCTCCTCCAAAGGCAAGTTTTAAAACAGCCCTATTCGTTCAGGTTGGTGGGACTGCAGAATAGCATTTCTCTCATTCTTGTGTCTGTATGATCACCGTTGTATCATTCCCCTACTGCAGGATCAAAGGGAAGAAGAGCAGATTTACTTAGGTCCGCACGGTGCACCACCTTCTCAAGCAAAGCAGCAGCAAGAAGTGAACTCATCCAGCCGCAAGCAAAGATTTAAGCAGACGCTGAAGGACGCTGACAAGAGGATCAGCGGAACAGGGCGGGAGAATAAGTTGGAGAATCTGCGGGAACTAGTTGGTGGCGGCGGTGGTGGAGGAGGGAAAGCAGGCACCAAGATGCAGCAGCAGCAGAAGACGAGCTCTTCTCCTAAGGAATGGCTGGACCCTCATTGCCATGAATCCCAGTTTGAGAAGTGGCATCCACAGTGAACTCTACAGTTAGTTTGAAGATTTAACAATCCGTTAGAAACATCAGCTTGTCCTGGCCATGCTTGCTGACAACGATATTAATAATCATTTAGCTGAACCTGTTGATGCTGGTTTTTTGCCCAGTTCCATCGTCTCCTGCTTCGGCTCATCCACGAATTAAAAGCACTAATGCACAAGTAAATATTCAGGTAAGAGACAAAGAAACTGTTCATACTCGAATTCCTCTAGCTAATTATAACGAAATTAATCAAACACAACATAGTCATTATATGATTTCCTCGACCATAGGCATCACCGCAATATTGTTAATCAGTGTTCTCATATATCTTCCCTAGCCTAAATAACCAGTGTTCTCGCACAGCTACAACTACGAACAACATATATATAGTATAATGTCATCAACCCCGTCAACTCTTTTTTTTTTTTTTAACAAATAAGCTCACTTTTATTCCAACGCTTTCAAGAATAAGCTCACTTTTATTCCGCAAGTGAGTTCAACGTCGAGGCGTACAAACTCAACGTTGACCCACGGTACGGTATTGATTGGATGACTAAGATCAACTCATGGTGTTGGTTGGTTTGTGATCTGTAATAGAAACGACTTGCCAATCGTTCAATATGCCTAGCTAGCTATATCTAGCTATATGCGAAGGGAAAAACCAAAAACAAAAACAAACCAAAAAAAAAAAAAAAAAGAGGGAAGAAAACCTCTCAAGCATCTATATGGGTGGAAATTGGGGTGTGTGTGGTTACCCGCCCCACATTTTGCGGGTAACCACATCCACAAATATGGAATTATACTACTCACAACCCGCCCCACAGTGGGTAGTGGTTAACCACTATCCACTGCGAGCTGGATGTGGATACCCACAAAAAATTCTCTTCCTTCACCCTTTGGATTCGTATATGATAAACCTATCGGTCGAGTGACGGCAAAAAAAACACATTGATTTAAAACTAAGTAAAGAAGCCCAAGACATGGAACGAGGGAAGATCCGATATTCAAAACCTCCTAAGTAGTCAACCTCCCTCTCCTCGGTTCACTTCACTCGCTTACATGTCACTTCACTTTCTTTAGGAAATGCAGATTGATAACGAGTATGGATTGGAGGGGATCTAATCTTAATATATATAGCATCTTTATCAGCGACATGACTCCTTGCATTTTTAATTCGAATTTTTTTGGATAAATGGAACTCTCTCCCGAGTTGCGAAATTAGCGTATTCTTACACAAAAAACTACATAAAAGAAAGTTAATCAATAAAGTGTTAAATAAACTATAAACCACATTTATCGTCTTTGTTTTGTTATAAAATAAACATATACCACACGGACAATACTTATTTAATAAAAGTATCACATACGAACACGGTGTATTGACTTAGTTTTATTTTATAAAATAAATATATATTTGATTTTGGAGCCTACTTTAATTTGTAGCATTCTATTTTTCACATACTTTAATATTACAAAGTATTATTAATAAATAAATATACTTAGTTGGTTATTGTGGGTTTTGTGGGTTAATCGCTGTGGATAGTGGTTAACCACTAACCACAAAAATCAATATTTTTCTACTCACACCCAACCCACTATCCACAAATTGTGGATATGATTACCCACAATGTATGCGGTTGGTGCGGTTTGTGAATTACCCGCAATCCGCAAACCAAACTTCACACCCCTACATAGAGCCATAGAGAAAGAAATGCTCCACTGAGCGAGTAGTGACTGCTACTAGTGATAGTGGTCTAGTGGAGCACTGAAGACAGAAAAACAAAGGTCTCTTTTCCAAAGTCATATAACACAATTTCGACACAAAAATAAAAAAGGGTTAATTAAATGGCTTAAGTGGACAGCACATGGTGTTTACATGAGCTGATAATGATGTTGTGAGACTCGTTATCTACCTAAATTATTACAAAATTTTCTTTGTTAATCATTTATCCCCACCTCTGCCTTCATTTTCAATCCAATGCTCCGATTATTCTTTTGCTATTACGCTATAATAAAGATATATTGTAGTAGGTTTACGTGTTGGACAATGACATTTAATTTATAATATTCCATGTCTTGTTGTCTTAATAGATTAATTATAGATTTATAGTTGATCCTTCCTTACATTTGGGTTTTTTCTGTTTTGATGTAAAAAAAAAACACTAATAAAAACAAGTTCTTCGAGTAGATTATTCACCAAAGCAAAGTGTAGAGTCTTAATCATGAGGATATTTATAAATGACATTAATAAGAGAGATAAGGGTTTTTTTTTCATTTTACGAGAATCTCACTGCAATTACAATTATGCGAGGGAGATAAATTTATGGAATTCACTGCACTCTCGAATTGGTCACGTTAGAATTTAGTGGTGGATCCTGAAGTTTTATCAAGAGTAATCATCTAACGATTTTCATATAGTCTCGAATTCGAATACTAACATCAGCAAAGTAAAATTTTACACGAGCTTTGGGTCCGCTCTTGGTAGAATTATAAGTATTACTACAACATTGTCAATGTCAAATATATATATGGTGACTACTTCGGTGCACTCACAAAAATGAGTGTGTTCAATGCACCCAGCTCAAAAACTAGTCTTAAGGTGTCGAATTTTGAATTTTAAGATGTAGAATTAGTGTAATATGATGATATAACATATGATAACAGCTAATTAGTGGATAACCCTAAGCCCTAGACCTCCAATTTTGAGTTCTACCCGTAAACCCCAAATTATAAACCCTAACCCTAATCCTAAATCTCTAAACTCTAATCCGTCAAATTAAAGTAAATCTTTAATGGTCTTTTGTGCAAATTCATGTGTGTTATTGTTCATCACATCATAAGTGATGATTGACATCATTTTGACATAAATCGCATGTTTAAAATGACGGGTATGAAGCGAGTGCACTGAATGCACCCAAAAAAATGAGTGCACCGAAGACGTCACCATATATATATATGGCTATACTGCCTTTTGGTTTGTTAAAATGAAAGATTTTCGTACATAAACCCGGCCTAGTCTAGGTTTTATTTTTCTTTATAGTTTCTCCTATCATTTATACAAGCGAGTAAATTTCGTTATGAATGCGGGGTTAAACAGAGACAAAAAGAAATATACAGAAAAAAAATGAGAAAGTATAAATCTATAGACAACATATATCTCAATGAAATGCGTCGATCAGAACTTTACTGTTAAACTACAACTCGCGATTTTTTTCGAACTAACAATTGATAATTATAATTTCGATTGGTTATTTTCTCGTTGTGTATCAGTGTCTAATGATCCATGATTATTAGTTGCCTGTGCAGCAAGTCACGGCGTTTTTCCGGTCCTGTCTCCATTAATTTCTCATGCACGAGAAGGAAAAACCATTAATGTGACTGAAGTTGCAGTTCATGTTCTTCCCCTTCCAGCAAGAAAAAGAAACTGCTGCAAATTGCAATGCCACCCCCAATAAATGATGAATGAAATACAAGTATATGGATGTTGACTCAAAACTTTCCACCCAAAAAAGATCATGGTCTTAGTGTTTTATTCTTAATTTTCTTCAAAGATGTAATTTAGAAGTTAGTTTCCTATATCGAATCGAATATATATAATGTGATTCTGCCATTGGTCACGTGAAATTTATAAATATTGAATAAAAATGTACCGAATTAACATTTAAACCAACAAAAATGGACAGAATCTATAATTAATTCGATCATCAATTCTATAATGTATTTCACTATTCGGCCGCTATTTTCATGAGTTGGATCTAATTCACACCAGACCAAATCGTCGCACTCTCGTTGTTGGCTTAAGATAGGGTTAGTAACCAATTGTTACTAATCTATTAGTAACTAAATATGGATCTTTAGATTTAATTAAGTGAGTCCAGCAAATTCAGATCTAAAAGTTGTCAATTAAAGACATTTTATTTTTCCTAGTTTTCTTTATCGGTTCTTATCTTCTTCGTTCTAACTCGGATTTTAATTTTTTTTTTTTTGCACAGATGAAACGAGTTCGTTGTGATCTACAAAATGAGATCAATTTTCATTATATTTCGAGAAATTTTCGGTTTACCAACTACATACCATATGGTAACTTCTTCGTTTTTAAGTCGTTTTGGAAAATGTTTGCTCAGAAGGAACGAGTTCATCATGATCTATTGGATCTATAAATTTTGGGGTGAAAAAAAACACGAGATAAAAAATTACCATACTTTACCACTATGGTATGTGGGTGGTAACTTGTAGTAAACAATGATGAAAGTTGTAAATGACAGTTAATATACTTATACTATCATGTATTCAACCTTCTTACCATATTGGTATATTCATACTATCATGGTACGCTTTCTTACCATATGGTATTAAATTGGAGCATACCATATGGTAATGTCTGGTAAAAAATTATTCAATTTTTTTTGTACTAAAAATATATCAAATTGTATATCATTTCAAAAAGCACATTTAATCTGATTTATCTGTGCAAAAAAATTAAATTTCGACTTAAAACGAGAGACAAATCGTCCGTTAATGATTAAAAGTGAAAAGATAAAAGACTTTTCAGGAGAGATGATACTCATGTAATGTTGATGTGGACAGTTACTCATGGTTACTGATCGTAGAGTTACTGACCTCATCCGCTCCCTTATTGTTTCTTTTTTCTCAAGGAAAAGAAATACTAAATTGACAGGTCACCAACCCAAAAAATACATGGAAAAGCCAAAAAAAATAGAAGAAGGAAAAGAAATGCCAAGTCAGATAATGCACCCACGTGATAGATACGAAACCAACGGCCAAGATCATCCGCCACCACCATCCGACGGCTCGGTCCCCGTCCCTTCTCAGAAGACACTTATCGAGAAACAACGGCAGAGAATCAGCCACGTCCCCACCTCCACCCCGCGACAAATCCACCTTCCTTATTTTTAAACCGCCCCCTCTTCACCCGCAATTTTTTTTTTTATTACTACTTATCATCTCCTCCCTCAATTCCGATTCCTTCAAAAGCTCGAGATCGGAGACTCGGCGTTTTGTCATCCCACTCTTTCCATTTTTACATTAGCTCCGATTCTGGTTCTGTTTTTGGGGTTGCTATGGGCGACTCGGACAACGACTCGGGCGGGCACCCCAACGCCGGCGGCGGCGAGATGGCGTCGCCGAGGGAGCAGGACAGGTTCCTCCCCATCGCCAACGTCAGCAGGATCATGAAGCGGGCCCTCCCCGCCAACGCCAAGATCTCCAAGGACGCCAAGGAGACGGTGCAGGAGTGCGTGTCGGAGTTCATCAGCTTCATCACCGGCGAGGCCTCCGACAAGTGCCAGCGGGAGCGCCGGAAGACCATCAACGGCGACGACCTGCTGTGGGCCATGACCACGCTCGGGTTCGAGGACTACGTGGAGCCGCTGAAGGGCTACCTCCAGCGGTTCCGGGAGCTGGAGGGGGAGAAGGCGACCGTTGTGGCGGGGCGTGAGAGGGACGCGCCGGGAGGCGGCGATGGGGATGGTGGGTTTGGGCTGGGTGGGTTTCAAGGGTATGGGCCCGGGCCCGGGCCCGGCGGGAGTGGTGGTAGCGGTGGTGGTGGTGGGTTTTATAATAATAATAATAGTGGGGCGGCGATAATGGGTCATGGTGGTGGTGGTGGTGGTCCTGTGTATAGTGGGCCGGGAGTCGGCTTGGGTAGGCCCAGGTAGATTAATGTGTGGGCCCATGGCCCGGTTGAGCCCAAAAAGTATGTTGTCATTCTCAGATCCTCGATCAAGGCGGGAAACGGAATCTTTTATCAACTAGGAACGGACGGCGTTGGTGGAGGGAGACACGTGTAGCGATCTGGGCGTTTCTGGGTTTAGTGATTGTTCATATTTTTCGGGCGTTTCCTTCCCTCTCCCTCCCTGCACCTTTTTCTGTGTTAGTGGAGTTTTTACCACCATTATTATTTCATGTACATGTAATTGTTTTTTTTTATGATATGTACATGTACTGTTTGAGTCTAATTATGAGTTGTTAGGGCCAGCTCGCTTGCAACTTGGCCACTTGGGGGAATCTTGGAAATAAACCTCTCTAATAAGTAATATCTACACCGTTTGGGATAAAAAAAAGAAAGGAACAGAGTTTCAATCATTTGAGAGGGAATGTGGATGATTCTTTACTTTCCTCTTCATTGATCAACGTGGAAGAGAGAAGGATAAGGTCAAGAATACAATGCTGATGGGCATCTAGTCCGGGAAACCTATTCCGAACCTAGTTCAAACAGATTGAATCATATCTAACCATTCATATGAACTCTTTGAACTCAACTTGTTAGTACTGTCTACAGATGATTAAACCAAATAACCGATAAACTGACTGAACAAATCGAACTCTCACTCTTCCCAGCCAGACAGTCAAAGTAAGTCCACCCAAATATACCCAACTGACCAACTCTCTCAGCCCAAGTATCAATCCATGGTGCCAAGTTCACTCACTCACCCACTGCCTGGCCTGGCCTGGCCCAGAGGCCCCCAAAAAACGAGGCGTGCCTTTCCGTAGGGTAAAATGCATTGGCTGCCACTTAAGTATAACACATGTTGCACACTAACCATCTAACTTGTTTTTGTTGCAACTAAACCATATAAACAAAATTCTTGTTGGACCATCAAAATTTTCGTCCATAAACTTAACAACGGATACCAAATGGAAATTATTGTTCTACCATTTCGGAGAAATTATTGACCGCCACATCCGCGGATTGTCTCTTACACTCTCAAATGGCAAGCGAAAGCTGACTCCTCTCATTAGTCCTCCCCTGAAAATCATGCCTCCAACTCCAATGGTGCTAGTCTCGTTCGGCAACGCCATGGACGAATTAGATTCAAGGTTCAGTTAGAAAGAAAGAAGAAGAAAGCAACTTCTTTTATTGACCGACTTATTCATCTATTTTGACATAATCCTCTAATGCTAGTCGCATAGTCGGGACACATGGCAGTTAGTAGTGTCAAAATTACTTAAAATTTTGTGACATTTAAGTGTACATTATCTTTAGACATTCATTAAAGTAGATGAATTCAATATGTGCATTCATATATTTTTCAAGTGAATGTTGGATATTCAGCCAAACCAAATGTTAATGAGTATTGGGTAGGACGGTCAACCACTTGCTCTATTACCGAACCACACTTGGTTCAAGCGGGCGAACTTTTCACTATGTTCATGAAAAGGGGGAGAAAAATAGGGAGGGATGAAAAATTTGAGGATAGTGAAATAATGAGGGGGAAATAATGTTCATATTTGAAAGGTAAAAAGAGACATAATAAGTGTAACGGTTGTTTTCACTCTAAGGGTTCGTTTGTTTCATGGATTTATAAACGAGGGTTTTGTAATTTAGAAACCCAAGGATTTATCAAGGATTTGAGGCATCATGGATTTGTAACAATCTTTTGTTTGTTGGGATGTTTTTATCAGGGATTTAAAGGTGTGGGATTTACTACTTGAAGTCAAAAATTACATTACTGCCCTTTTCTATATGTTTGACATGTTTATGATATGTACACAAAACAAGGACAAAACTTCAAAATTACCTTACTATCATTTTCTATATGTTTGACATGTTTATGATATGTACACAAAACAAGGACAACACATACTAATAAGCATAATGTTGCCACATGGACAATAATAATAAACGAGAAAATTCCGTTTTAACTTTTAACGTAACATAATCAATTACCAATTCTTTGTCCTCCTTTGCAAAAGTAACATATAACAACATATATTAGAATCGGGAGAACAAAGAATTACACGTTCCATGAAAAGGTCAAAGAAAACTAGAACACAAGAAATGATATAAAAAATCTAACTCATGTTTGCACATTAATTGAATGTTTATATTATTCATTTATTGTTAATTGTAATGTATAATAGTTAAATTTGAGGGCAACCTTGGAATATTAAAAGTGCATGAGGGTATATGGGTAAAATGTCATCAAGGATTTATGCTATATTCCAAATCCCACATCAACATGTGGGATTTATAAGTCCGTGGGGTCCACGGATTTGGACACTTAAAATCCATGGGCCCCACGGATTTGGTCTCCAAAAAAGGTGCAAGCAAACAATGGATTGTACCTAAATCCTTGATAGTTGGTTTTTTGGTACCAAATCCATGTACCAAATCCTTGAAGCAAATGACCCCTAAATTGGAGGGACATTTGCTACAATAGCTTTCCCCCTCCAATAATATCACCTCTTTGTGCGGCAGCAAAACTCATGAACAAGGGAAAAGTTTTTAATCTCTGCAATTTTCCCCATTTTTCCTCCCACTCTCTTCTCCCTCCTTCGTGAACAGAGCGTTTAAGTGGAAGGGACGCGTACCCCGTTTTTTTTTTTTTTTTGACAATGGAACATCTTCTATTATACCAAACCAGACAAGCAGAAACAAAAGGCTACAACAAGGGCGAAATCAAATTTGCAATGACAATCCAATCCTGTGGTAAGAGATCAAGTCGGGCATTCCTAGCAACCCAATCCGCAAGAGAATTAAATCGCCGAGGAACGAAGGACAACTTGATCCAAGGAGCCCCCTGAAGAAGAGACACAATCCGGGCCAGGGTCGCACGACATTGCCAAGGCCAATCGCAGGGGTCTTGAATCAGAGCCACAATCAGACGTTGGCAGTCGCTTTTGATACACGTCGGACATGACACTTGGGCCGCCAACACCACAGCACCCAGAATAGCAAATGCTTCTGCCTGAATCGGGTAGGAACAATAGAACCTCTCAGCCTTGCCGTCAATCACCTGACCGTGGGCATCAGCAATGGTAATCCCACAAGCCGCCAACTGAGACTCCGAAACAAAGGAGCCGTCACAGTGCACAAATCGTTCAAAAGGGCCAGGCAGTGGTGAGGGGTTTCGACGGGATCCCCTTGGCTGAGAATGACAACTAGCTGATCTCAGGATCGAGGATAGTGAGATTGTCTCTCGAGCTTCGTTGATGTTCATGAATTCACGATTAGCTAAAGTCGCCGTGGTGGCTGGGGAAATAGCCCTGCTCTCAAAGATGAAACCATTTCGAGCCTTCCAGATACTCCATAAACAGCAGACAAGGCGGGCAATCTGCTCATCCGGCATTTGATCCTTGAGGCTAAAGAACCACTCTGCAAAGGACATATAAGGATCAGGAAAGGTTTTCAGTAATCCACCGAGTAACCATGTGTTATGAGCATGCTGACAATGAAAAAAACAATGGAGAACAGTCTCATCCTGATAATTGCATAAAGGGCAGGTGGAGGCTAGAGCACACTCGCGCGAGAAAAGGCGTGCTCGAGTTGCAAGAGCATTCTTCGAGCTTTTCCAAATGAAGAATCGGAGCTTGGGAGGAAGTGAAAGTGATCATAACCACCTCCAATCCTGTCTATTAGGTCGAGCTCCATCATCATTGACAGGATGAAAACTTCTGTCCCTCGCTTCCCGAAAGGCTCTATAGGCTGATCTCACAGTGTAGGAGCCAGACTCGGTGTACCTCCATATCCACTTATCCTCCGCCTCCGGGGGACCAATTGGAACTCTCATAATAGCCTGAGCCACCTCTTCAGTGACCTCTGCTCGAATAGCATCGGAATTCCAACTTCGAGAAGAGGCAACAATCTAATCGCTGACCTGAGATGGTTCCAGCTGCAGGTTGGATAGCGAAAAGTTGGGAATAGAAGGTACCCATGGATCCTTATGGAAATTGGTTCCCTCACCAGACATAATCCCTTTAATCAATCCAATCTTCATCTTATCCTTCACATCACAAAATCCGTTCCAAATCCATGATCCGTTTCTACCCTTCTTAGCTGAGTTAAGTTCCCCATTAGCAAAGTAAAGTCCCTTTAAGAGATTGACCCACAAAGCTTCCGGGTTATCCAACATCCTCCAAATTTGTTTACCGATCAATGCCACATTCATAAGGTGGAAATTTTTAAAACCCAAGCCTCCCTCCTCTTTTGGCTTTTCCAGAACTCTCGCATCACACCAATGAATGGATTGCTTTTTCATAGAGCCCGACCAGAAAAAGCGCTTAAGAATAGAATCCATCTTGTTTGTCAAGGATCGAGGGAGGAAGAAAATACTCATAATGTAAGCCGGAATAGCCTGAATAACAGCCTTCAACAGTACTTCCTTACCACCTGGGGAAAGGAGGAGGCTCTTCCATGATTCTCCAATTTTCTCCATTCTTTCTAGCAGAAACAAAAAGGTTTCTTTTTTTGACCTCCCCCACTCCGTAGGAACACCAAGATATTTATCATGACAGATAGAAGGCGGGAAACCAAACTTGCTTGCCACTAGGGATCTTAAAGCATTGGGAGTGTTCTTGCTGAAAAAGATTGATGACTTCGAAGGATTGACCTCTTGTCCTGTGATTTTTCCATAGTTATGTAAGATTTTCTGAATTTGTTCGGCTTCATTCACACTAGTCTTCCCAAAGATAACGGTATCGTCTGCGAAGAGGCAATGTGAAATACGAGGGCAATCTTGATTGAGCTTAATTCCTCTAATGTCACCTCTGGAAACCCCTCTGTCGATGAGGAAAGATAAGGCATTAGACATTAAGATGAAGAGGAACGGAGAGATTGGATCCCCTTGCCTTATTCCCCTAGTAGGAGTGAAAGGCTCCGTTGGGCTCCCATTCAGAAGTATCGAGAAATTGACTGTGCTAACACAAGAGTTGATCCATCTCAGCCACTGATCAGAGAAACCATAAGCTTTGAGAATCAAATCAAGACATTCCCAATCAACCAAGTCATAGGCCTTGCGCATATCCAATTTAATCATCATATCACAGTCACCATTCCGCTGATCCTTGAAATTGTGAAGGATTTCGTGGACAATAATAATGTTGTCTTGTATGAGTCGTCCACCTGTGAATGCCGCTTGCATCTCAGAAACCAGCATAGGCAACCATTTCTTCATCCGACTTGACAAGATTTTTGAAATAATCTTGTATCGGAAATTACAACAGCTTATAGGTCTAAACTGAGTAATCCGATCAGGGGTTTGAACTTTAGGGATAAGAGCAATGTGAGTATCATTCCATCCCTCTGGCATCACTGCTGTTCGGAAAAACTCAAGGATTTCCTTACAGAAATCAGGCCCGATTTTTGTCCAGTATTTCCTGAAGAATAATCCTGCAAAACCATCCGGTCCTGGTGATTTCGTGGGTCCCAGATCAAACACAACATCTCTAATCTCCTCAAGAGTTGGATCTTTGCAAAGGTCCATATTCATTTCATCAGTGACAATTCTTGGGAACTCTTGGAGTGTCGAGCCATCAAAATGATTATCTTTGGTAAACAGAGCTTGGTAGAAATCAGTAATGTGGTTTGAAAGCTCATCCGGACTTGATAAGATATTGTCAGCATCATCCTTAAGAGAAGAAAGCTTGTTCCTTTGTTTCCGAAAGATGGTGGAGGCATGGAAAAATTTGGTATTTTGGTCTCCATGTTGGAGCCAATCGACTCCAGATCTTTGGCTCCAAAAGAGCTCTTCATCCTTCCAAATTGCAGCAAGTTCGTTCATGAGAGCTTTCTCCTCTTCCACAATGTCATGTGAACGTTCCAAGTTCAGGATTTCTTGTAGTCTTTGCTGAATTTCATCTGCCCTCTTATTTTGGTGACAATGCATCTGTTTAGCCCATTCTTTTAGTTCATGTCTGCACTTAATAATCCTTTCTTGACAAGGACCATTGCCTTCCCAAATGCGGTTAACAATAGCATGACACTCCTCCTTTTGGAGCCATCTAGCATCAAATCGAAAGGGGGTATTGGTTTTCAACCTGTTGCTGTCAAATTCCAGTCTAAGAGGACTGTGATCAGATTCGATGGGAAGCTCGTGGAATAAACTGGCATTACTGTAGAGTGCCAACCAGCTCGTAGAGCAAAAGGCTCTATCAAGCCTTTCTTCGATTCTTCTCTCACCCTCCTGGTTATTCTTCCACGTGAAAGGATAACCTTTAAATCCCAAATCCATTAGCGCATTTTCAGCTACAAAGTTCTTAAAAGGTACAACAGAGTCGTTTCTCAGGACTCCACCCCCCTGTTTCTCATCCGAAAATAAAATGGCATTCATATCCCCAATAACTACCCATTTGTCCTCAACACTAGCTCTCAGATTCCCAATCTGAACCCAGAAATCCCTCCTAGCAGCAAGGTCTGAAGGAGCATGAACAAAAGTAACAAAAAAAACCCCACTGACATCAACATAAACATCAATAAAATGGCTACTACTATCTAACACTTGAATACTGATATTCGGCACCCACCATAGGGCCAAACCACCAGCCCGACCATTAGGACAAACGTAGAACTTCTCAGCAAAACGTAGGGATCTTCTCTTGGTCTCCATATAAGACTCCTTCTTCTTTGTTTCGGACAGAAAGACAAAAGCTGGTTTAAACTTCTTAACCATCTTCCTTAGTTGACGAACTGTGGGGGACTGCCCGAAGCCCCTACAGTTCCAAACTAGGGCATTCATGGTGCCCCTGGTGGCTTGGACTCGGCCACCGAAACCACAGCAAATTTAGGTTCGAAACCTGGAGGAATATCAGCATCGTCATCGACCATTACCTACCCTGTTTTGGCTTCAGCAAAGCCAGAGAGACTCTTCCCCTGTCCTTCAGTTTCTTCTTCACGTTGGTGGTTGGCTTTCCTCTTCTTTTTCTGTATGTTCGGGCTTCTATTTCGCTGCCTTGAGGACTGTCCGTGAGTTGGGTTCTTACTCAGAACTTGATTTGGACTTGGGCCCGTTTGGAAATAATTTTGGCTAACAATATAGTTGGCATGGGCCTGGAATGGGAAATAGTTTGGGCTTTGGTCGAAGTATATAGGTGGGGAAGGGATATTGGGGTTGGTGTTGATAGGGTTTGGGAAAGTGGCGGCTGAAAACCCTCCAAACAGATTTCTAGCTATGTTGATTCCTTGTGGGGGAGAGGCTGCCAAGTCTTGGTTCTGGAAAAGAGGTGAGAGGCTTATGGGGGATGGTGAGAAAAAGTTGGGGTTGGATAGTATACCCGTTGCCAACGGGAAGTTTTGAGCAGAGCTTGACTGAGGGGATTGATGTGCCATCACAGCTTGTGGGCCCAGCTGAGCAGTGTTGAGACACGCGCCGCGACCATTGTTCTCCGGCGATGGATTCTGTTGACCGGCGGGAGAATTTGAGGTTGACCCAGCGTCCCTACTCAGAACAGCCATCAGTTCACGTTGCTGGTTTGTCCTCGGCGAGAAGATCGGAGAACTAGCTGTAGTCCAAGGCCCCCATCTCTGAATATTTGGGGAGGATTGCATTTGTTTTCACTACCGCTATCAAAATAACCAAATATATATTTGCTATGGTCACTTGTAAATCATTGTGAGTCGAAGAAAATGATTGATCGTTTCTTGCAAACGGTTAATCGGATGACACATTTTATTTACTAGCTTATAACCCGGCCCGTTGGCCGGAATGTTCATATTTGATTATTTGTATTTTTATGTTACATTTAAGTCTATCAACTCGTTTAATTTTATTGACAATTCTTCGATCTAGATGATATATAAAGAAAGAATATATAGGTCAAACTTTTGGAGAAATAAGAATATAAAATATAAAAATGATTTATCTCTTTTTTATAACGATAATTAAGCCCCAATTAAAATGCTATTGGTTAGTTGATTGTCAAGAAAGATAGAGTATAAAAGCTCATTGGAATTCCCACACGCCATAGATAGTTTGAAACACAATTTTAAACCTCACAATCCTACATAAAGGGTTCAATGCTCTCCTTAGGAACAATATGCCACTAATCAAAAAGAAATGGAGAGTTGTTGATTCAAGTCAACTATATACTAACAACTCAATTAAGAGGGGACCAATAAAACTTGAGAGCAAACGACAAAATTAGGGTTACCTCCAATATGCTAATAAACTCGATCAAAGTAATAAGGCACAAAATTAGACACTCCGTATCTATCAGTTCCAGTAGTTTGAATAAAGAATCGACTTAGCTTCAAAAACCATAAACCTAAAGGTCCAATAGTCACCACTCTCTGTTGTAGAACCAAATTTTTATCTCAAGAGACATATGTTTCAATAAAAAATTCAATCTCTAATCCTCCTTCTACAACTCCATTTATTGAACTCCGTTCTATTTGTCATGTATTGATATCAGAGTTGAAATCTTCTACTTGCCTAGCTTAAATCCCCAATAATAAAATCGTAGTGCCAAGAGATACCAAAAGATTGATTTCAAAGGAGGCCTTGTATTGAAAAGTGAAAGGGGCGTAAACTATTGCACGATAGAGGGAATTTCGAAGGAAGTTAAAAGAGATAAGAACAAAGATAAAAAAAAGCACTAAATTTAAATTTAAATTGAAGATTTCAAGGATACAACACGCAGTAACATAATTAGTTTCTTCTATGGTAGCCAATTACCAATCTACCTTTAGCAAAAAAATTAAGGCGAGAGCAAAAAATTTAAAATTGAGAAAATTACATGAAACTCTAGCTACTATGAAAACTGAAGTATCAAACACCATAAAAATATATACGGTAGACTTAGTGGGCATGGTAATCATGATGGAAAATTCATCCAATTTTCAGAGTCTAACTTTGTGTATGCTTTGTACTAAAAAAGATACAACAAATTTGTTTAGTGTAATTGGTTGTGATTGTTGTCTTTGTTTTAAGAGACCCAGGTTCGAATCCTCATATTGATATTTTTATATGAGATAAATAATTAATTGTAAAGACAAAAATATCCTTCCTACTTTCACTCTCGTTGCAGGAAATTTGAAATGGAGAAAAGTTCACAAAACTCTACCATATATTATTGGAGGATTGCAATGGAACTACATCATTATAAAGGAAAAAATAACGGTTGATCTCTTCAATAGAAAGGTCAACAAATTGGTTATTACTTTATGAGGTGTTTGTGTAAGGAAGTGGTTAAGTATCATATATGGGCTTTTATAAGATCCAGCATAACCTTCTCCCAACAACTCGAGTTATTGGGATCAATTGGTTTTTCACATGATATCAGAGCTGTATTGTCCTTGAGGTCACGTGTTCAAGTCCTCACGACCCCTAATATTAACCTTTGTCTTTCAAGCACATGGTATGACGGACGTGTGCAAACTTCAAGTCCAGGTTTTTTTACTACAGTTTGAACATGATCCCACTATTAGAAAATGAACTCGAAGAAGTACCACAGGAAAATATGAACATTTCCAGAAAAATACATAAAATAGTCTGGGTTAGTCCATTTCGTTGGACGAGCCAGTTCTCCCCCCTTTCATTACCATTTTCCCCCTCTCTGTAGCTTCATCTGCAGGGATAGAGCGAGTGACGAAACAATGGCGGAAAGCGGAGGAGGAATTGCACACAGGCTAGCCAGCTGGAGGTGCTGCTGCGTTTTCAAGGAGTTGAGTTTCATCGAACAGGCGAAGGACACGAACCAATCTCCGAAACGTTTCGATGATTCCTCCTTTCAAGAAGCACCTCTTCGCCTCCCGCTGGCGATCGCTAGGCGTCAGCTACCGCATTCTCAGGTCAGCTCTCCGTCTCGAGACTTCTGGCGAGCTTCGTGTTTGGTTCCTTGGAAAATGACCAAGTAGGAGAAGTTCCTCGCGTCTCCATCGCCCTGTCCTCAGAATTTCCCCTTAGCTATCGAGAATTGTTTGAGCTGTTTGAGCATTTTCAGTGATTGCTTAGGGCTTTGCTTGAAATTCGCCCCTCCTGGAAAGCACATTCCATGATAGTTTAGCCAAATTTCCATGACTAGAGTTGTGGTTTGTGAGAATGAAATTGCTTGCGGTCAATTGAATCAATTTGTTGGTTTTCATCGTTAACGTATTACTGTATTAGTGCTTGAGCCGCCATGTTGGTAAGTTCAAGTGTTTATTCAATTCACCTCTAAGTAGAGGAGGATTAGGTCAACAATCGTGTCTTAGGATTGATCTAAGAATGGGGTTCTACTCTGATATCTTGATGCTCTCTCCTTAGTATGGATGCTCGAGAGAAATCAACTTCTACTGTGCTCGAATCATCAAAGCACAAGAGGGTACCGGTATTCGTTGTGATGCCCATTGACACGTTTGGTGCTGATGCTTCTGGGAGTCTAAGGATCAAAAGGCGAGCTTGAATGCAATGTAGTTATGAAATGGAAGTTTCTTTTACTGTCCGCAGTGTAGAGTGCAGTAAGGGATCTTTTTTGCCTTTCTGTTAACATGGTTGTGAATGCCCTGATAATGACATGTCGATGGAATGGTCGGACGAGTCTGATTATTGAATTGAATGCACTTCTAGTATCTTCAGGTGTATATTACAATATCATTATATATGAAAATTTGGGCGGTGATGCTATATTGTCTTTTCATATTATCCTCTTTGGTGGTGAACTGGAGTGACAACCCCTGCTCTATTTTCCTTGGTTTCAGACTCAAGGCGTTAACTGTATCTCTAAAAGCTCTCAAACTGGCTGGTGTGCATGGAATTGCGGTAGAGGTTTGGTGGGGAATTGTGGAGCGTTTTGCTCCTCTTGAATATAATTGGGGCCTTTATGAAGATCTTTTCAGACTGATTTCAGAATCAGGGTTGAAGTTGCATGTTGCTTTGTATTTTCATTCAAATGTACATCAGCATAGAAAGTGGGGCGTGAGTCTTCCTCCATGGATTGTTGAGGTACACTTTCTTCAACTATGTTTTACAGTTACATTGTTGCCCCAGTTTGATTGCCTATTCATTGATTTATGTCAGAGCCAGAGAAAACTTCATCATTGTATGCATTTGCTTATCTCAAATATCTCCTTGTCTAGGATATAGGTTTCCCTGCAGCATATTGAATGCCGTATATCGGATATTTGACCTTTTTTCCTTCATCCTCCAGACCCTAGGGTGACATTGTTTTGCCACTTGCCACATTTTCGGTCCATGTTTTATTAACTACTTGCATGCTGGGCATGTACCCAAAGCAAAACAGTACCAGGACTTATGCCTTTCTCATTTTCATAGATTGGTAAAAGCAACAAGGATATATACTACCGAGACATAAGTGGTCTGTCCAATGCTGATTATCCCACACTAGGAGTGGACCGACTACCTCTATTTTATGGACGAACTGCTCTCCAATGTTACGAGGACTTCATCGTCAATTTCCTTAACAAATTTAAGCCCTATATTGGGAGTATAATTGAAGAAATAAGTGTTGGTCTTGGTCCTTCTGGGGAGCTAAGGTACTTTAAAGCTGTTAATGAATGACGACAAGTGATGCAGTTCTACGGCATTTACTCATGAAGAACATGCAGGTATCCAGCACATCCTCTGGGTGACGGAAGATGGCAATTTCCTGGAATTGGTGAATTCCAATGTTATGACAAATATATGTAAGTGTTGAACTTGTCCTATTAATTCGAAGTTCAATATTTACATGTCTATTTAACTTTCAGGATGGAGGACTTGAGGATCGCTGCATGTCAGGTGGGAAAGCCAGAATGGGGAGATCGGGGACCCCAGAATGCTGGTTGTTACAATAGTCTTCCACCAGGGGTACCTTTTTTCGAAGATGGACAGGAGAACTTTATATCTGATTATGGATGCTTCTTCCTTGTATGTATTTTTTAAAATTACTTGTTAAGCTTTAAATTCTTATAAAGGGTTTTGCCCCTATATTCACGTAAATATCTGGATCATTTTGTTTCATGGTCCGACATTTACATGCTTGGGGATGGCTGTTGTTTTTAATGCCGGTTCTTTCATTAGCATCTGGCCGAATGAGGTTTAAATTCTTATTTTACTATTATTTGGATGTAGCATAGGTTACATATGTAATAACCAAGGAAGTTCTGAGACTGCAAGTGAAATGAATGTATGCTCTATGAGATAGAGATGAGGTACATTAAAATTAGATTGGACAATCTTTTATCATCAATCCCTATCCTTATTAAAATCACGACCCTTGACTTATGGAGCTGATGTTTCTGAGTTAGCGACACTGGAATTTACTGTGTTCTATTTGTATTGCTGAATAAATAGTGTAGTCCTTGGAGTGAGTCTATGTTAACTACTCTTAGGACCATACAGAATGGTGAGAATCTCATAAAGGTGTTCCTCTTTGTAGGAATGGTACAGTGGCAAGCTAATCTGTCATGCAGATGCTATCCTGGCTAAGGCAGCTAATGCATTGAGGAAGTATCAGCAAACTGTAGAAACATCGGTTCTATTGGTTGCTAAAATTGGAGGAATATACTGGTGGTACCAGACTATATCGCACCCTGCTGAACTTACAGCTGGTTACTACAACACTGCTCTCAGGGATGGTTATGATCCTCTTGCATCAATGCTGTCCCGTCATGGTGCTGCTTTGCATATTCCGTAAGACTCTGATACTCACCTTCTGCATCTAATGCTGTTGCACTGGAATTTATGACACTTGTACGAAATATATGTAATCATTGTGAGTTGTAGGCCATACTATATTGTCTTTGTTTGATATATTGGATCTTATAACGCGTGGTGTGCAGACCTAACTTGTTTCTGTTGCTACTTCCCCTTTAGAAAGGCTGCTGTTTTGTTTTTTGTTGTTATATTTCAAGGGAGTGATTTATGTGACTTGAACTACATGTGCTTTTATTCAACTATTATAGTTAACTCTGTTTTTACAGTTTCAAATGTTGTGCCTTTACGCATGCTCATTCGTTTTGTAATTTTCTAGCAGCTGCCTAGAAATGATGGACAACGAGAACCCACCGTCTTATCGTTGCAGCCCTGAAGGCTTACTTCAACAGGTTTTGCTTCTTTCTCAACGGGCATATCTTATTTCTGTGTACTGAGTTTAGAGTTCTAGGTAGCCAGTTTCTTTACCCAAGTTACTCTGATCAGAGCTTATGTGATCGTATCTTTTTAGCATTTCAAGCTGAGTTGATTTTTCACTGATACAGATATGCAAAATTTCAAAGAAAAGAATACATTTGATTGGACGAAACACTAATGAACGGTTGGATAAAGTAAAGGATATCTTGTTTAGTAGCATTGCCTGTTCATGTCCACTTGTATGATTTCCGATCTAGGGAGGGAGGATTCACTGAGTCTGCTTTTTGTTTATGATTGCTCTTTTCTCTCAAGATTTTTCTCGATATGATGAATATGTGCCATTTTCTTGCAGACGGGATTGAGGCAAATACTGGCCAACTGTAATCACCCGCAGGCAGAAGCTGTAAGGTCATTTACTTATTTCAGAATGAACGAAAAAATCTTCTCGGTAGAAAACTGGAACAATTTTGTTCCCTTTGTTAGAATGATGAGTTCAGATTATTGAACTTCTCAGGTATGTTCTAACCATTAATTGTAAAGAAGAACACAGCATCTCCTTCCATCTCATCTTTTTATATGAGGGCGGGGGAGGTTGTTAGTGGCGATTTTAGAGTCATTGCAGATCAAATCCCTGTGTCTGGCCTCAGTTACTGATAAGATTTCTGGCTTCTGATAAAGTTCTTAACGAATCGTCGCCATTTTATACCGTAGAAATCACATTGGTCCTAAGATTTCTTTCATATTGGATTTCGTCTTTCTGAGTTTGATCTGATTGGGGCAGCTCCCCCGGTTGCCCATTGTGGCCGAGGCTGCTGACAGGCAAGTTCTTTGAGGACACATTAATTGTGTAGAGGAACAAAGTTCTATCTGGGTTTCCTTTTGGTTAGTTTGTTGATGCTTATAGTAATAGTGACGCAGTTCAATCACTCACAACCTTGTTACATGAGCTGGAATTCGGTCGAATTTGTTCTTGGAACAACTGGTACAGTGGTACCAGTATATGAAGCTATGAATTATATTGTTGTTCTTGTTGTCTGTATATTCATTCATGGTGGAACGTGGGAATATCAGATCAATGAACGGTCTGCTGTCATTGAGAAGTTGGTCTCGTTGTCTACCTTGCTGTAATTTAAGGTTCTTGAATTTGGTTTTCAGTTCAAGATGAATGGATGGACATATAGAATTTGGGGTAGATAAGGAAGAAGCAGCTGTAAGGTGAATATGCTGCTTGTTTCCCATGTATGCCATAGATGTGAATATGTTGCTTTGTTGTGCTGCTAAGTGCTGTCTGTAACCTTGGAACGCTGGTGGCTTGCGAATCCAAATGTTCTATTTCTCATTAGATATCTCCAGCGTAAGCACGTGAGAATCTTTTGGAAATCTCACTCATTACCTGGAACACTTTGCTCACACACAATGTTCATGAAGCAGTGAAATGCCCGAGATTCCACCCGACGAGGAGGTTTGGCTGGGCTATTAGGGTTAGAATTTTGCAGTGACAAACTTTTGGAGATGATGGTAGTTAATGATAGAAGACAGCAATACACGGAAAGATGGAAGTGCTTAGATGCAGAGTACAAGCCGCTTGCGTATACAGTAGCTAAACTTCAATGGATATCTTACTTGTTCCGTGAACTTCCCATTCGGCCTCCACACCCTCTACACCATATGCGGTGACAGCCCTCCATTCGCGAAGATGACACAAAATCCTATCCAATATGAGCGGGCGAAGCACATTGATATTGATTGTCATTTTACACGAAATCAAGTTCAGGCTTTAAGGCTCAAAGTTGCAACACATCTCCATCAACCTCCAACTCATAGCTAGATTCCTTCACAAAAGGGTCTTCTAGTGCACATCTTTACCGAATTGGTTCCCCATACTACGCTTGAAAACTATCCATGCTTAGTTTGCAAGGGGATGGCAGAGACGGTAATCATAATTGATTACGATCAAATGAATTAAAATGTAAACATTGCAAAGTTCGTAGGGTTAAGTTAGTTAAGATAGAAAGTTTAGGTATGTATCTGTAATATAGAACTAACTTTCCCTCTCTCTCTCTCATCTCCAATTGGGCACTGTAAACTCAGTGGATCTGGTATAAATATAGGGGAAACCGAAACCCCATACTTCAATTCACACGAATCATTCTTACAATTGCATATTCGGGTTCTCTCTCAATCATCTCACTCTCTATTGAATTCTCACTTCCGGATGGGTGCTACCGGGAATCATCTCTGCTTCGATCTGGTTGAAGAATCGCAGAAGAGAAACCCTGGTGCCTCCATTTGCGCCGCCGAAGGTGTTGTTGGGTTCAAAGACGCAGCCATCTTGCAGGACTACCATGTATTGCCGCAGTTCCGAAATGTAATAACAACTTCTCTTCCTCTTTTCTCCTTCCCCCCTGCTTTCCCTTTTCGAGTTTTTGAGTTTAGTTCTACTAATGGGGGTTGGTTAATTGATTATCGATCTGCAGGCGATGGCGAAGTTTATGGGGAAAGTGAGAGGGGACAGAGTGAGCTTCGACCCAGACAGGATTGTTATGGTACGCGGAGCCGCTGGAGCTCACGAGACCATCGGTTTCTGCTTGGTGGATCCCGGCGAGGCTCTGTTAGTGCCCACCCCGTATTACCCAGGGTAAAATTACTGTATACTACTACTTTAATTTGAGCATTTAGGGTTCTACCCTTAGTTAGTTACTTCGTTTTTTTTGTTGTAGGGATAACAATGGGTCGGGTCGGGGACGGATAGTGCATATCCGTTACCCTATTCAAAGTAGTTCGGGTTTTACCCATACTCATACCCACATATGAAACGAGTAGAAAATTAAAACCATGTCCATACCCGTTCGGGTTTCGGGTATCCACGGTTATCCATGATTAATGATTTCTCTTCATAACTCCAACTAATATATTAACATTCACACGTATATAACACATTACGCAAGAGGAAAAGTATGACAATAATTCACTAGAATGAAGAAAATTAATTAAAACAACACAATTTCATGAATATATGCTAAATATAAAATATGTTAGAGAAAAATAATTACTATTTCTAGAAAAAATACATATGTATGTGTATTATCAGGCGGGTTCGGGTTGGATACTGAGAAACCTATGCCCACCCATTACCCGCAATATTCGGGTTCAGGTTTTACCCGTACCCACTAAATGTCCTTCGGGTTTGGGTTTTACCCTACCCAATTAGGCCGGGTTCGGGCGGATATTCACGGTTACGGATATTTTTGTCATCCCTAGTTTGTTGGTCCAGCCTTTAATCATTGGTGGGCTGCTTAGGTGTTAAGCTTCCACATGAACCATGTAGCAAAAATCATCTCTTTGTCAAAATGTAATAGAGATGGCGACGCGTGACTACGAACTCTGTCATGATCTATATGATATGAAATACGCTACTATGTCTACAGTGATGGAACTAGGTTATATCCTCTCAATTTTGAATTACAGAAAAATTTGCATGTAAAATTTGTATAGATATAGAAAATAGCATGGTCCATGAAACCGTACCGGAGATCGTACCGAGAAAGTCAGCGGTAGGGTATTGTATGATAAAACCGTAGTTTAACCATAGTTCAACTGTTGTACCGTTAAATACCGCCTACCAGTTTAGCCTCCAATACTGGTATTTCGTGGTTGGACCGCCGATACGGTACGGTTTCAAGGACCATGGAAAATAGACTAGTCTCTAAAGTCTTAATCCCCTAATTATTATGATTCAAAGTCAAGTCCCTCATTTAAATTTATGACTCCGCGCCACTGACGTTATGGAACGATGCTTGCTCAATTTTCTTGTCGCGTGTTTTTTTCGACAGATACGATCACTATTTCAGCCGGAGGGTAGGAGTCGAGCTGGTGCCGATCGAATGCGACAGTGCCAACAACTTCAAGCTGAGGATGGAGGACTTGGAAGCTGCCTACGAAATGGCGAAGCAGAACAACATTCGAGTCAAAGGGCTGTTGTTGACAAACCCGTCCAACCCATCGGGAACGATTCTCGGCGGGGACACCTTGAGGAGTGTAGAAATTGATGATGCGGAAGGAAACGAACACAAAAGACAAGGGATTTTACGTGGTATCCTCGATTGATTGATCGAGACTAATCCACGGTGAGCTCGAAAGAGCTCACGGCTGACTTATTATGGGACTACATTGTGACGGCTTGCTTATGACAGAACCATAGCTAAGCTTTTATAGAGAACGACTTAGGGTTAAAACCCTAAAGACAACCAAGTTCCCTCTTTTACCCGGACAAGGAAACAAGAGACTTGTTGGACAAGGAATTAATTATTTTTGACTAAATAATCAATATCCTCAACACTCCCCCTCAAGCGAAGACATAAATGACAAGAATGTCGAGCTTGAAAATGAACAACACTCAAACAACCTCTTGCTGGCAATGACGATCCAACAGGCTGTGACTTTGTTCGCTTGCGGGAGATGTAGACAAATGATGAAACTAATCAATGCTTGACCCAGTTCTTTTGATAGTGAACTCAGCATGATGAAATTCCTTGACGTCTTGGATGAGACTGATCCGACTTCATGCTTGACCTAGTTCAACAATAGTGAACTCCACATGGCGGAATTACCTTGACGTCTTGGATGAGACTGGAGACTGATGACTACGTTGTTGACTTTGGAGACTTCTAACTGCACTGCTGATTGTGCTTCTCCGAACAACCTGACTGATCGATAGACGTGGTCAACTTGATGACTGAACTAGTCGACCTACGTGTGATGATTCCCTATTCTCCCCCTCAAGCTGGAGCATGAACGACGTGAATGCCCAGCTTGAAAGTTAAAATGGTGAAGACTGAAATTTACCTGATTCTGAACGTCGAGGTGACGATCACTCCTTGGATCGTGACTACCTCGTTGTATGACTTGATAAAACTTTGCTAACGAGAGCTTCTCTATATTCCCAACACTAGCTATTGAAGGGGCGACAACTGCAGGTCACGATTATCTTCAATGCCATGACTTTGATGTTGGTGAAGAGTTGCTTGACGAACACCGTTCAACAAATGAGAAGAATGCAACTACAACAATGAAATTGCATACCCGAAAAATCCAACTTTACAATGACGGTGGCTGCCTTCGACTTAACGTTGAATTCCCATGAGCTGCAAATAAACCATTGGTAGAAGTCTACTTTCCATGCAACTTTTGAATTCCACGTGACCTTGGTGAAGACTACAGCCCCAATGAACAATCCTTTTGACGACCAACCAAACCTTCTCCTCTAACTATTGGAGCATCGGCAAGCGATGGTGGATTCTGACATCGGGGTGGCCCGATATGCTGCTCGGTTGGATCAGTTACTAAAAACAAAAATCCCACCGCGGACGATGATGGTGAGATTAACTTGACGACGAGGACGATAATGACGTCGGCGACAGTGACACATCGACATGGGGAAAAGCTGGAGGCGACTATACTACGCGGCCGTGACGGTGGTGCTATTGACGACGAAGTTGACTGGCTGGCGATGACGGTGACGTTGGCGGGAGCTCGGATACAAGCAACCTCTAATGACAACTGCGATGATGATGATTCAACGAAGTCGGGACGTGGACGATGATGATGATAAGAGGAACGGTGGCGAGTTGAGGCCACTAAAGAAGGCCTTTACTCGGAGTCTGCCGATGATGCCGCCAGCGGTGACAAGGACGACGATGGTGAATTCGGATGATGGGTGCGGCGCTCGATTCCCCATCTGGGTCCGCAGCGCTCTATGGTGAATGTGATGACGATCGATAACAAGAGCACAGTAGATGACGACGGCTGAGGACTGGATATCGCGTTCTCGACGGCGGGATGGACTTCGCCTATGACTGCGGAAGAATTGACGGGGACTCCAGCTTTGCCGGATTTTGACGGACTCGGCGGCGGATCTGAGACACGAGATGACCGAAGACAAGCCTCGATTGACGGAGACTGGAAGCTACCAACTTCTGCGGCTTCTGTTCTTGCTTACCGCCGGACAATTGCAAGGCGATCTGAATCGCCATGGACGGCAACCAGGCTACAAAAACTCAGTGGACGGATGCAATTGACTCCTGCTGACTGTCGGATGAGCGAAGGAACAGAGGCGAACGTCTGACTGATGACGTTGATGCCGCTAGCAACTTCTTTTGCATTGTTGCTAGAGTTGGAGTCTTCAAACCCCGTGACTGATTGACGAAGACGAATAGACAAAAGGTAGAGACTTGCGGATACACAAAACCCTAACACAAGATCGAGTTTTGCTCTGATACCATGTAGAAATTGATGATGCGGAAGGAAACGAACACAAAAGACAAGGGATTTTACGTGGTATCCTCGATTGATTGATCGAGACTAATCCACGGTGAGCTCGAAAGAGCTCACGGCTGACTTATTATGGGACTACATTGTGACGGCTTGCTTATGACAGAACCATAACTAAGCTTTTATAGAGAACGACTTAGGGTTAAAACCCTAAAAACAACCAAGTTCCCTCTTTTACCCGAACAAGGAAACAAGGGACTTGTTGGACAAGGAATTAATTATTTTTGACTAAATAATCAATATCCTCAACAAGGAGCATCGCCGCCTTCACCAACGAGAACAACATTCACCTTATCTGCGACGACGTCTACTCCGCCGCCGCCGCCGGCAAGCCGGGCTACGTCAGCATCGCCGAGATCGTCGACGAGGACCGGAAGAGCGGCGGCAGCAACAGTCTGAACTTGGACCTGATCCACATAATGCATAGCCTTTCCAAGGACATGGGCTTCACGGGCCTGCAGGCCGGGATAATCTACTCGTACAACGACGCTGTCGTGAACATCGCGCGGAGGATGTCGATTTCTGGACTGATCTCGGCCCAGGCCCAGAACGTGATCGGGTCTGTACTGTCGGACGAGGAGCTCATGGTGGAGTTGCTCCTCGGGGCGAAGACTGGAATTCGAGCAGAGAAGAGAAGAAGTGGAGGGAGAAACGTGAAACGTTTCTTTAGCTTGCTTGTTAGTGATAAGAACGACGACACTGTTCTGTTTAAGTCGTGTTTAGTTAGCCGTTATTAAACAGTTGATTAGTTTTGTAATGACCACTGGCATACTGCCACGTGGATGCTCATTGCTCAGTAGGTTGTTCTTGCTAAAGCAGCTATATATATATATGTGAGAGAGCTTTTTTAATCACACATTTTGATATCAATATGGGAAGAAGGTGGAGGTTGGCAGCTTTATAACAAGAAGAAAAAGTTAACGTAATGGTTAGGGCTGGCCATTCGGTTATCGGTTGCCGGTTAACCAACCGGTTAAACCGATAATCGGCGGTTACCGGTTAAACCGATAACCGAAAAATCGAAGGCGCGGGCGGTTGGCGGTAGATGGGTTAAGGAGGCCGGTTAACCGGCATAAATAATAGCCGGTTAAACCGACTAACCAGTGCATCCTCACCCTTGGTAAACGACGCCGCATCCTACCCTGCCTAACCCTAAGACTTCGCTGGCCTTCACTCTCCCCGCCGCCGCTGCGAATTCACTCCACCCACACTGCCACACAGCAGCAGCGATTCACACTCCCTCTCCCTCACTCTCCCTGCCGCCGCCCTCACTCTCTCCGCCGCCGCGCCTGCCCCGGCCGCCGCCGGTCCTCTCCCTCACTCCCTCCCACTATCGCCGTCGTTAGGTGGTACCCGGCGTGCCACCACTGACCTGCAAGAACATAGAGGTTGCGCCGCCGTTACTAACGAGGCTCGTCGGTGGGTCGGAGAAATCAATCCATTAGTTAACGAAAGGAAGAATCGAGTTAACTGGTAATTAATTAAGTACCCTTGGATTCGAGGACGAAGGAGGCGCCGACGTCTTGCCTCCCGGAGGACTCCGGCTTAGAGGGCTCTGCCATTGATGATTAATGGCGATGAATTGGAGAGGGTTTGGAAGTGATGGAGGCATGGAGCAATTCGGAGAAAGTGGGGTTTCAGGGATTTAGGGAGAGATGATTGTTTTTGGGGGAATTTGGGAGTGCCGTCAGCATGCCGCGGTTACTTCGGTTAACCGGCCAACTAACTGGTAATCGACCGGTCGGTTGTCGGCTAACCGAAGCCTTTCTTCGGTCGGTTGGCGGTAGCCACATGCCCTGTCTCGGTTAACCGGTAACCGACATTTCGGTTATCCGTTATAACCGAACTAACCGAAATGCCAGCCCTAGTAATGGTTGGCAATGAAAAACCCAAAGACAACAATCCCTACCTCAAAGAATTTTCCCAAAGCGAACACAACTACAACCAGCGGCGGATCCAGAACACAGAAGTGCACTGGGCCGTATTTTATTAGAAAATTAGAATAGTAAAAAAATATAACGATTATAATTTTTTTACAATGTAAATTGTACACGATGGTATTTTAATTTAGCGAATGCATTAATAATAGAGTCCACATCCATACCAATAGTATACACTGTTTCAAATAAAATACTTGAGCAATCGACTAGAAATCCATCGCTCATTTTGTTGCGCAAATCAATTTTCACATGTTTCGTTGTTGAAAAGGTTATATTCGTATTAGCTATTGAAACGAGAAGCATCAACACTAGACAAATCAATCTAGTAATCAATTTGCATTGTGTTTCCATCCCTATATCCACCAGCTGCTCTAGTAAATTTTCGAAGGTAACAAACCTCATATATGTTTTAGTCTTTTACGTTTTAAACTTTTTGAAATTTTAGGTTTCATTGTTTTTTAGACGAATAACCTTTGGGGTTAGAATTTATAATCTAAATTTAGAGTAGTGATTTTGAATATGTTCATCTGAATTATTTTTAAATTATACCCAATCTTATTTTAAAATAACAACTACCCGAATATCTAAAATCGAAAAATTCATAAGGCCTATACTAACTATGGATCCAGAGGAGGGCTGGGCCGGGGCCCGGGGTGGCCACCCCCTGGATCCGCCACTGACTACAACGACGGAGCTTCTTGAGGAAATAAACATGGAGTTTTATTAATTAATTCTACTCTTGATTATTCATCGATCAATCATTATCTTTTAAAAAGTTCCTTTCAGCATAATCAATGATTGGTTCCCTAATTCCACCAAAAAGAATTTGATTTGATTCTTTATTTACTAAACCCAGTGTTATAGGACAATCCAAGTACCACATCGGAGATACAAGGAAAAGAACCCTTGTATATAATGTCCACCTAGCCCAGTATGAGACCTTTTGGGAATGAACCCAAGAGTAAAATTGTGTGGGCTTGATCCAAAGCGGACAATATCGTACTAATTGAGAGGCCCAGTTTGACAACAAGTTTGGTGGGACCCTCTTTCGGTGACCTTGGGATCTGAGATATGCATCTCGTTTGGTGTCCACTATAGATCTACATATAAGGTGTTTGGCGGATCAAGATAATCAATGAGGTGAGGACACGGTGTTCATTAGTACGAGGTCTTTTGGGGAGGATACCTAAGAGAAAATCCGTGTGGGCTTGGCCCAAAGCGGACAATATCGTACTAATTGAGCAGCCCGGTTATGACAAGTGGTATCAGAGCTTGGTTGGGCGGATCTGGGGCAGTGGAAAACAATTTTGGTGGGACCCTCTTTTGGCGACCTTAAGATTTGAGATGGGACCCTCTTTTGGCGACCTTAGGATTTGAGATCTGCATCTCGTTTGGTGGATCCACTAGAGATCCACATCTGGGCTACATCTGGTTTGGCGGATCGAGGGAGGTCCGCGTTTGTCTGGTGGAGAGATCCACATCTGTTTGGCGGTCCGCATTCCTTCCCTTGTATTTTCGATGTGGTAATTACGATACTGAATTCTATATTTCAATGAATGCACGTATTATATAAAATAATTTTTGTTTTTAAAGATTATATAAAATAGTTATTCCAACGTGTATGGGCATTTTATGATTTTATATAATTCATTTAATCGCCTAAACTTTTTGCGTATAAATTTAATTAAACCATGAAGTTGCCAAACAACTCCTTAGGTGCCATTTGTATTTCCCAATCCCATGGAAATTAGGGCAAGGACCAATCTTCCTGAAAAAAATTGTCCAACATTAATATAGACTAGCTTTTTACCCGCCCGTTAGGCGGCGCATTCGTATTGGTGTTTTATTTTACGTTCTATTATTTTTTTATGATTTATGTATGTTAAACTATTATACATTGAATTGTTAATCTCACTTACTTGATTTTAGGTATTGTTAGACACTTTTAAATCTTTTGTTTATTTATGAAAATTTGATTTTATTAAATGAGCTCTTGGTAGACTTTTCTTTGTTTAATTATAAGTTGGTACCGAAACCATAATTTAGGATATAAACACAAGAGATTATTAATTTTTTTAGCAAACAATAGTGACAAAGAAGTTTAAACAAATTAAATAAGCAAATATATTTTAATTATAAAAAAATAAGCAAAGAGCTTTTCATTTCTTCTTCCTTCTCGTATGTTGGTATTAGATAATACATACTATTGCGCTCTAGATCCTACGAACATCGTGCACTACTAGTTATTTGTGCAATTTTGGAAGAATGAGAAAACACACTAGCATCCACATCATCCATCTTCTGCTTATTCATTTAATTTATCTTTAAAATGTTATAGCAAAACCAACCAAAAATAGAACTATCAGTTGTCACTAATTTATTAAAACGATATTTTCAGCAAAGTAAACTGCATATAAACACATTTTATATTCGTAGAGAGCTACATGCCCCCTTTAAAAAAATGTTGTATTTTTTTACCTAATAACAACATAGACGAATTGTAAAAGCTGCATACTTCAATAAAACTCAGCTCATTGTATCTTGTATAATTTTCATTTATGAACACGATTGATGCATCAATCAAAATAGTTGTTCTCAAAAAACGATCAGGCCAAAATCAAGTTTTAGTTAGGGATTCAATGAGGCAAAAATTCATTATGATGAAACAAATAAATGTCATTGCAAACGTTTAAAAATTGAAAGAACGTTGACATAGTCAATTTAGAGACTACCACCACCATTTTCTTTCTTCTTCACACCTTTATAAAACCTCACATGTGTTCCCTTCTACTTATAACCCTCTGCTACGTTTTACTTACTGACCAAATCATAATCATATAGCTAGTAGCATCTCACTCATGAAAGAGCATACTGCAGGGAAGGTTTAATATATAATTTATATATTTCATTTTTCAAAGTCGATTGATTGTCAAACGCTTGATTTGTCTCTTTGTGTCGTTATATTTTATTTAACAGACAAATGTATTATTATTTATGTGTGTACTTCTTTAAAATTTTCATTAAAATGTAACTTATTATTAAGTTTTGGTTAAAATGAGTAGATAATTTACTTGATAAAATTTAATCATATATTTTTGTTTAAAAAAACTCGATATTTGTCATTCTTTGTTCCATCTTTATATTTTGTTTAATTGACAAAAATATTATTATTTTTTACATGTTTTTATTTACATTCTCAATGTAACTTATTATTAATGTTGAGTAAAAGTGAGCATAAATACTAAAAGAAGAGAGAGATAGCTTCATAAATAGATCAATAATAAAAAAATTTGTTAGGAAAAAAATGTCCACCTAGGCCACTTGTTATTTCTCCAAGTGCTTATGTGACAAGAAGTTACTTTTGAATTGTCATAATATATAGTATAGATGTTTTAGCTCGTCTTGCGAATTACCCGAAACACCCCTGCCCGGCTGCCCCAAAATATAAAATTCGCCTATACAGCACTTGTCTCTTTCCTCTCTTCATTACCATCACCACCACTGCTCCCACCCTACTCTCTTCACTCTCTCTCTTCCTCCTCCGCCACAATGCGGCCGTCGGCGGCGTCCCTCCTCCTCCTAGCTCCGCTCCTCCTCTTCTTCCCCTCCACTGCCACCGCCCACAACATCACCAAGCTCCTCGCCAGCCACCCGGAGTTCTCCACCTTCAACCACTACCTCACCCTCACCCAGCTCGCCGACGAGATCAACCGCCGCATCACCATCACCGTCTGCGCCGTCGACAACGCCGCCATGGACTCCCTCCTCGCCTCCCGCCCCTCCATCTCCACCGTCAAGAACATCCTCTCCCTCCACGTCCTCCTCGACTACTTCGGCCCCAAGAAGCTCCACCAGATCTCCAACGGCACCGCCCTCGCCGCCACCCTCTTCCAGGCCACCGGATCCGCCCCCGGCTCCTCCGGATTCGTCAACATCACCGACATCCGCGGCGGCAAGGTCGCTCTGGGACCCGAGGACAACGGCGGCTCCCTCGACGCCTTCTTCGTCAAGGGGGTCGAGGAGTTGCCCTACAACATCTCCGTCATCCAGATCAGCAAGATCCTCCCCTCCGCCGTCGCCGCTGCTCCCACTCCTTCCCCCGCCGCCATGAATTTGACCGGCATTATGTCGGCGAGCGGTTGTAAGGTCTTCGCCGACACTCTCCTTGCCTATCCTGATGCTTCCAAAACCTTCCAGGTATATACACATTTCCTTTTCTTCCCCCCAATTTTTACCCAGTCGATTCAGTTCAATTTCCCCCAATTTTTTTTACCGATTCCCTGTTTAATTGATTGAATTTTGCTGGTAATTATTATTTACCGTCTCTTTCTGGGTAGTTGTAGTAAGGCGTAAATTACGCCATGTCCATGTTACCTGCAAAGCTCAGCGGCGTGACAATGGCGTTAGTTGACTATAGTCTATACTATTACTGCCACATTTCGGATCATGTGACCCGGTTGACTTTTGTTGCCCCGAATTGTTGCCGTTTCTTTCTCAGCTGGGATCTAGGAAAGATTTGGTTTTTGTTTTATGACTCGCGGGTAATAATGGCGGATTCCCCTGTTTTTTCTGCAGGAGAGCATCGATGGAGGATTGACAGTGTTCTGCCCCATGGACGACCCGTTCAAGGCCTTCCTGCCGAGATTCAAGAACCTGACCGCGGCGGGGAAGGTCTCGCTGCTCGAATTCTTCGGGGTCCCGGTGTACATGTCGATGCCGATGCTGAAATCCAACAACGGCGTGATGAACACCCTGGCGACCGACGGGGCCAGCAAGTTCGACTTCACGGTGCAGAACGACGGGGAGCAGCTCACCCTGAAGACGAAGAGCACCACCGCCAAGGTCACGGGGTCGATCTTCGACGAGCAGCCACTCGCGGTGTACACCATCGACAAGGTCCTGCTGCCCAACGAGCTGTTCAAGGACGCTCCTTCCCCGACCCCGGCACCAGCGCCTGCCCCGGCGGCAGACGCGCCCAAGTCGAGCAAGAAGAAGAAGAAGAGCAAGTCGCCGCCTTCGTCGGATGGTGATGCTGACTCGCCAGCCCCGGCTGATGGGCCGGAGGCCGATTCGGAGGATCAGCAGGCTGCAGATGACAATGCTGCTCTCAGCAGGCTTGCAGGTGGTAAGCAGGTGGTGCTGAGCTTGTGTCTAGGGCTGGTAATGGTGTTGCTGTAGCTGCTACCGATCGCAATGTACTACTATCTATTGGTGTAATCATGGAAAGGAATTGATTTTTTTTGGGTTATTTGTTGAGGGCAGGGGAATAAGTTAAGGTAGAACTGCAATGGAGCCTATTTTGTTGCTGCTCATTTGGATGGGGGAGGGTATTTATGTGCCATTTTGCTCTGTTTTTTGGTGTGGTTTTTGTGTTAGGGTTTGTGAGGGAGAGTCTGCTTCGTAATGGAGAGGATCTTGTATTCTTGTTGTAGCTTGTGTGTTTTGCTTTCTTGCTTGTCTTTGTGAGTAGCAGAGATGGTAATGGTAGTGAGTTTGGACTGTGGAAACTGTAGATTCAGTGCTCATAGTGAAGTTCTTTTTTTTTTGGGCAAAAGATATCATATATTGATTAACCAAAGAGATAATTACATCCTAGAATTCAGCCAGGCCTGAAAATCAAACACACGACAAGCAGAAGGCAACAATGAAAGGGCCTTTCTAGCCACTACATGGGCTACCCGATTGTTACGCCTACCTACAAATCGCACACTAAACCCCGTCCTAGAGGCAAAACAAGAGACTACTTCCTCAAGCACAGCCCCCATCCGGATATCACCAGTCTCTGCCCGATTGATCTTATCAATGACGACCTTGGCATCCCCTTCAAATTGCACCATCGGGAAACCATGCTCCAGACACCACCAAAGCGCTTCCCGAAGAGCAAGAACTTCCACCACTAATGGGTCATCAATACACTGAAACTGAACCCCGACCACCCCTAAAATCTCCCTGGCCGACGTCATGACTACTATCCCCCCTGCCGAGTGCGACCCACGACGAGTCGCCCCATCCCACATACACACTATAGAAGTACTCCGCACCGGATTCAAGCGGCTGGGACAGGGATTGACTGGCCCCATGCCTGGATCAGCAGGGAGGCGAGCCCATTCAGCCAGCTGCTGGTGATATTGCCTCATCAAAGCTGGGAACCCAAACTGCTTCCCCTCAAAGACCACCCAGTTGCGAGATTTCCAGATTCGCCAGAGGACAGCCACGACAGCTAACCACAGATCCGACTTATGGACAATTGCCATCAAAGTCTTAAGAAAGAGAGGGAAAGTCTGACGGGGTAACCCTTGCCCTAAATGCTCCAACCCTGCAAAATCCCAAAGTGCACGGGCTACCGGACAGTCAAGAAATAAATGCTCCATCGTCTCACTCGCCGACCAGCACACTGGACACCTGGGGTGTACTTCTACATCTTTTTCACGTAACGCCTCTGCTGTGGGAAGAGCCCGGTTAAAAATTTGCCAAAGAAAAACCTTTAGCTTAGGCGGAATCTTGGCCCCCCACAGCCGAATCCAACTAACTCTGTCCATCCAACTAACCGTAGCTCTCCATCGGTTGGTACACTGATCCAAGCGGACTGCCAGATGATAAGCAGATTTCACTGAGAAAGCCCCATCCGCAGAGTCATGCCAAACCAATCGATCCTCTACAGTGCCCCGCGGGAGAGGGATAGTTGTGATGGCTCGACAGGTTGGAGGATCAAACCACTGGTTCAACTTAGACTCATCCCAGCGTCCTTCCCCGGGGATGATCACCTCAGCGACTGGGAGACCTCCCCCCACCGGAAGGACCAGAGGGTTGAATTGCGGAGGATTCGGATGTAAAAGTGGAATCCAGTTTGATGAAAGGAGGGAGGTCTTCAGACCATTCCCAACCTGCCACCTGATCCCCTTCTCAAGCAACTCCCTACCATAGAGAACGCTCTGCCATCCCCAAGATGGACGAGATCGTGCTTGAGCAGTGAGAAAAGTTCCCGTAGGGAAATACTTTCCTTGATAGACCTGCGCTAAGAGAGATTGAGGGTCGTTAAGGATTTGCCATCCAATCTTAGCCAAAAGGGCCTGATTAAAATGCTCAAAGCGGCTAAATCCCATTCCACCATCATGTTTGCTCTTGCACAAATTCCGCCAAGAAACCCAGCGAATTTTCGATTGCTCTTCTTCAACACTCCACCAGAACCTGGCTACATGCTTATCAAGGAGCCTGCAAAGGGACAGAGGGAGCTTGAAGCAAGACATGACATGTAATGGTAAAGCCAGAGCGACTGACTTGATCAAGACCTCTTTAGCAGCCCAAGATAGAGTCCGCCGTTTCCACCCTTGCAGTCGCTCCAGCAGTTTTTCTTCCAAATACCGAAAAGTAGCCATTTTCGAGCGAGCAATGAGTGTTGGTAGCCCAAGATACTATTCGGTTGAGAGGGTTTTGTATTTGTTTCATAAAATATACTATTCGGTTGCCCACCACAATCTTTCTCTTAATAATGTTAGTATGTGGTATAAAATCTGTTACTGAACATATTTCAACCGCTCGAGTAAATGAGATTAACTATTTCTTGATATCGTATTAATGTCTACTGTGACTGAGAGAGATTTTTTTTTTTTTTGAATCGTGGTGACTACATTAGTAAGCACATGGTATCTGATGACTGTGCAAACTTCACGTCCATATGTGTATGCTTTCATTTGTATGTTTGGATTTATGTGTTTATTTATTGTTAATTGAAGCACCAGCATTACCAACAAAATCACTCGAGCATTCAACAATTGACGCCCAATTCGCGAACAAAAACATGATCTAGTGATAATATCGCTAGTGTTAAACTTGGGACCCCAAATTCGTACTCTTTCAGTAACACCTAATAATAAAAATCAACATATATAAAGAAATCATTAACGCCCAATTCAACTAGTAAGTAATTAGGAGGACAACATGATCATGACATTAGCACGACCAATCGATCATGCTACCAACTGCCGGAAAAAGATTAACATAATGGCCGAGACAAAAGCCGGGCCCTTCCCCAATTCCCCAATCCCATTGATCGATCTCCATCAATTGTGTTTTTATGATGTTGCTAATTCAGCAACACCGCCATTCATTTCCTAACAAAGGACCAACTCCATTACTCCACAACTACCACCTCCAGCTTACATATTTGTTCCCCTCCATTACCCATTAGTCACAAAATTCCCACTTAGAGAGACTAATCAAACAACTAGTATACAGCCAGGTTTAGGGGCTTAGCTAGGATTTTGTCAAGAGTGGGTTCATTTAGAAGAAAAAAAATACATACGATAAAATAAGGCTTAATTGCAAGTTTGGTCACCCGAATTGCTTAAAAATTTCACGTTTGCCACCCGAATTGATTTATTCCATTTATAGTCACTCGAATTAGTTGAACAGTCCAAGTTCGGTCACTCTCTGTTAACCTCCGTTAGACTCCGTTAATGACGACCGTTAAGTGATGACGTGGCTAACAGAAAGACACAGTCAACACATTTAAACATTAAAAAACGACGACCCGACCCACCAGCTCACCCTTACCCGTCCAGTCAGCCATTCTTGCCCAAACCCGCGAACCAACCCAATTAATTGACCCTAAACCCAAACCCGAGACCCAACCCCCCCTGAATTGTAAATCACAGACGACAACAACTCGTTCTCATACCGCCGTGGTGGCATCGGCGGGCACGGCGGAGCAGGAGCAGGACCCGGATAAACGACCCGAGCGGATTCAGGGGACGTCTTGCTCTTATTCCGCGGGGACAAACTCGCGGGAGGAGAAATGCTAACCGACTGAGACCTCGCCGGAGATCCAGACGACGAATCGGAAGAACAAGAAGTCGAATAGTAGTTCCCCCTTCTCCAAAATCCGGACCCGGCCCACCCATATCCCGAAACATCCTATTCGACCCGGATCCGGCCCCGACCGAACTATCCCTCCCTCCGCCGCCCAACAACCCTCTGGGAGAATAAAACTCCTCTTCCTCATCATCCTCAGGGGACCCAAAACCATCTGGATTCTGCCGATTCAGCGGCCGGAGCTCCGGCGAATCCATCTTCCCCACGACCGGAGACTCAACGGCAGCAGCAGGATTCGACCCGCCACCATCCCCAATTCTATGGGAATTCACAAGCGTCCCGAGATACAGAAACTCCGAGCTGGTATTCGTGGGGCGGAGCTTGTGCCTGGATCCGGAGCCCCGATCCGGAATCACGGCATAGAACCGGCTGCTGCTGTGGCGGTCGGATGAGGCATGGGTTTTGGCATCGTGACCGGGTGGTGGTTCGTTGGCACTCCTCTGGCGGCGGCAGAAGTAGAAGGCAAGAACGGCGGAGACGATAACAGCGACGGCGAGGAAGGAGAGGGAGAGAGCGAGTAGCTTGTGGGAGGAAGAAGGGGGTTTTGAAGAAGGGAATTCAGAGAGGATTAGTGACGAGATGTTGGTCGGGAAGGAAACGAACGTGGAGGGGGACGGCGGTGGAGGCGGGGAAGGGTAGGTCGGGAAGAATGGGAAGGCGGGATTTGTGGCGGTTGGGGTTCCGGTGTTGGAGAAAGGGAGTTTCGCCGGCGGCGTAGGGGGAGGCGGTGGTGGGGGGAGGGATGAAGGGGATGGTGCGGGTGGGAGGGTGTCGAGCGGGAAGAAGGGTTGGTGGAGAATGCGGCGGACGGGGAAAGCGGTGGAGCGGCGGTGGGGGAGGCAGAGGAATAGGAAGAAGAAGACGAAGACGAAGGAGGAAGATGAAACACCCTAACCCGGCCGGGTACTAGTTTTACTAAAATGCCCTTGATAAATAAAATACTCAAATCTTAACTTGCAACAGGGAGAAATTTCACAGATAAAATACTGAAAACACACACTTGTAGTTCAAAGAAAAGCCCTAACATGTGGGCAAATTAAACTCAAACTTTAAAAAACTCAACTTGATCTCAAAATAATCTCCAGTCTGTACTCATAATCATAAATGTAATTAACTAATAAACTCTGAAGCTGTTGCTACTGCAAACCTTGACTAAGCATCCTCCATGACGCTTATACTGCTCTCCTCTAGCTGGCTGCCCTCGAAGCCGCTGCTCACTAACTGCTCCTCTAGCTCCTCAAACTGGTGAGTGAGATGGGGTCAGTCTACGCCCTTACGTTTATATACTACCAATACTTGAGCACCTTACTTAAACACTTAACTTTAACTAGTGGAAGTTGTTTGTACTTCCAATCTTAAAATCTTAACTCTTAAACTTTGAGGGAGTTGAAATTACTCTCCTCTCTTAAAACTCAAATCTTGACTTAAATACTTGACTGACACTGGGATCCCTCACTAGCTAGTCCGGTTGCCAACTCATACGTATGAGAAGCCATTCAGGCTTTCATTAAACTTAAACTTAGTTAGGGAAGTCGTAACGATTCATCCCCCTAACATCTTAAACTTATCGTGGTGGCTCTTCACCACGATTCTCAAGGGCATAACTGCTGCCCATCTTAAAAATCTCAAGAGCATAAATGTTGCTCTATCTCAAACTGTCTCAAAAGGCAACGGACTGGCGCTAGTGACTAAAAACACTTAAAACGACTTCACCTTCTTCAAGGTGAGTTACTTCTTTAAAAAGAACTTGGTTCTTAAACTTTAACTATACTTATACTCAGGGCAATTTCAAGGTAAATAACAACCATTCACTTCAAGTCATAATTCAACCAAAGCACATACCATCAACATAATCATGCAATATCAAACATGAATCAAATACTGCACGTACATCACGTAAATCTATACTTGAAAAACCGTAAGGCGTAGAATTTACCCCCTTTACACTCACCTGATCGTTCAAGTTGATCCACTTGGCTTCACGATTAATTAAGAATGCTTCTCAAGGTTCGTTCCTCCCCCGGTAGCGTGGTCTCGTACTCCCTATTTCCTTATACATTACCGTATCCTCCAATTAAAAGTGAGCACAAAAGTAGATTGTAACAATCTCAGTTCCTATGTGGTAGATGGCTTCCAATTATTTGGTCCCATGAACTAATTTCCCTACTGTATCTCATTTCTTCCATTTTGTATGATGAGACACATTCCTCAACGTGTCCATTACCTAGGTCACCCACTTAGCTTCCTCAAACTTCCATGCCACCTCGTTTACCTAGTTGGACACCTATGTTTACAATTGCTTTAACAAGCTGAATTGTGCACTCATCCATGATCAGTACGTGTGCCACCTAAACATGCACCCAAGTTTATATAATCACTTTTTCCTCCAGAAGATTCGATTGGCATGAAGAGTTAACATTCCACCATTGATATTACTTGCCCTTTTTTAATTCTTCTTCTCACAACTACTCCCCCACTTTAATCATGACTATGAACACATTTATCACCCCGTCCATTCCATACCTAAACCCCACCCTCCAATAGCCATTTAACTATGCATGAACCTCCACCTCTAAACATATAATCCACGGAAAACCCCCACTCCACTTACTACCTCAAATCAAAGCATTACATCCACTGATTTCCATGTATATATCCTCCCGATTACTCATTATCATTTTGGCACAGCCCGAGGGAAGTAATTAATAATATCATAATCAACACAACCATGAAACCCAAATTGACGCATGAAGAAAGGATCCGAAAGCACAAGATGCTTACTCTGAAGGCCCAGCGATCCTCCGCAGCACAGAGAAAGGCCAGCGGCTGCAGTTTGGACGGGTTCCTGCTACTCTATCGATCGGCCTCGACCCTAGCGTCCACCACCACCTGCGTCCAACTCGATCGTACCCGGCTGATCATCGAGCTGCTGAGATGAGAGAAAAGGCTGGTGGGTTTATTCTTTATGCATGATAGGGGGTTGGGGAAGGGTTGAGGGCGGCGGATTCTCTGCTGCGGGAGGCTTGAGGTTTTCTTCGCTTGGGGAAGGAAAGCAGAGAGGCGGCTGGTTTCTATTTGATGGCGTTTGGGAATTAAAGGAGAGCGGCTGGGGATTTAAGTTGTGGAGGGCGGCTGGGATGTAATTACATGAAGGGGCCGTTTGGCCCCAGGTCGAGTATACCCTTTTTTTTTTAATAATAATAATTATAATAATAACAATTATTATTATTACTAAACCGCGAGAAATCCTTAGTACGTAATCGTTAATCCAACCGTTCACGTATTATGGTCGAACCTGAACCCAAAGGTCGGGGTGTTACATTTCCTCCACCCTTATAAAAATTTCGTCCCGAAATTTGCTTGAAACTCACCCTTGTATCATTTAATATTTCCTCAGCTAGTCGCATTCGTGTAACCTTGAGTGACTCCCTACCCTTTTTGTTTCACAACTTGATCCAGAAGTGATGAAACAAAATGCTGATTTGACTGGACATGTTGACCGATTCTTTAGGTAGTTGTTGTTGAACCCACGTCCAGAATCGAGATGTCACATTTCCCCCTTCCTAAAGAAAAATTTCGACCTCGAAATTTGTTTATCTTGATAACCCAAAGTCCCACTAGAGGTAATCCTTCCACTACAGGAATTTATATTTCATTTACCTTGTCCAACCTTGAGCTATGACTCCTTTCCTCCTATTTGTGTGATTCTTGGCCAACTAATTACTCACCCACTTCTCATAAATCTCTTGCTCAAGCTAGTTACTCGCTCAATGCATCTATGGTACTATGGCACTCTTCCTTCTTAAACGCCATTGATACTATAATGGTTTCGTACTTCACGTTGTTCTCAGCGGTTTGTCTTGGGTCTCTACTCCGGATTTCTTAAGAAACATTACAGAAATAAGTCCTTAGACAAACCTATTCAGGACATGACCCGTCGTAACTTCATTTCATAAGGTGCTCAAATCTTGAACTACTACGCTTTCCATATATTGACTGTTGACATCTCAACTTGAATTCCCTAACATCGATGTCCGTAGCGAATGTTTGACTTGGTTAATGGCTTACTCATAGATCGCTCCCCTATGTAGACCTCATTATTACCCTGTTTGGTAGCTCCCCTTGATGCACAACTTGATGCCTGATTCACCATATATGGTTCCTTTAGCATGGGTTAATCCCTACACACCCCTATTGATATCCGTACTACCCCTTTTTAATTCTAAGGTTACTGATGGCGGCTTAACCTCCTTCTGGTTAGATCACAAAAACTCTTATAACATAACCTCGACTGTGGTTGACCACGTAGGTCACCTAGGTCCTTGTACCTTCTAACTTTAAATCTCTTACCTTCCTCCAAGATGCTTCGTCTCTCCCTTTAGCCATCATTTGAATGGTCATATCCTCGTTACTTCTTGCTTCACCCTGAAACCTCACACTACTGCTTTTGCTTCCAGTATGCATTAAAGGCATTGTTTGCATCTTTCTCTAGCTTGCTAACAACTTTATAACTCCCTTCAAGAGTCATGACCTTCTCTTTGGCTTACTTGTTCACTCCTGGCGCCTAACTTAGCACTTCCTTATCACCGTCTGAATCTGAGACTCTCGCACTATCCATTATGCTACTCTTAAATCCTATCTGAAATTCCTCGTACGGTCTCCCTGTCCGATAAGGTTTTACCCGAGTGATTGACACCTTTTACCAACATAGGCGATCTTGGTTTCACTTTGGGTATCCTAGCAGGTTCCCTAAACTCATATCCATCATACTTCTTTAGTCGTGACTCCTCTTACCGATGTTTCTCGCTAATTCTATATGTCCCTCGTCCTTGATGTAGTCATCTTGGTGCCCATATTCTCTTCTCACTTATGTACCTTGACCGATAAGGTTTTCCCTTCGACTGTTCTGGACCACCACACTTCTACTTTAAAGTTGACCATTGAGCTTCTCCGTTCTTGATGGGCTTCCTATGGTCCAACTTATTCTCCACTGGCAATCACCTTAACGCCTCCTTGTTGACCTTCATATTCTTTCGCCGGCTCTTCCTAACTATCTTTCTCCTTGAATTTGTCGTTTTATCAACTACCACCCTTTTCACCATAACTTTCATTATAGCTTGCGGTTTCCTCCTTACTTCCACAACTCCTTCATCGATGCTTTGGTACTAGATTTTGATCTACTCAGTTTAGTAGCTCCTCGCCATACCTCAGCGCCAACATTTCCGCTAGAAACTTTCTCTAGGTAGACTTGACAGATGACACCCACGACTTCTACTCACGATGGTGCTTGACCACGTCCCAACTATCTTCCTTCACGCATTCCTTGTCCGGTCGACAACCACTCTTTTTATTTTATTTCCTATAGCTTCCTATGATGTTCTCCTTGCTCCTTTGCTTTTACTACCTTCAAACTACAACTCTTCTGTTGTTGCATGTACTATATTTGGTCACCAACCTCTGTTGAGGATCGTCTCGTTATTGTTTTAGGTCACAACTTCCAATGGTGGCTTACCCTTGGTAACCTTTAACATGGCTCATTCCATGTCCCTCTTGTTGATCGATCTTGTACATAAACTTAGTCTCTTAGTTAGGATTCTCAGTGGCTTAACTAAGCGTGCCCATTTCATCCTTAACTAGTTGTCTCCTCTGGAGCCCTCCTACTATGTCGCGCCCACTCAGAGTGGGGCACCTTGGATAAGGTAACTTCTCTTTTTCCGCCTTCTCGGTAATGCTTTCCCTCATCGTACCTCTTTGTGCAACTACTTGACCTCGAGTCACCTGAGACTTGACCCATTGACTTCTTGAAATCTCGTCAAACTCCCTCTGGCCTTTTTGCTCTTCCTTGGTATTGTTCGCAAACTCTCTTTATTACGACCGTTTAGACTCTTCCTCGAATTCTCCAACCTTCATTAGAACTTCTAATGAACGTTTCTACTTGCTTGTCTATACCCGGTTGATTGAATGATTTACTCCTACGGCTGGTTCCGAGACTCACGCTCTTGGCCCTCTAGTTCCCAATTTAGACTTTCCCAATGGATTCCTTGAAATTCCACGATTTTCTGATTCTCCTTGATCATGGTAATTTGCAGGGTCTCTCAACCCCTTCTCATACCTTGTCCTCTAGCTTGCGCTTGACAGGTGTATAGCATGCCTGATCTAACCTCAACCTCTACATCATTTATCTCGTTGCTTGTCTTGTTCCTTTTAAAGGCTTGCCATCAGCCTAACTCCCCAGGGTTAAGTACCCTCTTCTCCAGTTACGTGGTTTATCTATAAGGGTTCCTTCATCGTTATATGTAAACGACCATGCCTCATCTTCGCCTTGACTTATTGACTTCTTGACGTCCTTTCATACTCCTTATAACCTACTTATTTCCCCCTTTGCTTCATTTACACTACCCTAGCTTCTCTTGGAGTCTAAGATTTTCACTGCTCCTTGTCACTATGTTGTAATAGCGCTGACCACCAAAACTAGTTGAGGGACTTCTCGTGGTACCTCTTCATTTCTTGGCTCGTTGCTTCCTCGCCACTGCTTAGGGTCAAGGAACCTGAAATTCTCCCATCATTATAGCTAACATCTAGTGATTGTTCCTCTTCCTTTGGAGATTCATAGTTCTCCCCTTTGTTTGTCTTAGCTTATTAGATCATCCACTTGTTTCCTAGTAGTAAAATCCTCGTACTACTCTCTCAACTCCTTCAAAATCCTTGAGGTATTCCTTTTTAATTGGCACCTCTTTGCTGGTGTTTGGAGTTGAAGTCCTCGCACATTTGATTCTACCTCCAGAGACCTTTGCAACGTTCCTCCTTCCTTCTCTAGGTTGATGAGGATGATCTGTTTGCTAATGTCCGAGTAGTTGGTTAACTACTTGAAAAACTACTATCCATCATGTCGATGAGATACTTAGTATTGAGAGCCTTTGAGATTCTACTTGGGTTGGTCACGTTTCTTTTATCCTTTCTTTCTTACTGATGATCGCAATACGCCTCAATCTCTTATTTGACGTCCCACGACGGGTTAACTTAACTCGCGTCCAAGCTTATTCTTAAACCAATTGCACCCTCCTGCTACCTCCTCATAGTGACGTGCTGTAATAGTTATTCACCTTACTATGATTAGAGTAGACTGGAGATCCTATAAACTCTTAAAAGAAGATCCTTGACTCATTTTCCTTTCATTTAAAACAACACCTTTAAAAACTGAACCCGACATTCCAGTATTCCTTCGAAACCAAGGAACAGAGGAAGACCGGCTCTGATACCAAAATGAAACACCCTAACCCGGCCGGGTACTAGTTTTACTAAAATGCCCTTGATAAATAAAATACTCAAATCTTAACTTGCAACAGGGAGAAATTTCACAGATAAAATACTGAAAACACACACTTGTAGTTCAAAGAAAAGCCCTAACATGTGGGCAAATTAAACTCAAACTTTAAAAAACTCAACTTGATCTCAAAATAATCTCCAGTCTGTACTCATAATCATAAATGTAATTAACTAATAAACTCTGAAGCTGTTGCTACTGCAAACCTTGACTAAGCATCCTCCATGACGCTTATACTGCTCTCCTCTAGCTGGCTGCCCTCGAAGCCGCTGCTCACTAACTGCTCCTCTAGCTCCTCAAACTGGTGAGTGAGATGGGGTCAGTCTACGCCCTTACGTTTATATACTACCAATACTTGAGCACCTTACTTAAACACTTAACTTTAACTAGTGGAAGTTGTTTGTACTTCCAATCTTAAAATCTTAACTCTTAAACTTTGAGGGAGTTGAAATTACTCTCCTCTCTTAAAACTCAAATCTTGACTTAAATACTTGACTGACACTGGGATCCCTCACTAGCTAGTCCGGTTGCCAACTCATACGTATGAGAAGCCATTCAGGCTTTCATTAAACTTAAACTTAGTTAGGGAAGTCGTAACGATTCATCCCCCTAACATCTTAAACTTATCGTGGTGGCTCTTCACCACGATTCTCAAGGGCATAACTGCTGCCCATCTTAAAAATCTCAAGAGCATAAATGTTGCTCTATCTCAAACTGTCTCAAAAGGCAACGGACTGGCGCTAGTGACTAAAAACACTTAAAACGACTTCACCTTCTTCAAGGTGAGTTACTTCTTTAAAAAGAACTTGGTTCTTAAACTTTAACTATACTTATACTCAGGGCAATTTCAAGGTAAATAACAACCATTCACTTCAAGTCATAATTCAACCAAAGCACATACCATCAACATAATCATGCAATATCAAACATGAATCAAATACTGCACGTACATCACGTAAATCTATACTTGAAAAACCGTAAGGCGTAGAATTTACCCCCTTTACACTCACCTGATCGTTCAAGTTGATCCACTTGGCTTCACGATTAATTAAGAATGCTTCTCAAGGTTCGTTCCTCCCCCGGTAGCGTGGTCTCGTACTCCCTATTTCCTTATACATTACCGTATCCTCCAATTAAAAGTGAGCACAAAAGTAGATTGTAACAATCTCAGTTCCTATGTGGTAGATGGCTTCCAATTATTTGGTCCCATGAACTAATTTCCCTACTGTATCTCATTTCTTCCATTTTGTATGATGAGACACATTCCTCAACGTGTCCATTACCTAGGTCACCCACTTAGCTTCCTCAAACTTCCATGCCACCTCGTTTACCTAGTTGGACACCTATGTTTACAATTGCTTTAACAAGCTGAATTGTGCACTCATCCATGATCAGTACGTGTGCCACCTAAACATGCACCCAAGTTTATATAATCACTTTTTCCTCCAGAAGATTCGATTGGCATGAAGAGTTAACATTCCACCATTGATATTACTTGCCCTTTTTTAATTCTTCTTCTCACAACTACTCCCCCACTTTAATCATGACTATGAACACATTTATGCACCCCGTCCATTCCATACCTAAACCCCACCCTCCAATAGCCATTTAACTATGCATGAACCTCCACCTCTAAACATATAATCCACGGAAAACCCCCACTCCACTTACTACCTCAAATCAAAGCATTACATCCACTGATTTCCATGTATATATCCTCCCGATTACTCATTATCATTTTGGCACAGCCCGAGGGAAGTAATTAATAATATCATAATCAACACAACCATGAAACCCAAATTGACGCATGAAGAAAGGATCCGAAAGCACAAGATGCTTACTCTGAAGGCCCAGCGATCCTCCGCAGCACAGAGAAAGGCCAGCGGCTGCAGTTTGGACGGGTTCCTGCTACTCTATCGATCGGCCTCGACCCTAGCGTCCACCACCACCTGCGTCCAACTCGATCGTACCCGGCTGATCATCGAGCTGCTGAGATGAGAGAAAAGGCTGGTGGGTTTATTCTTTATGCACGATAGGGGGTTGGGGAAGGGTTGAGGGCGGCGGATTCTCTGCTGCGGGAGGCTTGAGGTTTTCTTCGCTTGGGGAAGGAAAGCAGAGAGGCGGCTGGTTTCTATTTGATGGCGTTTGGGAATTAAAGGAGAGCGGCTGGGGATTTAAGTTGTGGAGGGCGGCTGGGATGTAATTACATGAAGGGGCCGTTCGGCCCCAGGTCGAGTATACCCTTTTTTTTAATAATAATAATTATAATAATAACAATTATTATTATTACTAAACCGCGAGAAATCCTTAGTACGTAATCGTTAATCCAACCGTTCACGTATTATGGTCGAACCTGAACCCAAAGGTCGGGGTGTTACAGAAGAAATGGGCATTGTGTGAGAACGTGAAAAAGATTCCGCCTTTGCTCTCTCTGTTTCTTCCTCTCGGAGCTCGGATGAGAGCTGAGTGAAAAGGGAAAGGGGGAAAAGGGAGAGAAGGGAAATTCCCTAATCCATCTGCGATTTACAATTCGCGGGGGGGGGGGGGGGGGGGGGGGGGTCTCGGGTTTGGGTTTAGGGTAAATTAATTGGGTTGGTTCGGGGGTTTGGGCAAGAATGGCTGACTGGGCGGGTAAGGGTGAGCTGGCGGGTCGGGTCGTCGTTTTTTAATGTTTAAATGTGCTGACTGTGTCTTTCTGTTAGCCACGTCATCACTTAACGGTCGTCATTAACGGAGTCTAACGGAGGTTAACGGAGAGTGACCGAACTTGGACTGTTCAACTAATTCGAGTGACTATAAATGGAATAAATCAATTCGGGTGGCAAACGTGAAATTTTTAAGCAATTCGAGTGACCAAACTTGCAATTAAGCCGATAAAATAATTATGTCCACTTTTTAAATCATTCAGGATGTAATTTTATATTTAAAAATACTTGGTAAATTAAATATATGTCGACACTATCAAGAATATCACTATATGGTGGGGTATTCGGTGCACCCACTTTTTTGGGTGCATTCAATGCACTTGTCTCAGAATCGTCATTTCGAGCATGCGATTCATGTCAAAACGGTATCAATCGTCGCTTATGAAATTATGAACAAGAAACACATGAATTTGAAAAGAACTCATTCAAGATTTACTTTGTTTTGATGGATTTAGGATTTAGGGTTACGGTTTAGGTTTACGATTTTATGTTATATCATCATATTAGATTAATACTACCAATTGAAGTTCAAAATTCGATGTATTATGACCACTTTAGAGTTGGGTGCTAAAGTAACCACCTTCACTATATATGTATATTATTTATGATTTAGTTAGATATTTTCTTTTGGATAATTTTTTGTCAATACCGTTTAGTATCACTAACTTAAATTGGTGGGAAGAATTTTATAATGGATCTTATATTATTTAGTATTTACTAACACTTCCCCGCTAACGGAAACCAACTTATATGTGCTTAAAGTTTTCATAAATACGAATATCATGTGCTTAACAAATGAGGTAGCCAATATTTAAACAAATGATATCTTGGTCAATCATTCTCAATTAGAAGTGTCCTAAATTTCATTATCAGTTAGCTATTATACTAATTTACTCATTTTCGTCCTTAAGAGCCTCCTGTTACACTCTCTGTCAGTGATTGAAATAAAATTATTTTTACAAAGTAGCTATGAATTGGTGAAAATTTGTATTAGATATATAATAAGTAAATCTCTAATTTTGAGCAGATCATATGCACCATCATCATGTGTACATAGCTCGTTATAAAGACATTGAATATGCTAATACATACCTTACAAATCATACATCGAATATTTGAAAGGTCAACCATTTTCATTTAAACAAGTGTACTATCATACCCGATTAATTATTGTAATTTATACCTAATTTATCATTTCCCCTCTGCGTCAGGGTGGATCCGGGAACCCACCTTCTAACCCTCTCCCCCCGCCCCTGGCCAGGTTTAATCGGTATTAGACAAAAATTTGATGAAATATCATTAATGTGAAAAGCGTTAGCCAAAATCGGTAAAAACCATGTTCAAAATGGAGAAAAAGCAGAAAAAGTTGTCGGATTCATTCAGGTTAAACACTATGATAGATATTCCTACTATACAATTTCACCACAAACGGAAAACCCTTCAAAGATAGAAAAATCCTCCACTGACAGCAGAACATATACGCATTGGAAACAGCTCTGTGCGCTCCCTCTGGATTCCGGAAGCCTTTATTAGCTGGAGAGAACATATAGCAGCTTTGAAAAAGCTACAGCAGAGCAACAATGGAGAGCAGCAATACCATCCCCGAAATGAAGCGGACAGGTGAGAGAGCAGCAGAGTAATTATCAACAGGCTGGTACCCATACCCAACGGGAGGGGTGATAGTATTAGTAGTAGTAGGATACTGACAGCACGGAACCGGCACGGTTGTGCAATTCAATGACGGTGGTGGTGGAACAGCATCTGAAGGATAAGGCAGCACCGTTGGCGGCGGCGGGTAGTCTGGAAGTGCTGGAGGAGGCGGTGGCGGGTTGAGAGGGTGGCAGGCATAAGGGCAGATTGTGCAGTTCAGACAGCCTGGAGGTACCACATCCCAGTTGGCTTTCCTGCTGGCCAAGACATTTCTGGTTAAAGACTAGCAGTACCACCAAGAGGGCAACAAGTAGGCCATGGGATTTACGTCCCACCGCCATGTTGCTTTGTTGCCCCAACTTCATGGAAAGGGAGGTGGTGCAGAAATTGGTTGGTGGGTTCTGTGCAGGGGAATGTGAAGTAGCTGACACAAAAAGGAGAAAGTGATGAAGAAAGTAGAGTACCTCAGTTTCCTGCAGACCAAGCCTTCTCTGGTAGTAGAAGCTTTGAACCATCTTCTTGAAGAATCCCTGCTACGGTTCGGCTCTTGTGCCGCATGGCAGACCACCTGTCAAGTTTACACAGAAAGTGGCCTACAAAGCTTGACGTATTTTTCTTTCAATGTACAAGATAGAAACAGGTGCAGATAAGGTGTGTGCCTTTGTTTTCTCTTGCAAGGGTAACAAACAAACAAAGGATAGATCCATAATAAATCACAACATAAGAAAACCAAATAGATTTGAAACCCGCTTTACTAACTTAGTCAGTACACCATTAGTCCATCCTTGAAAGTTGACATTACCAACGAAAAACATATAAGAAATGGAGTAAGAACACATAACAGCACAACTCTCAACTCTCCTACAAGTTGAAGTCGATATCACCATCATTGGCATATAACAAAATAGCAGAGCAGCAAGTGAAATATCAGATGGGCACCAAAAAGTGAGGGGTTTTTTTTTTTTTTTTTTTTTTTGGTCTCATTCCGAGTCTGATGAGTCCTGAGTTTCACTCTGTCTAACGCTCCTCTTTGTTTGGTTTGTAGACTTTGGCAGAGAAGATTCGCCCTCGTAAAAGATGACTTGAGCTTTAGCCAGCCTCTCCTCCAAAACATCCGTGCTAAAATCATCAGTCCCACCGAGCTGATCAAAACCAACCTGCCAGGATTTTGCAGAAAACAAATTCAGGGACAGTGAAAGTAGAAGGGAGGGATGGTTTCGTTAATCTACATGAATGAACCATCATGCAACAATGAACACACCACGTAATCGTCAACTTTGGCTTTCTTTATGAGCGCAAGAGTAGGAAGAACCACAATCTTGAGTTTATCAGCCAAGAAGGGACTTTTCTCAGCTTGAATCTTCACAAATCGCGTCTCTATGTGCTGCTTCGCGAGTTCAGCTAGATGCTTGTCCATCACCTGCAAATGAAATGAAACATAAATATGGATGGATGGATGGATGGATGGATGGATTACTTATCTACCAAATTTCAGAATATCTGCTGGTCTTCAAGGCACCATAACTGAATAACCAACTAATTCAACTGACAGGTGAAAGGCAATGAAACCCACACAAAGCTCCACATAGGCACATACAGTCCTTAAGAACTTTGATCCAATAATCAACACTTGCACAGGCAAGATGAAGCCTTAAGAGTTCTTGACTTCTTGGGGGCATGGCAGTTGGACAAATTAGGGAACCCAACAACACAATATAATCAATCATATCATATCAGCGGATAAACAATAGATGTTTAAGTAAAGTTTGTTTCTTTGTAAGTTCAAACAAAGTTCGTTATTGCCTAGCATAGAAGCAGTGCATTTTCCCAATCCCTCGGACAGCTTGACGCTTTGACATTTTCCACTACCACTATGGAGTGCATCAGAGAACTCAACTGATAAGGCTATCTCAGAAGAGATTCATAAGAAACAAACGTAAAACAGAGCGCTAATATCCCATATCTGTGAAATTTCCATCACCAAAAGAAAGGAATCGGAGAATCTGCAATCCCCATTTGCCTGCTGACTCAATTCTCTTATAAATCTCAAGCAGGCGATAAAACCCTCAATTCAAACACACAGACGTTCTTCATATGATGGGTGTTTTACCTTGCAAGGCCAATTCTCACGATAAAAATGGCAGACGACGCGGTCGCTGGCTTTGACGACGGAGAAGAACTCCTTCTCGGCGTGGATCTCGGTGTACTCGCCGTGGCCCAGAGAGATCCAGCGCCTACGCTTCTCGGCCATTTTCTTCATCTGCTGCAATCTCCTCTCTCTCAGCACCTCCAGATCGTCTTCGTCAAGCTTGTCGAGCGCCGCGATCTCATCGTCGAGCTGGTCCTCCACGGCCTTGACTACCGACAGCACTTGCTTCTCCAAAATCTGGAACCGCAAAGACAAGAATGAAATATATGAAATGTGAGGAGGTCGACGTAAGAAAGCGTGATGGTGGAATGAGATGTACTTCTTGAACCATGGAGTCTGCCATTGCTGGGATTTAGCGAAGATCTTGGCTCCTTCTGATTGTTCTCTATGCTGAAAACTCGCCGTCGTGGTGGCAGTGGTCGGGGAGGGAACGTCGCACGGTCGCTGGGAGGCAGGGGAAGGAGGATTTGTTCTGTTTTGGTTTAGGTCTTTTTTTGGGTTCAATCTTCGAAGGGAGGCTGGCAAGGTTATGTCAGTCGAACAAAACAAAATTAACATATGATATTTGTATTTGAATTCTACAATAACATCAATATTCAACTCTAGAGATTGGAAATCAATTATACCGAATACAGTAATACCGATAGTATTCCAGCTGATGAAATGCCGGGCAATTGAACTTGATTTCATGACAGACACCATTTGTACCATATTCAATCGGCCGACATTCCACCAACAAAACAAGTTGACAACCATCGAGGGAGGGAAGAGTATATGAAAAGATTTTAGAGTGTGTTTGGATAGAAGGTGTTGGGCCCATAGTTGAGCAGTGTTGAGCTTAAAGCCCATAGGAAGATAACCGGGCGGGGCCCAGAAAAGGGCCCGAGCCACAGCGAGAGGCCCAAGAGTGGACATGGGGAAAGGAGAATGGCAGGCGGCCACCTTATGACGGGACAGGGAGTAGGTCGCCCGACACAAAGTACCGTTGGTGTCAGGAAGAGGAGATCTCCTTGGGATTAGGGATGACAACTTTGCCCATACCCATGAGTTTCTTACTATCCAACTCAATTGGGTTGGGTATGAAATCCAAATAGATGGATATGGGTAGAGTTTGATGGGTTTGTACACATACTCATTTATTTTGGGTTGAGTTGGGTTTATATCAAATGGATTTGGGTTTGTACCCATGCCCAAATACAAATTATAGTTTGGTACCCAAACTTAATAGATATGCATATTTAGTACCTAAATTTAATTTTTTTTGCATATAAGTCCTCAAAATATCGATGGAAAATTACGTTTTGGTACCTAAATTTTTTTGGTCTTACATTTTGGTACCTAAAATTTTCAAGTTTTACTAATAGGTTCAATTTTTGCATGTGTAGTTAAAACACCCTCAAGTAAATGGATATCCATATCCAACCCATACCCATTTAGATTATGGAAGCAAATTCATACCTTACCCAAACCCATCTATAAACCCCCAAATCCATATGCATTTCACCCATACCCAACTCATTATCAATGGGTCTACTTGGGTTTGGTTATAATTACCCATGGGTGGGTAATTTGCCATCCCTACTTGGGATACTTACCTTGGATACTGCAGGACTAAGCATTAAATACCCGCCGCAGGCGGTCCAGATAAAGCAATGCGCATTTAGCCCGCCTGACATGGCATTTAATGCCTCATACTCAAACTGACCGACTATAAATACTCTGGTATCTGCATTAATGGTAACTCAACTACTCTCTCTCTCTCTCTCTCAAAACCTAAACAAAAACTCTTATTCTATCTCTAACTTTAGCATCGGAGGGTGTCCCAGACGACCGCCCGAGGACCCTTGTTTTGTAGGAGCTTGGAGTACACCCACCATCTGGAACAGACGCCTTGCTCGTACTTCACAAACCGCCTGGAACATTCCAGGCTCAAACAGAAGGATTTAGTATTTGGTATTTGTGATTTGGATTTCTAAATGTCAAATCATTTGTTTGGATATCCATTACATTTGGTATTTGGATTTGTGCCAAATTCATGGGGTGATTTCCAAATACATCTCTAGTGTATTACTTGTCCACTTCAAATACATTTCAACCTAGTGATTTGAAATTCCTCCTAACAAAAGATTGGACCTATTTGTAAAAGTTTAGGTACTATAGTGTGAGGCATAACATATAAAGGTACCAAATTGTAATTTTGCCAACATATTTTCTGGACCTTTTGTAAAATTCTTAAATTTTAGGTACTAAATTGTAAGAAAAATAAATTTGGGTACCAAACTGTAATTTACCAAATTTTATAGGAAGTGGCCAGAAAATTCAAAATTAAAATAAAAAATCATAAAATCTGACATACAAACAAATCACAAAGGAGTATCCAAACAGCGAATTTGAATTACATGTATTTCAAATGCTAATATTTCAATTATGCATTTTAAATACATATATTTCAAATACCTTACTTTGAAATATACCTATCCAAACGCACCCTTAGTTCGTTCAGTATATGGGTGCTAGTTCTGTAATTCTCACGAATAATGATAACCCGAGGATGGACCTGAGTGTAGTAACCCACTAACAAAATTCACTCAGTCCCCCATTTGACACCAACTAATACTGCACACTGATAGTACTTTAAATCTGTATCAGAATGCTGCTTACTATCAACACATGAACTACCCCCTCCTTTTATGTACAAACCAGTCCACCATTTCACCACACCATTCCTCATTGAACCCTTGACTTCCTCTTCCGACTGTTCGAAGATCGCGGCTTCGTTACTGCTCCGATAGCATTGGTAGCAAATTCCCTTACCGTCTTAACATCGCCATTGCTCAACGACTCAGAGTTGAATGCCTTGATGTTGGTCACAATGCCATAGACTGTGACCTCAGCTGTAGGTTCTGACATGCTCCTCCTTTCGACAACTGCTGTCTGCCCACAGCTTGAATTTTGAATTGCCTTCTCCTTCATACTCTGGATTATAGCATCCTTTTCGAGGTCCAAGCAATCGGTTGAGCCCTGTACACGGCATCATCAACTCGAGATCTATATCAGAGAAGAGGAAAGAAAATGCTAAAGAAACAAGTTTAAGGTTGATGATTAGATTCCATCTGCTAACCTTATTAAGACCAAAGGGGATATTGATTTCAGTGCTCAGGCAGCCACATCCATCGCTCAAGTTGATTTTCAGCAGAATCTCGAATGACTCTCCTGTCAAAGTCCTTCTGATGGATTGTTTGAAGTAAAGGATTAGGAAGACTAATAATCGTCGTAACTTAATACAGAAACTGATAAGAATGACCAACATAAGCTAAACACAAATTTCACTTCATCAGAACCAGGCAATAAGCCAGCATAATTCACAGACTGCAGACAAACAAGCAGTAGCTAATGGATTATTAGGCCAATGGTTAAAGATATTCAAGATCTACCCCTAGTACTGCAAACAATGCAAACCTTCTTGAACTGAATTTTATTTTTAGCTTACGTCGGTCATTCTTAGATTTCAATCTTGGGTATCAAGATTAAACCATACTTGGGACATTCTTATGTGTACGGCTAGATATTTTCAAGATTTAAACCTAATACTGCACACATGACAACCCTTCTCAAACAGAAAATTATGGGATTAGACAAACCTTTTCAGGTTAAATGGCTGTTGATCTAGCACAGCTGCTTTGTATTTCTGGGAATCTGAAAATGAAACCTGGAGATAGAGGGACAAGGATAAGGCAGAACTTAATCATCTCCATCTGTCTCGACTGGACATGGCTATCATCTGATCGAATTAAGATGCAAATTGAGGTTCTTTTGCTGAGGAATCAGTCGCCGTAGACAGATATCAGTGATCTCACCTCGATGGACTGGATGAATGGCAATTGTGCTTTGACTCCATGTACACTTGCAACCCGCATAGTCCAGTTAACGAATTTCTTATCTGACAACAAGTGGGTGAAACATAAGAGAGCAATAGCCATATAGGCAAGGTACCAGTGTGGAACCTCCCACAATGAAGTGTTCACCTGGTCATGAGTCAAATTCATCTATAATTTATCCACCATTACCAGTCATAAACCATAAATATATATGTTTGTCTAGGGTCACACTGCAGGCCATGGTTTACATTCATGACAAACCAAAATCACTGCCACTAGTGGAACAGGACAAGGTTGCATGCACATGCATCACCAAGACTAAACACACAAATTGAGAGGAAGCTAGGGTACCTGCACTCGAGGACTGAGTCATGATGATCTGGAACTCGTCCATCCTAACAAATGGAGGAATTCGCATTCGCAGGGATTCCACAACTCCTGTGATAACCTGTTCTTGTTGAAAATCACAGATTATGCATAAAAACAGAAAAGTCATGTCAGTCTTTGCTTCTTAAATTAAAATGAGATTTCAGTATTTAGTATCTCCAGTGAAGGAGATGTCAGAACATGGGTAGAAGGCTACCAGGATCATGGAACAAGTCTTTTGGCCTAAATGATAACTTTAACCTTCATTGGAAGTGCACTTAAAGCAGGCTTGGAAATTCAGCTCCCAACTCAACTCTTTATTGTGTTTTTGTCTACCAATAACAGGATCAAGGGGGAGCATCCTAGCCCTAGGAGAAACTTTCCTGTTCTATGTGCTTTGTAAACATGAGAGGAAGTCTATGCGGGCTGCATTACTTTTTTCTTGACTTTTTCTTGTTTTGAAAGAGATGAATTAATTTTTTTAATTGTTCAGCAAATTCAAAAAGTCAAATCAAATTAACCTACACACTACTTTAGTCTTTTGTTTCTTCCCAAACAACATATTCACTTCTTCAATCGTACTCTGTTCAAATATTCACCCGTAAAATAATTACCCTTCGATTGCCAAACAAAATGTTAAAGTGTCACCAATCACTGAGGACACAGATTAAGAACAGGAGAGGACAGACTAACAGCACTACAGCCATGAACCAAAGATAAACAAGTACCTTATCCACTAATCCATGGATCACCAAACATGCCTTCTTGTCCTTCGGAGTTTTCTGTAATTGGTCCAATCAACCACTTATTGTCAGTAACGAAGCTCAATAGAGTTAACAAATCCTGACACACCAATGTGCTTTCATAGATCAATTTAAACATTTCCTGAACACAAATAAGAAATTGCCCAAGAAAAGGGAGCGATAGGGGCTTCTACATCGAACATAGCAGAAAAGCATATGACACAATGCAGCATCAGTAAGATTTGTGTTTCGGGGGGGAAAACATGACTGTAACTACGATGTTTGAATGGAAATGTTTTAATTCAGATTCCACGACCTATTTCAAAGTTTTGAGAAAATTCTTAAGTACTCCAAAAAAAGTAGGACTAATAATTTTCAGAATCCCAGATCCTTCAGAATGGGACTTAAGAGCATCACAGTTCCCGGATCCCACACCAGCACCAGAGCCCACAAAAATGAGAAGTAGAAGTGGCATGAAGGCCCCCCATGTATATGACCAAGGCCAAAATGTCATGGTGTCCAATTCTCCACAGGTACGAGTAGAGAAGTTTCTGTCCAATGTCACTGATTACTAGGAAAAACCAACCAAGAATCTTTTCTGATTTGCTAGTTCTTATATAGATGCAAATTAGAAATTCATATTCACTGCAAATTATATGTAATCCTACAAGCAAGTGCATATTCACAAACAGAAGACAAGCACCTGAAGATTCACTATTACAATTTTCCCACCACCACGGAGACATTTCAGAGGCAGGTTGCATGCTGGGGTGATCTGCAGACTGCACAGAGCAGAAAACTAAACCATATTCGACATCATGAAGCAAGAGAACACGAGTTGCACGAAATTGAGAACCTTAGGCTTCCAAGATTGAGTTCCGAAAAAAATTCGATATGACAGACAAATAAGTCGTTCAGGGGATTCCTCCAAAATTATGGTAGCTTAACTGGGCAATATATTTTTATTGTCAGGGATCTGTTTGTCCTCGGTAATATTTTCACCCAAGAAAGTAATTTTCCTTATTATATTTACTTATTTAGCCTCCTGGTCCTTTCAGTTGGAGGTGGCTTTGAAGGCCATTGGGTATGAAATTTTCATGAAAGCAAACATAAGGACACAAAGGACAATGATCCCATATATTTACTCATAATTAGATTGAGAACTGCACATAACACATCCTCGAGAGTTTGTTTGTTAAAGTTTCATGTGTAAGGATGTAAAGTTGTAAACTGTCTCAACCAATGATGTCTAACGAAGAGTGACTTGGTCCCTCAGGTGCAGTTATATGCAAGAATGGACAACCACATTGATGAGTACTGAGTATCATATAAGCAGAAATTATCCTAACACCTCTCGTTAACCAGCACAAATAGGTTGCAGAAGGAGCATGATTGCAATTTGCAAAGTACGGCAAGAACTACAACTTAATCGACAAGATCGATCAATTAAACAGGAATCCTTAAAAGGAAACTACTATTCAAATAACCACATAATAGGATTTCTTTAGAAAGAAAGCGATGTTTTACCTCGTTCCCAAACATAACACAACGTCGGCCATCCTACAATGCTTCTCAGCAGGAAGCATCTCTTTGTCAGGCAATGCATCCTGAAAATATGGATGGAGAGATACGTTATTTTCTACAGTTGCGAAGATACATCATCTGGTAGTAGGAAATTAAGCTAAACTTTATGGATTAAGGATGATAATTTCCCATTTCCAAATCATTTAATAACTACAAACTCTTTGAAGTACCCTCAATCATTGCTCAATGAAAATTTGAAGAGTCGCGTACACAGCGACCCAGTTTGAAATGCTGACAACATCATGCATGTACATTCTTGAGCATCTAGAGAAATGCGGGATAGCGTGTAAAGAAGAGATACCTCCCAATCAAGCACGGTATCCTTAAGTTTCGCTCCGCATTTCAGATCAGAGCAACGCCGTGATGTCTCCTTCAGTCCTATAGTTTCTACTTCAAAGTCTCGCAGGTACCTTATCAGTCCAGAATAAATGTCTTATATTATAAATAAATGTCTTATATGTTTCACATGCAAGAATAATAACAAGGGAAGAAAATAACGTGAGAAATGTAAGGAGAATGTGCTAGACACTTCACCAGGGAGCACATCTTACTCAATTCCACATGAAGGGCAAGATTCCATGAAAGAGTCACCATGCAGCTCAGAGAGTTTTTCTCTTGGTATTCCCGACCGCAGATGAAGGCCATCAACATTCTAAATGAAAGTACAGAACACGTATCTTGCATGTAAGAAAACTAATTAAGTATGCCACTTAGCACCCTTAATGAAATGAAAAGACATCTGAGACTTCCAAGAAAAGTTTCAGCAAGGATAGAGTTGCCTAATCCATACCCCGTACCTGACTAATAACAAACTTTAAAATGCCAGCTTTCTCAAGTTCAACCAATGCCATATGTGTAATGCTGGGCATTGCTCTATGAAACGGTAGTGATGCTTCAGGAAGAGCTTTTCCTTCCCGCTGCATTAATTGATTTGTAGCAAACAAAATTAGAAGTTTACAGGAAATGTTATGACCATACCTTAAAAGAAGAGATTCCTGACAAAAGACAGCACCTTTTTTTTTAAGAACAGGAAACTAGTCTAAAATACATCCATTACCAAGCATGTTCCAGTACGTTTGTCAAATTACAACTTCTGAGGCAATATGTAGAAGATGTGATACCTGCAATGTCCAAATTCCCTTTGGCCCTCGAAAATCTGGTATCCCGCAAGAAGTTGAAATTCCTGCTCCTGTGAATACCACCAGATGCTTACTCTGCAAGTATATGCCAAAATGCTTAAATGGCTGCTTGGGGTGAAGTCACGTGACGTTTTGAGTAACGATAACATCGAAATGCATTCATCAAAAAGGAACAAGCAATAACATCTACAGTAAGCAATTTACAGGTTACCTCTTGTATCATCTTGGCCAGTTGTTCAATCTGCCAATTCAAATGAAGCCATATTCAAATTAGCAATATGACCAACGAAAAGATATAGCAGTGAAAAAGAGAAAATTTGAAACGCTGCATTCAGAATTCATTGTTTAACTACACGATAGACATAATTGTGAAAGAAAAAGAAACCCATAAAACAAAAGCTACATTAGGAGACTAATTTTAACATGGATGGAGTAAACTCAAATGTCAGAAACCCAGTTCAAAAGATTCAAATTTAGGGTTTGAGTGTCCCATCCATTCTAGCAATGTGATTGTTGAGGCACAAGTTTAAACCCATCAAACAAATAGGGGCATCTCTGTAGCATTATCAAAAGGCAAGACGATGAACAACCGTAAATTGCATGCTACACATTCGAACATCTTCCTTTCGAAAAACAAGATTAGCATGATTCACATTCCAATTCAATCTTTCCCACATTCAATGCATAGAAGGAATTTCGACCTAAAACATTAAAGCCCCACAGGGTGAAGCGCAGGCCGGCAGTCAGAATGATTCAAGCAGAAGACATTCAAGCAAACCCCAATTTTAAAACAACAAATTCCGCCAAATGTCAGATCTTCTCAGCAGAAGCAGAAAAGCCAAACTACACGCACAAACCCAAAATGATACGCAGACCAACCCACCATAGTCAATACCGTGCCCACTCCGGCAGCTGACCATTAGAAGAAGCAATCAAGTACAAGCAAACGAGTTCTCAGTAACATGAAATGGGGAACCGGGTGATCGGAAAACGAAGAAGCGAGGAATAGAAGAGATGGGGAGGAACAAAACCGTACTTTCTCTTGCAGAACACTTGACGGGTCGAAAAATTCTGCCATTCCAACACTACCCACATCTTCAATGTAGGAGAGCTTCTCAGCGTAACCCAAAGACATTGGTGACTGACTCTCCCTTTCCCCGCCCTCAGGAAGCACACCACACGCAATGGGGACGAAGAACCCTCTGCTTCCCACACTTTGATCAAAACTCCCTTCCTCTTCTCTATGTTTTGGTCTCCCTTTCCTAAAGATTCTTGCGTTTAGCTTGGCTATGGCTCCTCCAAAAGCAATTGTTTAAGGAGCCAGTTTGCCTCCTGTTGAGGAGAAGCAATATATAAAGGACGAAGGAAGGACTGCCTTTCCACAGGATTTTCATCCTCCTCGGACCCGCTCTGCTGTGTTGCTGTCAAGATATAAATATCCCCATTTATGGCACACCATTATACCTTTTCCTTTCGTGTTTCCTAAATGATCTGTTTTGGGTTCGACTAAAATCTAAAAACCTAAGCATTCACATAATCTAATCAAATTTGATTTTGTGCTCATGATTAGGTCATTGCAAATCTAAATAAGCTTACTAATTTAATTTAATTATATGATTTCAAAAAAAAAAATTCATCCCAATTAGAAAGGAAGAAAAAAAAACTCGATTTAAGTATCTATAATAGATGGAGTTTTTCCATCAAAACCCGCAATCAAAAACTCTAGACACTTTCTCTCCCTCTTAAATATCGGTGAGACATAAGACGTGGAGTCTCGACGATAGGTTATCGTCATCCTTGTTAGCATGCTAAAGATCCAGCACGAGGAATCTAAACCAAATATATTAATTGTGGTCATTAATGATTTCCAATTTTTATTATTGAAGGGTTTTTTTTATTTCATTAATAATGCTCTAGAACAGTTTAGTCTTGATTATGATTTTTGTTGTAAGAAGATTGGTTGATGGTAAACCTAATTTTTTGTTAAGTAAAAAATTTGTCCGGATCGCGAGTGACGAATTCGCAGTTCTCTATGTCTATGTCTTGAACATCGTGGACACCTTCTTCCTTCCATAAGTTGTAAACAAGTCCCACTAGTACTTTAGCAACCATGTTGCCAAATATTCTAGTTCAATAAACTTGGTGATGTCGTTTCTTATCTGTACGGATGGTTGCATGATATATAGAATGTGTACAAGGTGAAATCTCGATGAACATGACACTTCTAGTAGTCTAGCCATTTGCTCTTTGTCTCATGGATTTTCCCACATGGAAGGCATTGAAGGAAGTTTAGGGTGGCAAAGAAGCTAACATGTTGTCACATAATGTTGATGAGGAAGAGGTGATGTTTGTTAATTCTACAAACATAAAAGACTATCATATCCGTACCTGTGTTGCACAATGTCTTGTTGAATTGATCCATGTTGATATTTGGGATAGTTGTTCACTCTTATGATGGATTTACCTATTTTGTAACGGTCGTGGATGCTTATTTACGGGTTGTTTGGGTTTTCTCATGAGGCATAAATAAATAAAAAGGGATTTACTTATAAGATTATGTTCCTTAGTAAATACTCATTTTAATGCTAACGTTTGAAGTGACCAAGGCCAGGAATTTCACATGCATGAATACTACATGGAACAAGACATTGAACATCAAATATCATGTGTAGAGACACCTGAACAAATGCAATGGTAGAAAAGAAGCACTATCACATTCTAAATGTTGTTAGGGCAATTAGGTTTCAATGAAAATATCCTACCTTTCAGGGATACTGTTGAGACTCAGGACTCAGCTCTTACCCCTATTCCTTCACCACCTATCTTTTCTTCAGCCCCACATGTCAGTATATGTTGTTCATCATCATCTGGTCATGATCATTCACCTCACATGACCATAGATGAAGGGGGATATAGTGGTTTCTTCTCCTTCTACTTATTCTTCTTCTTCTCCTCACCATGTTGATCATGTTGAGCTCGACCTTGAGTTGGAACCCCAATCTCAATTTGATCCACCAACTGTGAAATGGATCCATAGTTGCAGTTTGGTGCCGTTGGTGTAGCTGCCAAGAAGTACCCTATAAGTCTAGATGTTGATCATCTAAATGCAGTAGACAAAACCTATGCTTTTAGTGTTTTATCTCATGTTGAGCCTAATTCCTTTCATAAAGCAGTGAAATATGTTCAATGGAATAGAGTAGTGAATGAACTAGGTGCATTCAACCTTGGGATATAGTGGATGTGTTACCATATTAGTATCTTGTTGTAAACAAATGAGTGTCTAGATGGTATAATTTACATGTATAAGACAAGATTGGTGGGCTAAAGGGTTTACACATATTTATGGGATTGATTTTCTTGATACTTTCTCTACAATTTCAAAACTTAATTTAGTAAAGGCACTATTAGTCGTAGAAGCTATTATAACTGTACTTAAGAGCAAATTGATGTTTCCAATGCCTTTCTGCATGGTGATCTGAATGAAGTTGTTTACATTAAAGTTTCATTAGGTGTTGAATTACCTCTTTTGGGTAGCAAAAGACTGTCTTGTAGGTTGAAGAAGTCAACTATGGGATAAAACAAGCTTCAAGGAAATTGTTTGTTAAACTGGATGGTTTTCTGCTTAAGACTGGTTTCACTAAATCACATCAAATTATTCAATGTTCACTAGATGCTTTCATGGAAGGATAATAATGATACCGGTGTATGTCCCTGATATCATCATTAGAAGATATTCAAAAAAAGATATTGAATAAGTTAAGAAGTATCTAAGCAAAGGATTTACAGTGAAGTTGCTTGGACCACTGAAGTATTTCTTGGGCCTGAAAGTTAAGAGGATAGCTGAAGGATTAGTTGTTTTTCAAAAGAAGTATTGTCTGGAGTTTAAAACGGGACATGTTACATGGATTCAAAGGGATGTCACACCATCTGATCCAAAGGTGAAACTCTCAACCACAAAAGGAACACAATTGGAAGATCCTGAACAGTACATGAGGTCGATTGGAAGACTATACTACATTACTATTACAAGACTATACCTAATATTCTATGTATACAACTTTGCCCGTTCCAGAGGTTGCCACATGTTGAGTACCTCCAGGAAGCCTTTAGGGTTTTGAGATACCTTGAAACATCACCATGCGCCAAGGAATACATTTTAGCAGAAAAAAGACTTGAAGCTTGTTGGGTTTTGTGACTCAGATTAGGCCAGTTGCACTGACACCATAGGATTCACTACATGTTATTGTAGCTTCCTTGGAAGCTCTTTGCATACTTGGAAAACAAAAACAAACTACATTTTCTGTATCATCATCAGAAGCAAATCTAGAGCATTGGCATTGGCATTGCTAGTTTGTGAAATTGAATGGCTAAGAGTGATATTGATAGAATTAAGTGTGCAAATCCCACTTCTAGTATCAGTTTATTGTGACAACAGGTCTTTAATACACATGGCAGAGAACGCGATGTTTCATGAGTGGACAAAGCATATCGAAATTGATATGCATGTCACAAGAAAAGACTGAGACCTAGCTTGATTCAGCGGAAGCATGTCAATACCATTAACCAGCTAGCAGCCTTGTTCACTAAGGGGATTGGACAGGGGAAGATTACAAGAACTACTCAGCAATTGGAAGTTTCAATCATCTCCACAACTTGAAATTGGGGTGGGGGGGGGGGGGGTAGCAAAACTAGAGTTGCTTCAAAGAAGAAGAAAGAGTCAATCCATATTGGTCAAGGACCGTGAAAAAAAAAAGGATTTTGGTGAAGAAAAATGTTTTGTTTCTATTAATGTTTACTATAGCTAAACTACGTCATTTGAGTTATTTGTAGTTAGTCATAGTTCATCACTGCTTGAGTTTGTAATGGGCCAGTGAAATGGTCACATAGATACTTAGCTAATTTAAATTAGCCGCATTATTAATATAAAATCAGAGAGCAACCTTGCGACTTTGAGGGTTCTGCTACAATCTCCCAAAATATTTCATAATGAAGGAACGCTCATAATATGTTTGCGAGTTCAGCGTTTTTAGGGATGAAGGAGGAAGCCTCCCCTCAGTAAGAGTTAGGGTCTTCTTCTGTTCATCGTCAGAGAAGGGAACGTCGAGCTTTGTTGGCGATTCATTCGCTGAAGTAGAGGTCTTAGAGGACACAGAGGAGGAGAGAAAAGAGGTTGAGAAGGGTTAGAGTTGGAACAAACAAAATAAAAATGAAGGGTAAAAATTGTAGCAAAATCTCTCTCCAAATTTCCCGATCCAAACAACTCCATAAGAAAATTTGTTCTTGTCCGAAATGTAAACGTGCGAACTATAAGAGATTATGACCCTGCACATGGCGGGGTACACTAATGGAATGATTATATAATATATTTCTCGTTCCTTTTTACCAATTCCTTACAATAACCAGAGAAATAAACCGACACCATATCCAACCATATATATATATCATTAAAATTATTAACTAATGAAGCGATTAGTTACTATATATAAAGGCTATATCTATTTTGTTCCCGTATAAACTTATCATTTCACATGTCAAAACATTAAATCTCGATATTTGAAAAAATTATTATTATCTTATCCTGCTCGAGAAAGAAAGCGTTACTGACCCACAGTCGTCGTATATTGACTTCGAAAAAGGAGTGACAAAGGCATGGAGAGAGTAAGAACCGTTATATAGTGCCCTGGGTTATTATTAATTACATCCCCCCACTTTTTCCATAGTTGGTGTTAGTTGGGTCATTAAACACCAAGGATAAATAATCACCCTTTTACTACTAATAACACCAAATTCAAAACCTCTCCTTTTGTTTTCCCCCCCACCGAAATCCCCAAAACAACCCTGGTAAAAGGGTGAAAAGGTAAAAAGAAAGGGCAGCCAACAGCCCAATGGGAGTGACTGCTTGGGTGAAGTGAACCCACCCTCTCTCGAGGAAAACGCCCACTGGTCTTTCCTTTTTACTGCTCAGTAGTTTACTCTTTGACTTTATTTTTTACCACACCACCCAATCATATTCTTTCCTTATAAATAAATAAATAAAAAATCCTTTTTTCTTTTTTCTGTAGTTTGGTTGGCTATAAATTGAACTGATGATTCCCAATGCCAATCGTCTCCTCCTCTCCCTTCAAGTCAAGTGTCCATTCCTAAACAAACCACCGTCAGAGCGGGAGAAGCATGGAACGTGGCGGCGATGCTGGTGGCAGCGGCGGCGGTGGAGGTTACATCAATCGCAGCCGTCGACATGCAAAACAAAGAGAGGCCGCCGCCGCCGCCCTTGGCCAGCCACCTGTCTCCGGTATGAATAACGATTCCTCTCCTCACTCCCTTCTTGACCAATCACATTCCGTTATTTTGTTTGCCAACCAAACCATGCATAGAAACACGATCAAATCTTCGCTCTTTCCATGATCAAGTTTCATTTCACCGTCGTATCTGAGATGTGGTGGATGTTCTCATTCTCATATACGCGCATCAACGTCATAAAAATCCATTTATCCGCTATGTCGATTAGATATATGGTTAGAATTAGAACGTAAAGATGTATATCAGGAGATATTTGCATGGGCAGGGCCATAGAAACCAGATTAGATTGAGCCATCTAATTAAACAAATATGTTTAGAGCGTAATTAGAACTCATATTTTAATTTCTGTTGTGTATTAATCTCTATATATAAATAAAAAAAATATTTTATTTGGGGTTGGATGACGTGGAAGCCATGCACGCAGTGAACCACTGACTCGCTCCTCTTTTCTTCCTGCATGCCCAATAAGCGAACGAAGCTCCTCTGACCGTAAATTGACTAATATATGAGCTGGGCTTTTTATTATTGTAAGTGGGCCTCTCCCAGAGATGGGCTCCGTCTCGGACTGACTGTCACATTCAAAGCCCAAGGCCCAACTAATAATCACTAACCTCTTTTATTTTCCAGATGATTCCTCCCCAAATGTCCGCGGAGCAGCCAAGTTCCGCCTCCCGGCGGCGAACCCAGACGCCGCCGGCCAGGAACCGCCGCAGCGCCGATCCCTCCCCACTCTCCGGGAGCAGGACCAGTACATGCCAATCGCCAACGTGATCCGGATAATGCGGCGGATCCTGCCCGCCCACGCCAAAATCTCCGACGACGCCAAGGAGACGATTCAGGAGTGCGTCTCCGAGTACATCAGCTTCGTCACGGGGGAGGCTAACGAGCGGTGCCAGCGCGAGCAGCGGAAGACGGTCACCGCCGACGACGTGATCTGGGCAATGGGGAAGCTCGGATTCGACAGCTACGTCGAGCCGCTTTCGCTGTTCCTCGCTAGGTACAGAGAGACGGAGGGCGATCGGGCGTCTTATCGGGACCCGATGATGCTGAAGCGGAGCTCCAATGATTTTGGGGGTATGGTGATGCCGCCTCCGCCGCTGCCACCGCAGCAGCAGCAGATGGTTGGTTATATGCAGGGGAATTTTCTGATGCAGAGCGATCATCTGCAGCAACAGCAGCAGCAGGGGATGTATGATGGTGGCTTGATGAATGGGTATTACAGGGATCCGTTCGGGTCGGGTTCGGGCAGTGGGAGCGGCGAGGACGGTGGAGGAACTTCTCAGAATGGGATGTCTGGGTTTGATCTATATTCCCAGTACAAATAATGGCGGGAGAGAAATTTTGATTGGAGTTTTAACCAATTAGGAGAAATTTTGATTGGAATGGGAAGAAAGGAAAAGCAACCCTCTTAGAGATTTCTACCTTTATTCATGATCTTAGTTGAACATTGGAAGCTTTCATGCTGTTTAAGGCGATGATACATTTATGATCTTCTTTGAAACTGGACTGAGCAATATTACATAGTTGGACTCTGAAGTTCACTAGATATTCTGCGGCCTGGCAGCTTTATCTGTTTCCCAAATACAAATGCTGTTCTATGATGTAGCTGATAACTGAATCCGCGGTTAAGTACTTGATTGACAATCCTCTCGAAATGCAGTCCCTGGAATTTATGCAGGAGCAAAATAATGATGCGCTCTTTAGATCCAACAATGTCCTGGGGTGACTTTGTTCAAGTTCGACAAACGAAATTCAAGTTGTTGAAGTTACCTCAGTCTTGTGGAGCTGATCATGTTTGGTACAGTTTCGGTAACATGTTTGATGTTATCCTGCAACACCAAGTTCATGTGAGGCTACTGATAAACAAACACCTGAGGTTCAAACTACGATTGCGCAGTGAAGGGCCTCCTTCGGGCTTTTATGAATGGAACATTCAAAAAACAGAAGGAAAGGATGGCGTCATTCCAAATTAAACATGGTCACTGACTAGTATCATCTACCTTGTGTTGATTCATGATTTCATCAGCAGCTATGATTTGGTTGACGTCGAGCTCTTCCCTACGAATGCAAGCAATACCATAGTCTCTGCAAATGGTCCTTACCTATAAGCAACACAGACAATGTTCATTGTTCAACTCTTTTACTAATTTGGAGACAAAGAAGTGCAAATACTAACACCTCTGCTTTCAACAAACCACAGAACTACCTAACAAGTAACAACATGTTAACTATAAACCATCATAGGATCTGAACAATTACACCCAAATGAACCTTCTAACTGAACTTAATCCAACAAGGTTCCAGGGAAGCAGTACCTGATCAGGAATCCAAACCCCAGGAGCGCTAAATGACTGCAGCAGATCCGCACCACAAACAAGCATCACCTTGAGGGATTCTTCCCGACCACAATGCCGCGGGTTGAAAACACATCAGCATTGTTCTCTCACACATCTACCAAAAACGAAGCAACTTAACCTAACTTCAAATGAGTTGGTGACAAAGAGAGGCATTACCTCCAGATATCCGGACTTGCTCGATGAAGACGCTTTCAATTCTTTTCAACACAGTCAAAGATCGCTGGTAGGTACTTTGATTTGCCTGTAACACAAGGCTTATTCAATACACTTAGAACCAAGGCTTGTTGTCAAGAATCAGCTAAAAAATTTGCACAGCAGAGCTGAATTGAGTACCTCCCATGGATCAACCATGACGAAATCGGAGCTCTCACAAGCTAAATTACACATGCGCAAGCGATGCTCAGCTGGTATAAGGCCCTAAACAACCAAGGGATTGGGACAATCAGCTGCAGCATTGACTTTCACAGCTAGATGGGAAAATAGAAGGTAGACATCAAACCGGTTTTTTGTAGGCATCGCTAACGGGCGACATATACCCAGCAATCACACGGTAGCCTTCCATTTGCAATGCATCTCTTGCCAGCTCTAGTTCATACAATTGAACCCAAAATCCAATCCAAGATCATGTTTTTAACGGTCACGGAGTTGAATTTTGAAGCGGGTAAGAACAAAAGAAGAGAAAGGGAAGGATTGAAAACTTACCAAACATCCTCAAGTGCATGAAAGTAGGAGGATTGAAGCTTCCGGTGGCAACTAGAACTACAGATACCTTGCCGTCCTCCCTGCTTCGTTTTCACCCCAACGGAGCAGCTAGTTAATTCACCAGACAAGCAATCGAATTGACGAGAAGAAAGTAAGTGGGCAGAAATTTGAAGAATACTCGGCGGAAACAGAGACTTTGTCCATCGGCAGCGGGAAACCCATGGTGACACCGAGATCGCTGCCGGAAATTTAAAATTTCCCTTTCAAGGGAGCGGATTGATTTTCCATTCGTTCTGATTATTCAGCGGATTTTAGTGGGGAGATTGAGAGAAAGCTTGAAGAAAAGTGGAACCGTAAGCGTGGGGAAGACGATGATGATTGATGAAGCTGCGACGAAGGAAACGGCATCGTGTTGGACGGTTATGCTATTTCGCATCTATTCCATTTGGGCCCAAGTCATCGCTGAGTACTTTGTTTGCTTTTGGTCCTTCTATTTTACTTGATCTTGCAGGCCAGGACACTACCCACAGCGTGAAATGACTTTCATCAGCGCCGTCACAGTACATCGGAATTGCATCCCTCCCTCCCCATTCCGGCGACCATCCTCAACCCCCCGCCTCACACGGAGATACTCTAAGCTTTCTAATGGCGGAGAATAGTGTAAAACCGGTGAAAGTTTGGAAGATGGCGACTGGAGAGAAGCTGCTGGTGCGGATCTTTGACAGGGATAAGTTGACGATTGACCAGCAGCTCAAGAAAGCAGACTGAAATCTCCGATCAGTATCTCGCTTCCATACGAGTCCTTCGACGGAATCTCCCATCCTCCTCTTTCGTCCTCCCTTTCATTTCATCCAAATGGTGAGTTCTTGCCGCTGCGAAATCGAATTTTGCCGTGCAAATCGACAGATCGTGATGAATTACTGCTCTGTCGACCTTGTAAATACTAAGGACTCCACTTCGAGTTCTCAGTCTCAATATCTTAGAAAAGCTATGGCATTGAACTGATTTTAGTGCTATTATTATCATGATCTTTAAATATCCAGTGAGAATTCAGTATCCCTTCACTAGTTCAAATGGAGCAACTATGGCTGATTATTATTAGGATGTTGATTTTAGTATTTCATAGTTCTTTGTCGATAGAGTAGTGATTTGGGCATCGTCCCTTTTTTTTAATGCCATTGGATTGTGATCAAACTGCTTCATAGTCTGGCAGGCTTAAAGAAGAAGGAGCTTGCCACTTACCAGCAAGCCTTTTGCCTGTGTTTCTGAGCTGCCAAACTGCTTGGAAAGAGAGTTTAAAGTTGACATGATGTCTGCTAAAAGAACTGCATGCATTATGCAAATGACGAGCTTGATCATTGTGTCTATTAAGAGAGAACTGGATGTGACCAAGTCTTCTGAGGGAAGAGAATGAGAACTAACCGGTCTTATCTATAAGATTCTTGGTGTGAGTAAATATTCTGATATTGCCAGGGAAGAGATGTTCTTCAAATTCTACTGGCTAGTCAATGCGGCAGTCTAATCAGCCAGTCTTGCTGTTGCTTCTGGTACAAGTTGTGCAAGGAGTTAGTATAGCGTAGTTCATTTGGGTGGAGCTACAAGCTTAGTTGTTCATGCCTTCAGACCAGTGGCGTAGAGGAGTCTTTGGAGGTGGTCTAGTCCATTCATAGTGGTGCTGAAGATGGTAGACTTGGGTTGCCCACTGACAGATCCTCTGAACAGACTAATAATGACAATGGGTTATGGGAAAGGGTCAATAGAAGTTCGAATTTTTGACCCCGAGTAATGGTGCTTTTGTGCAAGGAACAAGATTTATGAGTTCCAATTTATGTAGCCAGGGTGACTACAGTGTAAATTCAGATTGTCCAACCACTAATGTGGAAGAGGGTGATAGGCCAAACTGGGAAACCAACCGTGTCAATGTTTTTGAGGGACTCAACGAAACCTATTCTGAAGGCATCTGTCTTACAAAGCAGGAAAATGGGGATGACTCCTGTGGAATACCTAAACCAGCACATCCAAAGACGGAGATATTGCAGTTGCAGAGCCCAAGAGCTTATCACGACTAGTCCCAATGTGAAGTTTGGTTGGACAAGAAGTTGGCTTTTGCGGAATTGTTGGATACTCAATCAAATGGCTTGGCTTGTACTGAAATCATTATTGTTAACCCGGAAAAATGTGGAGCAGTTCCAGCTGAATCGGACATAGAATCGCCTGGCTTAGTTGTGGCTGATCTGTGACATCTATGTCTACTTTAGTTGCCCACGGCATTGGAGTAACCTCATGATCAGCTGTCGAAGATGCCATGCCAATGGAGCGCAAGGAACTTGGTTTTGATGAAGTGGAAGTTAACAGAACTTCTAATTCTAATATCAAGGATGAGAAAGGTACTTATCAGAAGAACAACCCGCTTCAGTGCAATGTTAAATCTTCTACCTGTATATCCTGATAGAATGTATTTTGGAAGCACATACGTTCTCACTCATACTGAAAAGTGAAAACAATATGCACATGAAAAGATCTCATTACCTTAAGGAATTGCAGTGCATCAGAATATCCAACCATTTCTACATTTATGTGGATTGATTGCGCTGATCAAAATGTGCCAGAGTTGGAGAAATGTGTTGAGATTATTAAGTGACCTTGTACTGCCAGAAATGGATGGGACCAAGCTTCAATTCACTGGCCCTTCAAAACACTACCCCTGAGTACGATGGTCCCTGTTGGAATAACTGGAGTTTAAAGGAACAATGATACGGAAGAGATTCAGTAAGGCTAACTTTGTCGAGGAAAAACGGGTCCTTAAATGCTAGCTCTGGCTTATTGGAGGAGGAGCTAATTATAATAACAATATTATGTCTGATATAACTTCCTCTGTTCCTCTAGTGCAACTAGCAAGTGTCTACTGCTATTACAGGTAACTTCTCTTACCATTGTCTTTCTCCTGATTCTTTATTTGATGGGTGGTGAATGATTCCCCTACAGAAAAGCTGCTGTCGCAGGAGCCACTAGTATTATTCGACACCCGATGGCCTCCGAAAGATTTTTGTTTTCATGTTGAGAGTTCCTACATCTTGATTCTAAAACCATATATCTCTGTCGTTGTTGTTGATTTCCCGGTGCAGATAATGAAATCGCAATGAAGAAGGTAGGTACCTATTGAACCATTGAAGCCTCTTCTTATGTAGTGATGTTAGTTACTGAGCAGCCATTCCAGGTTTTGTGTGGACACTATTCGATCAACATTCACACCATACCACAACACAAGCTATTCTATCAAGTTTTGGAAGTGTTCCCTAAGAACATATCACGTTGTACGAGACTGTTCAAGTTGTGGTAGCAAGACCATATCAGGTTTGCTGAGCAGTTCTTTTTGTCAGTAAGAGATCTTTGTTCCATTCACTGTGTACTCTATACAAACAGGAATAGGATGTAGTTTATCTTTATGGCGGCAAGACCAGATCAACTCAGGAAAGCCACTATCTGATTTTTTTCTCATTTTCTGCTTTCATACCCTAGTCAAAGCAAAGGTGTGGGTTTGTTTTTATATTTGTCTGGCTTTGTAACGGCTATCTGATGTGGAAGGATTAGCAACAACAAACAGTAAAGATAATGCATTAGTGGGCTGGACCTGGGCCCACGAAACCTTAACATCACATGCCTGCCTGCCTCCATCCTTCTCCTTCTACTTCTACATTATTCAATTCACATCAGCCTCACAGTCACATGTTCTTGGATTTGTTCATGTTCCAGCGACACTTGTGTGTATATTTATTTTCTGTAACACCTCAACAGAACGTCTCTTTTCTCTTTCTGCTCAAAATTCACCGCCCCTCATTAAAACTAATCTCCATGGAATTCAACGCCTGCTCAGAATGTTCATTGAAGCAACCACTAAAAAACGAAGAGGAAGGAAGGAAGCCACCCAACTCAAATAACGGTCTCTTTTGATTTTTTTTCTTCGTGCAGGAACATGGGATGCGGCCCAATAAAGTCCGCGCTCCTGACTGGATCCAACTGTAAGGCCCACTTATCCGATATCCAGGCCCACTTCTTGTTCCGACGTCGTTTGGTGCAAAAAGGTTTCTTTTCACCCTTTTATATATTTCAATTTTCAATCACCGACGCGCCCATCTTCTCTTTCCGTTTAAACCCCGCATTTTCCCACCACCACCGCCCACTCTTCTCTTTCCCTTTGCTCCTCCTCCATTGATTCCCACTCCAAGAACTGCTCTCTTAACAGTCTTGAATCCCCAACTACCCAGAAGAAAGAAAGATAGCCCAATTGAATCTCCAAACAAGATTCTTACTCGATTCCCATCGATGATTCCTTCCTCCACCCTCTTCTTCCTCCTCTTCCTCACTTCCGCCGCCGCCGCCACCGCCCCAGGAGGATTCGGCAACCACACTTTCGAATTCGACTTCCCTTCCTTGTCCATCCGCAACCTCACCCTCCTCGGCGACTCCTACCTCCGAAACGGCGCCGTCGGCCTCACCCGCGACGTCACCGTCCCGACATCGAGCTCCGGCACCGTCGTCTTCAACGAACCCATCCCCTTCTCCGACCCGGAAACCGCTCCGTCGTCCGCCGCTTCCTTCTCGACCCGATTTACTTTCTCGATCGGCAACGTCAACCCGAGCTCCTTCGGCGACGGCCTCGCCTTCTTCCTCTCCCGCGACAACGACACCCTCGGCAGCGCCGGCGGGTACCTCGGCCTCGTCAACGCCACCCATCTGACCACGAACAAGTTCGTCGCCGTCGAATTCGACACCCGGGTCGACTCCCAATTCGCCGACCCGAGCGAGAACCACGTCGGGCTCGACATCGACAGCCTGATTTCGGTCGAGACGGCGGATCCCCTGTCGCAGGGGATCGATTTGAAGAGCGGCGAACAGATCACCGCGTGGGTCGATTACGACCACGTTGCTAAAATCTTGGATGTCTTCTTGAGCTTCTCCATTTCCCCCAAACCGGAAACCCCTCTTCTCTCCGTCGACGACGTCGACCTCTCCGAGTACTTGCGAGGGAACGTGTATGTTGGATTCTCCGGGTCGACGGAAGGATCCACGGAGCTCCACTCGATTCACAGCTGGAGCTTCAATTTGACCGGAGAAGGAGCTCTGCTGATACCCAGATCGACGAATCCCCCACACAACGTCTCTGACAATTCGATCACCATCCCCTCGCCGGAGATTCCATCTTCCGATTCGGGAAACAAGAACCACAAGAAGCTCGGGTTGGGGCTGGGAATCGCCGGTCCTTCCTTCTTCTGCGCGTGCCTCGTGGTTCTCGGGTTCATCTCGGTCAAGAAATGGCAGAAGACGAAAGGTGCGGAGAAAGCAGAGCAGCTGGTGGCGGCAGGGCGACCGAAGGAATTCAATTACAGAGAGCTGAAATCGACGACGAGAGGGTTCCATTCCAGCAGAATCATCGGGAAGGGCGCATTCGGCAACGTCTACAAGGCCTTCTTCGTCTCCACGGGGACAATCGCCGCCGTCAAGAGGTCCAAACACGCTCACGATGAAGGGAAAACAGAGTTCCTCGCCGAGCTCACCATCATCGCCGGCCTCCGCCACAAGAACCTCGTCCAACTCCTCGGATGGTGCGTGGAAAAGGGCGAGCTCTTATTAGTCTACGAGCTCATGCCACACGGCAGCCTCGACAAAGCCCTCCACCACGACGGCGGCGGCGGAGGAGTGCTCCTCTCGTGGGAACAGAGGCGAAACGTCGCCGTCGGTCTAGCCTCCGCCCTGACGTATCTACACCAGGAGTGCGAGCAGCAGGTGATTCACAGGGACATCAAATCGAGCAACGTGATGCTGGACGCGAATTTCAACGCGAGATTGGGCGATTTCGGATTGGCGAGGCTGATGGACCACGACAAGAGCCCTGTTTCGACCCTGACGGCGGGGACGATGGGGTATCTGGCGCCGGAGTATCTTCACTACGGCAAGGCGACGGAGAAGACGGACGTGTTCAGCTACGGGGTGGTGTTGCTTGAATTGGCCTGCGGGAGGAGGCCGATTGAGAGGGAGGCGGAGAGCCAGAGGATGGTGAATTTGGTGGATTGGGTTTGGGGATTGTATGGTGAAGGGAAAGTTTTGGAAGCTGCTGATGAGAGGCTTAAGGGGGAGTTTGAGATTGAGGATGTGAAGAAGATGATGATGGTTGGATTGAGCTGTGCGAATCCGGATAGCGGCGAGAGGCCGACGATGAGGAGAGTGCTTCAGATGTTGAATGGGGAAGTTGAAGTTAAGGCTGTGGCTAAGAGTAAGCCTACTCTCACTTTCTCCTGTGGGTTGAGTCTTTCTCTTGAGGATATTACCTCTGACTGTGAATAGAGATGAGAGATTCTTCTGCACACTGCTCTACTGCTGGTTAATACTAGTGTACTATACTTGATTGTTTGATTCTTTCAATCACTTTGTTTTTGTTGAGTTAGTAGTGTGATCAGAGATTTGGAAGAAGAAGAAAGGCAGCCTGTAGATACCGAGAGTTCAAACATAGTGTTTGTGTTTGTAATGAACTGAAACTGTAAATCTGGTCTCTACCCAGAATCTAATTCGAACATTTCGGATTGTTCCTGATAATAAAACTCCTCAATCCATTGTCCAAGTTTCAATCTTTATGCATTTTTTGTGTTGATATGGGTAGCAAACTACAGGTTCCTGTTGAAACCAGAGTTGTGCAGTTATGATGCACACGTCTGTAGTAATCTCTGCCCAGAAGCAAAGTTGAGAGTTGCGGTTCAGTAGGGATTTGCTGATAATGATATATGAATAAACATATGAATCCAGACTGCTCAAGTGTGGATCTTGACGCAGTTGAACAGGTAATCAGTGAAAAAGACAGCTACTAATTAATTGCTACTACATCAGCAAGTAGAGAATAACTAGGACGCCAGCGAGGGCAGTGATGAAGTAAGAGGCGATGGTCATCTTGACGGTTGAATTCACGGCCGGCGGCCAGTCCCAGACCAGATCGCCGTTGTTCGCACCCGGCGCTGGGCTCGGCCCGTAATCGTGATCGTGGTGTGCTCCTTCGTCCTTTTCCTTCTCTGCCATGACTCGAACCACTAGCTTCTGGCCGGCAATGCAGCTCCCGGCCTTGCCGCTGATGAAGTAGAACAGCCCCGGGCGATCAAACTGGAATGTGGCATTTCCTACGCCGCCGTTCAGTTGGAGAATTGGGTCGGAAACAATGCAGTTGGTGTAGGCGGTTGAGTTCACTAGCAGCACCGAGTCGGATTCATTACTCCTGTAAACGAAACCTGCGAGGAATCGGATTACAGAGATGTTTTAAGAATTGGGGGAAATGGGGAAGTAAGTTGATTAGTGGTGTGACTTACTGAGCCAGTCGCCGACGTGAAACCTGTTGTTTGTTGCCCATTGGTCGTAGTAGTTGTCGCCGTCGGCGGGTGGTGGGGCCCAGCCTCTGCTGCCGCCGACTTGAAACTGCAGAGAAGAAACAGGGGTGGTAGAGAGGGTAGAGAAGAAGAGGAAGAAGATGGAGATAAGAATGGCGAAGAGACGGTGGAAGATGATGAATGAAGCTGCCATTTTCGTGCTCGATCTTTCCTGTTTTGGTTGGAAGTGAAGAATTTGCTTTGCTGCTAATGGGATTTTATTGCAGAGGAGAAAGCAAAATTAGGAAAACAGAGCGCCGGTTTGAAATTGGGCGGTTGGGGGATTCAGTTATCTTTTTCGCCGGCGACGTGGGGTGAGGTTAGCTTGACGGTTATCTTTTGTTGGGCTTGTGGGGAACGCCGGTAAGCCTGATTTCTTTAATTTGGGCCCGTGGGGCTTGGGCTGGACTGAGATTTCACCCAATCCTATATTTCTGTTTATGTTATTAATCAACCACTGCCACATCCTTACAGAAGGAATGAATTCAAATGACACAACATTCCTGATTCCACTCCATTTGTTCTCCATACATACAATACAATCTTTTCCCCAACTGGTTTCTACTGTGAAGGAAGGAAGGATGACATTCACATTATCACATATGAGTAGCTCTCATCTCTTTCACCTCAACGACATCACGTGACGAACAACTACCACTCGACTCGTATTCTTCTTCCTCATCGACACTTGTTCTTCCTTCATCTCCACGGTGTCCCTCGCCTACCAAGACAGTGGTCTTCTTCCTCATCCATCCCAACCCAACAACATCATCTGCTGAATCGGCAAGGAGAGCCCTGGAAACCGGCGACCTGCATATCTCTTTATACGTCTCATAATCTGCAGCGCAAGTCTTCCCTCCATCCAGAATCCCCGACAGGGGATGCACCGCTGATATCACATCGTTGCTCCCTTCCAATGTCTCTTTCAGAAGTAGAAAGTCCGAAACAAACTCCGGCTTGCTGAAGTGAACCAGGACTGCACTTTCATCCACTCGAAAGACTGATGCAACAGAGGTTGGACCAAAGACTTTGCATATGCATTCCTTGATCTCCCTTGCCTTGAGCTTGGATGGGAACCTCCATATCAGAACAACATTCTCAAACACAATCTTCGAGAATCGCTTGCTCGGTCTGCTATTAGATCCAACATGATCTATCTGCTTTCCGGTGGCTAGGTCGATGATGTTGCTATTGATCCAGCTCAAGTAGAGGCGATTGATGTGCTTCTCGAGGTTCTCATTGAGGGCCAAGTTCAGTGGAGAAGTTGAATATTGGTTGAAATCAATACTGAGATGTTGGCATGCCTGTGCAAAGATGCAACCGGTCATGAAAGCATCATATCCTGCTTCATGTTTGGCTCCTGAATTCCAGTCTGTGGACCTGCGTCAAAAAATTAATAACACATATCAACACAGGTAATGCTTCTGGAAGATGCATCAAGTTTTTATTTTGGAGAAAGAAGCAAAGGTTTAAAATATGTGAGAGATCAAGAGAAACGGAAAGAGAAGAGGTTGCTTCGCTTCCTAAGAATTATTCCTATTCCTAAACCTAAACTTGCTCACTACCCTTACTGAGACGGCTAACAACCGTCTTAAAGTGAGATTTGAATTAAGTTTCTCCTTCGACTGAGAAAGTTTCTCTTATAGAAGAATCAGTCTTCATGTCATCCAAAGGTGCCTAGAGGACGGGCCAGACGCAGCAGAGCGACGACCCCCTGGTGGTGGGTTTGTTTCAACATATGGCAACCTAGGAAATAAGAGCAAACAAATTGCACAGGACTCAGAAATCACAAATCAGAGAGTTCACCTTGTATCGTCCATTTCCACCTCCACTTTCACGCTTGGACAAGAACCCGAGTTGGATCCGTTATCGACGCCCAAAGTGATCTGTCGACAAAGTAAAAGATAGGCCGAGGAGAGCGATGTGCTTGCTTTTTTCATCCTTTTTTGCAGTAAGTGACTTGAATTCAAGAGAATTTTGGTGTCAACAATGCAAGGAAAATGCTTGTTCAGTGAGGAAACAAACTCTTCAGCTGTGCTAGGGAGAGGACCCAAGAACTTACTGTATACATGTGCAATATCTGCATTACACAAGCTAATAAAACTCAGCAAGACATATGACCCGAAAGTCTATAGTAGAGAAAAAATAATGCTTACCCAAGAAGCAATTATGACCGACAATCAACTTTTTCTCAGAAGAAAGAAGGTCTATAACATGGCGAAACCCAATTGCAGCTTTGATCTTCTTCTCTGCATCTCTATGGTATTCGTTCTTCACCTCTGTCTGCATTAAATATAAAACTAATGAAGTCCTTTTATCTCTCAAACATGTTTCAATATTGCTGTTTGGCAAGCTACAAATATTTCATGTCTTCCCATTTCCCGTTTAAAATAAAAGAGCAGCATCTCCAAACAAAACTCTAAGATAACTGAACCTTTCGATCATGCGTGTGTAAATGACCAGTAGACGAACATAAAAGTTACCAGTAATAAGGCCTTGTCACTCTCTGTGTCTGTATACACAACAAGATGTTCACACCAAAAGTTTTCACCACAGACACGAATGTAAACAAGATCATTGAAATGTTGCTTGGTGACCTGCAGGTAATCGATTTTCAAGTTTAGTTATACAAAGGAAGTCTTAAAACCTCAAGCACGAAATAGAAGCAAAACCAATTGAATCCAATTCCACATACAAGGATAACGAGTTTATTAATATTGGAAGGGTTCAGAATTCCTCCATAACGCTTAGTAATGGGGATTATGCACAGAGCAAATATATCATCTTTCCAACTTAGAAAGTTGATATGACATCCAATATCAGAACTGCTTCAAAGTTTTCAATAGAAAAAGTTAACTAAAATGAAGTATGGTAAAGAAGCATCACCATCCGGATCAAATTAAGTTGATGAGAGGTGAAACCATTCAGAGAGACAGCCGGGCGCATCTTAAAGAAAACAGTATGAAACTGTTGCTTCGAATCTTTTGAAGGGTCATGGCACTGGGAAGTATCATTTCTAGTGGTCTGTAATAAACCCGAACGCCACTCCCTCAATCTGTCTTTCATTCGATTGATGAACAGAACGTCAGTAATATTAGGCAATGGCGTGCCTTCCCCATCTTCAGAGTTATTCGACAAGTCTGATAACCTCTTATCATGGAGAGTCAAGCGACGCAATGCTTCGGCTTCTTGTCCTCTGGACAAATAAGATATCCCTGAATTAACGAAGAGTGGTAAATAACAACAAAGTAGAAGCATCCTAGCAAGAGCTCTACAGCTAGAGCCCTAGCTAGTTCTGATTGTGCTATATAGACAGCAAAGCAATTGTACCTTCACAAATACATGTATTGAAATCAAACTGATACTTGGCCAAGAACTCCAAGGATGATGTCTGGCAGAGGAACTCATGGGAAGGGCCACCAGAGAGAAGCTCTTCGCGTGGAAATACAAAGAAATTATGCCTGCCAGAAATGATTCATGCCAAGCAGAGTCATAAACCAAACTAAACTACCCTCTCCAATTTCAAATTTGTGGCACAAGCAAATTCAGAAAACCATCAAAGTTCCAAGTTTTTCCGCATTTCTACCTAGATATCAGTTTAGACATTCCCAGCAAAATCAAACAAACAATGTCTAGACTCTAGAGCAATCAACCATATAAGCAGAGCCCTTATGGTAACACATCTTAAGCTCTCTCCGAGGAAAGGACTCAGGGACAGAGCTCAGTTTCGAGAAAGTAAAGAGGAAAAGCAGGGGGAGCTGTTTCTTACGGGTGAGCTATGAAGGATTGCCGTTGAGAGTCCCAACGGAAGGGGCAAACGCCGAATTGAACGACAGCGAACTTCTCGACGGAATCCTTGACCTTGAGGTACCTAACATCGAAGCGGTCGAACTCGAAGGACTCCCTCCATGGCGCACTGATGACGCCGGTCATCTCTAAATCGATGGCGACGAAATCGGCGGCGCGGACATGGGTTCTGAGCTCGGCGAGCGCGGATTCGAAGTTGGACTTCGTCACATGTTTGAGAGGGAACGAAGTCGACGATGAGGAGGAAGAAGCAGACGAGGAACAGTAGGCCCGTGAAAGGGCACTTGACAGCCGAGGCAGCCATTGCTTCTTGCTCATCTTCGCCTCCTGACCATATTCTTTTGCAGCGCGGTGGGTAAATGGGTTTGGGGTTCTCACTTCTCAGGGTTTAGAGGAGGAAGAAGACGACTCGCCAAAGTAAAGCCATCGAACTACGACGTCGTTTCACCGCTACTTTTACTCCGACGAGAGAACACAAAACAACTCACAGGGCTTCTTTTTTCTCTGAATCAAAAGAAGAAAAAATTGCTTCTTTTTCCCCGCTTATTTCCAATTCCAAATCCGGAGAAAGCACAAATGGACAAATCACAAGGCTGTAGGTAATGAACCCTATTGTTGTATTGGTGACTTTACAAATTACAAGCAATACTTTCTCTGAATGCTGGATTGGCAGTTTTGTCTTGGTGGGCAGTGATCTTTGGATATACAAAAAAAGTGCACTTCTTTTCCTCGGATGATTCATTTAGCAAGCAACCTGCCCTGAACCCTTCCCACCATGGAAGGAATCCCAAAGGGAAAGGCTCAAACTTTCTCCTCTCTCATAAGTCATAATGTTTCTTTGCTCCTGAGGCCAGTTATCTTTTGCAGAGGAACAATGCACTGTTGTCCTCCCTCTGTACAGAGTGGCCAGAGAGAGGGAGAGATGTAGGGGAAAGATGGAGGCAGCTTTCCAGTTGCTGCAGAGACCGCTCTTATTTATGATGTTGGTTTTACAGAGGCACGCACCAGGCGAGCTGCAAAGGCTCCATCCACTGAGTGTTTCGCTGGGTTGGAGGCAAAGAAACCCCGGTTCGATACAAAAGCTGCAGGAACCCATCTGTCTACTGGATCTATGTTGAATTCCTGTCAAGATGAATGAATGGTCAATGGCTCGTGTCGAGTATGTAGCAGTATTGATAATCAAATGCACAATCCACCAGAGGGAGAGAGTGAATGGCCCGGCTTCTTACAGGATGCCTGAGGAGAAATGCTTCCACTCTTTCCTCGTTTTCCTCTGGATCTATGGAGCAGGTACTGTATACCAACACTCCACCAGGCCTCACCAACCTGCAATGTGAATGTGACGACACAGGAAAAGTATCAGAAGCAGGAATCCCGAGCTGTCCCTCCATATGATAGGGAGAGCTAACCAATTTTGTATCCTACGTAGAAGCTGCATCGAGGAGCTCATCTTGCAGATTCTTCAGTTCTTCCAAATCTTCTACCCTCCTGTTCCATCTCAAATCTGCCCTCTTCAGAAAAGGCACAAGTCATCTCAGAAAGGAGCATTTTGTTTGCCAGATAACCAACAGATTGAGTAAAGCACTCGACATAAAGCACTACGGAGGTTAATTACCAAAGCATACCTTGGATAGAACACCAAGCCCGGAACACGGAGCATCCAGCAAAACTTTGTCATATTTCTCTTTTGTTTCCTCCTAAAAGTTACATTAAGATATAGAGGCATGACGTTTACAGTTTATCCTCTTTTATTTCTCTTCTTAAGAATTTCAACTTTCACTCTGATTATGACTTACAGCAAATGTTCGAAGATCAGCAGCCACTGTGGTGATAATTCCATCAACTTGATGCACTTGCGCTGTGTCTTTAAGAATTCTCAACCGACCTTTGTTCACATCAATTGCATATACCTTGCCTGCAAGACATAAAATATCCCCACATGCTCGACGAGTAAAGAGGTATTCTTTTCACTTTGAAACTAATGAAAGCAATCTCCCAAAAACAAAGAGAAACTAGAGTTTTTCACACACACACACACGCAAAGAAAAGAGAAATTGAAGCATGAGGAATAAGAAACTGTTATATAGAAGCTGCTCATCTGATTGGATGAGAAAGAGGCATCCATATTAAGTGGAAGAAACAATGAGCTTTTTATATGGAAGAAACAATGAGCTTTTAGAAGTGAAATACCATGATGTTTCATCAAAGCAGCCATATAAAGAGTCTTTCCTCCAGGAGCAGCACAACAGTCAATTATGGTTTCGTTCGGTTGAGGATCCACAACAGAAACCACCATTCCTGCAAAAAAATTGGCACAACTGTGAAGGATAGCTCCCAAAGAAAGGAGATGGAGAAATGCTATTGAAGCTTTAACAGACACTTTGTATCTTCTGTTAACTTCCTCTATCCTTCCTAAGTTTTTGTTTCCGCAGAATGATGGTGGTCGATCAAATTATCATTGGAACTTCACATCTATTTTGACAATGTCATCAATCGTTTAGGACATGTTATAAAGCAGGTAGAGAAAGAGTTAATTAATGGTTTAAGTTAATTTATTCTTATATGTTCAATAGATGCTGATGATCTCTAGCAACAATACACTTATTGATTTTCGTTTTCCTTCTTCACCACCTATTCCAGAAGATAAGCAGAGTATGTATGACCTGCACTCTCGTCCTGAACTGCACATAGACCTTGTTTCAGCAATCCAGCTTGTAAAACAGCCTGAGAAAAGACAAACTATACGTTGTCAGAGCCCTGGACATCGATAGTCTCTTAATAACACTTGGTCAATACAGCTTTGACCAATGTGAAATACCTGCATTCCAGTTCTGATGCGAACAAAATCATCCAAATGCAAAGACAGCTCATGAGGTACCTGCAACTCAAAGCCTGGAAATCAATGATTCAAAAGAAAGTATCTAATGACTACTGCAGGAGACCAGATATGTGGTAGTCTTTTAAGGTATTGCCTTATTTAGAGAACAATCCTTCTCATATAATGCTATAGATTATGATGATGCACCTTCCTTTGGAAATCCAAGATGATGTTCTTTGTTGCATTAATACCAACAAGCAAATACAGATCAAGTACCTTCAAAAGTTGAAGTTGCTTCACAAGGTCATCTCTTGAAAATCCTTTTCCACAATTTGCCCTGGAAAATTTATGAGAAATAGCTATTGGAAGCACTCAGTAACCAAAGTTGAGGAAAGCAAACTGACTAGTAGTGGGCAACCTCAAGCTGAAACTGGGATCACTGTTGTTCCAAACCATCAACCTAACTGTTTCTTCTTGTCCAAGATACTTTGTCCAACGCCTTACCATCCACTACCAAGGGCAAAGAACATGGACATTAGAAATGTCATCCTGGGTCCAGATTACATGATTGTCCTTTCACTCAAACTCTTTTCATCTAATAGTTTAAAGAACAAAATAACAATCTTCTGACAAGTTACAGGCATTCCCTCTTATCATGTCAAGCAAATTACAGGGAGCTATGCAAAATCTCCCAAGTCCAACAAAATATAACGTCTTCCTGCAGTTACACTACAGTAAATAAAGTCATAGAACAAGTTCTGCATTGAACTAACTCACCACAGGATGAGAATGAATAGTGGCTAGAGCACGAGCTTGCGTCCGATCATCACCTTCTACTTTGGGTAGAGGAAGGGAGTCATTATCCTGCAATTTTGAAAAATTAGTAGCACAGAAACTTCTGACCATCTCATCCTAGATAACCATGAAGAGCAATAAATTTCCCTTTCTGCATGATGAGAAATAGGAGGCACAAACCTTTACCACCAATAGCTTTCTCAGAATGCCATTGACCAGATTACCGGCACCAGGTCTCAGTGCAGCTTTTGCCAGCCTAACGTTCTGCATTGTAAAGGCAAACATGCAATTGATAAAACATCATCAGAAAAATGAAGAGAATAATATAGAAAAAAGAGAGGGAGAGAAAGGGTGCAACAAGTTTACCTCATCTACAACAGCATAAGGTGGCATGTCTAGCTTGAGAATCTCATAAAATCCAATTCGAAGAATCTGAAAAGGCATGGGGCAGATAATGTTATGTTAGCTAGGTTCTAGTACTCTAAACAGCATCTGGTGGTTTTATGTTGCTGCAATAGGCATATTTGGTACTCATTGTGAGCTTGGAGTATATGGTAAATTGGTAATTGATAATTCTGGTGAGGTGCACGATCTGGTCTACGCCAGATTATTGTCAACCTCACAAGGAGTACCTAAGTCAGTAGCAATAATAGCTACCGCATCTCCGATGTAACTTACACAAAATTGTCAATATATGTAGAAGTGCAACTGATAAGAAAGATCTAAAGTGTCATACGAAGGTATATGAAAGGAAAAATCAGCAAATCCAGAAATGATTATAAAATTTATGAAACCAATTGTTCATGAACAGCATATGCAATTCATACTACCTGCAAGAGAAGAGGTTCCATGCTCCGAAATACTCTCTCGTCGTGACACAATGAGCAAATTAAATGATCAAGATACCTCCTCCAGCGAATGGTACCTCCAACAACATCTGTAACCTGCATCGTCCCATCACAAAGTGAATCACAAAATGGACGTCTGTACTAAACAAGCCTTTGTAATTCTCACTTCAAATTTACTTCTCAAACTTAACACTTCCAAGTGTGAAAGATACCAGTCTAAGATCCCGGTCATCTAAGTCCTTGGTACGAAATCCAAGAGTTCTTCCCACATATCCCATTTCATTCTCACCGGAACCTTTCCCCTTCTCATTCAATAAATCAGCAAATGCGCCACCCATCTCTATTCTCATCAACCTTACAGCAGATACTGCAAATAAATGCAAAAAAAGAAAAAAAAAGTAAAGCTGGACAAATCTTCAATTCTTTCAGTTTATATACCGGATAAATAAGGGGAGAAATTCATGTGAATACCAGCTCTATGGGGCGAAACATCCGAATTCAATTTGTGGGTTTTTCTTAACGGAGTAACAGCACCTGGAAAACACAATATACATTACCGGAATCAAACTCTGAAGAAGCTAACCAGCAAGAATGATTGCCAAGGAATACCATTTCTTCTGCATTCTAATTTCTCTCTTTGAGCAAAGCACTGAGAAAAGGTTTACCCCTTTTAGGGACGGACACTGACGTCTTGAACTTGTGGGTAGTCCTCTCCTGTGGTTTGGCTGGTCTTGCGTGGCGTGTGTCAGCAGAATGAAACACTTCTTGGAGGGAAAGCACTTGCGCCATTGTTCCAACTTCCAAGTTCGAACTTCATCCAGCTCGCGAGTTGCAGAGCAAAGAAGATAAATAGACGGATAATAATAATTGCCGTTTTCTTTGCAGGTCGTGAAATGGGTTTGGGCTTATAATTCCAGGCCTACTGTATGGCCTTTTGATTTGTGCTTCTAAGGCTTTTCCCAATCTCAGCTTGCTCCACACTTGGGTTGTTTCAGGCCCATAATTTCTCACAAATATGAACTAGCCTATGATCTTTAATCCTACAACGCTTAATAACGCAATGGGAGAATGGTTTTTTTTTTTTTTTAATAACAATACTTGTTCACTCGAGGCTCATCCAGGGGCGGACCTAGGGGGTTTTAGACATCCCTAAATTTCGGAAAAATGATTATCCAACCTCTGGTGGTAATTTATGGATAGACAAAAAAAAATATAATTGATAGTGAGGGACACCCCTGAAATTTGAAAAAATGATTATTCTACTGTCATTTTTGTATAAAAATATAAATGGTAGGTTGTGTAATTCAAATCTAGAACACTATTATTATTAATAAATTTAATTTCCGTTGAGCTACAACTCATTTGTTGTTTGATTTTGAACAATGTGTAATAGTAAAAAGTCATTCCCTATCTCTAATTATTTCAATCTAAACTAATTTCAATCTACCCTTAATTTGTATTGATTTTATGATTGTACGGCAAGTGTTGAAGAGTCTTTCAGCTTTGGGTTACATCAAGAACAAGTTTACAAATCGAATATGCGATAAGTTCCTGAATGATTGTCTAGTAGAGTATATGGAGAATTTTTTTAACACTATAAACACCAAGTGTATTCTACAATTACTTTCAAATATGAAAACACATCATGGACTTTTTTAACCTGTACGAGTAAGGTATTTTCATATTTACGATTTTATTTTTATTAATTATTTATTTTATTTTTTAAAAGAGGACACCCCTATGGAAAATTTCTGGGTCCGCCACTGCTCATCCATGTCCAATTCCAATGGACAAGTCTTCGTTCTGCCCTAGCTCTATAATCCACCTGTCTGCCCTAATCTCGAAAACCTCCACTTACAAGATATATCTATTCTTCTGGGTTTAAGATCAAATTCAAACCGCTCAAGAACAAAAACCCACTCACTGAAGGGATGACAAACTTAACCTAACCCGACAAGTCTGACTTGGCCCAACCCAACTTGACCCACCCCGTTTATAGGTCAGGTTGGCAGTTGCTTTTGATACAAGATATAAGCATGAGACTTTTTTTTTTACAAAAGATAATCAATTAGATTCAAGAAACGATAGTTACATCCTGGAAGACAGCCAGGCCTGAAAATCAAAGAAACGGCACGTAGCCGGGTACAAAGACAGGGCTTTCCTAGCCACCAAGTGGGCTACCCTATTGTTACTCCGACCTACAAACCGTACACAAAACCCAGAATGGACAGCTAAAAGATTTATAACTTCTTGAAGAATCACTCCCATCTGGCTATCTCTCGCGTCCGCCAGATTGAGTTTATCAATAATTACTTTGGCGTCGCCTTCAAATTGCATCTCCGAAAACCCCAAGCTCAGGCACCACTGAATAGCCTCCCGGAGCACCAGCAGCTCGACAATTAGGGGAGCATCAATGTGCGGAATCTGAATCCCTTTAGCCAGAACAGGAACTCCACTATCATCCACAATCACCATCCCACCTGCCGCATGAGAACCACACCTGGTCGCCCCATCCCACTTACAAGATGCCCGCAAAGTGGAACCAGACAACTGGTGACCTGCCGAAGGAACGCAAAGGTGCGAGAGACGATCGGCAGGCAGGCAAACCCATTCCTCAAATTGCTGATTAAATTGTCTCATTAAGGCCGACATCCCAAACTGCTTGCCTTCGAAGACTACCCAGTTTCTAGATTGCCAAATCCGCCAAAGGATAGCAACAACCTTCATAAAGAGAGGAGACAGGTGCACTATATTCATCATTCTTTTGAGGAAAAGCGGGAAAGTATGTCGTGGCAACCCTTGACCAAGATATTCCAACCCCGATAAATCCCAAAGCGCACGTGCCACCGGACAATCCAGAAACAAATGTTCCATAGTCTCGGATTCCGCCCAGCAGACCGGGCACCGAGGAAGCACCTACACCCCTTTTTCTCGAAGAGCCTCCGTGGTTGGAAGGATTCGGTTAAAGATTTTCCAGCAAAAGACTTTTAACTAGCCAACTGGCGCCAACGACCATTACCTCTCTCAATTGACACTGCTAGATGATAAGCTGACTTCACAGAGAAAACCCCATCAACCGTGGCATGCCAAATCAATCTATCCTCTAAATTCTGCCTCGGCAGGGGAATAGCTTTGATCGCATTACACGTAATTGGGTCAAACCACTGACTAAGCTTATCTTCCGCCCAGCATCTGCCCTCAAGGCTGATACTTTAGACACAATAGGATCCCCCCTGTAGGCAAAACCCGGGGTTATACTGCAGCTGACAGGGATGTACTTGCGGAATCCAATTAGAATGAAGGAGAGAAGCGGTCTGCCCATTCCCAATCTGCCACCGTAAACCCATCTCCAGCAGCTGATGACCATAAAGGACACCTTGCCAGCCCCAGGACGGACGGGATCTAGCCGTGGCCGAGAGGAAGTCACCATTTGGAAAATATTTCCCTTTATAAAGTTGGGCTAACAAGGAATCAGGTTCAGTAAGGATTCTCCATCCAATTTTCGCCAAGAGGGCCTGATTAAACTGCTCAAAACGGCAAAAGCCCATGCCTCCCTCATGTTTACTTCTGCACATATTTCGCCAAGAAACCCACCGGATCCTGGAGTGGCCATCCTCAACCCCCCCACTAGAAGCGAGCCACGTGACGGTCGAGGAGACGACACAGGGATAGCGGAAGCCGGAAACAGGACATGACATGCAGAGGCAGAGCTAAAGCTATTGATTTGATCAAAGTCTCTTTAGCTGCCCAAGAAAGTGTACGTTGTTTCCATCCCTGCAGGCGAGCCAGCAATTTCTCCTCCAGATACCGGAAGGTAGCCATCTTAGATCGAGCTATTATGGTAGGCAACCCCAAATATTTATCATGCACGCCAACCGCCCCAACCCCCAGAACCTGGGCCAGGAACTCTTGATCTGGTAAAGAAATGTTCTTACTAAAACAAACGGCTGATTTTCCCAAATTTACCCTATGGCCACTGAGTTCCTCATATTCATTCAAGACCTCTATCAGATTTTCACATTCCTGAAGAGAACCTCGGAGGAATAAATAGGAATCATCAGCAAAGAAGAGATGAGATATTATGGGAGCGCGAGGGGCCACCTTCACTCCCTCTAATCTTTTATCAGTAATTGCTTGACGGAGCAAAGCCGCAAATCCCTCAGTGCAGATAACAAATAACAGAGGAGAGAGGGGGTCACCTTGCCGTAATCCTCTAGACAGAGAGAAATACCCAGCAGGATTCCCATTCATTAAAATGGAAAACGACGTCGATCTGAGACATTCATGTATCCATCCTCGCCATACGGAGTTGAAACCCATTTTATCCAAAACTGCTAGAAGAAAGGCCCATTCAACTCTATCATAGGCCTTTTCCATGTCAACCTTTAAGAGATATAAGCATGAGACGTTCTTGTGTTACTTTCTAAAAATTTATGTTGAGGAGCATGATCGTGAGACAGAGAGAATCATTGGAATATGTCATCATTTATTTGTTGAGTATGAGGAGAAAGAACGAGAAAAGGAACAAGCGTCGGATGTTAATGGGAGTTGTACATAAGCAAATGATACTAACGCAACTTTTGCTCTGGAATTTCACTCGTGTGCCTCCAGCAAGAAAATAAAACGTCTAATGAGATCATAGTTGGATGCATCTTCAAAATACGATATTATTAGGAATATTCCTGATTTTTGTCTTATCTTGAAGGAAGCCCAATAAGAAAAGTATTTTATTCTGCACCAAAATCACTAGAGATGTTCTATACTTCTATATATTCCATCTTCAACGGTTGCTTCAGAGTCAACCTTTAGTACAAGTTGAAGGGTCATTTGTCCTCGACGTAGTAGACTTCACCCTAAGCTTGTGAAGGCTTAATGTGTCCACAAAGTTGGCTAAAATCTTATGATAACTTTTCTTCTTTCTTGCCACTATCTTGTTTATATTTTCTATTTGTAATTATGCTTTGCCATTGAGTGTTTGAGCTATGAGACTCAATTATGTTTTTAATGACTAAATCATTATGATTCTGGTGGGGGGGGGGGGGGGGGGAGGGGGGGGGGGGGACTTACTTAGATGTGAATAACTAAACCTTGTGCTTGTTTGTTTCTTAATATTAGTTTTTTTACAAATGAATGATAACTAATAGTCTCATATACTTATTGTGAATAAAAACTGTGGATGATTTGGAGGACGGTGAATCCGATGTTCTAGATGATTATGCTCATATGACATAAAATGTATAATCTCAATGTTCGGTACAGTAAACAAGTGATTTTGTTGAATGAATGGATGATCAATCTAATTTAATGTTTGGATTTTTTCCCTTTACGAGGATTGACTTCGAGAAATGCTTAGTTGTTGAATGGTTGTTGGTTTGGAATAATTATGAGACTTGTTCTTGTTCACATACTTCGTGTTCTATTTTGCTTCACTTCGAAGGTTCCTTAAACTTATTTTTTGATTTGGAATTATGCTTGGATGGAATATTTTGGTGTTTTGTTAGACTTAAATTTTGTATATGCAATTCAGTTGTAATGGTTTAAGCATAGCATTTTGTTGTTTCATCAAAACATTTTTGGATTTGGAATTGTGTTGTGGTTTCATCAGTACATGTTGTGGGTTTTGTGACTGATCAGTGAACAATCACTAAAGCAAGGTAGGCTTGTGGTCGGCCCGATCAGTGCATGATGGGGCTTGAACTAACATAACACGGGGGCGATTGTGGGTTTTGGGGCGAGCATGCAAATTAAGTTACAAAGAGTCGGGTTTAAATTGATTAGTACATGACTCATTTTGGCATATTGCCATCCTTACTAAAAAGTTAGCTATGTCCCTGATCCCAAGAAGAACTGGGGTGCAGAGCATGAACTATATATGGGCTCATCTGCAAGATTAGATGAAAAATCCATACAAATACAGATGGACATATGAGACCCCCAAACCTAAAATTGTTGGTCGAGTTTATAACTTATGACGAAGGGTGATTGGAGTTTGTGACTCATCAATCAATTATGTACTAGATTGTAAGGTGGATAATGGCAAATCAATCTTGGTTGAAGGATAGAACCAACCTGATTTACATGTGTCACACTTACCCACTCGAAAACAACATAGACATCATTGTTGCTTAATGCTTGGCTAGAGCACATATATGTGGCATGTGGGAACATTTTAGATTTATCTCTTACTTACTTTGGTGTAGGCAAAAATTACACCAGTCAGAACAATAAAGATGAGATGTTCGATCATGGATAGTAGGCAACGATTTAGTTCACAAAGTCCACGAAGACACATCTATGAGGTGAGACATGTGGGGAAAGCAATACACAAACCTAAAATTATTGGTCGAGTTTCTAACTTATGGCGAAGGGTGATTGGAGTTTGTGACTCATCAACCAATTATGTACTAGATTGTAAGGTGGATAATGGCAAATCAATCCTTGCTGAATGATAGAACCAACCTGATTTACATGTGTAACACTTACCCACTTGATAACAACATAGACATTATTGTTGCTTAATGCTTGGCTAGAGCACATGTATGTGGGAACATTTTAGATTTATCCCTTACTTACTTTGGTGTAGGCAAAAATTACACCAATCAGAACAATAAAGATGAGATGTTCGATCATGGATATTGGATATACCAATTTAGTTCACAAAGTCCACGAAGACACATCTATGAGGCGAGATTTGTGGGGAAAGCGATACACAATTGGTTATACAAATGTCTTTTCATATGAGATGAATGGTTGATGGCTCTCTAAATTGGTTGATGCTATCTTCTTTTTTTACACAACATGCACCATTATTTGCAAAACTGTTTAGCTCGTAATTATCTATTCATCGGCCTTGTGAGATACATGATAACTCTACAAAGGATACTAAGATGTGCATATTTTCCAAAATATTTATGGGTATGCTATATGGATCAAGTGTTTTGTACAATCAAACCAAAAGTGATAGCTCCAACCAAAGGGTAGTCAATTGTAATATTAACGGCTTAGTTCATCACTTGCAAGAGATGGCATTGTGAGAGAAGAAGACTACTCATGTGTTAAAGCTTTTGAGGTTCTTGAAGAAAATGAGTTTAAACGAGCAATTCTTGAAACAATTTTTCCTATTACACTCACTTATCCAACAAGCGTACAATACACATCTATATAGAGACAAGATCTACATTACAACGATTTGCCAAATACTGAAACACTTGCAACTTTTTATCATATTTTGCATCCACGATAAATATAATTTTGCAACAAATTATGTTCCATTCATCGGTAGTCCAAACTATAAGCTAGCATATTGTACAATACACATCTATATCCAGACAAGATCTACATTACCATGATTTGCCAAATTCTGAAATACTTGCAACCTTTCATCATATTTTGCATCCATGATAAAGATATTTTGCAACAAATTATGTTCCAACCATCGGTAGTCCAAACTATAAGCTAGCATATTGTACAATACACATCTATATCAAGATGAGATCTACATTACAACGATTTGCCAAATACTGAAATACTTGCAACTTTTATCATATTTTGCATATATGATAAAGATAATTTTGCAACAAATTATGTTCCATCCATCCATCGATAGTCCAAACTATAAGCTAGCATATTGTATCAACAAAAGAAATACGAACCAACTAAAGAAAGACACCTACGACTCCAAAATCAGTACCAAGTAAAAAATCTGCTAATATCTCTCGAGTCTCGTACAAAAGTTCTCTTTGATTCAGAAGTTGCCTTGCATTCTGCTTCTCAGCTAGAGAACTCTTCTCAACTTCCTCCTCTATCTCCCCATCTCTCTTTCTTTTTCGTTCTATCTCTCCTCGCGAAAATCCCCAACCGAATTGCGATCGCGGCACCAAAAACCCTAGTTCCCGATCGTCAATTCGCATATTGTCATCTTCATTCTCCACTCTTTACCTCCCGAATTCCCTGCCCTGATTGGTTCTGTTCCTTGTCATCGGCGGACTCGCTGCTCATTGGGGATTCGATCATCGTGAATAGTGATTGCTGGAAACCTGTCTTTCGACTCACAAATCCATCAACCGCTTCTTGATTGTGGAGAATTTGATTGATTCTCCGTCGGAGTGTTCTTTGATTCTCCGTGTGCAATGCTCTTTGATTCACCGAGATGAAGCTCAAGCGGCGGAGGTCTTTGGAAGTGGTCAGTGTTCTGCTCTCTACCAGTGCTGTTGATTTGAGTTGTGAATTGTCTAAAGTTTGATGCTTTACGTGTTTTTCTTTTCCCCCTCTCCGTCTTTGTTACTTTGTCACGCTGCAAGCAGTTGGGTGTTTTGGAAAGATAACTTTCGGTCTCTTAATCCATTGAGTTGTTGTAGCAATTGTTGTGGAGAGAGCTTGAGTCTGTTTTGCTTCTTTGATTAACGATATGCAATTATAATCGGGGAAAAAAGAAACTTCATTCTCATCATGAGGGTGTGTGGCTGTTCTTTGTAAAGTTCACCTTTTGATTTCCACTGGACTACTATGTATCATTGAAAATATGCACCGAGAGGATAAACCCTTATTTGAACTGTTTAATTTTTCGTTTGGAGTGATGTCTGCTGAGCTAGTGTCAGCTTGGTTCCTCGATTCTGTTGCAACTTTTTTGGTTCACCCTATGAGGTTGGTGAAACCAATCTGTGAAGTCCAAAGTTCTGTTCCCGATCATGTTCGGTTTTATCTTCTAATTTCTCATTCTCAATGCAATTACCGAACTTGGGGACGATGCACTGTCTTCCGTTTTTGGTGCTACTGATTTAGACATTTATGGCTTCACTTCATTGGTTTCCTTTCCATTTGGGTAGCATATTATGGGAAGAAACTCCTAACCTTGTAAAGTGTGTGAGTTAATCTCGCGGGGTGATATGTAAAAGTGAGTGGAGGATGTTACCCAGATCATTGCTCTGATATCTTGTTTCACTGATGATCCATGGCAGCCAAATGTCCGACATTTTATGGTTTAAGTGTGGAGCGAATTTTCAAATCTTTCTTTGCCTTGTTAATTTTATGCTGCTTCCCTATCCCGAGTGGCTGAGGAATGAAATTTCATGCGGTATGACCTGATGGCATTTCTGGTTCTCAAAATGGGTTGAACATAGAGTAGCTCTTCTTTTATGTCATTGCTAGACTACTAAATTTGAAGGATACTTAACCACTACCTAACCTGAAGAAACCGCTTTGTGGTTTATAATGGTTGCAAAGCCAGCAATGGTATCAGTGATTTGTGATTTCTCATAAGAAATAATATTGTTTTATTTTCCGAAAGAAGGAGAGTTAGGAGATGAGGTGTGATGTTATCTGATAGAAGAGTTTCTGGCAAGGCTTGTTAGTTACGGACATATGGAAGCAACTAGTTTATAGAAACTCGCATGTACTTGGATATCTTTTGATGGTCCGCCTAAAATTAAGTTGAACAGACAACAGCTGGAAGGACAAATTTTTTCTGTTTTGCGGGAGTTTTGGGCTAATGATTAGGCTTAATGCCCTCTTCTTTGCACGTTTTGTGGGCTTTCAATACCATTTCCATTTCTTTCGCCGTTCTCTTGTGTAAGTATGGTCTTGATACTGCTGATGATGTGGTCTGATATTTTTCCTTTGTTACTGTACAGCCTCCAAAAATTAAATCCTTCATCAATAATGTGACTGCTACTGATCTGGAGAATATCGAAGAGCCTCTTAAGGGCTTTTCTTGGGAGTTTGATAAGGTAGCTTTTTGGTGTGAAGTTTTTTTTTTCTTCTTCTTCTTCTTCTTTTTCTGCAGGCTGTTCGTTTTACATGTATTTACAAATGGAACTTCTTGATGCAGGGTGATTTTCATCATTGGGTTGACCTTTTCAACCACTTCGATTCATTCTTCGATAAACACATAAAACAAAGGATAGAGTTGCAGCTTGGTGACAGCTTTTTGGAATCTGATACCTGTTTTCCACGAGAAGCAGTTCTTCAAATCCTCCGCGTTATCAGAATAATCTTAGAGAATTGCACAAATAAGCACTTTTATAGTTCGTATGAGGTAACTTCTTTCTCTGGCAATGTCTCATGCATTTGCTTATATCAGTTAGGGGTACCAAATTTCGTTTAATTTTCCTAATGGTGTTAAGTGCTCCATAACCATCTTCTTAACTCTTCCTCCCTTTCAATGGCATTGCAGCAGCATCTTTCTGCCCTTCTTGCTTCAACAGATGCAGATGTGGTTGAGGCTTGTCTGCAGACTCTCGCTGCTTTCCTGAAGAAAACCATTGGAAAGTACTCCATTCGGGATGCTTCCTTGAGTTCAAAGCTATTTTCTCTGGCACAAGGCTGGGGTGGAAAGGAGGAGGGTCTAGGTCTGATTGCATGTACTGTTGACAATGGGTGTGATCCTGTAGCATATGAGTTAGGCTGTTCCCTCCATTTTGAGTTCTATGGAGCGAATGAATCACCATGTGAGTCTCAGCAGACAGAAGAATCAATAGGAAGGTTACAAATCATTCATTTACCTAACATCAACACTCTCCCAGATACAGATTTAGAACTTTTGAACAAGTTAGTTGCAGAATATAAAGTGCCTCACCGTTTGAGATTTTCTCTATTGACGCGGTTACGGTATGCGAGGGCTTTTGGATCTTTGGCTTCTCGACAGCAATACTCATGCATTCGTCTATATGCCTTCATAGTTCTCGTTCAAGCAGGTAGTGATGCTGAAGATCTAGTTTCTTTTTTCAACTCTGAACCGGAGTTTGTAAATGAACTAGTTTCCTTGTTGAGCAATGAAGATGCAGTACCTGAGAAAATTCGAATTCTCTCTCTGCTAGCCTTAGTTGCCCTTTCTCAGGATCGCTCCCGGCAGCCTAGTGTCCTGGCAGCTGTCACATCTGGTGGTCACCGTGGCATTCTATCCAGCCTCATGCAGAAAGCTATTGATTCTGTTATGAATCAAACATCAAAATGGTCTGTTGTTTTTGCTGAGGCTTTATTGTCTCTGGTCACCGTGTTGGTCTCATCATCCTCTGGGTGCTCAGCCATGCGTGAAGCAGGTTTCATCCCTACCCTTCTACCTCTCCTCAAGGACACAGATCCACAGCATTTGCATTTAGTTGGGACTGCCGTGCATATTTTAGAGGCTTTCATGGATTACAGTAATCCAGCTGCTGCATTGTTCAGAGAGTTGGGTGGTTTAGATGATACGATTTCTCGGCTTAAGGCAGAAGTCTCGTATATAGAAAATGGTCAGGGGCAACATGGTGAAGATTCTGATTCCAGGGAAAGTAGTTTGCCAATTGTTACAGTTTGCGCTTCATCTGACCTGGAGAGTATGCAGCCCCTATACTCTGAGGCATTGGTTTCTTATCACCGGCGTGTGCTTATGAAAGTACTATTACGTGCTATATCACTGGGAACATATGCTCCAGGAAATACTTCTCGTATGTGTGGATCTGAAGAGAATTTGCTGCCACAGTGCTTGAGCATCATATTTAGAAGAGCCAAGGATTTTGGCGGTGGGGTGTTTTCACTTGCAGCAACAGTTATGAGCGATCTTATTCATAAGGATCCTACCAGTTTCTCTATCTTAGATGCAGCTGGTCTTCCTTCTGCATTTCTGGATTCTATAATGGATGATGTTTTATGCTCTGCTGAAGCCATAATTTGCATACCCCAATGCTTGGATGCATTGTGCCTGAACAACAATGGCCTTCAGGCAGTAAAAGACCGCAATGCTTTGAGGTGCTTTGTCAAGATTTTTACATCCAGAACTTATGTGCGTGCCCTTGCGGGGGATACTCCTGTGTCCTTGTCTAGTGGATTAGATGAACTAATGCGTCATTCTTCTTCTTTGCGTGGACCTGGAGTGGATACGTTGATTGAGATTTTGAGTAACATTGCACGAATCGGTTCTGTGGTGGATGGTTCTTCCTCAGCTGGCTCTTTGCTAGATGCTTCTTCCTCAGCCTCTGAGGTTCCGAGCTGCTCTGTTGCTGTTCCCATGGAAACTGATTCTGAGGTGGCGAGTCCAGTTCTTCATGAAGGCAAGGAAGCTACAATTTCAGAGCAGCAGGCTGCTGATCAGTCCACTGATGCTTCGATAGTGAATATAGAGTCATTCCTACCTGATTGTGTTGCGAATGCAGCTCGTCTTCTTGAAACAATTCTTCAAAATGCTGATACATGTCGTATTTTTGTAGAGAAGAAGGGGATAGATGCAGTCCTTAGTTTATTTACCTTGCCTTTGCTGCCTGTTTCTTCATCTATTGGTCAGAGTATCTCCATTGCTTTCAAGAACTTTTCACCTCAACATTCTGCATCTTTGGCCAGGGCAGTATGCTCATTTTTGAGAGAACTTGTGAAGTCAACTAATGAACTCTTAGATTCAGTTAGAGGAACTGAGCTTGCTGTAGTTGACTCTGCGAAACAATCTAAGATTTTGAAGCACTTCTCAAGCCTTGAGGGTATATTGTCTCTGTCAAATTTCCTGTTGAAAGGTACTGCTAGTGTGGTCTCTGAACTGGGTACTGCAGATGCTGAAGTCTTGAAGGATCTTGGGAGGACATACTGGGAAGTTATTTGGCAAATTTCTGCGTACAATGATGCGAAAGTGGAAGAGAAGAGAATTGAAGAGCCTGAACTGGAGAGTGGAGATGTGTCGTCGTCTAATGCTGTTGGAAGAGAGGGCAATGATGATGCCAATATCCCAGCTGTCAGATATATGAACCCAGTTTCAATCAGGAGCAGTTCTCAGTCCCTCTGGGGTGGAGAACGTGAATTCCTATCAGTTCTTCGCTCTGGTGAAGGCTTACATCGTCGTAGTAGACATGGTTTGACACGAATACGGGGTGGAAGGAGTGGTCGCCACTTGGATGCTTTAACTACGGACTCTGAGGTTTCGTCCAATGTAACTGAGTTGACTTCTCAGGATGTTAAGAAGAAGAGCCCTGATGTGCTTGTTCCGGAGATTCTGGACAAGCTGGCTTCCACACTGCGCTCTTTCTTTACAGCCCTTGTCAAGGGATTCACTTCCCCAAACCGTCGTAGATCTGATGTGGGTTCGTTGAGTGCAGCTTCTAAGACTCTTGGTTCTTCATTGGCCACAATGTTTCTTGAGGCTCTCAAATTTTCAGGTTATTCTACTGCTGTATCAGTGAAGTGTAGATATCTTGGAAAGATTGTGGATGACATGGCAGCACTCACATGTGACACCAGGCGACGTACCTGTTATACTATCATGATAAATAACTTTTATGTCCATGGGACCTTTAAGGAGTTGCTCACTACATTTGCGGCCACCAGCGAATTGTTGTGGACATCTCCATACCCATACTCAACTTCAGGTCCTGATGAAGAGAGCGCAACTCAAGATAGTAAATTGTCCCACTGTGGCTGGCTGCTAGACACATTGCAGAGCTATTGTCGGGTACTGGAGTATTTCGTCAACTCCACTTTGCTTTTATCCTCAAGCTCTTCATCCCAGGCTCAATTACTTGTTCAACCAGGTGCAGTTGGCTTATCTATCGGGCTGTTTCCTGTTCCTCGGGATCCTGAAGCTTTTGTTCGTATGCTGCAATCTCAGGTTCTTGATGTAATACTTCCTGTTTGGAACCACCCTATGTTCCCGAACTGTGGCCCTGCGTTCTCTGCTTCCATCATTTCACTGATAACACATATATACTCTGGTGTTGGTGACATCAAGAGGAGTCGCAGTGGAGTTGCTGGAAGCAATAATCAAAGGTTTATACCTCCACCTCCTGATGAAGCTACTATAGCAACCATTGTTGAGATGGGATTCTCAAGGGCTAGAGCGGAGGAAGCGTTGAGGCGAGTGGAAGCTAATAGTGTTGAAATGGCTATGGAGTGGTTGTTTAGTCATGCTGATGATCCTGTGCAGGATGATGATGAACTGGCTCGTGCGCTTGCTTTATCACTTGGGAGTTCATCAGAGGGATCGAAAAATGACAATGTTGATAAGTCTGCCGATGTGCCGACAGAAGAAGGGTTAATAAAGATGCCTCCTGTCGATGATATCCTTGCTGCATCTGTTAAGTTATTCCAGAGTAATGAGGCAATGGTATTCTCATTTACAGATTTGTTAGTGACCCTCTGCAATAGGAACAAAGGAGAAGACCGTCCCAAGGTGGCATCTTGCCTTTGTGAGCAGTTGAAGCTGTGTCCTTTGGACTTTTCAAAAGATTCCAGTGCATTGCGTATGATATCTCATATCTTAGCATTGCTCCTTCATGAGGATGGAACCATCAGAGAAATCTCAGCACAGAATGGTCTTGTATCTACTATCATTGATATCTTGACAGATTTCAAGTCTAAAAGTTTGGGAGGGTGTGAAATTCTTGCCCCAAAAAGCATCGGAGCATTACTGCTTATCTTGGATTGCATGCTGCAATCTAAGCCTAGAATTCCTCATGGTACCATTGAAGGTAATCCGACAGGACCTACGCCAGACAGTCCACCGTCTGATAAAAAATTGGATTCAGATGTCTCTGAAAAAGAATCTGGTACTGTTTTTGAGAGAGTGTTGGGAAAATCTACTGGATACCTAACCATTGAAGAGAGTCAAAAGGTATTACTAATTGCTTGTGACCTGATGAAGCAGCATGTTCCAGCTGTCATCATGCAGGCTGTACTGCAGTTATGTGCACGTTTGACAAAAAATCATGCTCTGTCGCTGCAATTTCTTGAAAATGGAGGGTTAGCTGCTATTTTCAGTCTACCAAGAAGTTGTTTCTTTCCTGGATATGACACTGTTGCATCTGCAATCGTCCGTCATCTTCTCGAAGATCCTCAAACTTTACAAACCGCCATGGAACTGGAAATCAGACAAGCTTTGAATGGTAGCCGCCATGGTGGCCGAATTTCACCAAGGTCATTTTTGACATCAATGGCTCCTGTTATTTCTAGAGATCCCGTGGTTTTCATGAAAGCTGCAGCTGCAGTTTGTCAGGTAGAGTCTTCTGGGGGACGGACCTTAGTGGTTTTGTCAAAGGAAAAAGACAGGGAAAAGGAGAAGTTGAAAGCATCAGGTGCTGAAGAATCTATACGGATATCTGAAACTAAGATTCATGACAGCCCAGTTAAATCTGTCAAAGGTCAGAAAAAGATTCCTTCCAGTCTGACTCAAGTTATTGATCAGCTTCTTGACATAGTATTGAAGTACCCTTTACCTAAAAGCCGTGATGAAGTTGGGAGTCAATCAATTTCAATGGAAGTTGACGAACCCACCAGCAAGGTGAAGGGAAAGGCCAAGGTTGACGAGACAAGGAAGGTGGAATCAGAAACTGAAAGATCTGCTGCATTGGCGAAGGTGACATTTGTGATCAAGTTGTTGGGTGATATTCTTCTCATGTACATGCATGCAGTTGGGGTCATTCTGAGAAGGGACTCTGAATTTTGTCAACTACGGTCATCCAACCAAGCAGATAACCCTGATCATGGCGGAATAATCCACCATATCTTGCATCGGTTGCTTCCAGTGTCTACTGATAAATCTGCAGGACCCGATGAGTGGAGAGACAAGTTGTCAGAAAAAGCTTCATGGTTCCTGGTAGTTCTTTGTGGCCGATCTAGTGAGGGGCGACGGAGAGTGATTAACGAACTTGTGAAAGCTATATCTTCCTTCTCAAACTTGGAAAGCAATTCAAACAGAAGCGTTTTATTGCCGGACAAAGTTATTTTTGCATTTGCAGATTTGGTTTATTCTGTTTTGTCAAAGAATGCTTCGTCAAGCACCTTACCCGGGTCTGGATGCTCTCCGGATATAGCAAAAAGCATGATAGATGGTGGTATTGTGCACTGTCTAACTGGCATGCTTCAAGTGATTGACCTTGATCATCCTGATGCTCCCAAGGTTGTTAATCTTTTACTTAAATCTTTGGAAAGTCTAACAAGAGCTGCTAATTCCAACTATCAAATTCTTAAAGCTGAGGACCTGAACAAGAAGAAAACTCTAAGTTCAAACGAAAGGCTCGATGTGCAGATGACTAGGCCAGCTGCTGAGATTGAAGGGTCTAATCAGAATACCAGCGACGCCCGGGAAGTTCAAGGTGAGGAAGGGGTCGAAGAACACAACAACCAAGGAACTTCAGAAATAGAAGGTAATGGTAATGTACATGCTGATCAGTCTGGAGAGGAAGACATGAGAATCGAAGTGGAAGAGGCAACTAATCCTTCTCTGGAGATGGGGATGGATTTCATGAATGCAGAAATGGATGGAGATGGAGTTTTGCGCAATGGCGATCAAATAGAAATGACTTTTCATGTTGAGAACAGGGCAGATGATGACATGGGTGATGAGGATGATGACATGGCCGATGAAGGTGAGGATGACGATGATGATGATGCGGAGGACGAGGATGAAGACATTGCTGAAGATGGTGGTGGGATGATGTCTCTGGCTGACACGGATGTGGAAGACCATGATGAGACTGGCTTGGGTGATGATTACAATGATGAGATGATTGATGAAGAGGATGATGATTTTCATGAGAACCGTGTCATAGAGGTGAGGTGGAGGGAAGCCCTTGACGGTTTAGATCGTCTGCAGGTGCTTGGTCAACCTGGTGGTGGTGGAAGTGGTCTGATTGATGTTGCAGCTGAACCTTTTGATGGAGTGAACGTAGATGATCTTTTTGGCCTCCGTAGGCCTTTAGGCTTCGAACGGCGGCGGCAGAGTGGTAGGTCTTCTTTTGAACGATCAGTCTCTCAAGTCAATGGATTTCAACATCCTTTGCTTTTGAGACCATCCCAATCTGGAGATCTTGTGTCAATTTGGTCATCAGGGGGCCATTTATCCAGAGATTTAGAAGCTCTCTCAGCTGGCAGTTTTGATGTTACTCACTTTTATATGTTTGATGCACCAGTACTTCCATATGATCATGTACCCAGCAATCTCTTTGGTAATCGGCTGGGAAGTGCAGCTCCTCCACCTTTGACTGATTATTCTGTTGGAATAGACTCTTCACACCTACAAGGCCGAAGAGGGCCAGGTAATGGACGTTGGACTGATGATGGTCAGCCACAAGCAGGTGCTCAAGCTGCTGTAATTGCACAAGCAGTGGAGGAACAATTCCTGTCCCAGTTGCACAGCATTGCCCCAGCAGGTAGCTCTGCCGAAAGAGAGTCTCAGAGTCTTGAGATGCAGGAGAATCAGCCCCCTACAGAGCCTCGCTCTAATGATGGGCAAATAGTGATGGAAGGTAACAATCCCAGAATTCAGCAATCTGAAGTTCATCATCAAGAAACCTTAAATGGAGTGACTGATCATCAGTCTAATCAAGAAGCAGTTGAAAGCATTCATCCCCAAGAGCAAGTCACTCAGCATACTTCTGTTGAAGATGCAGGTGAGCTTCTACTGGTGCAGGAAGGTATGGTGGATCAATCATCTTCTCTGAGCAGTGCACCTAATGGAGATGAGCAAATGGAGATAGGGGAAGGTGATAACATTACAGGAAATCAAGTAGGGGCAGTACCAGAGCTTGTGAACTCATTAGCACAACATTTTCCTTCTCTTCAACATGAAGGAGGTCAAGACTCACCGTCTCATCTTGAAACTCCTGCTCGTGTTCCGAGTGTGGATTCTGATGGTTTGTCTAGGGCAGATGGCCAGTCTCATGACCAGGTTCTTTCTGGTCCTATTTCTGGGAGATCAGATGCGGATAATACTTGTGATGATGTTGATATGAATGGTGTTGATGCTGGTGGAAGTCTATCTGAGCAATCTCCCCCTGTCGCGGGACAAGTAACAGCTGTTGCTCCAGATGCTAATCAAACGGATCAGAATAGTGTAAATGGCGAGGGTTCTGCTGCAAATGCTATTGACCCAACCTTCTTGGAGGCACTGCCAGAAGATTTGCGGGCAGAAGTTCTTGCTTCTCAGCAAGCTCAATCTGTGCAGCCTCCAGCTTATGCACCACCTTCAGTTGATGATATTGATCCCGAGTTTTTGGCGGCTCTTCCTCCAGATATTCAGGCAGAAGTTCTTGCACAACAAAGAGCACAAAGGATTGCACAACAAGCTGAAGGGCAGCCGGTGGACATGGATAACGCTTCAATAATTGCTACTTTTCCCGCCGAATTACGTGAAGAGGTATCCTATCCAGAAAGCTTTTCCCGCCTTTTCCCCACTGTACGTTTACAGATTCTTTTTTCTGCTCCAGGTACTTTTGACCTCTTCAGAAGCAGTATTATCAGCACTGCCTTCTCCGTTGCTTGCTGAAGCCCAAATGCTAAGAGACAGGGCAATGAGTCACTATCAGGCAAGGAGCCTGTTTGGTAGCAGCCACAGGCTTAGTGGTCGAAGAAATGGCTTAGGGTTTGACAGGCAGACTGTGATGGATAGAGGTGTTGGAGTTTCAATAGGTCGGAGAGCAACATCTGCAGTTGTAGATGGCATGAGAGTGAAGGAAATTGAGGGCGAGCCTTTGCTGGATGCAAATGCGCTGAGGGCTTTGATCCGCCTCTTAAGATTGGCACAGGTCTGTCGTTACCTGTAAACTGTTTGGAAAATCTAACTGCTAAGGCATTTGAAATGTTTGATTTGCATTTTTCCTGTTGTAATTTCTGTTGCATTCATGGGAGGGTGGTGCACTAGGGAATGCACATCATAGGTTGTCTGAAAGAATCAGTTTAACTGCACGAGGATATCTGTTTCTATGGTTTTTATGTTTCAAGGACTTTCGATTCAGTTTAACCTGTCCACCCTTGTGTTGAAGCCCCTGTGCCTACTTACTTCTGTTAATGGAAAGCATTCTCCTATTTCTGTAGAATGGGAGGCATATTGTATCTATTACCTTTAACACTCATATTTGCTGGTGATGGAATTTTTGGTTGCTTGTTATTCTAACTACATGCTATTTATTTATATGCATCCTGAAGTTACTATTATCTCCTAAGTCCTAACTTGATGATTTTTGTTCTTATGTTGGTTAGCCCCTGGGGAAAGGACTTCTACAGAGACTATTGTTAAACCTTTGTGCACATAGTTCTACAAGGGCAACTCTAGTTCGCCTTTTGGTTGACATGATTAAACCTGAAGCATATGGATCATTCAGTGGATTAGCAATGCTGAACTCGCAGAGGCTTTATGGCTGCCATTCAAATGTGGTTTATGGCCGATCACAGTTGTTGGATGGTATTTTACAATATTTCTCGTTTAGGTTCTAATAATAGTAATGATGAATTTTTTTCGCCATACAATCTGTTGGTTTGATTTTGTTTTTCGACAGGTTTGCCTCCCTTGGTGTTGTTTCGCATTCTTGAGATTTTGACATATTTGGCAACAAACCACTCATCGATTGCCAATATGTTATTTCACTTGGACCCTTCTGTCTTGCCGGTGGAGTATCTTACAAATGGTTTGCAATATAAGACGGACAAAGGTAAAGGGAAACTTGAGGATGGCAGTGCGTTGTACAATCCTTGTGGAGATACAGATGATGTTCCATTGATTCTGTTCTTAAAGCTATTAGATCGACCACTGTTTTTCCGCAGCACTGCACACCTTGAGCAGGTATGAGTGATCACTTGTTGACTTTATGAATTGTCTCTTTCCGTGTGTTTGTGTTGGAGAAAGAATGCATGAATTTTTTTTGGCTTAAATGCTAAAACAAACTCTTTTCCGATCAACTTGGTAAAAAAATATTCACTCTAAATCCCAATAATTATTTAAATCTAAAAGCCACCTCACTAATAAAATTTCAAATTCCCAACTTTGCCCTCTTGAAATATATATATATATATATATTTTTTTTTTTTTGACACAGGTTATGGGCTTACTTCAAGTGGTGGTTTACACAGCAGTATCAAATATAGAATCCTGTAAGCTAACTAGTGGGGAAGTCAGTGGTGATGCTCAGACAGATCCTCTGGCGGAACCCGAATCTACTCAGGGAGATAAAGCGGTCCCTGCTGCTGAGTTATCGAATTCCAAAAGAAATAAGAGCACTGATACAGTCGGTGTTCTCATGCGGTTGCCTAGATCTGATCTGCGGAATATGAGTAACCTTCTTGGTCGCGAGGGGTGGGTTTCTTTCTTACTGGCTAGTTTTCTGTTTTTGAATGATTCTATAATGTAATCTGTAACATATTCCCTGTTATCTACTCCAGGCTGTCAGATAAGGTGTACATGCTTTCGGGAGAAGTACTGAAGAAGCTGGCGTCGGTTGCTTACCCTCTTCGCAAGTTCTTTACCTCAGAGCTTTCAGATTTAGCACATGGTCTGAGTAGTTCAGCTGTTAGTGAGCTTGTTACTCTGAGGAAGACTCACATGCTAGGGCTTAGTTCTGGGTCTATGGCTGGAGCAGCAATATTACGTGTCCTCCAGGTGCTTAGCTCACTCACCTCACCTAGTGCTCCAGCAGCTGAGAGTGTAGGTGGGGAGCAGGAGGAGCATGCATCTATGTGGAACTTAAACATTGCACTCGGGCCATTATGGCATGAATTGAGTGAATGTATCAGTGTGACAGAAATGCACTTAGGCCAGGGCACATTGAACCAGACTCTTTCTAGCAGTGCCACTTTGGGGGATCATGTACAGGGGAGTGTCTCTACATCGTCTCCTCTTCCTCCTGGAACCCAGAGACTCCTGCCTTTCATAGAAGCATTCCTTGTTTTGTGTGAAAAGCTTCAAGCAGAAATTAATGTTTCTTCTGTGCAGCAAGATCATCATGCTGATGACACAACAGCAGGTGAAGTCAAAGAGTCAGGGGCAGGGGATGCACATAGAAAGCTCGATGGTTCAGTTACATTTGCTCGGTTTGCTGAGAAGCATCGTAGACTTCTAAATGCATTTATTAGACAGAATCCTGGGTTACTGGAGAAGTCACTTGCTATGATGCTGAAGGCACCAAGATTAATAGATTTTGACAACAAAAAGTCGTATTTTCGGTCAAGGATACGACAACAACATGAGCAACACCTGTCTGGTCCACTGCGGATCAGTGTCCGAAGGGCATATGTGTTGGAGGATTCTTACAATCAGCTGAGGATGCGGCCAACTCAGGATCTCAGGGGACGATTGAACGTGCAGTTCCAAGGGGAAGAGGGCATTGATGCCGGAGGTCTGACTAGAGAATGGTATCAAATATTGTCGAGAGTTATTTTTGATAAGGGGGCATTGCTTTTCACCACTGTGGGAAACAATGTCACATTCCAGCCAAATCCAAATTCTGTGTATCAAACTGAGCATCTTTCCTATTTCAGATTCGTTGGCCGTGTGGTAATTAATCCCTTAAAAACTTTTTATGCTCAAATTTTACTATATGGCACTGGCTTGCTGAGAAGTGTACATCTACTGTTTGATACAGGTTGCAAAAGCATTGTTTGATGGCCAGCTCTTGGATGTATATTTCACCCGGTCTTTCTATAAGCACATTCTAGGTGTAAAGGTGACTTACCATGATATAGAGGCTGTGGATCCTGATTATTACAAGAATCTAAAGTGGATGCTAGAGGTATGTGGAGTAATTTTGCTCCATTTTCCTTGTTCTATGAAACTTTTGAAAGTTAAGTTTCATTCAGGTAGCAACTTGGCATGACAAATTTCCCCACTTGTCTCTCTCAGAATGATGTAAGTGATATACCGGACCTGACATTCAGCATGGATCCTGATGAGGAGAAACACATCCTTTATGAGAAAAACGAGGTTGGCATAGTATGCGGAAACATATTGAAATATTCCTTCCGTGGCCCTTAGTGCCGGCGACAGTTCCCGTCATATTGTGGAATTCCTCTTCCCCCTTAGCCTTGGCGATATACTAAGTTCTTGTTGTTGTTTTTTTTTTTCTTTTGTATTGGAAGGTTACTGATTACGAGCTTAAACCTGGAGGGAGGAATATAAGAGTAACCGAAGAGACGAAGCATGAGTACGTGGACCTTGTTGCGGACCATATATTGACAAATGCCATGCGGCCTCAGATAAACTCCTTCCTGGATGGTTTCAATGAACTCATTCCTCGGGAATTGATCTCAATTTTTAATGACAAGGAGCTTGAGCTACTGATCAGTGGACTTCCTGAAATTGAATGTGAGTCTGACTTTCTTTCTCTATGCATATACTCTGACTCTGAGCTCCAAACGACTGCACATCTTGTTGTTTGCCTTTTTTTTTTCTATGATCAACTTAGTAATGATTATTCAAAAAAAAAAAAAGATCAACTTAGTAATGCTATTCTGTTGCAGTGGAAGATCTGAAGGTCAATACAGAGTATACTGGATATAGTGGTGGTTCCAGTGTTGTTCAGTGGTTCTGGGAAGTAGTTCAAGCTTTCAGCAAAGAAGACATGGCTAGACTGCTACAATTCGTCACGGGAACATCAAAGGTAATGTTCGTGAATCTGCAGGTGATGGTTTTCCCCTTTGAAATCTCGAAGCGTGATTTGGATAACTAAAATGGCCATGAATGGGTTTTCTGCCCAGGTTCCACTGGAAGGTTTCAAGGCGTTGCAGGGCATCTCTGGTCCTCAAAGGTTCCAGATACACAAAGCATATGGAGCTCCTGAACGCTTGCCTTCAGCTCACACATGGTTCGTATTCAATATGCCAGTGCTTCTTGATCTGTCTCATCCCCCATTTTTTTGGCACCCAAGTCTAACATATTTTTCGGGATTCTCCAGTTTCAATCAACTAGATCTTCCGGAGTATACATCAAAAGAACAGCTTCGAGAGCGGTTGCTGCTCGCCATTCACGAGGCCAATGAAGGTTTTGGCTTTGGTTAGCCATGCCAGGGGGTTGGTGGGGTTGGCTTCAAACACCACCAAAGATCCAATGCAGGCGGCCAGCCCTCAGCATTTTGTGATGTACATGTTAGTTCTTCCCGCGTTCTTTGTTTACTCTGACCCCTTTGTGGTGCGTTAAAAGACTGAAATGTTACTGCTGAGTGCTGACGAATTGGGTATTATGTGGTGCAGATGGATGATGAAGGGGATGATTCATTTGGGTCTGGATTAATTAGGAGTTTAGGGAGTTAGCTAGCCGTATAAAAAGGCGGTCACCGGTGCAGCGGTGGCTGCTGGGTCGATGCTGGTGAATGCGCTTTGAGGAAGAAACAGGGGATTATGTCTTTCAAGTTACTTTGGCCATTTGCTGTTACAAAGGGGATGGAAAGAAATGTACAAATGGTTTTGTTTGGTTTGGAAGGGGAATAATGTGAGGGCGTTTCTTCCACCAAGGCCTAAGCCAGTTTATGTAGATAACTATTTGGATCTACCTTTTTGGTTGTTTATATCAGTTATTATCATTAAACATTGTTAGTTTCTGCTGGCTCTATTTCTCTCTGTTGGAACGAGTTAGGCACAGTTGTGAAAGAAAGTTAAAAAGGTTGACAAGGGTATGAAATCGAAGCACGAAATTTGGAAATTGGGTAGAATATGACATCTTGATCAAATCCTTGCACTGGCATCCGGCGCCATCCTCTCCGTTGGTCACAAACTTGCTCTGGTGAAGCTCCCTGTCGCCGGTGGTAACTGCAAATCAAACATCATCTGGATATCCATATTTTTGGTCTGACGCTAAGTTGAATATGAGAATTTCAAAACGGTAGAGAGTCGGTCACAAAAATCGAACCCATTACATCGATTAGGAAACAATAGTTATTTGTAGACACACTATTGTTACTCTTTTTTTAAAATATTATCTTCTTCTAAATATGGACTATAAAGAGAATAGGAAGACTAATTTGGAGATGAGCAAATTCTTCTCACATTCTTGTCCTCCCAACTTGCTCATTTCAATTGTAGTTATTACTTTTGTGTATGAGGTTAACATTTAGGATGAGTGTTTAGACATATGATCTGAATGAAAGGAACAAATCACATATGTCGTTTTTCTACTCAAAAATTTGTGTCTGCAGCTTCAAAATCTCGATAATTAGATAATCACGCAAATGATTTGAAAGAGATTTTGATTAGACTCCATGATATCTCAAAAGGAATCATTGTGGCTTAACGTCTTGTTTGACAAGCAAAAAAGCAAACATAAACATTTTGTGTCTTTTGGTCACATAGTCTGGTAAATTCTGAGAAGTGCTCAAGAATGAAATGCAACAGCTGGACGCGGTGCTGCTTTCCCTCGCCAGTCGCAAGTAGTAGGAAACTAGGAAACTCCTTTCTCCATCACTCTCCAGTCGCACCGTAAAATCTCTCACCCGCCCGCCTGCCCGCCGCCGCCGCCGCCATCAGAGCCCCTCCACTCAGCCGTCTGCCTCAACCCTAGCTGCCTTCACCTTCGCCCAAAATCTCAATCTCCATTTGCTTCACTCTGCTGCCACTCCTCCGCCTTCCCAGCACCAATTACAGTTCTTCGAGCTCTGGTAATTTTCCGATTGGCATGGCTGCAACAAGACTAGAACTCAAAAAGTCACCATACGAACTCTCCGGCGATGCCTTGTCCTCGTTTAACTTCTTACGCGGCCCAAACCAAAAGAGTCTTTCGAGTTCCCGGCAAAGTTTCGAACTTCAGACTGTTTTGCCATACGGGATTCTCCGACTCTGCAAAACGAAGTTCCAAATATGATAGCAGCAAGCGGACGAATTTTTCATGCTCATCAACACCAGGTAGAATCTCCTTGCTGTGTAAATGTCCCTTCAGCATTGTGGAATTGCCGCTTTTAGGTTCTTTTCCCCCTGTCCTTCTTTAAGGCGATTCCTAGCTTTGTGAAGGTTGGATTTTTATATAATTTTGGTTGGTTCTCCAGGTGTGGACATGGAGAAGAGCGTTTACCAGTTGCTGACAATAGACCGTTGGCAGTCCCTGAATCACATGGAATACAAACTAGCTTCACTCAGGCCAGTTCATGGGAGGTTAGCTTTAAAATTTCTCAACTGGGTTACAAAGCAGCCAGGTTTGGAGCTCCATCACCTCACTCACTTGTTTGCCATCACGGTTCACATTCTTGTTCGAGCTCGAATGTATGAACCTGCCAAATTGATATTGACTCATCTCTCCCGTATGAGTGCTTGTTCAAGTTCGGTTTTCAGTGCAATAATGAACACCTACCCTGTTTGCAAGTCTAATCCTTCAGTTTTTGACCTTCTAATGAAGGTCTACTTGAAAGAAGGGAATGTTGACGGTGCTTTGGAGACTTTTTACTTGATGGGTTATCGAGGCTTTGACCCTTCTGTTCGTACATGTAATTTGGTGCTTACTTCCATGGTGAAAGGCTGTAGAGTTGAGTCAGTGTGGTTGTTTTTTAAACGGATGCTTGCAAGGAAGATTTGTCCTGATGTTTCCACGTTTAATATATTGCTTCATTTGTTGGGGGTACAAGGAAAGCTTAACAAAGCTAGGCACCTTTTGAGGAAGATGGAAGAGAGTGGTTATGTTCCAAATGTAGTTACTTATAACACTATGCTCAACTGGTGTTGCAAGAAAGGGAGGTACAAAGTTGCTTTTGGATTGATTGATCAAATGGCATCGAAAGGCATTGCAGCTGATGTGTTCACATATAACATGCTTATCGATGATTTGTGTAGAAACAATAAGAGTTCTAGAGGTTACTTGCTGTTGAGAAACATGAGGAATAGGAAGATTTCTCCCAGTGAAGTTACTTATAACACTCTGATTAACGGGTTTGTGAAAGAAAGGAAGATAGGTATCGCCACTCGAATTTTCAATGAGATGGAAATGCTCAGTCTTTCTCCAAATGCTCGTTCTTACAATTGTTTGATTGAGGGCCACTGTGACCAGGGTGATTTTGAAGAAGCTTTCAGAATTTTTAAATTGATGGAAGCAGCAGGGTTAAGACCAAATGAAGTTAGCTATGCGACTCTCTTACAGGGTTTGTGCGCACATAACAAATTGCACTTGGCCAGAAACCTTCTTGAGAACATGAGGATCAACGATACGGCTGGTTGTATAGCATACACAACAATGATCCATGGGTTATGCCAAAATGGGTTGCTTGATGAAGCTGTGCAGTTGCTTAATAATATGGCCGCAGATGGTGCAAGTCCTGATGTCATTACATTTTCTGCACTCATAAATGGATTCTGCAGAGTTGGAAAGCTAAAAGCTGCAAAGGAAGTAGCATGTCGAATGTACAAAGCTGGACTCCAACCAAACAGTATAATATATAGCACTTTAATCTACAATCAGTGCAGGGCAGGAAATATTACTGAAGCATTTAAGTTATATGCAGCAATGAATTATGATGGGCATGATGCCAGCTCTTTCATTTGTAATACATTAGTATCTTCTCTTTCCAAAGGTGGAATGATACAGGAAGCAAAGGAGTTTATGCATCATATGTCAAGAGTTGATGTTGTTCCAAACTCCATTACTTTTGACTCTATTATCAACGGGTTTGCTAGATTAAGTGATCCTTTGGCAGCCTTCTTGGTATTTGATGAAATGATTCATTCTGGTCACCAGCCCTCTTGTTTTACATACAGTAGCCTGCTTAAGGGACTGTGCAAGGCTGGAAACTTAGGAGAGGCCAGGAAATTATTGGAGAAACTGTATCACATCCCATTTGCTGTCGATACTATCACTTGTAACACTATACTTGCTGAGACCTGCAGAGTAGGAGACATGTCAGGTGCATTGACCCTCTTAAATGAAATGCTGCAGCACAATGTTCTACCTGATGAGTATGCGTTCACCACGATTCTTACTGGGTTGAGTAGGAAAGGTAAAATGGTTGCTGCTCTTGTTTTCTATGGGAAGATGATAGAAAAGGGATTCATGTCATCTACTCAAGTCATCTATACCTGTCTGATCGATGGACTGTTCAAGGTTGGTCAATCAAAGGCAGCTTTGTACTTGTGTGAGGAGATGGAAATGAAAGTCCGAAACATTGATATCGTTGCAATAAATGCAGTTATAAATGGATGCTCAAGGATGGGTAAAACAGCACAAGTGGATGATCTCTTTACTGGGTTATTATTGAGCAGTAGCTTTCCCCCTACCTTGGTTACTTATAACATTGTGCTGCATGGTTATTCAAAACAAAAGGATATATCCAGATGCTCAGATGTTTACAAAATAATGCAGAGGAGAGGTGTTTTGCCTGACAAATTAACCTGTCATTCTCTTCTTCTAGGTCTTTGTACGGCTGGCATGTTGGATGTTGGTGTTAAAATGCTGAAAAAGATGATGGTAGAAAATAGTGATTTGGTTGACTGGCACACATTTAGCATGATTATATCTTCATGCTGTGAAATGGGTAGAATGGCAAAGGCTTTTGATCTGTTGGATACAATGCATTTGGCTGGATTTTCTCCTGATGTCAACACCGTTGATGCCATTATTTCTGGGCTGACCAGAACTCATGCTCTTCAGGAATCTCGTCTACTTTTGCATGATGTATTAGAGAATGGTATCATTCCAAAATGCAGACAATATAGTACCCTAATCAAGCAAATGTGCAGAATGGGGAATATTCAGGGAGCGTTCAGGGTGAAAGATGAAATGGAAGAATTTGGGGTTAGTTCCCTGGATGTTGCTGAGAGTGCTATGGTAAGAGGGCTGGCAAAGTCTGGGAAGGTTGAAGAAGCAATACTGCTTCTTGATTACATGCTTCGAAGGCGACTTGTTCCAACAATGGCGACTTTCACAACCCTGATGCACGAGCTCTTCAAGAAAGGCAATGTTGCAGAGGCCATCAAACTGAGGAGCAAAATGGAGCACTCTGGTGTGAGACTTGATGTGGTAGTTTATAATGTTCTGGTGTCAGGCCTTTGTGGGGATGGCGACGTTGCAGGTGCATTTAAGCTATTTGAAGAGATGAAACAAAGGAAGCTGTTGCCTAATATGACCACCTATGACGTTCTCATTAAGGCCATGATGACCAGTGAAGAGATTGATCCTATCAGCTGTGAGTTGCTTTTGAGGGATTTACAGGAGAGAGGGGTAGTATGTGGGGATTGGAGTGGAACAGAGATGCAAAAGGGGCTGATTATAGCCATGAAAAAGTTAAAGTCATTGAGACACCAAAGGAGGAAAATGTGATGCCATTTACCCGTCTAGCACTTATCAGCATGGCAAATTTGGTGTTTGTTATAGGTTGCAAAGGCGTTGCTTGATGGGGAACTCATGGATATATAATGGCTACCTACAATAACATAGTGGTTCCTAGTCTTGATTATGACAGACTTTTTGAAGTGGAATGCTAGAGCTCTGGGAAATTTTTCCTGCCTTGCTCCCCAAATTGTGGTTCAAGAACTCTGGACTGGGTGAAGTTCTTAAAGTTGATATGCAGATTTCCCCGCTGTCTTTCAGAAGTACGTACACTTCCGTTGTTAGAGAAACAGGAGGTACATACTGTCCATATGTTGAAAGCTTATTTTTTAGCCAATGAGTGTTTCCATTGAACTTTGTTGTGAAGAAATGGTTGCTCCAGAAGTTGATGTAAAGCTCCTTGAAGAACTGGAAGGAATAGGTTTCCCAAAGGCACGGGCAACCAGGGCACTTCATTTTTCTGGTGAGGACATTGCAAACCATATATCCATTTCATTGAGTTACCGGACATGCATTTTGTTGTCATTTTGAAAAGGGAATAATCGTACTATAGTTCTTACTAGGCATCTGTAACTTCTTTTATGCATTCTGTTACTATGAAATGTGTATATTGAAGGATGTTCTGGGCCCTTAACCAGAAAATAAAAGAAATTGAGGCTGGCACATAGCATTCAGTAGACTGGCTTCCAAATCATGAAATACAGTTTGTCTATAGACAGTGAGAAAAAAGGTTCAGACATATACTTGGATTGTTGTATACGATAACTGGAGATGATAAATCTTTGGTTTGCGCTTGGCACACTTGATTGTTCTTTCTTGGGTCCTTCTCAGCAATGCTTTTTTCCTACAAAAGCATTGATACCTTAATGAAATTCAATCGGACAGCTTCTTCGGCTGCTAAAATGTTATGCCAGTCTTGAAGCTGCTGTGAATTGGGTAGTTGAGTATGAGAAAGACCCAGATGTAGATGAAATGCCCCTGGTAGGAAATTGTTTGTCTTTCTCTCATAATCAAATATGACATTCCTCCATTATTGTTTCATCTCTGCCCTTCTCTTCTTATTGCTCTCTCGCTGTCGGAGCTTCACGTCATTGTACATGTAAGAAATCCTATCCTGATTGAACAATCTTGCCCCATTGTCCTCAGGTACCAGCCAACACCAAAGTTGAGGCTCCAAAGCCTCTTACACGATAAGAAGCGAGACAAAAAGCAGGTGAACTGAGGTAAGATTTTGTGAGCCTGAAATCAGGACCTTTGTGGCAGTATCTTGTCCAGTTCAGTCCTTCGTTTCTGTGGTCATTTCTCCTTTTGGATTGAATCACTTCTCATGGTTTATATATGTTTCTTCTTCACAATCTTAAGGGAGCGTGCCCGTAAGTAGAAAGAGGATGAAGGAAGGAGAATGGAAAGAGAAAGAGAAAGAGAGAAGGTATGGCTGGATTGTCCTAAGAATCATCTCTTATGTCTGTTCAAATTTCCGAGTTGGCGAGGAGCTCCTGGAGGCCAAACGAATTGAAGAAGATAATTAAAGAAAACGGTAGCTTCTTGCATTCTGGTTTCCTGTTCATTCATTGGTCTCTTAGTGTAGTAATTAGTATGCTTCTTTCCCTTTGCTCGACTGCTTTTTATTTGATTCTTATTGTCATCTTGGTTGGTAAGGTAACCACCTAGACTGTGTGCAACTTCCTTCTTACTTTGTCACCTTCATTGTTTTTCCTTGCACAGGCTGAAAGAAGGAAGGAAGCTTGGGTTGTCCCCAGAGGATCTCTTAAGCAAGCTCATAAAGTAAAATTACATCATGCTACCCATACTCCATCTTATTTACAAAATTGTCACTGCATTCATTTAATACGATCGAACGACTAAAGTCTTGTAAATACCTATTTACAAACTGTAATTACGGTAAAAGTTAATATTTTGTTTGCGAATGTGATTGTTGTTTGCATGATCCCACGAATCGGAATAATGGGGAAAAAGAAAAAGGAGAAAAACAAACTTTTTGTTTTTTTTTTTTTAAATTTATCGAAAACGCCAAAAGGGAGAGTGACCCTACAAAAGCAAAAGTGCCAGCAAGGCAGTGCCTCCGTGTACACCAACTACTTCTCTCTCTTCTCAAGAAAGAGGATCACACCGTTTGCCAGCAGCTCACTCCTCCGTCCCGTTTTCCTGCCACCACGTCATCGCTGACGCCGACGACGGACGGCGACCTGGCTGACCTTTCCCACCTCTCCGTTACCGTCAAATTTGTGCGTTTTGAAGAGATGCCGAAACACGGCGACGGCGAGGCCCAATTGGCAATACCCGGCCCAATTCTTCTTCTCTCTCTCTCTCTCAAGAGGAAACTCTTTTCGCTTCCTCCATTTTCTCTCCCTCTTCCTTTCTTTTCTTCTCCTTTTCCTCCCTCTGTCTCTCTCTCTCTCTCATAAGTCTCCTCTTCCAGCTGCTTGCTCAAAGGTTTCTCGCACTAGAATTCATGTCGGTATGTTAGCTCCCTCTCCTTCTCTTTCTCGGTCTTCGTTTTTTTCTTCTTCTTCTGGCTGGAATACTACCCTACGAGCGCCGTAAAGTTCGTTACTTTTTTTTTTAAACCCCTTTTGAGCTTTCTCCTTCATAGCTTACGATTTCTGATTGATTCGAACTAGATTTTTATTTTTACGCTATTTTGGCATCTGCTGCTGTTGTGCTATGAAAGGGTTTCTATTGGGTTTTGCCATTTAGCTGCTGAATAATTATGTGGATTCGATCCTCGGGGGTCGCTTTTCCTTTGTTCTTCGGTTCTGGGTGCTGTGCTGCTGATCAGTTTTGTTTACTTGAATTTTGGGAATCTTCGTATTTTCCCCTTTGTTTCGATCTTTTTTATTTGCTTGTTTTATAAAAGGGAGAGAGAACGAACAGCCATCTGATTCGATTTGGAATTGGGAAGTACTGGGGCTTCAGCTTTCAGCTACTTTTTTTTTTCTTGGGTTATGCATTTGGATGCTTCTTTGGCTGCAAATTTCGTCTTCTCCCTCTCCGAGCCTTGGCTCAAGGGCTGTGGAAGTTGCTACTTTCTGTAGCTTGCGAGGTGGGGCAGGAACTGTTCTGTTTGTTTGTTTGTTTGTTTAGCCTTCCTTGCTAGACTTGGAGCACAAAAATGTTTGGTGTTGAGAAATTAAGGATTGTGGAGTGGGAAATGGAAAAGCACGAGAGGGAGATGAACTTGCTGTTTCGCTAATACATAGTGAATCAATCTGAAGGTTGGTTAATCGAGTTAAGCTGGTGTAGGTTGAGGATGAATCCTTCTTTAGTTCAGTTACCATGAACCTTTTGTTATTTAGAACTTCATGATACGTGGAACTTCTCGATGCTTTTAGTCATCTACTTGATGTGGTTTTGGGTAAGTTTCTATCTTGTTTGATAGAAATTCATATGGACCCAGAAGGTCAATCGCTTTGGCAAGCGGAATAAAAACCATGTCACATTGTGCTTGTGCTTCATTACATTGTTTGGATGCTTCCGTACATTCAGAAATTTTATGAGTCTTTTGGTGGTAGTTGCTTAAAATTGTCTGTCTTTTTAACAGGACGGAGGTAGGCCATTGCCGAAATTTGGGGAATGGGATGTTAATGATCCTGCTTCAGCAGAAGGATTTACTGTGATCTTTAACAAGGCCAGGGATGAGAAGAAAACCGGTGGCAAACCAGAGTCGCCAGGAAAGGGCGATTCTCATACTAAGGCTCCAATGGAGCATGGAAAGCCTCCTGCTGTAAGTTGTTTGATCCCCACCCCCCTCCCCCGGTCCCATGCTTATCCCCTATAGTTTGATGCTAGCATTGCATACTACTAGCACTATAGTACTTTCACGCATAGCCAATATCTATGTAGTTGAAAGAGGTGTATCTTCGTAGGATGTGTGGTCTTTTGTTATAATCAAGGGTAGAATCTATTGTCAAAGTGTATAGATAAACATTTAATATCTGCACATAGTACTGTAGCACCCTGCCAAGTATGCTTCTAGTAGAGATGACAATTTCGACATGCTTCAATCTGTCCCGGGGAGCAACATGAGGTGGGGCAGGGCCTTACTCCATGCCTCATCCCAACCTGTTTCTGCCTCGCTCTATCTCAAGTCTCAACACTATAATATTTATTCAATTTTATTCTACTTTCACTTAAGTTCAAATACTTTGGTGCATTGTTCATGTCATTATGTTCATTTAGAAAGTGTTCTCCCTTTGTGTTTACATTTAGAATTGGAGATGTTGTACTCTGATCACTTGTTAGAGTGGGTCGTCCTGCCCTGACATGTGTCCTAATTTGTTACCGTGGGACAGGTATATGGGGATTGAGTTACTACAACCCCATTGTTATTCCTGGTTCTAAGAATATCCCAAACGAACGCTTTCAAACTTTCTGGGTGCATCATTAATGTTTCCTTCCAGTGATCGTCTTGTCTAATACTTGTGTGGTCCTGTTGTTATTTTCAGAAAAAATGGTTCTGCTGCATCCAAAGTTCAGCAGCAGAAGCTTGACAAATTTCTTGGCTGCAGAAGAAGCTGCTGTTTCATGTAACTGTTATGTCATCCCACCATAAAAGTGTTTTCTTCAAGAAGATGATAGGGGAGCTGTAGAGCGGGTCATGAATCCTCGTGGAGTTCGTTGTTCTTTTTTCTTTCTTTTGGGTGTTGTGAAAACTGCGGATTTTGGTGGAGGCAAAAAGGAAAATATGATTTGAAATACCAAGGTCATTTGTATCTTGTAAAGATGCAGTTTATATATATGGTCATCCAATCTGTTCTCTCCCATTTTCTCATGTTGCGAGCTTGTAGAGAGCTTTTGTGATATCTGCCCCTCTGAATTCGTTCTACTGTACTGGTCAATTGGTTTCTTTCGCAATATATAACCTCATTCTTTCCAGGTTTCACTTTTAGCATCACCTGAACAGTGTGGACTTGTTCAAATTCAAGCAGATTTCTATCCAAGTAGTATTATAACGGTCAAACCTGCCAGAACAAGTTTCATAATATTTGTCTATCACATCAGCCTAGTTAGTGACTACTTGTATTTTGGCTCGAAAGCCTGCACAGTGCTGGTGAAAAAACTGATGGGACTTGGTCTCAGTAAGAGGTGAAGCAATTTTGAAGTTATTTCCAGTATAACTTAAGATTGTGATCAAATGATTCTAGTATACAAAGTTTTGTTCTTCTCGCTAAGCAATGCAACAGAGAGTCCAACAACATGATGAGTAACTAGAGCACATTTCGAAGTGTACATCATGTCGGCAGTCATCTAGAGTCTAGACCCTAGAGACGCCCAGCTTTCGTTCAAAGAGGCGGCGGAGAAGGTAAACTTGAAGAATACTGACTCCGACGAGAGCGGCTGACTCAAAAAACGCCTTATGAACAGCCCTTCGCCCCATTGCATCATTTACTGCGTCCAAAATTGAATCAATTATTCAATTTAGAAACGGTCAAGATACCGGTACAAGAGTTGTTGAAAGCCTAGTGAGAATCCAATTCAAATGCAAATGGACGAGCAGTCTTTTGAGCTCTCAAGAACATTTCCATCCTTGCAGTGGACGGTTAACCAGCAACTTCATAAGCGGTCCACACAGATACATCAGCAATTTTAACAATTACTTCAATCAACAATTTTCAGGCTATCTATATCCTGGGAATTCATTCGACAACGCCAGATCAGACTATCCAAAACAGTTCAAACTCTAAGGTAGAGAAAGAGTCCAGAGTTATTCTTACTTAAAGCTTGGCGTTCAGTCTGTGCCTCCAGCCAATGCTGCTCGAATTGGATGTTGTACAGCGCATCCTCCAACCTCGATATCTCATGTATCAGAGGCTTCAAATGCTCTAGAAATTCAAAATGCCAGGAATGAGAATCTTCACCCCACCATACTTGACACAAAAGATAAAACACAAGGGGGAGAAAGATGCCTTACCATCCTTTGCATGCTCCTCATAGTACGAGAAGTGGGCTACATGAATATCAAAGTCTATCGTCTCATGGTAGGGAGACTTATTTGTGAAGCAAAAACGATAGACTCCTTTTTGACGAGCCACAAACTCGTGCTTATCGCTGATTTTGTCACGAAAATCATGCATCTGCTCACCGTTAGGCCCCTTGATCTGTGACAATATGACAAAATAGGGGTTACAGCTTCAACTGCAAACTAAGAGCTGTATCGAAAAAAGAATACAACTACTAATGGCTGCTTCATCATGTATTGACCACTTTTGAGAATCGGAAAATCTAGTTCCTCTGTATAGAGAAGCAAATGCCAAAGCAGAATCTAAAGAGGGGGAACAAGGCATCAGGTTATAATGCACCAAATAACAAGCGAAATCGTGTCCTTAAACAACAGGATCACATATCCTGTATCCCAGACATCAAGTAAAGCACGAGGAGAAGCGAGAGCAAACAGAGCAAAGCACATATCACAGAAGGCACCAAAGTCTCTCGTATGTAGATTCATGAACTACATACGCGTTTGGCACGAAAAGAGCTCAAATCATTCTTCTTCACTGTAAATATGCCACAACCAACAGGAAAAAAAGATGGCACCCATTCAATAGGAACAATTCAAACATCCATACAGATACAATCTAATGCATTAGCAGAACTCATGCTTTATAGATAAACGAACAAGCAAAGCAATGCACAGCAAAAAATGGAGAGCCTTACCACAAGATCAATTCCCTCGGCGTTGTTACGCCAAGATGAATCGGACTTGATCACAACAAAGGATACATGGACATTGTCTCCATCGTACTTAACATCATGAGAGAAGCATTCTTCTCTGTCAATCACAAATCTGATGCCCGAAACCGCTTGTGGGCTCAAACAAACCGCCAGCAGCACGACAGCGAGAACGCCTCTCATCCCCATTATTCCCATCTGCAAACCACAAACAGCACATGGAAAAAGGGTTCTAAGCAGATGCATGAACTTAGCCAGAACATAAAATGCATGCAACGAATTGAACACAAAGGGTTCTAGCTTCTAAGCAGAATCTAGGAAAAAGAAAAATCTACAGAAAGAACACAGATTACAAGAATCCGACAGAAACCCATTCACAGAATTCAGCTGAAACAATCAAAAAGTTTGGATCTTTTTGTTTCGGGAACCAGCAAAAATGAAATGGGTTTGCTTGGGAAGTCAATTTACATGAACCCGACAGAACCCCATTGACAGAATTCAACCGAAACAATCGAAAGTTTCAACCTTTCCAGGAAAAAAAAAAACACATGACTGGAATGGGGTTTGCAGAGATCTACATTTCCTGGTCCTGGGTTCTGGCTTCCCTCATCCCCCCATTTTTCCATAAATAGGGAGAGGAAGAAAGAATCGTCAAAGCAATTTCAACGAAGAAATGGAATTGGAGAGAAAATTATCTGGATCGAGAACGAACTGAGGGATTCTTTTGGTTTACCTTGGCAAGATTTTTCGGTGATTCGATCAGCGCGGTTTCTTCCGGGGTCTCCCCCTTTCAACTATTTATCGGAGAATCAAAACCCAAAGGAGGAAGCGTACTTCGATCCTCGTCCAATTTCAGTTCTGGAAAGAGGCTTCGGTCGTGTCAGTCTCGCCGTAAGTGGCTGCGATCCTGTGTGCTGAAGTACATTGGAATCCCTCCTTACGTGGTTCCGTCAGCCGTTGACAAGTTTACACCCGGAGGTTGGGCCCAGGCCCGTTATGTTTGGGCCGCCGTGCTCCACAAAAAGACCGTTAATTTTCTAATGTTGTAATTTGCAGCCAATTTGTGACCAATGAATCAATAAAAATAATTTTTAACCATTCATTAATTGATTTTTTTTTAAACCTATGGATTAATTGGGAGAATAAGCATGATTTTAGTAAAAAATAATTATTATTGATAAGATCTTGGGAAAGTATTTTGACATTTTTTATTTGTTATCCTAATCCAACATTATCCAACTAACACTTGTTAGGTAACCAAAAAAGTCCCAAAACTTTTGCATGTAAATTTGTATTTTTATAGATATTCCATGAATAAATAAATAGATATGTGTACAGTTCTATTCTAGAGTTTTTTTCATCGTACAACTTCCACAAACAAACTGACATGAAACTGACAGATTTACGAAAGTTTTCATCATCGCATGATTCGCATTTCTGAATAGCACATGAAAAATAATCGATTGAGCATCACCACAAAACAAAATCATGAGTTAATCATTAGTACATATCACGTTGTCAGAAAAAGATATCTATAATCCAAAAAAAAAAATATTTTCAAGAGTGAAAGAACCTTGAGGAAAACCAATCCCATTGGTGAAAGAAGCAAATCCCTAAAGAGACAACAATATTGTTAAGGAAACCTTATTCTAACAACAAAAATATGAAAACCTAGCTCATCCCCTAGATTCTCAATACAAGAAAACAAAGCTAGTACAAACAACAAGGGCAGAGACCAAAGCAGTAGCTGAAACAGAACCAGGCATCCTGCCTTTATCCTTCCTGAAGAAAACCGCCTGGTAAAGAGGCCAATTGATAAGAACCAAAGCTCCACAAAGCAACAACTGCAACCCCATCTCATCAAACACCACTCTGACTCCCACACCATCTTTAGCCACCAAACACCTCACCACCACACCAAAGAGGGAAAACAAGTTGAGCATTGCAATGGTGGCCAAGATGTTGAACATGGGGGAAGACACTCCAAACTCCATGATCTCCTTGTCATATCGCCTCGCCACGTCCTCGTCGGCCACCTTGGCCGTGATCACGAACCCCGACTCTCCGAGCCCCATCGTCTTCAGGATGGTGTCCACGAAAGCGAAGAGGTAGGAGCACGTTCTCTTGTACAGCCACGTCCTCTGCTCGTTCCACCATCCAAGGATGGTGCCTCCAGAGTAGAGGAACTCGGCCAGGCTGTACAAGTACTTGGCCGCCACCGCGTATGCGAATGGCAAGACCCATGGGCTTGAAATCTGCAGCAGCAGGTTATGGTTTATAGAAGAGCAAGTAAGTTTCCTGTTAGGAAAATGGTATATGATTTATAATTGAATATATCCCAACAATTCGATTTATTGAGACCAAATGAATCTTGACATGGTATCAGAGCCTTTTTGTGCCTGAAAAGTCTTCTAGAATACCCGTGGTATACCCAAAGCAAAATACTCTAAACCGAAGTCACCCGATCTAACCACATCTGGTGACCCGTTGAAATCTCGCGATGACCCGCATATATATGTTCTGCTAATCACATGGTATCCCGACCTCTGCAAACTTCAAACTCATTAATGAGTCGGCTTTCGTTTGAGGATTGTGCTAGTAAACGGTATATGATCCATAATTGAACATCTTCTGATAAATGGAGGTGTTGAAAGAGGCTTAATAATGGATCTTATACCACATACTAAGCTAACATGCCCCTCTCAAACAAAAATTAACTCATATGAGCCAGTTTGAAGTTTGCACAAGTTCGAATTCCACGTTCTTAACAGATGAGGATGGTTATGATTCGAATAAAAACAATCTATAGCTCCCCGAAAACCCCAATACCATATCAAGAGCTATTTGAATCTTATACCGCGTACTAACAGTTTCTTCGTCTAACATATATCGAGCTAGCTAGCACATGATGTTGTAGGTTTACCTGAGGGAACAATGGGATGCCTTTGAGGAGACAGAGTGAAGGGATGATGGAGTAGTAGAGCACAGCCAGGCAGTTGGGAGCCCATAAACAGTAGCAAAGATACATCATCTGGAGGCCAATGCTGATCCTGCCACTTGCGTACCAAGCAGGGCTGAACCTTGACAGCAGGATCTGGAAATCGCCTTCCGACCACCTCTTATGTTGTACCAATGTCTGCGGCCATGTGGTCGGCGCCTTCCCCAAGAATGCTTCCCTCTTGGGGTCGAAATACATCGACTTCCATCCTTTGCATTGGATCGACAGCCCCGTTATCACGTCTTCCACTGGACACCCATATTTCAGACCCATCTGGAGACGGGGGGGAAACACACACATGTTGAGTAATTTATTAGTAATTTGAATTGAAGTGTGAAAATGTTTTCGAATTGTTATTTCACCCATCATGTAGTACAAATTACTAATTTTACTCCAGTGCCTGAGGCGCGCTTAGACGACCCCTATCACTGGCAATTTGAGCCCGTCCCGCATGGGAATTACCCGACATATGACCTTCGATGGGACGGGTATTAACCAACCCGCAAGAGCGTGGGACAGGGCATGGAGATATCTACTTTCCGACTAGTTCTGTCTCGTCCTGCCCCACTTTTGGCTCATTTTTATCTCAATTCACTACAATATCTACCTGTTTTTGACTTTTCTTCAACTAGCTGGACCTGATCTTTTAACTTGTTAGACTCAAATACCAATTTAATTATCACTATTTTTATTCATAAAGTGTTCTCCCTTTGTTTTATATCGTACAAAGTAAAATTGTGCATATATTTTTTTTTTCTCCATTACATATAAGAGTGGCTAGATCCGCTCCTACCCACATTTGGTGCGGGATGAATATGAGTATTGAGATACGTATTATGAATTATGATAGTAACAAACCTCAGTTCCCCATAAAGTGTTATGATCGGAAGCAATGTCTGCCAAAGGCTTGGCTTCTCGTTCCAATTGTTCCACAGTATGTTCATGATCTCTGCCATAGTTGGTCCAATCAAGTTTGGATCCACTGGGATCAAAGTCTCGGCCGCAGAGAACGTCTCTCCTGTGGAAGCAGCCGGATCCTATATACATTGGACCTCCGAAACTATCCAGACCAGGGAATTCCACCTTCATGAATCAAAACACAAAATCGTTATCACCCCAATCGTCATGTATGCATGCATTCATACAATGCAGTCAAAATTGCGTTTTAAAACTTAACAACTTGTATTTCTGCACTACTTGTAGGTTTACCAAAAACGTTTTTTTTTCCCCCGTAAAATTGCACTTTTCAGTTCCAAGTGTAGTCAAAATCTACGGTTAAGATGAAACGACATACTCGAGAGATGACAAGCAAGGAAGAACCGTAGATGTCGTTCTTGGTAACGTTGTCGAACATCTGTGGGAGCTGCAGAAATGCCACGTCGTGATTCTTGCGGTCGTCCATGAAGAAGCAGAGGGCGTCCCGCAGCGTGGAAGGGTCGTTGGAGTACATGTCGCAGTCCAAGTTCAGCAGGATCGGCGCGTTGCTGATCTTCGACGACACTCTTATCTGCGTATCGCATCAAGAACCCGTTGATCTCATACTTCCTCAAACGAAAAGACTCTCATATGAGGTTTTAAATTTTGCACATGGATCAGACACTATGTTGCTTATCAAACTTAATTATTAGGACCTCTTAGTCACACATAATAATAACAGAGTTTCCTCCTTTCAATAATGAATCTTATACCGCGTATTAACATAATGAACGCGCGTACCAGTGCGTTCATGGCGCCTGCTTTGAAGTTGTGGTGGTGCTGGGGTCTCTTTTCCCGGGCCAGGTAGACGAGAGTGGGGAGGTGCAGGGAGGAGCTGCCGTTCACGCCGTCGGCAGGTGGTGGGTCTCTGCCGTCGATCAAAATCTGGGAAAGTAACGGTCAAATTTGAGCTGGTGAAGTTGATATATCAAAGCTGTGGAGTAGTAAAAAAAGGGTGTAATTATACATGGAGAATGGTGGGATGGTCACGTCGCCATGAATATTTGTTGTTACCATCCCAATGGGAGAATGCTTCCTTGTGTTGTAAAAGTGCATCTTCAGGTATTCGACCCAACTGGGTTGCGCTTTCTATTCGATCCTTCATTTCTTCGTATTGTTTCTGGTCGAGATGAAGATAAAAAGAGAGATGTGTCATTATTAACAAAAATATAAAAAATTTGGAAGTCGTTATCGCAAAATGTATTGTGGTAAATACATGTATTGATATTGTAATATACGGTGTTTGGTATGTGTGATTGTGTATGTCACGCATCATGAGTTGAAAATTGAGATGTAAGTATGTAACGCGATCTCAACACAACTATCTCAACCATTTCAACTAAAATATACGAGATATGACAATCAGTTATTTTGAGTGATTATATGTGTTAGATCACAAAAACAATGCATTTATTGGGTATTAAAAAGAACTAAAAATTATGTACTCTAAATAATACAAGTATGATAATTACAATCTCACAAAAACAGTCTAAACTTTCAAACGACCCCATACATGTATTCCTCATATATCAAGTATTTAATTTCCTAGATGAATATGTTAAAAAAAAAACTTACGAATTTCGAAAATATATAAGTTGTGTGATGGCCTTACCCTTATGCACGCATATGACATATATATATATATATATATATATATTCTTGGTTTTCTTACCCAACATTAAGAAAATGGTACGAATAAAAAGGGTCCTTCATTTTTTAATCAAGAGAATATAACACAGGATGAACAAACCTTGATTGTAGGGATCATGCCTCTCCCTTCACATGTCAACACTCAATTGATTTTCCTTTCTTCTTTCATTCTTTTAATACACTAATAATCCTTATATAAGAACTAGAGAAAATTATCATTTATAAAACCGTCAATAATGTACTATATCTTTTGTTACGAGTGAAATTCGATATGGACCATTTGATATAAAATGAAGCCCGAAAGAAAGCTGGTAAGGAGTTATATTGTCCGTTTAACATTGGAACATTGGTCTTTGTATGTGTTCTAATCAAAGTAGCAAGCAAACCAGTTTTTCCCATTATTTGTTGCTCTATGTTTGGCCCGATTTTTAGTAGTGATTTTTCGGTTTTAAAAGCTGAATCAACGTCAAACACCTCCAAAAGTTTGACTTTCGAAAAGCTGAAAAAGTGATTTTGTATAACATAAAAGCATAAACTCCGATTTGGAGCTACTACGAAAAACTGTATTGAAAATACAATATTATTCTTACCATATTTTAATTTTATTGCAAAAAATATAATTTTTCTTCATTTATATCATTTTAAAAATAAAATAAATTATAATATTTAATAAAAAAAATATAACAAGATCCATTTTGACTACTTTTTATTGTTTAGAATTTTTATTCATATTTTATATTATACATCATTTATAATCATTTTATATAACCTCTTATATTAAAAAGCATTTCTACTAGTTTTCCAGCCAAACACTCAACTATTTTTTTCTTAAAGTGTTTCTCTCAAAATTTCAGCCAAAAACTACTACAAAAGCTACAACAAGACCAAACTAGTCCATTAAAATCTGGTTCTTCCATATTCACTAAAAGTCTATGGTGACTAAATTGAGAAAAGAAAACTTCCCCTTAACAATTTTTAACACAGTTTTAGTAATGACCTATATATCCCATTAGATTTTGAATTGAAAATTTTGCATTCTTGAACTAGTCTCTACTAGCCCGCCCACTACACCACCTCCATGTTTGACAAAAACTACCATATAACGACAAAAACAAAACCCATTAAAAAAAACACAATTACAGTACCGAAACAACGACACCCATCATCTCATATCCACTGAAATCCGGCCGCCTTTGAACAAAAGCCGACGAAATAACAGAACGATATTTTATATTTATTATTATATAACGTTACCTTGACGGCGACCAACTCCTCCTCCCACCCACCACCACCGCCACCTTTTGACTTTTCCCCCGCCGCCGCCGCCGCAAAATACGCCTCCGGCGACCTCGGCTTCACGTCGAACCTCCCGCAGAAAGGGACCCAGCACCGGGCGAACCGCGCCGCCTCCAGCATCGCGTAGAGCGTGAACTCCGACGCACCGTCGTCGGACAGGTAGACGGCGAGCTTGTCGGGCGGGTAGTCGTACGCCACGAGGGAGAGCACGGTGTTGACGACCAGGATCGGGGGCTCGATCGTGTGGTCGGCGGTGCACACGAAGACGTCGACACCCGGGAGGGTTTTGTCCGGGTGGGCATCGGCGAGCCGGTCCTTGTGGGTGGACCGGAAGACCGGGTCCCATCGGCCGGCCTGGGTGAGGACCCAGTATAGGCCGAACCAGATCTCCGCAAATAAAGCTCCCACCCAGACCCAGCGGTGGGTGGTTGGGGCCGGGTGGGTGAACCGGTAGAACCAGATGGAGCAGATCCCGAGGAGGACGGTGGCGGCGAAGAGCTTGTTGAGGAGCTGTGATTTGGTGCTTCTTCTGTTTGTGTCGAACAGTGGGGCGTAGCTTTTCGCCGCCGCCGCCGTCGGCGGCTTCTCGTTGTTGGGAGTATTGGTTCCCATTTTTTTTTATTTTTTTTGGGGTGATTTTGTGAAGATTTGAAGTTGGTGTGTATACTTAGTCGTGGAGATTAAGATTATATAATGTCCATCCATTTGGAAATTTGAAAGCAATTAAGTGGACATTAAATTTCTTTTCTTTGTGGATAAAGAGAGGGGAAATAATACAATGGCAGCATATGTAAGGAAGGAGAGCCGGGTGCTAGTTCGCTTACCATTAAGGAGTTTAGCACCATGCTAATTAATTTAGTAGCCATTAGATTAAAAAGAAAAAGGAAGCAAATCGTCGCCCGAATTGTTGGCGAATTATTGGCGGAATTTGAGGGAAGAAAAAGGAAGGTGAGGCGGTGAGTTTGTTTTTCAATAGCGGTCGGCGACACAAAATCCGGCCAACAATTTCGTCGGCGGGATGGGCAGTTTTAGTTAGGATTTTTAAGTGTTGAATGGTAAAATAGACATTTTTCATAAATATACGGGCGGCAAATAGTAAATAGACGGGCGGCAAATAGCGATTCATTATATTTAGCCTCTCAAGCTCTCGAATGTACATTTTTACCTCCCAAACACACTTTTTTGCTCCAACCCTAAACCTTCTAAATTTGCCTTCCCAACTCAATATCAGCCAATCAAAAATTAAGAAAGTAAATTTGTCTTCCCAACACTTTTTGCTCCACTCCACTACCAAGCCCACTTCTCCAAATTCGCAAGCCAATTTTTAGGTGGGTTGGAGAGGAAAAAGCGGAAAAACATTCCTTTCTCCTAATTTGCATCCTTGGGTTGGAGTTAGTCTTATAAATGAAGGAATGGCCATAGGTTGTGAATACTATTTAATTAATTGTATATTTTTTTTTATATTTCCTGATGTTTTGGTATTTATAGATCTCAGTTCTTAATACCATTCAATACTTCAATACTCACCAATACCAAGTAAATATAAATCACTACAATATTTAATATATTCGTTAGTTATATCGATTGAATTGCATATTATTGACGACTTTAGTGTGATTTCATTCTAATCCTTGCAACTATTTTTACACGGTTCTTCTATCACATGTCTAGTATATTTTAAACGTGTCTTTTGTACAAGCTCATCATAATCTATTTTGGATCATTAATCACACAAGCCCACGATTCATATAGTTAGTCTCTTTGTACAACTTCGTGATCCATAGTTTTCATTCAAGTGCTTTACTGCAAGCTCACAATCAATAATTAGTCTATTTGTACAACCTCGTGATTCACAATTAGTCTATTTGTGGAACTGTCGTCCCAAATCACATTCGAAAGGTTTCTTCTCGAATATAATTAACTAGACACGTAATTTATAGTTGATCCATGGTAGAAAAAGAAGACGAATATATACAACATCGATTGTTGACTATAAAAATACATCGATCGTGCGTGCCACGTTCGGCCGCAAAGGATCTTGGTCTCTTTCGAATGGATCGCCAAGTCGGGTTTGATTTAGTGGGCCTTACATGGGCCGTGGGTGCGAAGAGTCATTCTCCTCAATTAGTGGGCCAGCACAAATGTAGCCTGTGGGCTCTGCCCTTTTAAATGGATTGGACAAATGAAGAGGGACGAATGACGATGATGATTAGTTCGGGTAAATAGTTTATTAGCCAGTTATCGAAATGTCACTTTTAATTGTTAATTGTACGAAAAGTATCGACACAATCGAATAATTCGTAATTTGATAAATAACTACTTGATCGGACACACTATTATATTATCATTCGTAAATGAGACCCCACTAAACTCGAACTCCGACTACGCCACTAAATTGCAGGTGATTGATTTAGATCTAATCACTAGAACCATAGTTGAAAAATGAAATGAGCTTGAAAGGATAGGGCATACACAATTGGAAGAGAAGGGTGCATGTCCATCATCCATGCCAAAACCAAAGATAGAACCATCATCATCATCACAAAATCTTAATTCCCACCTAACATTAGATGAAAATCCCCCTTATTTTTGTGCATCTAGGTTCTGATGGAGAGGGGTCAAAGATAAACAGACAAGGAGAGAGACATGAAGGAGGCCCAACAAGGAAAACTCCAACAATTTCCATTCCCATGAATAATAATGTAAACAAGAGGAAAGGAGACAACCCACCACGACCTAACCTTACTTATAACATCTATTCATAGACATTTGAAAATTGATAATCAATCATTCTATTGTTTTTTAATGCCACACCCTAAACTATAAGTAATTCCACCAGTAATATTAGCCCCGAGGATTAAGGTTGTCAAATCAGTCTATACAATTACATCGATTTAGCAAGTGATATAGTCGGACCAAGATACGGTTTATACATATCGTTTTACGTTGGTTTTAACAAAAATAAGTCAAAGAAGCGAGAATTTATTAACAGCAAATGAATTGCTTGTATATATAACATATTTCAAGACAATATTCTCTACAAGCTACATCGTTATTTAAATAAAATAAAATATTACAAATGAAATGACAAATCATCGTATTTAAATACAATACTTAACATCAACATCCAACATTTACACATGAATTGATATTACTAAAATGACAACCGTTTTATTTAGAGACAGAAACGGGATCCAATTGGATACAATTTTTTTTTTAAAAGCAAATAGCAATTTTAAGTCTCACTTTATAGAAAGCATTACAACTTATTTATATCATGACAAATTGAATCCGATTATACCGACTAATATCATATTAACAACTATATTGACAAACCACCTCTATTGTTTTCATTCATGTTTTTCAAACACTTTTCACTATTTCCCCTACCTAGTCTCGAGCACTTCTACTAAACTATATAGTATTGGTGCTTTAATGTACAATTTAAAATTGTACCTTAACATTAAATGTATAAGTTTAGGTTGTACCATAAAGCAATTTGTACCATTATGTTATGATACAACTTTACAACTTGAAGTTGTACCATCACATAAAGGTACAAGTTCAAGTTGTACCATAAAAGGATTTGTACAAAAAGTATAGGTACAATATGAAGTTGTACCATAACGTAAATGTACTATACAACCCTATAGCACCTAGCGTTGTAAAATTTCTCTTCTTTTACGGGTTCCAAACAATGAATTTTCAAAACCACACATTTTTAGTATACATATAATCTACGATACACACATTCTCGTAATACATCATTTCCAGGATTAAAGGATCCAAACCACCCCGTATTATAAGTTGTGTTGATTTGGCAAGTGCCAAGTAGTAAGTGGCAATCGGCCATACATACTTGATGGCCTACCAATCCAGCCTTTGATTCTTTTTGGGCCGTTCAATAGTTAATAATAAATAATAATAAGAGTATTCAATGCTTATCTCTTTTTGTTTTATTTTCTTTTTTTTGTGTATTTATTTCTTTCCTTACACTTTTAGGTTATCATGTCTTTTTTCAAATAAAGTCATTGGGGCTATAGAAAATTTAGTATAAATTTAGAGTAATGGTTTGAATATGTTCATCTGAACCATTTTTCTAGTTACACAAAATTCTATTATCAAATAAAACTAGTCAGGAATTTAAGTAGCATTGGACCAAATACCTAAATCTAAAAATTTTATAAACACTAAACTAACTCTGGATCCGAAAGAGGGCTGGGCCGGGGCCTGGGTTGGCCCAGCCCTGGATCCGCCACTGCTCATGGATCTTCACTAAAACCGGCAAGCCTTTGATTGAAGGCCGGGTATATGGCCCAACAGCCTTCCTTCTCTACGGCCCGACCATGCAAGAGTTTCCCAATGGGCCACCGGCCCAAACCTTTTGCAGCCCGAGACTTAGTGCAAGACTGCGTGGGAGTCGGTTAGGGTTAATTGCTTGCTCGTTTGTCCGAAAAGCTTTCGATTGCGCCACAAATAGAGGCGAGGCAGCTGCTCGTGTTATCGACCGAGGGAGGATACTCTTCTTCTGCTAAGCTAAGGTGAGATCCTAATCGTCCAACCCTCAATTCGTTGTTATCTGTTCTTGATCTTTCAATCTGGGTGTTTCCCGTTCCTGATTTTCCGTCTCACTCACGTTTTTAGGGATTTGAGTCGGAGCTCCGGCCAGCCTCTCCCGCCGTTGGAAAGAAATAGACGCTGGTCGCAAGATTCTGAGGTGAGATCCTTGTCCGTCCGTCCTTGAGTTAACTGGTTGTTTGGTAGGCTTTTACAAGCCGTCATTTTTCAGTTGGTTTGTTCGTCAGTTTCTCCCTTACCTTTCTAGGCATTTTCCCTCTGTTCTGAATCACCTTCTTCTCGATTGTAGGAAATGGCGGACTAGTCTACCTACCTGTTGATATTGTGGGCAAAATACTCTCCAAGTTCCTCCATCCTGTTCCGCTTTTCATTGGTATCGAAGACTTGGTGTGCGGCTGTCCAGGAAGTCTTCATGGGAACCGAAGAAGACTATCCTATTCATAAAAAATTTCTTTGAAGCTCCCAAACGATCCTGGGTAGACAGTCCATCTGGAACTGGAAAATATGCTACGTCGTGCTCATGAAGACCACATGTAATTATCCAACGATCAGATATTCAGCAGATTGAATTCTCAAATTCAAAGTCTGGCTGCGTAGAATTAAACTGGAAGGGTAGGTTCAGGGGAATAGTGTCTAAAGCCCTTGTATAAAAGTTGAAGATCAAATCAGCTTGATCAAACTCCGCAGACTCGTACTGATTCGAATAACCTTGTCCTAGGATTAAGACTTGGTGTGCGGCTGTCCAGGAAGTCTTCATGGAGAGAGCTAGGGTAGGGAACCGAAGAAGACTATCCTATTCATAAAAAATTTCTTGTAGGGCAGGTGTTCTTCGATGACTGGCCTGGTCATGATATGCTGCATCAACCACACGTGCCGATAATCTTGAGAAGTTTGACCTTAATCTTGAGGAGTTTGACCTTGTTGGTTCTTCTACGGGCCATTTGTGTTTCAACCGTATGTGGCAGATGATAATCCTCAATCCGTGCACATCGAGGTGGGTGGGGTTTTTAAATGTTCGTGACGATGCATGTTTTTATCATAGCCAGCCATACCAGAGGCATTGGTAGGGCGACAATTCAAGATATTAATCTTAGGACAAGGTTATTCGAATCAGTACGGGTCTGCGGAGTTTGATCAAGCTGTTTTGGTCTTCAACTTTTATACAAGGGCTTTAGACACTGTTCCCCTGAATTTGCCCTTCCAGTTTAATTCTACGCAGTCAGACTTTGAATTTGAGAATTCAATCTGCTGGATATTTGATCGTTGGATAATTAGCATATTTTCCAGTTCCAGATGAGCTGTCTCCCCGGGATCGTTTGGGACTCGGGCTCTTTCGGGGTAAACTCGCACTCGCTGCTTGGGATGAAGGAATGGTTTTCTTTCGGCCGAATCTTACAGACCCATGGGAGACCTTCTTTGTGGTGATGCTGCCTCCTTCAGAGCCCCCCTTTTACCCCCTCGGCCTGCCTGCCAACAGATGAACCCAAACTGATGATGGTCTTCAGATGCAATGACTTTAATTATGGCCTGGGTGTGCTAAGCATAGTATCTTTAACCTTTTTTGGTGGTCCTTTTGTACTCTCCCTTCCTCCCTACTTCTGCTCCATGTCACACTTTCGTTTTGTTGGTTTGGGGGACTAGGTGGGTACTCTTATGTCTTTTTTTCTTGTCAAATCTTAGGGTGAACAACATGTTCACGAATTGAAAGAGAAAAAAGTGTAATAGGTATAGTGGAAGCTTTTTTTTTTTTTTTTTTTTGCGGGTTAGGGTAAAAGTAGAGTGGCGGAGGAAATTGTGGAAACGCCGGCAGCTGGTCCGGAGACCGGCGGCATGCTTGTTTCAGCTTTAGGCCTTAATTTGCAACACTTGTTTTGTTAGTTGCGTTTGATAGTTTGTAAGTTGTAACCGCCACGAAAACAAAGATAACCCATAGTTTTTCTATATTTCCTGGTGATTTGTTTCTTTATGAGTTTGTTTGAATGCATGTTGATCAAATGAAACGGTTCATACTTTTTTTTTTTTTTTTAATAATGAAAACGGTTCATACTTGAAACCTTATCCCCGTTTGGAAGTAGGAATCGGAGTAGTGTGGGCGGCAATTTCGATAAAATGGTGCAAGAAGATAAGAGCATTATGCATAACGAGATTTTTTTTTTTTTTTTTTTTAAAAGAAATCTGGAATGCATAACGAGATTGACAAAAGAAGAAAGGAACGAACAATACAAGATTGATTGAGATGGCATTTGTGGTTCCTTGGAGTGATGATTACAATTACAAGAACACGGCAGCACTACTGAAGCCAAAGATAAAAAGCAAACAGATTATGCTGCAA